ACACTGCCAAAATACCAAAACCTGGTTCAGTGCCCATGGGATTACTGTGCTTGATTGGCCAGCAAACTCGCCTGACTTGAACCGCATTGAGAATCTATGGGGCATTGCCAAGAGAAAGATGAGAGACATGAGACTGAGCAATGCAGAAGAGCTGAAGGCTGCTATTGAAGCATCCTGGTCTTCCATAACACCTCAGCAGTGCCACAGGCTGATAGCATCCATGCCACGCCACAGTGAGGCAGTAATTGATGCAAAAAGGGCCCAAACCAAGTACTGAGTACGTATGCATGCTTCTACTTTTCAGAGGTCCAATATTGCTCTATTTGCAATCCTTGTTTTGCTGATTTCTTTTAATATTCAATTTTTCTCATATATCAGTTTCACCTTTTAAGTTGAATTACTGAAATAATTGAACTTTTCCACGATATTCCAATTTTTTGAGTTTCACCTGTAGTGCTAGTAAGCCAGGTGTCCTCCATCCTATATTTGTGAATCTGGTTCTTCTTGTCAAAGTGTAGAATCTGATATTTGTCCCAACAGAAATTCATTTTATTAGTTTGGGCCCAGTGCTCAAACCTGTTAAGAACATATTGAATCCTGATTTTGTATTCAAAGGCATTAGTTATTATTAGTATTATTTAGTAAATTCGTATGACTCTCTTTATCCATAGATCTTAGGGCCGTTTACAACATAATGTTGGCATGTCAGCCTGCCAAAGGTGCCTAAAGATGTATAATGAAGGCGCCAGCTGAATTTCCCTGGGGGGAACATTCCACAAATGCGGAGCTACTGCAGAAAAGCCGTGTTGCCACCCTCTGGACCGCTCATGGAGGGCTACCTCTCCCTGTTTGGTGTAATCTGCAAATTTGATTACCACCCCTTCATCCAAGTCATTTATAAAGATGGGCCCAATACAGAACCCTGCAGCCCCCCACTTGTCTCTTTCTTCCAGGGTGATGAGGAACCATTAGTGAGCAACCAGCTACAAAGCCACCTAACTGTTACCTCACCCAGCCCACATTTTACCACCTTCTCCATAAGAATATATTGGAGGACTTTGGCAAAAGCCTTCCTGTGATCAAGATACACTACATCCACAGCATTCCCCTGATCCACCAAGCTTGTAATCCTAATTTAAAAAATGAGATTTGTCTGGCAGGACTTGCTTTTGAAAAACCAATGCTCGGTCTTAGTAATCACAGCATTCTTTTCTAAGTGCTCACCAACTGTTAAATGATCTGCTCTAGGACCTTTCCTGGTATTGATGTTAAGCTGACCAGTTGGTAATTACCTGGATCTTCTCTTTCCCCCTGTTTGAAGATGTGGACAACGTTTCCCCATCTCCAGTCTGTAGGGACTTCAGCTGTTCTCCAAGAATTCTCAAAGATTATAGACAAAGTCTTGGAGATTACATTCGCAAGCTCCTTGAGTACCCTTGGGTGCAGCTCATCAGGCCCTGGTTATTTGAATTCATTTATTGTAACCAGGTGTTCCCTCACTACCTCTTTTCCTATCTTGGGCTGCACTTCCCTTCTTGCATCATTTATTCTGTTAACTCCAGGTTGGGCACTACTTTCATTCTGGGTGAAGACAGAGGCAACTCCCTGTAACTGTTGGCTACTCGTGTATACTCTTTCTTCACGATTTCCCCTTTCTTCCATTTCTTAGACATACTCTTCTTAAATCTCAGCTCACCTGTAAGCTCCTTATGCAGCCACACTGCTTTCTTTAGATCCCTCCCACTTTTCTTTTTTGTAGGAATTGTCTGCTTTTGTGCCTTCAATATTTCATCTTTAAGAAACTCCCATCCATTTTGGAGTCCCTTTTCTTTGAGTATTTCTGACCATGGAATCTCACCCAGTATTTCCTGAAGCTTTTCAAAATCAACCTTCTTAAAATCCAGAGTGCATACCCAAGTACACTCAGCTTTCCCTTGCCTCTGTGAAACCCAAGAGGACATGATCATTTCCTCCAAAGTTTCTGAGGACTTCCACTTTGTCCATCAGTTCCTTCCTGTTGGTGAAGACCAGGTCCAAGATAGATGATCCCCTTGTTGCTTCTTCCACGTTCTGGGAAATGAAATGGTCAGCGAGGCAATTGAGGAATTTGTTGGACCTTACATTCTTGGCAGAGTTTGAGTTCTACAGATATTGGGGTAGTTGAAGTCTCCCTTGACTACTATATCTCTCCTTTTTGAATGCTTGGTAATCTGCTCTAGGGAGGCTCAAATATGTCTTGCTTGTTTCCCATACTCTGTGCTTTAGTATAGAGACATCTGAAACCATGAGTCATTCCCTCTGGCTGCTTCCTTATTGCAGTTTCCTAGCCTTTACAAAGTTTCTGCAGCACCACCTCAGCTTCCTGTGCATCAGTGAATGTATTATCACTAGTACCAGGTGTTCCCCTGTTGTCTGTAATGTTATCTCGCCCTCAAAATTAATTTAAAGCTCTTCTTATCAGGTTTGTGAGACTCTCAGCAAAGACATTCTTGCCAACCACTGTGAGGTGCACCCCATCTCTTGCCAGAAGTCCTTCCTCAAGGAAGCAGAGACCATGGTCCAAGAAGCGGAACTCTTCCTGATGACACCACTTGTGTAGCCAATGGTTTACTTCCAGTATTTTCCTCTCTCTTCCTGGGCCATGACCTTCAACAGGAAGCAGTGATGAAAAAACCACCTGTGGCCCAAGGCCCTTCTGCTTCCCACCCAGAGTCCCGTAGCCCCTTGCTATGGAAGGCTGTCTCTGGTAGTATCTTTTTTTTTTTTAATGATATTTATTAAGGTTTCAAAGAAAGAAGTTACATAAATTAAAAAAAAGAAAAAAAGACAAAAATAAAAATACAAGAAAAATACAAAATACAGAAAAAAGGTAAAAAAACACTTTAAAAAACAACACATCAATCTTTCCATACCTTACATTCATTTCCTTGCTTCCCTGACCTCCTCGCACCTCCCTTTTTTGTATTCCAATTCAGTTAGTTAATTCAGCAATTTCTTTCCCTCTTTGTTTTTAACTTAACCCTTTAACTTAATATATTATAACTTTGGATTCTCACCTGTTAACAATCCATTTTTGCATACACCTTTATAACATTGCTGCTTAAACCACTTAACTTCATTCTGACATCATTCTAACATTCATTAATTTTGCAATATTTCTGTAAATAGTCTTTAAATTTCTTCCAATCTTCTTCCACCGACTCTTCTCCCTGGTCTCGGATTCTGCGAGTCATTTCTGCCAATTCCATGTAGTCAATCACCTTCATCTGCCATTCTTCCAGAGTGGGTAGATCTTGTGTCTTCCAATACTTTGCAATAAGTATTCTTGCTGCTGTTGTAGCATACATAAAGAAAGTTCTGTCCTTCTTTGGCACCATTTGGCTGACCATGCCCAGGAGAAAGGCCTCTGGTTTCTTCAGAAAGGTATATTTAAATACCCTTTTCATTTCATTATAAATCATCTCCCAGAAAGCCTTAATCCTTGGGCACGTCCACCAAAGGTGAAAGAATGTACCTTCAGTTTCTTTACATTTCCAACATTTATTATTGGGCAAATGATAGATTTTTGCAAGCTTGACTGGTGTCATGTACCATCTGTATATCATTTTCATAATATTCTCTCTTAAGGCATTGCATGCCGTAAACTTCATACCTGTGGTCCATAACTGTTCCCAGTCAGCCATCATTATGTTATGTCCAACATCTTGTGCCCATTTAATCATAGCAGATTTCACCGTTTCATCCTGTGTATTCCATTTCAACAGCAAGTTATACATCTTTGACAAAATCTTAGTTTTGGGTTCTAGCAGTTCTGTTTCTAATTTTGATTTTTCCACCTGGAAGCCAATTTTCTTGTCCAAATTGTATGCTTCCATTATCTGATAATAATGAAGCCAGTCTCACACTTTGTTTTTTAATTTCTCAAAACTCTGCAATTTCAGTCTATCTCCCTCTTGTTCCAAAATTTCCCAATATTTCGGCCATTTGACCTCGCTGTCTCTGGTAGTATCATTTGTACGTACATGAATCAAAAGGAAGGGGTTGTGGTCAGTGAGCTTTATAAGGCTTGGCAACTTCTCTGTCACATCATGAACCTTCCAGGACATCCTGTTACCACCACACAGCCTCTGTTCCCCTCAGCAGGGAGTCCCCTCCTGCCACCACACCTCTCTTCCTCTTCTGGGGAGTTGTTTTGGAGGAATTGGTACACTGCATCTTCCACAGCCACCTCTGTGTTTTCTGAAGTCTACAACTGCTGTCCTTGCTCCTCTGGCCCAGAATCAGTGTTTGAGATGAGGGCATGGAATCAATTTTGCAACTCCAGTGACGCAGCATGGCTACTGGCACTCCTGGTTCTGTGTGTCACATTCCTCCAGGTGTTTGTCTCCTGCAATGGGCAATCTTCCTCCTCCCTAGGAGCACCCTGGCTGTGTTGCTGTTCCAAGGTGGTCCACTTTGCTCTATCAAGAATTTCCTCATCTATACCAACAGCTCAAAGTGTGAATAAGTGGGCCTCAATTTGATGCACCCTCTCTGCCAGCCAGGCAACCAGCTTTCACCTGGGGCAGGCATAGTTTTGCACATTCTCAGGCAGGAAGTGTAACATGGCACAGGTGTTGCAGGTCACTGCAGCAGCTCCCTCGCCATCCATGTCTCTTGGTCCTATGTACACTGTGAGGCGGCGCTCCAGGCCTCCCTCTCAAACTCCCCCACTAGATGCCCTCACAAATGCTCCTGTTTACATGTTTTATCATAATATAATACAATCATAATACCCAACCTTATTATCATACAATCATATCATTCAATGGTGATATCATACGATCATATTGCACAATCACAATATTGCACAATCATTCAACCAGTATTTGTTTCTAATTCATTCAACAGCAGCAATGGGCTGTTGTAACATATCCTTCCAGCATTTTTCATTTAAGTGCTTCTTCTCTCCTGGTCCCTTTCTATTTATAAAAGCCATAACAATCAAAGTAAGCCAATGTTTACTTACCTCCCCTAGAAGTTAAACTCTGGCTCATATTTTGTAACCTAGCAGAGCTGGTAGGACAAGCAGATCCAGAATTGAGAGGCTCCTGGACAGACGAAGGACACCTTTCCTGTTGCAAGAGACCCAGCAGGGACCCGTATTTCCCATCTGACACAGACCCCTGCGTCATATGCACGTCGGGCATAGAGGGAGGGTACACTGAAGCTGCAGTCAAATTTGGGTTGTCCCCTGAAGGCAACTGCCATAGCTCTGTAGCTGGTGGTGTGATGCCCTGGAGAAGAGGAGGAGGATAGGGGCTTGTCGCTGAAGCAGCTGCATTATCATCGGAGCTGGATAGGTTTAAAGGAGGCGGTGCATGGTACGGCTTAGCCCATTGCGGCGAGAAGTTCCACTGCTGGGGAGATGTGTGGCTTTCTGTTTATTAAAATGGAGGAAGGATGTAATCAATGCATTTTTATTGCATTTTGAAATTGTTTTATAATAAATACAACCACCAAAAACACAGAGAGACCACACGTAACCCCAAACATAAGGATACTGATGACTAAAGGATGTGCTAGGAAAGCATCACTCAGTGGGCACAACCATGAAATCTTTTTCCTTCTTACCCTGTGCAAAGGCTTCCAGGAAGCCCAGCTATTGAAAGACAGAATCATGCCCTCCAGCAATGTATACCAAGAACCACAGGAGTCTGGTCACCAAAAACCTACTTCTGTTTTAGCACCTGCATTGCTTAAGTCCTCAAAGTATCTTTGCAAGAGTGGAAGGTAAGGAGAGAAAGCTAAAACAAATCTCTCCATCTCCAGTGACCCCACACACCCTGGGCCACCCAACCAAGTCCAGTTGTTACCAATCATTCCTGAGTTTGTATCTGTCATGGATTTGAATTGGTCTTTTGTATGTGCCGTGGCTGTTTTAGGCTGTTTCATGTATTTGTATCTGGGTTATAATATTGCCAATCACTTCATGGTGCTTCATGCAAATTGATTCATAAATGAACTGGAGAAGAAAGAGGACAGCTGTTCCCCCTCCCCCATCACAAAAAGAGGCAGGAAAACACACAGGAAAATGTAGGGTAGCACTTCTTTGATGCCACAGTGTATAACCTCCCTGCAAAGCAGTCACAATGACTGCTTAGTAAGCAGGTTGTCTGGAAACTATCATGGATGCTGTGTGCACACTGCACATTCAAAGCACATTCTCTCCATCAAAGAATTCTGGGCACTGTAGTATGTTAAAGTTTGATGGAAATTGTGTCTTTGCGATGGCTAAACTATAGTGCACAGAATTCTTTGAGGGAGAGAACCACAGTGCAGCTGTGGCTGTACAAGTTTCTTGTCCACAGTGAGTCAACATTATTACATAAGTAACCAGCAGCCAGAAAATGTGGAGGAGAAGCTCACCATGTTTTACAATTGCATCCTCACCACTGTTCTTTCTGCTCAAATCCTGTGGAGTTTTGGATGCGCTCAATGCTCTAGAGAAGTGCTCATCCACCACACTGTTAATGTCTCCTTGGAAGTAGGTAAACACCACACACTGGGCTCCCCACTCTGTTTTCACAGGCTGCTTGCATTTGCTCAGCTTTGTGGAGTCCTTCCTCTCTTCCATTTCTAGGGACTTTTGTCTGTGCCTAAAAACGAAGAGAAACAAAGTGATGGAAGAGTGGGTTCTGGCTCAAAAAATACGCTTCATTAAACTATTTTTAAGTTGCAAATTAAAAGCAAAACAAACAAAACAGATGCAAGGGGTGGGGAATCAACAGGTTGAAAACGACTCAATAATTATACATACTGGTAATCTCAATAATTTATTTCTGCTTTATATTTTCTTTACAGGAATTTTGAGGTGAAGAGTAGTTTAGAGTATATCAAGGGCAGGGAACAGGCTGACAGTGATCTTTACCTTTGTATACAGTAGTCAATAAAGGCTTTCCATATTTTCACAGATGGGTCTTAATCTCATTTTCCTTAGTTTTTGTGTTACCCTAAAACCAAACTTTGCTGTATCATTGGTCACCGTTTATGTTCTGAGCTATCACTGCCTGTGCAGTCAAGAGCAGATTACTCAACAGAGCAGGGCAGGGGGTTGTTTGCTTGAAATTGGCTATGATGATGAAGAGAAAGAATTGCCTTTCTTGTTAAAGGAGATGGATACAATATAGGGTTGCTGGACCCCAGGGCAGAGCTGATGTCTCCAGGTTCACCTGCTCCCCTCCCCCATGGCAGGTGGAGGGGTTGACTCTCCAGGTAGGTAAGAGTGCTTTTATATTTTATTATTATTAATAATATTTACTAATTATTACTGTGCATGCAGTCAGGAGTGCCAGCTTGGCCCTGCGACCGTGAGTGCCCGGGGCCGCGGGTGCCATGCAGTGTGCATGGCCCTGGCACTGAAATATGTTGGTGCCCAGCCCCTTAATGGGGAATTTTGTGGGTGCTCGGGCACCCAGGGCCCCAGGGAGTTGGCACCTATGCATGTAGGCTTGAAATTATACTTAGCTTCAGCCCACCAGAACTTCGTTAAACTTTGTATTTGTTTTATTTGAATGACATGCTCTCAGTACGTGACTCGTATGTGCCATTCAGTATGGAGGGTTGCAAACTGCAAAGGATATGATTTAAAGGACCGTCATGTTAAATTTATCTAGTCCACCACCGTTGCAAAGCAGATGCCTCCTGGCAGTCCATGAAAAGCACACAAACAACACCAGCTTTCCTCTGCTCAGACTCACCAGCAACAGGTATTCAAGGGGCATATTGCCCCTTCCAGTGTTCAAGCTGTGATAGGCTGATAGCCCAAATAAGAACATATGAAGAGCCTGTTGGAATGGGCTAATGACCCATCTAGTCTAGCATCCTGCTCTCATGGAGATGCCCATGAGAAGCCCGCATGCAGGACCTGAGTGAAACAGCCTGCTTGTAATTCCTAGCAACTGGTATTCAGAAGCATAAAATCTCCAACAGTGAAGGTGGAGCATAGCCTTCTCCTCCACGACTTAGTCTAATCCTCTCTTAAAGCCATCCAAGTTGTTGGCCCTCCCTGCCTCCCGTGGGAGTGACCTCTGTAGTTTAACTCCACACTGCCTGAAGCACTTTCTTTTTGTCCTTCATGAATCACTACATCAGCTTTGTTGGATGTCCACGAGTTCTGGTGTCATGAGAGAGGGAGGAATGGAATGGCAGCACCAGCGCGCAAGGAGGATGCTTCAGCAGGTCTCTGGGGGAAACCATAACGTTTGCATAAAGGGTGTGTGTGTGGAAAACTCACCTCCTTACCCCCCCCCCATGGAAAACCAGGGCAAAAAGGTTTTTGAACAGAACTGCTGGAACCCTGAACAGATTAACATTGCAACATTTTGTCATTGCAAGTCCCATTTGACTATTGACAGGCCTCACGTCCTCCCATGATGTTACTTGAGCCCTTTAAATGCATTGGGATTGTCCCCATCCTCTCCTCTTACAAAACAAGACATATTTGGAGCTAAGGGAAGGTGTTTCTTCTCCAGCTACCCAGGTTTGCTTACCCCAACGTACTGCTTTCTTATCAGCCACCCGGCAGAGTTCCTGTCCCTCCATACAGCTCATACTGCAGTGCTCCAGGTTTCCATCTCCACGCTGATGCTGGAATTCCGCAGCAATCCCAGGGTGAAGAGAGGCCTGCGTCAGATCACACTACTTGTTCTCTGTCCTTCCAGCAATGACTGAACTAGGCGTATCCTTCAGGCTTGCTAGCAGGAATGTGCAAAATGCACCCTGACAAGTCAACCAGGTTTGGAGGTTTCAGGAATGAGGAAAATAAAACGGGTTGTTTGGTTTGGGTTTCTACAAGGCAGCTTTTGGCAACGAGGCACACAGGCAACCTGAGGAACTGATGCATATATTAGAAGGCTAGACTCTGGTATCGTCCAGTGTGCCTGGCCAGGGTAAAAAATGCAGCTCTCTCCTACCCCTTACTGTGCAGATACTGAGTCGCAAAGGCAACCCCTTGTTTCACCCTCTCGGCTCCCTCCCACTCTCCCTGCACATCGACTGCCTCCCTGAACTTGTGCATGGTGCAACCTTTAAATCCATCCCTTCCCACCTCACCTCATTCCCAGCTGTAACCAAATTTCAGGCAATGGGTAGGAAACCTTTTCTAGCTGAAGGGATACATTCCCTTCAAGGCAAGTGACTGAGGGTGGGGGCGCTTGCCTTGTGGGGGCTGGGGGCAGCGGCATAAGCGAAAATGGGCCTTCCAACAAATGTTGAATTCTACCTTTGTGCAGAGGACTGGTTTCAATATCTTCTATCTATCCAGGCCAGCAAGCATTATTAGATCTCAACAACATGTTCCAACCAGGCACAAATGCTCAAGGGAGTTTGCAAAGGAGGGCCGGTGTGAAGTATGGCCTGGCAAGAGCCTTGAGGCCAGATGAAAAGAGCTGGAGGCCAGCATTTGTCTCCCACTCCAAGGCCGGAGGTGCTCCACCTCTCCCAACTGTCTAATTAGAGCTTATCAATGCTGCCTGTGTCAGGGGAGGGTAGACTTCAGGTTTGTTTGGATCAACTTTATTTTTCACTACAAGAATATCCACCCAAAGCTGGGTTCAAGAGACATGAAGTTAGAATTAAAGGGCAGGTTGCTTCTGGGCACATTCTGAAGCCTGGCTGTTCGTTTTCAGAACCAGAACTGAGCTGAGCTCACACGAAAATGCATTCCTGATTATCGTTTTTCATTTTTACAGCCTAATTAGGTAAGTCACGTTGTTGCTAATTTTGTTAAGACAAGTGAGAGTCAGAAACCCTTGCCATCTACTGCAGGATCTCTGCTCTGAGAGCTTCCCATAGATCCTGCTCTACTTTCCAGGCACTTCTGGCCTACAGTATGTAACCCTTATGTAAGCCTTAACCTGCCACCACTGCCCAGTGGCTTAACAATGGGCAGGCTGCTTCAACCAGAGCTTTTGCCAAGGGCTTTAATCCATACTCAGACTTCCGGGGTGGCGCCTCCGGAAAATGGCGGAATTCCCTTCGGACTGAAGGGAACCCGCTGCACGGAGGCTTGGGTCCTGCCGCTACGGCGCAGCGGGGACCCGCAAAACCACAGGCGGAAGAAGCCTGTGGACGTGGGACTCGGCGGGCACCGAGGCGCTCTCTCCCTTGTACAGGAGCCCGGTAACGGGCTCCGGAGTGGAGGTGCGTGGTGCTGTGAGTCGTCTGCTTCCTCCGTGCAGCAAAGCCGCACTGCCGTTATCGGAGAGCGCTGCCTTTTCCTGGACAATTTGGCATCTAAAATATCTATCCGTGAGTACCTGATCTTGGAAGAGTTGAACCACTTTTAAGACTGGTGAATAAACAAATAATATTGGACTTGAAATTGAACTTAATTGGGACTCAGAATGGGAAGGTCTAAACAGGAAGTCGCCTTCCGTTCTTTTGTTATGTGAAGAAAGCAAAGACAAAATATACTAAAGCTTGAAAATTAAATTCTAAGAGAACTAGAATTCAACATCTAAGATTTCTGAACCCCCCCTTTGACTGCAGGAGAAGAAGGGGGTTGTATTTGGACTTTTCAATCCTGCGGAAGTGAGTTTAAAATAAAGCAATTTTCCACCGCCCTGAACCAGGAGCGGGCTGTCAGAATTGACGTTCTGAAGTTTATCCAGCTCGACAGTTAGTTAAAAGAAGGGTAACATTTTGATTCTACTGTTGCCTCTTGAATTTGGAAGGGGAATTTTGGATAAAGTGTTTCTGGAAAAGAAAGATTGTTGCTGTTGCTTTTATTCCTTTAAAAAAAAAAATTCCATCTAGTGGAATTTAGGGAAATTACAACGCAGAGAGATTAAAAGAGAAGGACTATTGGACTATTCTCGTGGGAAAGAATTTTCTTTGACCTTGAAGGACAATGCTAGTACAAAGGCTTGAACAATTGTTCCTGGAAGGTTTTCAAAACTAAGTGCCCAGCTGGACCAGATGTGTCAGGAGACGACCTTGATGATGGAAGTTACCAGAGCACAGCAGCAAACAAATGAAATTCAGTTAAAGGCTATACAAGCATATGAACCTGCTGTAGTGACGGAGGCTTCAGAGATGGAGGGACCTTTGGACGGGCAAGATCAGCCTTTGAACTTGATAAATGAACTTGGGACAAACCAGATTCGGAAAGATGAAATGTGGTCAGATTTGGAAATGGGGGGATGGATCGACCCCCCTCCATGTGGTTATTTGGACCTTCCGAGTCTGGTGATGGGCTATCAGAGGATTGGAGTAGCAGAAGTCTCCAAGCTTTGTGGAAATTTGAAGTGGTATTATTTGCTGTCTGGCTTGGGCAATGGGTTTGGGATGGACTTGCTGCAAAGGGTCAAAAGCATTTTCTTGCTGGAGCATCCACGACTGGAAAGGAATCATCAACAAGAGTGGCGAAAGGGGCAAGAAAGAGACTTGAGGGCCTCGGATACGAGACAACCAGGTTAAGGAGCCGGATCATCGAGGTTAAAAGGACTGACAATCCCGGGTCCAGGGGAGGGGAGGTTGGAAGCTGACTGGACTGATTTGACTTATTATTTTTTCTTCTTTATTTTTTAATATTGGGAATGCTTACAAATGTTTGAAGGATGTTGAATGAAATTACATGGCTTAAGTAAGGATTGGTAAATGATTCAGTAAAAGGTAATGATGCAAGAATTTGGTAAATATTGAATATAAGCTATGAGTTTTAAAGTTTTTATATGACAAGAGGAAAATAGAATAAGGAAACGTAATGACAGATTGTTATGAAAAAACAGAAAGGATTTGCTGTAAAAATTAAAAATCAAGAAACAAAGAGGGAGGCGGCGGAACTCTAGAAAGGAAGTTAATAGAGATTGTAAAGGACTCTATATTTTTGTTTTTCTGTTTCTCTTTTTTTTTTTTTCTTTCTTCTTTGCGGCTGGGTTTTCTTTTCTTTTTTGTTTATGTACTATTTTTGTTTTTTGTATCCTTAAATTTTTTCTGGAAATTTTTGTTGTTATTTTTTGAAAATTCAATAAATATCAATTATAAAAAAAAAAAAAAAATCCATACTCATCAGCTGATGATGCCTTGGCTGTGCAATCCTGTTCCCTTGTATTAATGCAGGATTAAACCCTAAAGTTAATCCATCTGATTTGCAGGTTGGGTGTGATTTGAGGGAAATGACTTCATGGGCCAAATTGGACCACTGGTGGGGTAAGATTGGCCTGTAGGACAAAAGTTCCCCTCTCCTGCTATAAGGCATTCTGTATACCTAGCACATGATTATCAGAAAATAATACCACCCCCTTCTTGGGCATGTAGAGATAGTCCCTTTCACGCTGCTCTAGGTGGAGTGAGCTGACTGGGTATCTGGGCAGGTTGGCTGATCCTGCCCAGAAGCCCCTCTGCTAGGGTTATACACCTGGTTCTGGGGCTGACCACCCGCAGAGAAGGCCACGGTCAGCCACAGGAGATTTTAGGTTGGAAATACTGCAATGATTTTATTCTGCCCGTTGACCAAACCTGAAACAATGAACATTGTAAGGTAAATTTGTGCTATAACGAAAACACACAAACTTGACTCACAGAACTTGTATTCTCATAACAGAGTAGCCATTTCAATTTCAGAAATATTTTATTTAAAATTAACTATCACACTAGTCAGTTAATAAAGTCTAGTACAGCTAAACTTACACAAAAAAATATTTCAATCTGAATGACCTTTCCTTTAAAAAAATTATTTTCAGTTTTTCATCATTAACATCATTCAAACTTAAATTTAACAATATTTATACAATTGCAGGATTCCCTGAACTCCTGGACTTCCCTCCCCCCCACCTGGTTTTCCACAGATACATTTTTTATTTTTAACCGCATTTAATTACATATATCTAACTTTAATTAAATCCTTATTTAATCCTTTATCTATTAAAAATTACAAGTGCTAAATCAATCGTGCTAACGTCTTTAAATCTTTACATTGTTCCTTAAAGTACTCTATAATTTTATACCATTCTTTTTAAAATTTACAATCATCTGGGTGACTGATCTTCCCAGTCTTTTTTGCCATTTCTGCAGTCCATCATCTTCACTTTCCACTCTTCCTTGGTTGGCGTTTCCTCTTCTGGGCAAAAAGCATTCTTTCAGCTGTTGTTGCATACATAAACAGTCTTTTTAAGTCCTCTGGTATTTCTTCTCCTGTAATGCCTATTAAAAAAGCTTCAGGGTGTTCTTTTTACAAAGGTTATCTTAAACATTTTTTTCAGTTCATTATACAGTATATAATTTCCCAGAATGCTCTAGCCTTTTTGCACATCCACATGTGGCATAACATGCCTTCATTCTCTTTGCCCTTCCAACGTATGTTTTTGTACATTTTCGCTGATCTTGTGGGAGTCAAATACCATTGGTACATCATTTTCATATAACTTTCTTTCAATGTACAGCATGCTGTGAACTTCAAATCCTCCCTCCATAATCTTTCCCAGTCAGCAAGTTGTATATTGTACCCTACATCTTTCACCTAATGAATCATTACTGCTTTTACCTCTTCATTTTCAGTTTCCCATTCCAACAGTTTATACATTTTTGACAATAGTTTTTCATTATTTCCCAACAAATCCTTTTCAAACCTTGACAACTCTTTACTGAAACCCAATCCTTTGTCCAGCCTAAACAGATCGTTGGTGGTATTGTATCCAATCTGTTAATAAATGTCTTATATCCTCATTTTTTTTCACCTTTAATTGGTTTCCTACTTTGGTTAACAGTTCTTTGTAAGTTGCCCATTCACCTTCCATGTTTGTTTTTTTAACTGATATTGCTTACAATGGTGATAACCACCATGTAGTTTTATCTTCTAAAAGATTTTTATATTTTTCCACATACAGCATAAATTGATTTTCTTACATGGTTCACGAATCCCTTATGTACTTTTGTTTTTCCATACCAAAGATATGCATGCCATCCAAGTCTGTTATCAGAACCTTCCAAATCTAATATATCTGAATTATTTACCATTATCCATTAATGAAGCCAGCAGAGGCAGGATGCCTCATAATATAACTTTAAATCTGGCAAGAGAATCCGCCTCTTTCCTTGGCATCCATTAGTAACTTATATTTAATCCTTGGCTTTCCCGCCTGCTGTATAAATTTAGATTATGTCCTTTTGTCATTGTTTGAAGTGTCCTGCTCCACTATCAATATAGATTGGAATAAAAATAGCATTATAGGTAATACATTCATTTTTATTATCAAGATGCTCCCAGTTTCCTAAATGCCCCAATCTTTGGGTGTTCCAATCATAATAATAATAATGAGAGAGGACTCCCTGGTCCTGAATGGGGTAACTGTGCCCCTGAAGGACCAGGTGCGCAGCCTGGGAGTCATTTTGGACTCGCAGCTGTCCATGGAGGCACAGGTCAATTCTGTGTCCAGGGCAGCTGTTTACCAGCTCCATCTGGTATGCAGGCTGGGACCCTACCTGCCCACAGACTGTCTCACCAGAGTGGTGCATGCTCTAGTTATCTCCCGCTTGGACTACTGCAATGCGCTCTATGTGGGGCTACCTTTGAAGGTGACCCAGAAACTACAACTAATCCAAAATGCGGCAGCTAGACTGGTGACTGGGAGCAGCCACCGAAACTACATCTTGAAAGACCTACATTGGCTCCCAGTATGTTTCCGAACACAATTCAAATTGTTGGTGCTGACCTTTAAAGCCCTAAATGGCCTCGGTCCAGTATACCTGAAGGAGCGTCTCCACCCCCATTGTTCAGCCCAGACACCGAGGTCCAGTTCCAAGGCCCTTCTGGCAGTTCCCTCACTGCAAGAAGCGAAATTACAGAGAACCAGGCAGAGGGCCTCCTTGGTAGTGGTGCCTGCGCTGTGGAACACCCTCCCATCAGATGTCAAGGAAATAAACAACCACCTGACTTTTAGAAAACATCTGAAGGCAGCTCTGTTTAGGGAAGTTTTTAATGTTTGATGTATTTATCGTGTTTTTAATATTCTATTGGGAGTTGCCCAGAATGGCAAGGGAAACCCAGCCAGCTTGGCGGTCTATAAATAAATTTTTGTTGTTGTTCCTGGCTGTACAGATAGTATCTAAAAATATCCCCAACAACACTAGAATGAACACTCATTGTTCACTCAAATTTCTAGTTTTCATATGGAAATGCTTTTTCATCTGTTGGCAGCAAGTTCAAGCAAGCAAACAGTCCAAATGTGATGCAAATTTAATCTCTCTTTAATTTTTTTAAAACATAATCCCATATTCCCAAATACAAAACAGGTATGCTAAACATTAAGAGGAAGACGCCCACTGCTGCTCATTCTCATCACAGAAGTTCATGGTTCCTCATTATGTCTGAATTGAGCTTAAAAACAGTAACAGTTTGGTGGTTTTTAGTGCAGTTGATTTGATAGACCTTGTTAAAAATGATATTGGAAAATAATTTTATATACAACATTTGGAAGCCAGGTACATTTAAAACCAAAACACAAATGCTTGCTAGTTCTGAATGGTCTGCATCTGTAAACAAACATCTGTCTTTTAAAATCTGAGCAACAATTTTGAGAGGGAATCGCGAAACAATTTTGTTTGTAGTCTCCTGTAGTAAAACCAAGTATACAAAAAAAATAAAAACAGGCTCTATATGCTCATCACCTTTGACAAATGCCTGAAACCCAACTACAACTGAACACAGTAAGGTGAAGAAAAGAATCACACTTCCACCACACAAGCTCTCGCTTTGTTTCCAATATGAATTTATCCTCAAAAAATTAAAAACAGAGATCAGTTAGGCTTATTTACACATTTTTCCTATTTGTCATATAATCTCATCAGGATTTAAAATGAATTAAAATGAAAGGGGAACTTCAGTCATCTAAAACTTTGCATCCCAGGAGAGTACTTTCAGAACATTTATCTTTATTAATTGCGGGTGATAATTATTTTTCCACTCCCCAGCTACATGTACAGGGTGCCAATACTGTAATGTATTCTCAGTGATCTGTTATTTTAAAAGTGCATAGTATCAGGAAAGCCAGCTCATCCAAAAAAGTACTGGATCATCCAAAGATTGGGGCATTTAGGAAATTGGGAGCAAAAAAATTAAAAGCATTCATACCTCTGTAATTCTAAAGTTCATTGTGTAGTTAATAGGAACTGCAAGTCTGTACCTGCTTACAATGATGGACTTTGAACACTGACAAGCAAAGGTATAATGTAAGACAGCTGGTCAGTTAGGCAGGCTCTTGGCAACTTATGGACACATACACACAGCTTGGACAGCAGCAGCAGATGATCATTAAATGCTGCTATTAATGAAACACTTCAAAAACACGCTGATGATATCTTAACAGGGTAATGCATATATATTCATTTGAATGCTGCCTGCAGTTGCTTCAAAGCACAGCATAAGAGAGGTCTAAAGGTTACCCTACATACATGCTTTTACAAATGAGTTAAAGACGTTAGGTCTCTGCTTCCTCGTCACTGCCTGCAACGCTGCTATCTGTGGATGCTGTGACATCTTCGTTGGTACGCTCGCCATTATCTCCTCTCTCAGCTGCTTCACTCTTTGGGCCACCCTCAGATGCACTATTATCTTTAGATGGCTGAACTCCTTCTGGGAGCTGGACACCAGTTTCCGAAGAATCTGCGTCAGATGCTGTTTTCGGCATTTCTGTATTTGGATCACCTAAAAACTTCTGCCAACCCTTCAGTCTCTCTTCCCTTTCTCTTGAAGTCTCCTCGACCTGCGATCACATATGAAAGTATATGTAAATGTTTTTGTGCCAAAAAGGGGGTGGGGGAGCTTTCTGCTTGTGACTTAATAATCAAAGCTTCAGAAACCTAACCAAAACCTATGCTAAGTATTACATTTATATTGCAGGAATGCCCCTCAAACCTAAAGTAAATTAACTGCACTAAAAACACACACAAATAAAACTCTTATGAACAAACAGTACAAGAAGACTTAAGGCTGCTGAAAGCCTAAGTGGATTTAAGTGTGAGACAGACCTAAGTTTCAATGTCTTCTGTATACAAAGCTTTAAACATCAGATCTAAATTCAGGTGAGTATCACATAAAATGTATGACCTATAAGAAAGACCAGATTTTTAAAACTCTTATTTATTACATTTATATACCACACTTCATCTCAAGTTGACAGAATAAATATCTGTACCCATCCTAATCTCAGTTTAAGGTGTCTAATAATCTTCTATATATGATGGTATTAAAAAACGGTAAACTAAACAAACAAAAACAAATTAATAAAAATTCAAAATGATGAATTGGGATCCAACTCAATTTAGATTGCAATCCTGGATACACTCGCCTAAAAGTAAGTCCTGTTGAGCTCAAAGGGACTTCCTTGTGAATAGATCTGTGCTGTGAATTACACTGGCCCCACTCAAATCAACTTGAAAAGTTAATCATTCCTAAGTTAATTCCACTGAAATAAATGGGATTTGTGGAACTAAAGAATGTTCCTATACATCTTTGCTAATAAGTAAGCTGCACCAAACCCAAAGGGACTTGCAGTGGTCTATAACCATTTCCTCCTATGTCCCCTCTGTTGTCTCCCTTCTATTGTTTCCTGAATTATACACCACCATGAGAATCTTCTCATTCTTTGTAAAACAACATGTATATGGAAAGCTCTGCATTAATAGTAATAAGCTGGATGAGCCCAGGGGATGAGGGGAGAATGTAACAGCATGTTATGCCACTGGCTAAATTTAAGGTGACTCTTTTTTTTTGTTATGGGTTAAAAGGGACATGCTTTGTTGCACCACTTCAAAAACGGGCTCATTCCCGCGGGGGGGCAGGGAACCAAAATTTTTATTGGAATCATGACTGCAGAGCAAAACTTAAAGTGAGAAAGTGCTTTGAAAATATAAAGTACTCAAATTTCCAATTCTCCGTTGTGATTATGAATGCCTGAGATCCAGAGCTTTCACCCTGGGCTAGCCGGCCAGAGGGGATGTGTTGGTTTCTAACCTACAGTATGAAAGCAGCCTCTATGTAATGCATCATATACAGACATAGTTTCAAATATCTCTCAAACAGCTAAAAGCCCTGTTTAGGGAAGCTTTTAATGTTTAATAGGTTATTGTATTTTAGTGTTTTGTTGGAAGCTGCCCAGAGTGGCTGGGGAAACCCAGCCAGATGGGCAGGATATAAACAATAAGTTATTATTATTATTATTATTATTATTATTATTAGAGACACACCTGATAATCTGTTACACCATCCCATGTCTCCACAGAGAGCTGACGTCCACCAAACCATCGCCCGTTGAGTGCCTGTTTGCAGACATCTCCTTCTTCTGCTTCTTTAAATGACACAGAAGCAACACCATCTGGGTGCCTCTATAAAAACAAAAGAGAGCCAGAGGCTATCAAATCCAATCTAGGCCTTTATACGCTTAAACATAATGACAGATTGTAGAAGACTACTGGGACTTCAAGAGCAAGAACACTATAAAAGTACCATGGTACCAGAGAATCACTTCCAGAAAGAAAGAAACTCTGAAAACATTACGAGATGGCTATCATCACACCATATTCCTGAATATCTTAAATATTTGTCAGCCTATATACTTACAATGGCAGTATCAACATCAGAATTCTATAGCTGCTTAAACACATTCTTGCGAGGCACCATCTTCACTGACTATCTGTCTGTTTAGTATGGTGTACTAGACGGAATAATAGATTTTCTACCTGGGAGACCTAGAATCCGTTCCCTGTTCAGACACAATGGTGTCTTGGTGATCTCTCAATCTAACCTACCTTGCAGGATAGCTGTGAGGATCAAGAGGAGAGGAAGAAGACAGAGAAATACCACCCTGAGCAGCTCAGGAGGATGGGGGCTATTTATTAATAAAGTGAAGCATTTTAAATCCAAGAAACTTTAAACGTATCTGGCAGTCAATCTAAACTTCTTCTAAAACAGTTTCTCAAAAAAAAAAGCAAAATATTTAACACTGAATACAATTTAAGTATCTGCTACATACAGCTAACAACTACGATCATGTAAAATTACCTACGTCAAATAGAATGACTTTCTTTACTTGTCCAAACTTTTCACATTCTGTCCGAAGATCTTCTCTTATCTCATTTAGCACTAAAGGATCTTCCTGCAAAAAGATCCAGTTACAAGATTACGTCTTAAAAGCATTTTCCAACAATGCTTCAGAAACAAGAATTTCCACATACTGGCTATACCATCCTGAGACACTAAGCCAATCCTGGCCAAACTGTTTAATGAGTATTATTGAAAATGGGTTTCATATTCATCTGATGCTCAAAGCATAACTCCAAAAGAAAAACGTCTTCCTTACAGGACAGAATGCTCCTGGCCAACATTAATGGAATCTTAGCAGGGCTACTGTGTTGCCCATGTGAAAAAGAACAAGTGGTATAAATGAACAAAGTATACATGAAATAAAATATCCTTTTACAATATTTTCTTAGAATTAAAAGAACCACATCTTTAAATTCGGGTAGGTAGCCATGTTGGTCTGACACAGTCAAAATAAAAAATTTAAAAATAGTCCAGTAGCACCTTAGAGACCAACTAAGTTTGTTCTAAATATAAGCTTTTGTGTGCATGCACACTTCTTCAGATACCTATCATGTATCTTTTTCACGGCCTAGGACCCTCGTTCCTACGGGACCGCCTCTCTCCGTATGCCCCACAGAGAGCCTCAAGGTCCAAAAATAGCAACACCCTAGTGGTCCCAGGCCCTAAGGAAGTTAGATTAGCCTCAGCTAGAGCACGGCCTTTTCAACTCTGGCTCTGCCTCATGAGACTAGGGCCCTGCAGGATCTGATTTCTTTCCGCAGGGCCTGTAAGACAGAGTTGTTCCGCCTGGCCTTTGGCTTGGAGCCAATTTGATTCCCTCCCCCTCTTTCTTTTTTCTTTTTCCTTTCTCCTCCTGTGATGAGGCTGCATTTTAATATTTTAATGTTCCAATATTTTAATTGTTATCTTTTAATCTTGTTTTTATGTTGTATTCATTCAACTTGTTTTTATTATTGCTTGTTAGCTGCCCTGAGCCTGGCCTTGGCTGAGGAGGGCAGGGTATAAATAAAAATTATTATTATTATTATTATTATTATTATTATTAGTTGGTCCTAAAAGGCATGCTGCAGTTTCAGTTTAGATTCTTTTCCTAGCATGACTACCTGCACTTGCCATTCCCAGCTTTTGTGCCTTCCATTAAAAAAAGGGGGGGGTGTGATGTGCTTCCCTACCTCAAAATCGCTTGGGTGGAACATGTTCCTGATAATGATAACACGCTCGTGCCGCATTCGAACACTGCCATCTTTCTTCTCCGGTCTCCAATCCAGCAGTCTAATGAAATGAAGCAATAGTAAGGGGTTGGGGCTGATCTCTTCAGTTTCTATAAGAGTTTGTTGGGAAAAAACCATTAAATTTGATATTTCCTAAATCAAGGTCTCAGCACCGGCAGTTATTTCATAACACATAATGAAGCTAGCAACCTGAATCTGAAAAACTATTGGAAAACCACCTGATTTAAGTCTCTGGCAATTTAAAGAAGGCTGCAATCCCATACTCACTTACCTCGGGCTAAGCCCCACTGAACTCAGCACCAGCAGTATATATTTAGTTTGAAGCTAGTCCCTTGTGAAATTTGGAGCAGCTTTTGAGATAAAGGTATCAGGCAGCTGCTGTAAAAAAAAAAACTGTGGTAAAAATGTCACACCACTAGAGTAAGCCCTCAACTTACATGGAGGTTACATTCTGGAGATCGCGCCTAAAGCCAATATCACATATAGTCAAAACATACCGGATGCAAGGCCAGGTGCAACTGTCAAAGTATTTTTCCCCTGACATCTACCTACTTTTTCATTTTTACAATTCTTCTTGCTTTTTTTGCCAAGCATGTATTGCTGCAGGCTTACTCTACTTAATATAAAAATAAGCGTGGACATAGCTTTAAACGACAGCACACTCAGTATCAACAAAATATCCTGAAGTTTAGAAATCATAAAAGGTATAACAGCCAACTGCAAGGTGTGCCAGACAGTTTAGAAACTTTGTTTCACTGGTTTAAATGAATGACATATTTTTAGATTTCAGGTTTTAGCCTGTATATTTCCTCCCAGTAATGTAAAAGCCAATTTTATTTACAGAAATGACTACACACTTTTGTTGTTGAGACAGCTTCTTTTTGTAGTCCTTGCATTTCTTTTTCTTCTTGCTGGCATCGTACTCCCCCTTTGGTTGAAACTGTGCAACTTCCACATGCAATTTGTAGCCTCTAATTTCATTTTCATCCAATAGTTTCAATGCCAATTCAACAGATTCTCTCTATTATTAAAAATAAAAACAAAAAATTAGAAGAGGTAATTCAGACTTAGGTGGAAGGACTCTTACCTTCCAACTAAACAACAAAGTCTGGCTTGTGAAGAGGTAAAACTTACAAAAAAAATTACCATAATAAGCTACCTTGAAGTCCCAGTGACTGCTCAAAATAAAAATAAAATTCAAAGTAACAAAGAGACAAGTGAAAGGCTGAAAGCATCATTGTGAAAGTATAACTGAAGCATACAACTAACCTTTAAGTAGCAGCAGAGCCCATCTCCTTTAAGATTTCCTTCTTTGTCTTTGTAAAGTTTAATTTTAGGCTCCTCTGTTTGTGGATCACGCATAACAATACCACATTTTGACATAACCTGCACAAACTCATCTTTCGTAATGTCTGGTGGCAAACCTGTGGAAATAAATTTAAACAATTGCAAGAAATACACCTGCCAACTTCACAAAATCAATTTATACAGAAGAATAAAATAGAGGATTCTAACTCATCACAAGGTTCCTGGTGTTCTTCAATATACCTTTAGTCTTCCCTACTCACACGCTTTCTGGCATTATCTCCTGGCTTTTGGACTTAAGAACACAGTGGAAGATCCCAAAGTATGTGCCATGCAGTGAATTGTTTTAATGAAAGCAGGTATTTCTTGCGGTATTCAGGGAGGTCATGAAGCACAGCTCACTCTCCCTCCCTTTTCCAGAGTTGAAATCTGATGATCCTGACCCAGAGGAGCCTTCCAGAATGAATCCATGGAAAGCATCTGGAACTTCAAACATCAACTCTGCTTTGACACGTTCAGGAGCAGAGAGGACGGGAGCAGAAGTTGCAGGAGGGGGTACTAGGAAGGAAAGGAGTCACAGTCCTCGTGTTTCAGTGCCACAAAAAAGGTTTTATGGACAACTGACGTAAGCTGGAGAACTGCATCAGGGATGCAGAGCTGAAGAGAGACACACTCTGGCTTCTGCTACCCACCAAGAGATCTGGAGCAAGAGAGAGATCAATCTGGTCCCATTCAACAGCTGCTAAAGTATAGCTGTTCCACGCCTAATTTTCTTTTATTTCCCCATTTCATTAACGTATATACTTTTTGTATTTCAACAGAAATATGTCAGATTGTAAGCCTGCAGGCAGCAACTTTCTTAACTTTTAATATCCATACAGTACTTAGAAAATTGTAAGCACTTCGCAAGTGTTGAACAACAGAAAGGGGTCATAATTCACATGCTTTGTATGCAGAAGGTCCCAGATTCAACCCCTGGCATCCCCAGAGAGGGCTGGAAAGGCTCTTCAGAAACCTAGAGGGCCACTGGCAGCGTAGGCATTTTTCTGTTGGATGGACGAATGGCCTGACTTGCTATAAGACAGCTTTCTAACTTGGATGGAATGAACTTGCCTAAAGGGGATTTGTTAGCAGTTGCAGGTCCCACTTGCCTAAGAGTCAGTAGTATCCATATCACCACTAAATGGACAAAGTGTGGCTCTCAATTATAGTTAAGCAGAAAAGCAATGGAGAAGGTAGGAGGCTGACAAAAAATTCACACATTTCAGCATAAATAACTTCTGCGTAATAATTTCTGTTACGTGTTTCTCAAATATACGCACAGAACCCAGTTTTTAATAGGTTATTTTGTTGTTAGCGTTACCCACCTACAATTTCCCTGGTGGTATTGTTTTGTTTTGTTTTATTATTTTATTTTATTTTATTTTATTTCCTATATTCCAGCCAGCTAAACTGTATTAAAATCCTGAATAAAATTCCATCATTTTTCTCTTCTTCAACTTCCAGAAAGGTTTTGCTCCACTGCAAAGCTTTTATGCAATCCAAAGTAAAATAATATATTTTTAAAGTATATTCAGATACATCTGTCTTCCTAACCATAAGGTTTGACTTTCAACCATAAGGCTTCCCAATGCATCTTCAGCAATCTGCAAATGCCAAGAGTTTTTTTTCTTACCTGTCACATATACATTTGTGTTTCTCTGTTCTTCAACATGAAACCATCCTAAGGAGCAGATCATGATTAGATTAGTTATGTTGCAGTTCTAAACCAGCACATGAGACCACAGAAATTCACATGAGACCATAGAGAACTGCTGCCAATCAGAGCTGACACTATTGGGCTAGACAGACAGTCTGACATGACCTAAGGCAGCTTCCTATATTCACATTTATGCAGCTTTACCAAAGATCACAAATCATTAAAAGTTGCCTGTCATTTGATTCTTTAAAATTTAGACTTTCAGAAGAGATTAAGTAGTCTTTCTGAGTGGTAATGAGATCTTTCAGTATGAAGATGCATGCAACATTGCCACTGAAGCTGTTAAATGCTCAACTCCACAGAAATAGACATTTCTTCTTGAGCAGCAGACTACTTCTAAGTCATGCACAACATGCCTGCATCAGGTTTCCTTTTCTCTCCTCTTTGTTTAAGATCTGTTGCCTGAGATGCTTTTGGATCTGTTGGCTGCTGGATCTTGGTATTCTTTGAATCTTTAGGAGTTTTAGATTCAGTCTTTGTAAGAGATGCAGATGAATTATCTGAACTTTCAGTGGGGAAGCCATAGTTAGCATGATATGTTGCCAGGAAATCTTCAGTAACCTAAAAGAGAATTCAGAGTAGAGATAGATAAGGGATTCCGTCTGAGCTACTACGTAAAAGTAAAAGTAAAGGACCCTTGGATGGTTAAGTCCTGTCGAATTTGACTATGGTGTGCAGCGCTCAGCTCCGCTTTCAGGCTGAGGGAGCTGGTGATTGGCTGCAGACAGTTTTTCCAGGTCATGTGGCCAGCATGATTAAACAGCTTCTGGTGCAACAGGACACTGTGACGAGTGCCAGAGCACACGGAAATGCCATTTCCCTTCATGCCACAGTGGTACCTATTTATCTACTTGCACTGGCATGCTTTTGAACTGCTAGGTTGGCAGGAGCTGGGACAGAGCAACGGCAGATCACCCTGGCATGCGGATTCGAACTGTCGACTTTGCAATTAGGAAGCCCAAGAGGTTCAGTGGTTTAGATCACAGCGCCACCTGCTCCCCAGAGCTACTACATGTGATAAATGTACCAATCTAAACACTGAAACAAATCATGATGATCATGTTCTATTTTTTAAATTATGGGGCAGAGGCCTTTCATAATGGAACTGCAAATGACAGTATAGGAGGACAAACATGCATCTTTTATAACAGCCTTCCTCAATATGGTGCTCTCCAGCAGTTTCACACTACAGTTGCCATCAGTCCCAGCCAGCTGGTATACAAGGTATAAGGATGCTGCTATAGGTACATCAGTACAAGTCATTTTGTGAACCACAGCAGCTTTGCATATCTAAGAGATTAAGTCCCTAATGATTTATATTTATCCTGAATGAACAACATTTGACAACCTATTAATAAGCATTCCCGAGGCAGCAAACAGAAAAATATAGAATGTGCTTTATACAGGATGAGTCTTTGAAAAGAGGCCCCGTGGAACATGTGTACTCTGTATCCATGGGGCCTCTTTTAAAGGACTCACCCTGTACAATAACAGTTTTTTTAAAAAAGTAAGTAACCTCCTTGCACAGAGGCAGCATAAAATAATTTACAGCCAGGATTTCAAAAAACAGCTAGAAAGTCTGGATAAATAAAAAATCTCTTCACCTAGACTACTGCTTGGTGTTAAGAAGGGGAAAGAGCTCTTTACCTTTTTGTTACTATATGTTGTTTTTAACTTTCCAATGTAACAGTGAACTACCCTAAGAAGGGATCTACAGGCCTGTTCACTGTGGCAAGTGTACATCCCCTATTGGACAAGGATGATGAGCTCCCCACCCAACTTTTGGCTGAGCAAAGGAGCACAAGTATAAAGTGAAGAACAGTTTCTCTCCCAAGAAACTGGAAATGGGGAAGGGGGGTGGAAGAGAAATTATGTCTGACCTGTGCAATTCTTTGCAGGTACTTCACCGTATCTGAAACAAAATATGACATTGATGCAATGCCATCTTTTTATTCCTTCTAAATTGTTCTTTGTAGCATTTTTTTTCATTATAATTTTATCTATTTATAAAACTTATAAGGACAACCCCTTACAAAATTCAAAAGGGCATGGCATTGTTTAATACAGAGGTGGCTAACTTGTTGCCTTCCAGATGCTGCTGGACTCCTGCTCTCCTCATCCCTGAGCACTGGCCATGCTACTTGGGGTTGATGGGAATTAAAATTCAGCTACCATCTGGAAAGCCAAAGATTAGCCACCCCTAGCATAATGCAATAGTGTTTCCTTATAGGTTACTTTATCAAATGAACATTAAAAAGTATTTCCCCTATTTAGTTTCATTTGTTAATGTTGATCTTTTTAGGAGATACTTTGGAGTTACACTATTGTACTCATATTAATACGAATAGTAGGAGAGCCCCAAGAGCTTCACTCACCCACCTTCCTCTTGGAAAATTCAGCACAGATAAAGTCTTCACACAGCACTTCCTTAAAACTATGGAACTCACTTTATGGAACAGGCTTTAAAAGAGGATTTGTGGACAGTAATGCTATCATTATGGCCACCAGCCACAATGGATATACTCTGCCACCACAGTTGGGAGGCAGAAAGGCTTCTCAATACCCAGTTGCTGGAAACCACAGTAGGAGATGAGAGGGCTGCTGTGCTGGGGCCCTGCTTGAGGGTTTCCCACGGGGGCATCCGGTTGGGCACTGTGGGAACAGGACGCTGGATTTATAAGTGTCATTGGCCTGATGCAGCAGGCTCTTCTTATATTCCTATTCCATTATTATTATTACTATTACTTTCCTCTTTACAAATTTCACTGAAAATTCTAAAATTCTAAAATCAATTACGAAACACAAAGTGTTGTCTTCAAAGACAAATGCATGTACAGATGGATGGGATACAAATAATAAAATTATTATTATTAGCTACATGGCATCAAAACAAACTTTGAAAATATTTTACATCACTGATTCAGCCCGCATCCACAGGGCACATGTCAATCTAAAACATTAAGATAATTCTCCACAGTGGCTGCCGTGGCAACTGAGCTGTGAGGGAAATTACTGCACTACTGTCAATAGACTGCAAATCAAGACCTTTTTGAAATAGTGTTTTTCTTCTTCAAAGTAAGTTTTATAATTCACATACTAAAACACAAAACGGACAAAGGTCACTCCAAAGTAAATTTGCATATAAACATTAATTAACTCTGCCAATGTGGGGACCAGGCATACATGGAATTTTTCCACATGAAATAAAAGTAAAAGACATAGATCTCCAATTTGTATTTCCTGGGAGGGAGGAATTGCTGCACTGCAAAGCACACCAGGCAAAAACTACCAGTCCAATTCAGAGAATATTAAGAACAGCCCCAAAGCAAAAAGCTTGGCTAACATTAACACCACTTATTTGTATTATGATTATGATTCCTTAACTGTACCCTAGCTCTAAGTGGACCTGGGGCTGCGGGGGGTGGGCTTTGGCTCTGCAGATATTGCTGGGCTGTTAATTTTATTTATTTGTTTATTAAATTTATATACTGCCCTATACCCAGAGGTCTCAGGGCAGTTCACAGAAAAGATTACAATATATAAAATCAAAATAAGAACAATGACCCAATAACACCCCCCCCCAAAAAAAGAGCCGCATTTTAAAAGGGTACAGGATGTTGGATGTCAATCCGCTCAACCAAAGGTTAAAAAGGAACATTTTTGCCTGGCACCTAAAGGTGTATAATGAAAGTGCCAGGTGAACTTCCCTGGCGAAAGCATTCCACAGACAGGGAGTCACTGCAGAAAAGGCCCCGTTCTCCTGCTTTCACCCTCCAGTCCTCTCAAGGAGGAGGCACACGAAGGAGGGCTTCAGAAGATGATCTGAGAGTCCGGGTAGGTTCATATGGAAGAGGCGGTTCTTGAGGTATTGTGGTCCTGAACCGTTTAAAGCTTTATAGGTCAAAACCAGCACTTTGAATTGGGCTTGGAAACTAATTGGTAGCCAGTGCAGTCAGACCAGGATCAGTGTAATATGCTCAAACCGTCTTGCTCTGAGCAACCTGGCTGCTGAATTCTGCACTAGCTGAAGTTTCTGAGGCAGCCCTACGTATAACACATTGCAATAATCTAACCTTGAAGTTACCAGAGCATAGACAACAGCTGAAGCTGATGGAACGCACTCCGGACCACTGAGGCCACCTGAGCCTCCAGCAACATCAAAGGGTGAAAGAGTACCCCCAAGCTGCGAACCTGCTCCTTGAGAGGAAGTGTAACCCTATCAATAGCAGGCGATGTCCCAGTCATCTGGTCTGGGGAATCACCCACTAACAGTGCCTTAGTCTTATCTGGATTGAGATTTAGTTTGTTGGCTCTCATCCAATCCATTACCAAGGCAAGACACTGGTCCAGCACTTCCACTGCCTCACCTGCAGATATAAAGGAGAAATAGAGCTAACTGTCATCAGCATACTGCTGACAAAAAAATACTCCAAACCTCTGGATAACCCCACCCAGTGGTTTCATGCAGATGTTAAACAACATGGAGGATAGGATTGAGCCCTGTGGAACCCCACACTGAAGGTTCCACGGGGTTGAAAAGCATTCCCCAAGTAGCACCCTCTGGGAACGGCCATCCAAGTAGGATTGGAACCACCGCAAAGTGTTGCCACACACCCCTAGTTTGGAGAGTCACTCCAGAAGGATACCATGGTCAATGGTATCGAAAGCCGCTGAGAGGTCGAGAACAATTAACAGGGAAATGTATCCCTTCTCTCTCTCTTGACAGAAATCATACAGGGTGACCAAAGCAGTTTCTGTGCCAAAACTGTGCCTAAACCCCAATTGAAATTGATCCAGAAAAATCAGTTTCTTCCAAAAGCGCCTAGATCTGGTCCGTGACTACTCACTCTAGAACCTTGCCCAGGAAAAGAAGATTAGCAACTGGCCAGTAGTTAGTTAGGTTTTCTGAATTCAGGGAAGGTTTCTTAAGGAGTGGTTTTACCACTGCTTCTTTCAAACAGGCAGGGACCACCCCCCTCTCTTAAAGAGGCATTGATCACCTCCCTGGCCCAGCTGTTCCCTCCCTGCTGGTTTTTATCAGCCAAGAGGGGCGAGGGTCTAGACTCCAGAGTGCAAGTTGTTGCCCTGACTGATCAGAGCACCTTGTCCACATCCTCAAGCCTTACCAACTGAAACTCATCCAATAACAGGACTAGACTGTGCTCTGGACACCCCATGAGATTCATCTGCTGTAACAGCAGAGTCAAAGTCTTGGTGGATGCAAGCAATTTTATGCTCAAAGTGTTTTGCAAACAAGTCACAGCGAGCTACCATTGGTTCCATCACCTCCTTTGGGCCAGCCTGTAAAAGGCCCCATACAAACCCGGGCCACCAATATTACTATTATTATAACCATGATCATTATTAACCTGCACTCAGAACATTTTGGCCACTGTATAAATAGCAGAAATAAACGAGAGCTAAGTCATACTTTGCTCCGGTTCTTGCTTTTATATTATGTATTTTGTGTTTTTGTGCTGTGAACCGCCTTGAGATCTTTGGATGAAAGTCGGCATACAAACGTAATGAAATTAGAAGCAAAGAAACAGCGGCGGCGGCGTCTTTCCCTGTCCATGCCATGACGGGAACAGGCCCCGCCCCTCACCTTCGGGAACCAGGCCCTCTTGTCGCGATCCCACTCGTACTGCGTCCCGTCCGCCGGGTCCGTGTACGTGAAAGGGTCCTCGCCGCCTTCCTCGTCCTTTTTGCCGTACAGCTCCTGCAGCCGCAGCTGCTGGTAGAACTCCTCGTTCCGATCCGAGCCGCCGATACTCATGTTGTTGCCGGAACCCAGGCTGACGAGGTAAAAAACGCGCCTCACAAGCTAGGCCGCGCCTCAGATGCCGCCGCCGCCGCCGCCTCCTACTCGGGAGCCGCCGGACTGCACGAAGCCGTTCAGGGCGCCTGCGCGCGGTCTCGCACCACGGCTGCTCTTGCGCAGGCGCAGCCCCGCCCTGCTCCACATGCGACGCTAGTCCTGTCACATCTCCACACACGACCCGCCTCACAACCGCCGGTTATGGAAGAAGCGAACGGCGCATGCGCGGGAAATGACCGTTACCCCCTCCCCCCCTGCACACACCTCTTTCTCCGTCTGTACACGCACAGAAATATTATCCACCTCAGCCCTTTAATTTATTTGTTCATTGGATCCGGTTGATGGTTTTATGATTTTCTACAAAAGGCTGAGGAAGAATTCCTTGCGCGCACACTGCGCAAGAGCGGAAGTCCGCGGGGAGAGGAGCAAAGGCGTAGCCACGTGATGTGTATTTTTTAAAGCACCCAATTGAAAAGCAAGATCTAGGAGCCAATGAGAGACGCTCCTCATTATCTGGAGGGTGGGGGGACGAATGAGGGAGACACACACACCCCACCCCCTCTTTTCATGAGAGCAAGGCGCACGTGCTCTGGTACCTGATAGTCCCATCAAGGGATCTCTTCTTTGAAGCTCTTTTTCCAAACCATTGGCTGATGTCAAAACAAAATAAAAATATTCCTTCCATTGGCTGATGGTTGGCTCCGAGCCCCTGATCATCTTGATTGCCCGACTCTGCTTATTTGGACCTGGAAGCCCCACTGAACTCACTGGTGGTTGTTTCCAAGGCAACGTCCACAGGCTCATGCCGCAAACCGATTTTTATTTCTCTTGGGACAAAGCAGCATTTTTGCTGTGCCTCCCAAAGTATGGTTACCAGATGTCCCCATTTCCCGGGGACAGTCCCCAGATTTATGAATCTGTCCCTGGACAAAATCCGTCCCCAGAATGTCCCCGGATTTCATTTAATGTCCCCGGATTTATATTTTAAGTATTGTAGATTTATTAGTAGGGAATGAATGTTCCATGATTGGTTCAACAGCACAAGACACATCATGACATATGGGGACTTCTGGTGAGGCAAAATGGCGGGCGCCATGGCAGTGAGCAGCTCTTGAAGCCAGCCAGAACCAACTGCACTACCAGGCTGCCTCTGGGCTGCTGAGACTGCCACTACCACTGCTGAGGGGAAACCAGGGATACCCGGTGCGTCAACTGGGGGAACTGCAGACCCCCCCAACCCAAATCGAGCTGGGAGCGACAGTGCCTGGCCACCCAGCAGACTGCCCAGCGGCACTCCGGCGCCAGGAAAACCCTGGAGCTGATGCAGGGATAAGGAGAAGGAAGAGAAAGAGGAAGGTGAAAAAAGAGGGGAGCCCCCCCCCCCGACCTGCCACTGCCGCCACTGAGGAGGAGAGGTAGGAGAGCCCCCGGAGGGCAAGGACACAGGGCCACGCCCAGGCCTGACCTGAGCCTACTCCACGACGGCTAGCCGGGGCCCAAAGGAAGGCCGCACAGCAGAGACCACAGAAGAAAAGATATTACTTCTTAATTTGTTTAAAAAAAACAACCTTTTTTAATAACTTTTTTTTTCTCTTTTCAAAAAAAAAGTGTCCCCGGATTCTTTGAAAAAAAATCTGGTAACCTTATCCCAAAGTATCAAGACCCAAGACCCCACTTGATGAATTTCAGTGGGAGGTATGGTGGACTTGGGCTCCCCTCAGCCAGAAATAAAGTTTTAGACCAGGGGTCAGCAAACTTTTTCAGCAGGGGGCCGGTCCACTTTCCCTCAGACCTTGTGGGGGGCCAGACTATATTTTGGGGAAAAAGAAGAAAAGAATGAATTCCTATGCCCCACAAATAACCCAGAGATGCATTTTAAATAAAAGGACACATTCTACTCATGTAACAACATGCTGATTCCCCGACTATCTGCAGGCCAGATTTAGAAGGCGATTGGGCCGGATCTGGCACCTGGGCCTTAGGCTGCCTACCCATGTTCTAGACCCTCCACCCAAAGCACAGTTCCCTGTATACACCAGTGGCAGAGCATATGCCCACACTGCCCAGGGCGCACGCGCCACATTTCAGGGTAGGAAAGGCATGGGAAACCTTCCACCTGCTCCTCTCTGCTCTCCTGCTCTCCTCCCCCAGGTCAGGCCTGACCCAGGGGCAGAGCTGCGCCAGGCACAAGCTGTGCAGCTCCTTGCGCAGAGCCAGGCTCTGATAAAGGAGTCTGCTGTGGGCGAGCCTGTTTGCGCCCCTTCACAAAATTGTGCACGGGGCCACGGACACCCACCCCCCGCCCACGCTACATCTCTGGCATGCACCCATTCGCCCTCTCGTGGTAACAGCTTTCAAAGTGGTTTGGGATCCGCAACTGTTAAACTCTGCCCTTTATTCAAACTGAAACCACACAACCAGACTTAATAGATACAGGGTTATTCAGAGTTTGGTTAAGTGTTCCTCAGCTATGATCAAAACCTGTGAGTGATAACTTGCTTGCTTGGAAGCAAAAGGGTATTTAGAGCCAAGCATATGTGACCGAGGGATGTGGATGCAAGTCATCCATTTAAGCTCCTAAATTGGTAATGCTTTTCCAAAACGCCAGGGATGGACAAATTAACACAAACTGTACCACAAATATACATACATACATACATACATACATACATACAGCAATTGCATTGGTTGGCAAAATTGGACTTTTATTTATTTTTTATTCAAAATTATAACAAGACATATTATCCAAAAACATATCATCCTTATCCCCCCCCCCCATTTTTCCTCCCTCCCCCCTCCCCCCCCACAGAACCCACCCGACTTCCCTCAGTTCCAGTTTTTGGTTTCTCTGAGATGCTGTTTTCTGCGTGTTACAAAGTTGTATAGATCCTCAAACTGTTTAGCTGATTATTATCAATAAAAAAATTGTGAATATTTATTCAAAACCTGCCAAGGTGTCCAGTTCACTTTGTTGGGTCTTCAGATACTTTGTAAAAGGTTCCCATTCATCCTTAAAGTCACAGTTATCCTTGTCCCGTAGCTTATATGTCAGTTTTGCCAGTTCTGCATAGTCCATCAATTTTTCTTGCCATGATTCTTTAGTTGGGGTTTATTCAGACTTCCATCCTTGGGCTACCAGAACTCTCACGGCCGTTGTCGCATACATGAAGATGTTTTTCAACTTTTTTGGCAGGTCTTTCCCTACAATCCCCAACAAAAATGCCTCGGGGTTTTTAACAAATGTTAAATGGAACATTTTCTTCAATTCGTTGTATATCATTTCCCAAATTTTTTTAATTGCCTTACAATCCCACCACATATGATAAAATGTTCCCTCCTTTTCCTTACACTTCCAACATATATTTGAACTAGTTTTGTACATTTCCCCTAACTGCACTGGTGTTGTACACCATCTGTACATCATCTTCATGTAATTCTCCTTCAATAGGGAACAATCTGTAAATTTTAAGTCAGTTTTCCATAATTTAACCCAGTCTTCCATCATAATGTTGTGACCTACATCTTGTGCCCATTTAATCATAACTGATTTTACCTCTTCATCTTTCCTCTCCCATTCTAATAATATGCTGTATGCGGCCTTCAGTAATTTCCCTTTCCCTTCAATCACTTCCGTTTGAAACCTAGATCTAGTATAACTAAATCCTTTCTTGCTGTCTTCTTTATGTGTTTCATATAGTTGTCAATAATAATAATAATAATAATTTATTATTTATACCCCGCCCATCTGGGCGGCTTCCAATAAAAAATATTAAAATACTCAAATACATAATGCAACCAACTCTGAAAGTGGTCTTTGATCTCATCATAATCTCTTTTCCATTTTCCATTTTCCATCATGTTCCTTTAATAAATCAGCATATGTGAGCCATTTTCCTTTCTTTCCAAGTGGTTTGAGCAGTAATGCTTCATGTGTTGAGAGCCACATTGGACTTTTAGAAGGCCAAATTGGACTTTTAGAAGGAGTGCTTGTATGAACAAAAAACAACTCTCGTGCAGTTAAGGGTAATTTTTAATATACCTTTATATACATCCTAAACACAATATTGATTCATAAAAGAATGAATCAACAACAAGTGTCTCAGTTTAGCAGCAGCGTTTCATTGGATAACAATGAAAAATCTATACACTGAGACCCTGATGCAATCTTATCATGATCCCCAATAAAGTGTTTTATTCATCTGAATCCAGATCACTGTCTCCTGCAATGGAAGGGAGGTCGTCACTTTCTTCCTCGTCCTCGTGGCTACTGGAAAAGAAAGAAATCTCATGATGCTGTTGTTATTTATCATGTGTACTGAGCGTGGGACAAACTTAGAAAGACGATAGACCGATGCTAGCTGTTGTTGATATACAAACTTTACAGCAACACAAGTGTGAGATGCAGCTGGGCAGGTCATCTTCCTAATCCAATTATAATAGCTAAGGGAGTCAAACAAGGTTGCATATTGGCCCCTTTTTGTTTTAACATTTATTCCCTTATTAAACATCTTCAAGGGACAGATATACATGCCCAAAAGGCAGATAAAACGTTGCCTATCCTGCTTTATGCAGATAATGCTGTCATCCTGTTTTAGGCACAAATTGGCCTTAAGAGAGCTCTTAAGAAACTAGTCCAACACTGGAGGATCAATTAGCAGTAAACTACCAAAAAACAAAAGTCAAGGTTTTCTCCAATAGAAGGAAAACCTACAGGTGGTGCATAGATAACCAAGACATTGAACAAGTCACCTGTCTCAAATATCTAGGGGTTGTCTTTCACGCTTCAAGCAAGAAAGCTGCCCATATTAATCACACTTCCTCTATGGCCCAAAAAAGTACTGCAGCAATCTTAAGATTCCATTGAGCAAAGGGAGGAAATTTTTAACCCAGCTGCTATCAAACCATTTGCTGTAAAATCCATAGCACAATTATGATATGGTGCACAACTAGTCCCCCTCTCTAATCTGGACCCCTATGAAAAACTACAATCAGGATTCCCAAGGTCAATTCTCCAAATTCCTAAATGTGTCCCCAATGCAGCCCTGTAGACTGCAGATGGGCCTAAATAGGATTGAAGCCAAAGTGTGGCTAGTTACTCTGTACACATGGCTAAGACTTACAGTAATAAGACCTAAACTGGGCTACTCTCTTTTACACTGATTGATAATTATCAAATAAAATGGTGGAAGGGCATCACAAGAAAACTGGCTTTATATGGCCTTTCTCCTGAATATATTTTAGGTCTGGAAATGGGAAGGACTAGCTCTTAATTAATTAGAGAATTAATTAGAGAATTAAATATCTTAAATAATTAGAGAACAAATCTGGGACAGAGAATTCCAAAATGATCTTAATCAATCCTCCAAAATTTGTAATTTTTACACGAACTTCAAAGATCCTATCCAGCAAATTATTTAAGTGCACTGGACAACTCTAAACACTGTTGGGCATTTTCCAGAGCCCGCTTTAATGTTCTCCTTTCAGCATTATTAGCGGGCAGATATCATGACATCCCAGTCCAACAGAGATTATACCCATGCAATTCTGATGAGATTGAATCCACTGGGCCCATTCTTCTATATTGCCCACTGTATCATGATACCGAAAGAGAGCTAATTCAACGGTTACTAAGGAAATTACCTGGCTGCTCAGAGGAAACCTATGTTAAATATCTTCTTGCTGACAAAAGATCTGAATATCACCAGGCCTGTCGTGAAATTCTGTTTTATGGCAACGAGGACAAGACAGGCTGCAGTGACAGCGATAGTCGATGAATGAGTACTGATTTTAAACTCTGGAACATAGGTTTTGGCTGAAGGAGTGCTATTTTAAATGCAAATAAGCTTATAGGGAATTTTCAAGGGGCGGGCGCAGTAGACAAAATTGTTCCTGTTGTTAATTCTGCTGTCTGGACTTTGACCTCAATAAAGAAAATAAGTTCATGTGTACTGAGCACTCTACAGAAGAGAAACAATATAGTGAAGGAAAACACGAAAGTGTGATACATTGTAAATGCGAAGTAGCATTCACTTGGTGCTTCTCTGAACATTTTTATCACCGCAAGTGAATGGTTTCTGATTCGTTAGGAATGTAAGAAGAGGCTGGCTGCTGGATCTAGTCCAGCATCCTGTTCCCACAGTGGCCAAACAGATGCCTATGGGAAGCCCGCAAGCAGAACATGAGCACAACAGCAATGCTCTTCCCAACTCCAATTCCCAGCAACCGGCATTCGGAGGCATAATGCCTCTTACCCTTGTGGCAAGTAGCCATGGATAGACTTTTTCTCCATGAATCTGTCTGATCTTTGAACACCATCCAAGCCATCTCATTTGTGCAGCCATCCTTCAAGGTGTGCATCTGGTGCAGCAATACCACCGCAACCCTACCACTCAAGACTGCTCCCATCAGAGGCAAGATTGCTGTGTGGAAGGAGGTTATGCAAGCATTGCAGGCAGAATCAGATGCAAATGGAGTTAAGAGACTGAACATTTTAGCATCAGAATGAACCTTTCATGAGCAGTGCCCTAAGGCAATTGCATAGGTTTAATCCTGCATGGCAAGGGTAAGGGTTTGGGTTAGAATAGGATAGGATAGAATCATGGAGTTGCCTTGTTGGAAGGGACCCCAAGGCTCATCTATTCCAAACCCCTGCAATGCAGGAATAAGATTATTACTCCCCTCGTGAGATGAATGTGTGCTGCTGCACTTTCTATTTTTATGTAAGTTCAAGAACTAATCCATGTAAATATTTAAAGAATAGGGAAGACTAATCCTGCCCATGACTAGGATCACATCTGCAAAGAAGCCAGGATTGACTCATGGGGGTTACTACTAAAGTTATGATAGCATGTTTTTGTTTGGTGACTGATGGAATTGCAGCCATTGAGAAATGAATTGTTTAAATTGTTTTAGTTGCTGTGCTTTATGTTAATTTTAGATGTTTGTTGTTGTTTTTTGCTGGGCTTTTTCTTGCTGTGTGAGTTCCCTCCCCAACCCCCACTTTGGTTTTAGAGTTTAATGGTGTACTGCATTTCATATTTTCTTGTATGAGCAGACTGCCCAGAGAACTTGGTTGGATGGGTGGTATGAAAGTGTAACCAGTAAACAGAAGAGCAGTAAAGAACAGGGAGGCCCACAACTCAAAGGCAACGCATAAGAGTAATCTGAACTGAGCGCAGCCAACCTGCTTTTGAGACAACCAAACACTCCTTAATGGCTCCAACAGCACACTTGTCTATGGTTACCTGGCACTGCTATACTCCATGGCATGTGAAATCTTCCCTGCTGCCTCATACGACATCATGCTGTCTTTGTTGTCTTTGTCTATTTGCACATTCTCTTGAAGAACACAAGGCTGTCTCGGTCTCACTGCAGAGGATCCTGCACCTGAATCTCTGCTACTTTCACTTTGCTGGATTGCTGCACAACAGGACAGAAAATGGGTAGCCATAATAAAGTTACCCAAGCCTGTTTTATCCCCCAGGTCACCTGCAAATGGCTCCAAGGATACTGCTCTCCTTTGAGTAGTTTTGTCATCCTTCAGAAGGTGGCTAAGCTGCACTTCAAATAAGAACCTCAAAAGCATTTTGCATTTGAATAAAGTCAGCCACTGGAAAAGTTAGTGCCATATGATAAACAAGACTAGAGGAAGCTTTTTCAGTCTGGGGTCCCCCATTCTCACATGGAATCTTCCATTCATGTGTACTATGTTTCCGCCATCCTCAGCTTTCCTTTCTCAGCATTTAACAGCTAGGCATCTCCGATAATCATTTGCTCTACTGCAGAGGCAGTAAACTTTTAAGTCAAAAGTTTGATTCCCCTGAGAGAAACTGGTGGGGAAGAGTCTACTGACAATGGGGGGAGCCAAAGCTGAAATCGGAAGAGTCTCCATCTGCATGCTCTCCCCTGCTTCCATTCATTCACACATCCCTATGGCCCCTTGCATACTCATTCTCCCCATCCACACATAGTCATTTCAGTCACTATTCATCTTATCTCTACCCTCCCCATCACCACCTGCATGACAATTGGTCTTAGAAAAAAAATGTCATAAATGGGACCTTTTTTTAAGCCAAGTTGTCATGCAGGGAGCACAATTTTTAGGCTCTGCATCATGTGGAGATGGGAGCATTACTCCACCCCTCCTTACATTCTAGCCCCCACCCCAAAGAAGCCCCCCCCCCCAATCAGCACAGCAATTAGGCTTAGGAAATAATCTGTTCTAGAGTGGTTTTCCCCTAATCCTGCATTAGGATGAAAGGGCTGCTGCCCCCTACTGCCAAAGAAAAAAACCTCTACCCCATCAGCATAGCAATTAGGCTTAGAGGGGGGAGAGGTTAATAACCACACAGGGGTGCAGAAGAGGAGATGGGGAGTGGGCAGATCCAAAAGGCTCTGTGGATTGGCTAGGAACATCTTGCCCCTGGTTTAAGCAAGCTGGGAGGAGAAAAAAAGTGAGGGGTCTTGGCTTAAGATGCTTCCTCACTAACCACAAACTTCAACCAAGGACAAACTCTGGCAACAGCTTGTGATCAGTTTGCACGGTCCTGGTAAGCCACAGCAACTGAAAGGAATGTACATTTGCCTGAATTCACAAGCGTTTGCTTCTTGCTAATAGCCAAAGGACCACAGCACAATGGCAGAGCACCTGCTTTGCACGCAGAAGGTCCCAGGTCCAACCCCTGGCTGATCTGGAGCCCTTGAAACCACTGCCAGCCAGTGTAGGCAACCATGAGTTAGATGGAGCAATGGTTTAACTCAGTGCAAGGCAGTTTGCTATGTAAAGAGTGAAAACTTACGTGTGAAAGTGTCATCGTCTTCCTTGCCACTGCTGTCACTCTCCTCGTTATCTGACAGGGTCAAGTCTTCATAATGCATGCTGGCCTGAGGCTGCTGCACTGAGCCTTCTTCCTTTTCACCCAGATCTCTGTTTTCATCTTCCACTTTCTGTCATGATGGAACAACCAATGGTAGAAAGGAGGTTGCAGAGAATTTCCTGGCATATGAAGGTAGCTAGCTGCTCTCTAAAAATGGCCCTGGCAAACTGCAGTGGTTTCAGAAATAAACCCAAGTGCCTGCATCACCAGCCGCACTAGTACTTACTTCTGCAGTATTTTGCAGCAAGCAGATGATTTGAAACCACCTTGCACACAAGGTTGCTCTACTCATCTATACTCACAACAACCTTGCAGAGTGAGTGAGGCAGAGCCAATGATTTGCCCAAAGTCAGTGGGAATCTGAGCCTCCAGCAGTGAATAAAATAATGAAACATCACATGACGTTAAAAGCTGTGGAACAGAACACTTCTGTTATGGGCAAGACGGCTTGAGCACATAATGCCAATCCTGGCCCACAGCACCGGCTGCCAATTAGTTTCCAGAACCAATTCAAAGTGCTGATTTTGACCGATAGAGCCTTGAACAGCTCAGCACTACAATACCTCAAGGACCGCTTGCCTCCCCCCATATCAACTGACCCAGACCCTGCAATCATCATTGGAGGCCCTTCTTCATGCGCCCACTTCATGGGAAGTCCGGAGAGTGGCAACGTGAGACTGGTCCTTTTCTGCAGTGACATCCCATTTGTGGAATGCTCTCCCCAGAGAGGTTCACCTGGCACCTTCATTATACACCTTTAGGCACCAGGAGAAAACATTCCTCTCTAACAGGCTTTCGGCTAATGAAACAATCTATGGCCTTTTAAACTGTGTGCTGAGGAGTTATTGCTTTTGTTTGCTACAATTGCATTTTTTTGTTTTTATATTGTAAACCACCCTGTAATCCTCAGGATGGCATAAAAATTGTAGTAGTAATCGTAATCGTAATAGAGAGCAACAACTAGCCTGTAATTTCTGTGCTGCTTTAACGCTGTGTATACCTGTGATTTTTGTTACTAATTTGTTTTCGTTTTTTTAAGTGCAAGTCACCTTTGAAGCCTTGAATGTAAAGCAACCTAGAAATATTTTCGCTGATTCAGTAACAATAACTATTCCTGGAAGCCTGTTGAATAAGTGAAGTGGCAGCCATGTAAAGTTCTTGTGCCTGCCGTATGAAAGAAATGCTGGTGGCCAAGGCAAAGCTGCCTTACACCAGGTCAGACAACTGCCCAACTAGCCCAAGTACTGTGTTCTCTCACAGGCAGTATTGGCTGCTCTGACTTTGTGTGAAGATGGGGCTCTTCAAGCTGGTGGTCAGCAGCTCAGTCTCTAGCGCACACACACCCATTTAAAAAGGAACAGGTACCAGGTGATAGGAAAACCTCCTCCTTGTCTAAGCCACTGGAGAGAATCAGAGTAGGCAATGCTGCCTGCTAAAGTAGCCAGGAAGGGCCTAGCTGGCCAATCGGCTCTTTCCCAGCCAGATGGTCTCCCAGTGCTACTAGGTTCAGCATGGAGGTGTGGCTCAGAAATCTAATAAGCAGAACAACATAGGCAGGGTTGAGTCAGAAAGAAGCACATACATTATCCCTGCTGCAGCCACCACCCCAAACTGCAGCCACAGGCCTTGATGCCAGAAGAGGGTCCCTGAAAAGAGAGCTTTGGCAAGCAGCCTCACCTGGGGCATGCAGGGCTGAGAGATGGTTGGGTCAAAGCTCTCCAGGTCTGCCTCCTCTAAGGCTGCTTTGTTAACAGCAGAGATATCCTTCTCAAGCTGGGTCAAGTGCTCATCATACTGAAGAAGCAGAAAGACAGAGAAAGTAAGTGTTTGCTGAAGAATTAAAAACGGTCCTTGGCAGCATTGGCTTGCTGGGCCACCTACCTCTTCTAGTGCCTTGTAACAGATGTCCACCATCTCCTGAGCTGTTTTTGTGTTCTGGCTGTCAGGACCTGAATTGGAAATACAAACAAACAAACCAACCACATCTCCTTAATGCTGCTCCTTAAGACCTGAGCACACAAGAAAGCCACAGGAATAAGCAACCCACTTCCAAGTGGTCTTCTTCAGGGCCAAGGTCCATGCTTCCTTGTGATATGCAGCCAGAGCTTTCCAAAGCTTTGCCAAGTTCACTGGTGGCAACCGAATGTGGTATTCTTCAAAGGCTCTCTTCCCTGCAGAACTCCTTAAGGTTTCTTTAAGCTCTGACCATGTAAGACTCCTGAACCTCCCCTCCCCCAAGCACATTTTAAGAGGCCCTGAGATTTAATCAAAACCAATACTCTAGTCCATGAGCAGGTAAACTTTCAAGGCCTGTCTGCCAATTCCCGCTCCCCAGGGGCCATATGCCTGCAGTGGAAGTGAGCATTGCACACTCTCAACATGCACACCAGACATTCAGCCCCTCCTCAGCTAATCAACACAAACCAGCTAGCTTGAGGAGAGGAATCCCCCCTTTCCACTCAATCAAATGATCTATCTGATAATGTGGGAGAGAGTAGGTTGCATGTCCACCAGGTAGCTGGACTCAGTGGAGAGAATTAAAAGCTCTCTGGCTTTCTCAGCACTGTGACTGCCCCTTTGCTGCCAAAATTGGTGGGATCTTGGGGGACAGAAAAAATTGCTGGATGGGGAGGACAGATTAGAAGCCCCAGGCTGGGGATTAACCAGCCCTCCTGTATTCTGTTCATGCCTGCTTACAAAGCAGTATTGGACCCCAAGAGCTGAAGAAGCTTAACAGAAAAGTCCCCAGAAGAAGCAATTTTCATCAAGGGAACTATCTACATTTTGGAAAAGCATACATTAATGTCTTAATGAGTAGATGTGGAGTCACATTCAGGTCTTGCCCTTATTGCTGGCATCTGTCTGTCTCAAGAGACAATGGAGTGTGCCTCCGGGGATAAAGATAAACTGCTTCATTAGCAGCATCAAAGTGACCTCCCTGGAGCACAAGCCTGGGCACTGTGTCTGGAAGTCCTGGGCTGCCCAGCTGGCAAGACCCCTCTCTCAGCCTCACTGATGTGGTCCAAAGGAAAGCAGAGCAAGATGTTTGGCACCAGCTGGGCTGCAGGAGTTGCCAGAAGGAGGCCTACAAGATGCCATCTAACTGCCATCCAGATTTGTGTAGGGTTTACTCCTTAGCCTTTTCTTCTCGCAAAGGTGCCCCACAAAGCCCTGATAGCTCTCTGTAAATGTGAGTCAAAGGGCTGCAGACATGGCAAGGAGCCAAGAGGGTCTCTTACCATTGTATTTAATGCTGTTGGCAAGGATCAGTTTCACGTCATCCATAAAGACTTCTCGGTTCTGGTATTTATGTCTGGAGATATTCTAGAATGAATGAATAGGAGACAAGATGGGAATGTGAAGCCTTAAGGAGGCAATATGAATTCTTGATTCTGGCATACAAAAAGTCTGAAGTGGATCCTTTACAAGGACCCTTTCTTCCTTACACTTCACTAATATTTTGGAGTGTCCTGGTGATTCCTTTCACATATAGAACTGCTTCTCCCCATCACAACCTCCCTGATTGCTCAACATGACCCAAGCCAGAGTTACAAAATACAGCACATGTCTTTGAGTTATTTATTTTCCCCATGACTTTTTGGCCTCCAAGTCAGCAGCTGGTGGCTGAGATTAGGCAAGCAGAATTTCTTCACCCTCAGCCCACATTTCCATATTCCAGTTCTATTCCTGATATTTTATCTGGGATTTAACATGCTGCCATCAACCTTGGGCCTTTTCTGCCAAGGCTTCTTTTATTTCATTTAACTAAATTTATACATTGCCTGATTGTAAGAAAACCTTGAAGCAGCTTACAAAAGACAGTTCTGAGAAGCTGCAACATAAACCAACAACAGCTGCACCCTTCAAAGTTCGCACCTTGCTGATAGTCCTCAGGTCCATCGGGCTGACAATGACTTTGTAATATTTTGGCACGCGTCTCCTGTTTACAGGACGGAAAAAGAGCCTGGCCTGCAAGCAAAAAGAGGGTAAAAAGAGAATGAGCAAGCAAGTCTTGCACGGTGAATTGCATGCTGGATCCAGTATCTGCATAAGACACTGAAAAGCTTTTGTACAACATCAAGCTGAATCTAGAGGGAACATCCCATTACCTGCCAACAAATCCTAAGTCCTCTGGAGGTGCCTGGATTCTACTATAGCATTTTCGTCAAACCCAAAGTAAGGAACTCCAGAGCCAGATAATTTTGGAGCTGTGCAGCCTCAGCATTTGTTAAATTCAGTGCTGCTCAAATACAGCTCAGGAACCATATACAGTGGTACCTCGGGTTACAGACGCTTCAGGTTACAGACTCCACTAACCCGGAAGTAGTACCTTGGGTTAAGAACTTTGCTTCAGGATGAGAACAGAAATCACGCAGCGGCGGCGGGAGGCCCCATTAGCTACAATGGTACCTCAGGTTAAGAACGGTTTTAGGTTAAGAATGGACCTCCAGAACTAATTAAGTTCTTAACCCGAGGTACCACTGTAGTCCCACCATCCTGCTTGCACAGCAGCCAAGTGGAGGCCAGTGGAAAGCCCAAAAGGAAGACATGAGTGTAACAGAAACTATCCCCACTTGTGATTCCCAGCAACTGGTATTTAGAAGTAGAGGTAGAACATAGTCATTGTGGCTAGAAGTCACTGATAGCTTTATCCTCCAAGCACAAGGCTACTGTGACAGTCCCCTTTTCCACAAGCTCTTTTCCATCACCACCAAATGCTAAGGGCAGACATACATGAGGAACAGCCTTTATCTTCTGGGATACAATCTTGTCCAGAATATAGGAGAAGGTCGCTTGATGAACATCATCCAGAAGGCGATTAATTGCCTTTTCCAAACGAGCCAGTTTATCTTCCTTCTGAAAGGACACCAAGGTACAGAAACACACTCAGCTCCAGAGCAACTCCTTTATAGCAACCCACATTTTGCTGAACACTGCTCAATGGCAGAGCACCTCCTCTGCATGCAGAAGGTCCTGGGTTCAATCCTTGGCATTTCCAGGTAGAGCTGTGAATGTTTCCTACCCGATACCCTGGAGAGCTAAATGAGTTAAGATGGAACAATGGCCTGACTCAGTATGGGGTGGTTTTCTATGTGCCTACTGTATTTTTATTGCTTATGTAATTTCAAAAATATATTTCAACATCTTCTGTTCCTATCCAATTACCAGTAGTTCAGGTTTTAAAACAGAAGGCATTCACACATGTCCCATCTTTATTCATAAGGAAAGTCAGCTACAACTCAAAATCTCCAGCAATTTGGGCTGGTTTTCTCACATGCAACATGACCCATAAAAGAAGCTTATTGTTCACATTCTCTCAGTTACCTGGAACTGTCTTCTTTAATTTTCACTAATACCACTATTATTAAAAAGCACTACATTCCAGTTTTAAAAATTTTTATAGTTAAAATAAGCTGTAGACAAACTAGATCATGTTTTACCATTAAATAAATTTGGAGAATTTTTTTTTTCAACAACCAAAAATTTTGTTGTGTGTGTTCATATTTTGTGTGTGATTCTGATTCTGATTCTGTCCTTCCAGCAATAAGTTTTGTTTAATTAGATAATGACCATGGAATCTTTCTCACCCACAGCTAATACAACATTCACAATCTGTTTGGAAATCTATGCTGCACTTTCAAATTCAGTAACTTTCAGTTAAAATCCAGAAACCAAAATTAGTATTGGATAGTAAAGTCACCATTCGAACTCTACCACTAAAAACTATTAAATCAAGAGAGCAGGTCCTATGCTCAGCTCCTAATGCAAGCATCCAACAAACCACTCTGGCTGCCTTTAGTCCTTTCAAGAGAGATCTCCCTTCAGTCCAGAATCACCAAACTGTTTATGCAAATAGCTCAGCCCTAAAAGTACCCTAAGCAACGCCCTGACCTCCAAGCCACAAGCAACCCCTCCCTCCACAATCTGACTTGCCTCTTTCAATTTTTGATCACCGAAGTCCAGCATTGACTGAGCAATCTGAGTCAACTTGTGCTCTGGCCCTGCAAACACACAGCAGAAACCTTTATTGTGCGATGGTGTTGTTGTGAGCAAAAGGCAAGTTACACATTTAAGATTACATGTGGTTAAGTTGGTCCTGTTCCCCAGTGGTATGGAGAGCTAACCTGGAGACTCATCAGAAGTCTCAGAGAGCACACACTTGATTTTACATCCAACTGGTGTCCTCCAGATGTTTTAGACCAAAATTCCCATCAGCCCAAGTCAACAAAGTCACACTGAAGTTGCAGTCCAAACTATCGGATGGGCATCAGATTGGCAAAGGCTGCTCCACGGTGTGACGATAATAGAGAAGCAGCCAGCAAAGCAAGTGCTTTTATTTTGCTCCATTCCCACTGTCCCCAAGCTGCTGGGAGATCATGGCCCCAGAGGAAAGGAGCAGGTATCACAACTCTTCCTTGGTAGTCCAGAAGGACTAGTTCTAACTGAAATCACTCAAGATAGATGAGGTTTTTTCTTAGCAGGTCCAGTTGAGAAATCAGACAAGGGAAAGAGAAGCAGTCACACTGAGAGCAAAGGAAACCAGGAAATTACAAAGAGGAGCATGCAGGCAACTTACAAATATATAAGGCCATCCGTCAGAGAAATAATTGGACACCTAGTGAAGACAGGACCATCACCAGAGGGTTTAAAGAAGAAAGTAGGTCACAGTGTAAAGCAGGTGAGCATCAGAAGGAAATTCCCCAGCACAAGGTAGCCTTACAGAGCTATGCAGAGATGGCGAAACTTACTGGAAGAATAAAAGATCAAGATGAGAGACCTTTTTTTTAACAGAATGGGGGTAGATTGTTGAATATATGAAGACAAATTGTAAACAATTAAAAACTTCAGCAGGATTGATGTAAACACGAGCAGTAAAAAATAACTTATAGAGAGGAAAAAGATAAAATTTATAAATTGGTTGGAATTGGTTATGCAGTAAGTCTGTGACATGAAATAAGGAACAGTAGAGAGGAGGGGAGGGAAGTTGAAGAAAACGTTGATTTTTGTTTATATTTAACTTTTTTTGTTAGAAACATTGTAAAATGAAAAATAAAATATTGGAGGTTTTGTTTTTTAAAAAAGATCAATACTTAAAAGCCGCCCTTTGCCTAGCCCATTCCTCCTCTTCCCTGAACATCCTCAGAAAGAGCACCAGGTCACTGCCCCAGTTGCCGTAACCTGTTTTTTGAGGCTGGGACACTTTGCACAAGGAGGGAAGAAAGAGCAGAAGAGAAACAGTTAGAAAGAAAGAAAGAAAGAAAGAAAGAAAGAAAGAAAGAAAGAAAGAAAGAAAGAAAATTAACTCTCACCATTGAACGTGGCACTGTTCTTCACAATCAGCTCCAGGTGCTCTCGGAATTCTTTGCTCGATTTGTAAGATTGCTTACGGACATTCTGGCGCAGGGTGTACAGGTCCATTGGTCGGCCGATGATCTTGCGATAATTTCTGACACCCCTCCTGCTAACAGGCTTATGGAAGTAACATGTCTGGCAGAGGTAAACCGGGAAGGAATGTGAGCATCCCTTTTATTTCTTAATATACCACCCTCCCTTAAGGTACCAGGGACGGATACAACAACATGAAAAAAACATTTTTTTAAGACAAACAAACAAACCCAGATAAAGCCATTGCTTTGTTCACCTGCCAAGGAGAGAGGGCAGATAATGAAACCCGTCTCCCTCAAAAGGGCCACTGGAGCCATTCCAAGGAAGGGGAGTCCACAACCTCTCGAGGGAGTCTGTTCCACTGTCAAGTAGCTCTTGACTGTCAGAAAGTCTTCTGGTATGTTTAGTCAGAATCTCCTTTCCTGCAACTTGAAGCCATTGGTTCAAGCCTTGCCTTCCAGAGCAAGAGAAAACAAGCTTGCACCCTCCTCCATGTGACAGCCCTTCAGATATCTCCTCTCAGTCTCCTCTTTTCCAGGCTAAACATGCCCAACTCCTGTTAGTATTTCATTCAGCCGATGCTGCAAAATGTGACTGGTGTAAATCACACGCCTGTCTGAGAAGACTGTGGAAACAGAAGACAGCCTGACCTCTCTTCCGTTGTATGTACTTTGTAATGTACTTTCACAATTAATATTTTAATGTTTCAATATTTTAATGTTGTATTTTAATGTTGTTTTTAAGTTGTAATCATTCAACTTGTTTTTATTATTGCTTGTAAGCCGCTCTGAGCCTGGCTTTGGCTGGGGAGGGCGGGGTATAAATAAAAATAATAATAATAATTATTATTATTTTGGTTGTTCTCTCGGAGCTGAAGAGAATGGTCGCCATTATATTGTAGTCTGTATATAGTATGTAAATAAATAGTAGCTTAGATCTACAATGTCTCACTCTTCTCGTTGTGTTGTGCCAGAAGATTAGTGTGCATATATCAAGCTGACCTATGTCACTGAGCGCCCTGGAGAGGAAGGGAGAGGCCTTTTCCTCCAGTGCTGCGCACACTGGAGGATGCTCGGAGTTCCGGGGGTTTGCAGGTGACCCCAGGGTGTTTTCCAACAGCTCCTTCAACTGTTCCTCATCATTTCTTAACAGTCATTTCACTATTTCAAGATTGCAGGAGCAGCCGCACTGGACCGGGCCAAAGGTAGGTCCCATCTTTTTAGGCAACTGTGATGTCATTGCTGCAAGAAGGCAGGATATAAAGCATTATGTTTCCCCCTATGCTCAGCCAGGAAGGCAACTGGCGTCCAGAGGTAGACTTAACCACCTCTTCTTTAATTATTATTATTGCATTTATACACCACCTTTTTGCCAAGGCATCCAAGGCGGTCCATGGTTTAAAATATGAACGCAGTTAACACCAACAAATGGCACAAAATATCAGGCCAGTTTTCGGGGCTGATGGCCCTAGCTCCCTGGGCTGGGCTTCTCTTCTGGCCTGATTTGCAGCCACTGACTGACCTCTCTCCCTTTTCCTCCATGAGAATTTTTCTGATCCCCTTTGAAAGCTGCTGACACCAATAATTTTGATGTATTTTGATGTATGATTCTGATACACAGCACTTTTCATACACCCCACTAAACAGAATGTGAGCTGTCGAAGACTGAGCCCACAACTCATGGAGTAGAGTTTGGCAGGAGGTGGAGAGGCAACATCCTCGAAATAGCAGAAAGATTGCCCTCAAATGCTCAATGCTGATATGAGACAAGAATTTCTCAAGGAACTAGCTCTCCTGATATATGGACAGGATAATGCCCCCTTGTCTTTGCAAATGACATAGAGCCAGAAGAGGCAAAATCAAACCTCACAGGTGAAAAGGTCTTACATTTGGAAGTTCTTCCATTTCGTTGATAATGCCTTCCAGGATATAAGACAGTATCTCTATGGGGGCTGTGCTCCCCTGGTGGCTGGACTTCTGAGGCTGCTGAAAGAGAGAGAAGTGGGACGTTAAAGGCACTTCCAAAGTTTACGTATGATGGACTTTTGGGAATCTTGACAAAGGGCACCTCAAAGCATCTAATTGGTCTCTACTTTTTTGGGGAGGAGTTGCCCTTTGGCTGTTCCTGGTCTACAGTGAACCAGCCCTGGCTGAGGCTTAGAATAAGCACTTGCTGTTGCCACCATTTCCAAGATGGATAGTGGGCAAGGACAAGGGGTGGGGTGGGAGCAATGAAAGCAACACAAGGACTCACGTTTAAGTAGCTACTACTAGCCATGGTTCCAGAGCCCTGTTCCTTCTTTTGCAGAAGCTGTCCTTTTGTGAACTTCAGGACTAAAGACTTCTTGCGAACTTCATTCGCGCTGCAAGGAGAGAGAGGGAGGAGAAACACCCTGCAGTTTCCACCACCTCTCCCTCCAGTGGGCCCAGCTGCCCCTCTGGGAGGGACTGATTAAACCATAAAGAGCACAATATGAAGCCCATTTACTCTTTTATTGGGTCTAGTCTGGGGTAACTGGAGCTGTAAGTTGAAGAACTTTAACCCCATCAGCCCACACAGCAGCCTGCTGCTTCATTTAGATTCAGTAGTACTACCTGTCCTACACTGTACACCAGACAGTTGCTGCTCCTGTGGATAATAGTAAATGGTATTGTGTCGTTCTTTATCTCCTTGACACCTGGTGGGAGGGCATTCCACAGGGTGGGCACCACTGTCAAGAATGGTTCCCTTCTTGTAGTGAGGGAACCAGCAGAAGACCCTCAAAGCTGGACCTCAGTGTCAGAGCTGACGATGGGGATAGAGATGCCCCTTCAGGTATACAGGGTCGAGGCCTGTATACCTTTAGGGCTTTAAAGGTCAGCACCAACACTTTGAATTGTGCTCAGAAATGTACTGGGAGCCAGTATAGATTGTTTAGGACTGGTGTTACATGGTCCCGGCAGCCACTCCCAGTCACCAATCTACTGCTGCATTCTGATTAGTTGTGGTTTCTGAGTCACCTTCAAAGGTAGTCCTGCACAGACCTATGCCAGTCTGTGAGAAAGACTGGAGTACTGGGCACTTACTACCAGATATGTGTGGGAGTCATCCAGAAGACAATCAGTTAATACAGGTGCTGGATTTTCTCTCCGTTTTGGAATACGTGGCCCTGTCTGGCCCGAGCAATGACAAGGTGTTCACCCACTGCCACATGTGGATGACTTCCACACGTCCACAGGAAGGGATTTCAACTCTTCCACCTTGTTCTGGACTTCTTAATTTAGAGGAAAGTGAGCAAGAGATCACATGATGTAAGTTTATAGCATTATGCATGGAATGGGGAAAGTGTTTGGGGAAAGTTTCTCTCTCTCTCATAACACTAGAACTTGTGGACGTCCAATGACATTTGAATGTTTGGAGATCCAAGACGGATTAAAAATAATACTTCTTCATGAAAGACATGGTTAAACTGTGGAACTCACTCCCACAGGAGGATGGCCACCATCTTGGATGGCTTTAAAAGTGGACAAATGCAGGAAAGGCAATGCTGTCAATGGCAGCAACGTTTCTGAATATCAGTTGCTGGACACCACCGGAGAAAGAGTGCTTTTGTGCTCAGGTCCTTACTGAAGGTTTCCCACAGTCATCTGGGTGCCCACTGTGAGAACAGGATTCTGGACTAGACTGTGATGGGCGTCAACCAGTAGGCTCTTATGATGTTCATAGCCCAGGCAGGACCCCTGCACCTCTATCTGTGAGATGGTGCCAAACACGGCCCTTACCTCTTAACGAGTTGCTTCCCTAAGACAATCTTGGTTCCCTCCACTTTGATCAGCTCACTGTCATTGGTGGGAATGATGGTCTTCTCCAGCTCCTCCTCCTGCTCCACCGTCATGGCAACAGGCTTGGAGGGCACTTTGGCTGGGCAGATTTTGTTGTTCTTCATGTGCCCACCGGTACCGCAAGCACTACACGTAATCTGCAAGCAAAAGCAAAGGAATGAATGGTTGCAGGCTACTTCAGAAGCACAAAAGCAGAGTTATCGAGGGATAGGCAGTGCTCCCATCAACTGTAACACCAGCACTAGCTGAAGGCAGCAACAAAACCAAGGTGGGGTGGGGTGGGGTGGGAGCTTGTGAAAAAGTGCTGGACTTGTTCCCAAGCGCTCCCCTGCTGTGTGTACCTTTAAGCAGAAAGGCTGTTTGCACATTTTGAAAATAAAGTCTCAACCCATGCACATACCCACCCAGGGTGCGCCGATGAATCCAATTTATTTTTTTTAATGGAATTACAAACTTGGTGGATCAGGGAAATGCTGTGGACATAGTGTATCTTGATTTCAGTAAGGCTTTTGACAAAGCCCCCCCAAGGTACAGTGGTATCTCGGGTTATAGACGCTTCAGGTTACAGACTCCGCTAACCCAGAAATAGTACCTCGGGTTAAGAACTTTACTTCAGGATGAGAACAAAAATCGTGCAGTGGTGGCACGGTGGCAGTGGGAGGCCCCATTAGCTAAAGTGGTACCTCAGGTTAAGAATAGTTTCAGGTTAAGAATGGACCTCCAGAAGTTCTTAACCCGAGGTACCACTGTATTCTCGCAAGGAAGCTGGTAAAATGTGGGCTGAATGAGATATCTGAAATGTTAAAAGTTAAGGTTTCCTCTCCATGACAAAAATTAGTCAGTGGTAATTGGAGCTGAAGCATATGTTAAATTTTCTTCTTTGTACATCATCTAACTTTTGCTTCATGCATCTGACAAAGGGGGCTTGAGTCCAGGAAAGCTTATTCCTTAGTAAATTGTGTTAGCCTTTAAGGTGCCATGGGACTCTTTAAGTATTTCCACTTCATGGCTACCCCTCTGGGTTTTGTTTTGCTTTTTCTATCTGGATTTTGCTGCAATGCAATCTGGATTCATCAAAATCTGTTTCAAAAAAGAAAGCTCCATTAGCTGGGCTGCATGACTCCTTCCACTAGACTTGGGGGAAGAGCAAGTAAAGCCCTCTGCTTTGGTTTCTGAGGTGCTGCGCAGCACACTGGCATATGTCTCTTCACAGATACAAGACCATTACTTCTTTATTTATAATAACACTGCAAGAAAAGGAGTCAGAAGCAGCTGAAGCTTTCAAGAAAGCCTGCTTACCTTCTCCAACCTGAGCTTCTTCTTGGGAGGAGCCTTCTGCTGCTCCTTCTCTTTCTTTCGTTTAAGCCGCATCAACTTCAACTGGATCTGGCGCTTTTCACACCGCAGCTTCTTACGCTGCTTTTCTGAGATGGCAAACCTCCGGCTGGAAACACAAAGGTCTTCAGTTAAGGCAGTTAAGGACTCCAACTCCCATCAACCCAGACCACTGACTATGCTGTCCAGCACTGATGGGAGCTGTAGTCCAACAACACTCAGAGGACCATATATTTTTCCCATCCCTGGCCTATTGGTACGGCCAGCCAGTAAATATTCAGGCACTGAGATAAACATAAACCATACTGGGAGTCAAGTGGCTCTCTAGATGTTCTAAACTACATCCCTCATCATCCCTGGCCACTGGCTACACTGACTGGAGCTGATGGGAGCTGAAGTCCAACAACATCTGGAGGGCCACAGGTTCCTCATCCCTGCACTACAGCATTGGCTGCTTCCTGATTTGATTTACTCTGCCTGACTCCATATGCTGGCTGTGTGTTTTATTTCCTGCTGCATCCTGCTCATATGTTTGTTAGCCTGCTTGCTTTAAATTTCATATAGAAAGAGGCAGAAAGGCAGGGTGTAATTTAAAAAACACACACAATAAAAATATAAACATACTGTGCATTTGCAGCCTTCTGCACCTCTCCTTTCACAAGGAGATTCCCACTCTACTCAAATTAATAATAATAATGATAATTTGTATACTGTTAATAAATAATAATAATAATAATAATAATAATAATAATAATAATACAATTTGTATAGCACCCTTCATCCATAGATCTCGGGGTGGTTCGCAGCAAAAAAATACATGCTAAAAACACAAAATATATAATAAAAACAAGAAAAGAAAACAAGCCAATAACACCCCCTAAGGGAAAGCAGGCTCCCTGCGATGCCCTTACATCAGAGCTTTCCAAATTTTTCCTGCTGGTGACATACATTTTAGACATGCATCATTTTGTGACACAGCAGTTCAGTTTTACTAGCAAACCGGAGGTTAAACTAACTCCTTTCCAGCCCCGGGAGGAGCGTGGAGAGTGTTCGCGCAACACACCTACACGCTACAGCCGACCCCTAACGTGTCGTGACAGACAGTTTGGAAAGCTCTGCCTTACATGAACTCATCATCCTTGGTTTTCCTTATCTTCAGGTAGGCGTCGATGACCAATGGATTGCGGACCGTCTCGCATCTCTTGTACTCCTTCCCGTCCTCATCGCGGAAAGTGCGGAAGATTTTCAAGCAGCGGGGGGCGGAAGTGGTGGCAGGACCAGGGCTGGTCGCAGAAGCCATGCCACTGCTATCGCTTGGCTTTCCTGGGTTGCCAGGGGTGGAGGCTGCAGGGGAAAGCATGGCTGTGTTGTCAAAGGCAGTGAACTCCCTGGGCAAGAAACAAAATGCCTAGTCTCCAAGATCCTATGGCAAGCTGCAAAGGCAGGCGTTCAGGAGCCTTGGGAGAGGGCGCACACAAAGGAACAGTCATCCACCATTGTACCATGCAGAATTTTAGGCAATGTGCATTCCAGGCAGCCTCTTCACCAGCTTCTCATGCGCATTTCTGTTCTACTCTCCAGCTTCTCTTTCTCTGTAATTTCCAAGGCCTAAATGGTCAAGGACCATCACAAGGCTGGCCACCATCTGAATAAGCCCTGATGATAATCCGATGCTTATCTTTGTTTCATTTCTCTGCAAAACAAGGCTCTTCTCCTAGTAGTGCTTGCAATTTGGAACGTTGTTCCTCCTGAAATCACACAGGCACACCTACAACCCTGATATTTTGCTGCATGTGAATACCCATGTTCTGGGCAAGGATTTGAACAGCATTAATGTGGTTCATTGTTGATCATTTTTTCTTTATTTTATTGTTGTTTTACTATGGTGTATTTTTTAATGAGTTGGCAACTTATAAACATTCTTAATGAAAATGAACACATTTTGTGAAATGTTTCATCCTTCTCCTGACCTGCCTGCTAGTTATGCCACTTGTCAATGGCTACTGTTATTATTAATTGATCTTTCTTTCTTTCTCTCTTTCTCTCTTTCCCTCTTTCTTTTTCTCTCTCTCTTTGTCACTTTACCACCACAAGGGTAAAGAAAATACAAAGAAATTTGAAAAATTAGGTGCACTAAACACAATAAAATTATGATTCTACACAGATGCCCAACAATTAAATCATCACCTCCTTCCCCAAGTACATCAGTTATACAAAAACCATCATGCACTAAAAGAGAAAGTTAATAATAAAATGCCTGGGAAATAGAGAGAAGGACATACTCTTTAGGCACCAGGCCCATTGCAGACCACCTCTGTGCAGCAAGAGGGAGAAATAAAAAAAAGCCATGAAAAACAGGGAGGGAAGTCGACAAAACAAGAGAAAAAATTATTATGTATTGGAATATATATGTGAAATTTTTGAAAATTTAATAAAATATATGTTATAAGAAAAAAAACCTGCTCCTTTTACCTAACAGGGTACCCAAGAGCCCATATAGAGAAATTAAATTAAAACCACAGTCCTGCTTAAAGATAAATAATAAATTATGTTTATGTCTATATCTGTATACACACAGACACACACACCAGGACTACAGCTCCTATCATCCCACACCATAGTCCATGCTGGCTGAGCCTGATGGAAGCTGAAGTCCAACACCACCAGGAGTGCGACGGGTGCCCCCCCCCTTGCATTAAGACCATAACTGGGTGCTCTGTCTGGGGACCTCCCTGCCCCTGCCAGGCACTCACACAGCTCTTTTCCGTCCTTCTGGTTCTTCACACTCCTCTCCTTGTGGTTGATGCTTTTCTTCTCCATCAGCATCTTCTGTAGCTCCCTCCGTTCCTCCTCCTCCTTGTCCCTCAACAGCTGACGATGGGTCTTGTTGTCCTGTACCATGCTCTCAACCTCCTTCCCCATCTCCTTAACATCACTGTCCTCAGCAGAGCTACTGTCAGTGTCTGTAGATAAGATGTCAGTGGACGCCAGAACTCTGCAGCAGAAAACCACCACAAGGGTCAATCTCTGAGGTCTGCACCATGGAAGCATTTGGGCCACAAACAGGAGGATGGAAACACAAATGCCACTGAGCCCTAGTGACTCTGCTACATCCAATCCCCCCCCCCCCACACACACACAGAGCGAGCGCTGCCTTATGTAGAGTTGGACCACTGCGTCCATCTAGCTTAGTACAGACTACACCAACTACCCGTAGCATTGGCAGAAGAACTCACTTGTTCTGCAAGTCAAAGATGCGTTGGCAGTTCTCCTTGTACCTCTCCTTCTGCTCTGCTGCAGAGAAGCGAGAACCACGGGCAAATTTGTTTGTCGATTCTTCATCAAAGCGAGCCTGCTTTGTGGCTATCGCACGCACGACATCAACAATCTCCCAGCGGGAAAGCTTGTTGATCTGCAGAACGAGAGATTGGGTGACTGCAGGAGGCTGCCGAGGGAGGCCCAGGGCATGAAGGCATGCTCCTGCAACAGCCCCTACCCCGTGCTTACCTCCTCTTCAGGAATTCCAAACTGTCGCAGCATCTGCTTGCCACTTTTGAGTGACAGGCGCCGGAGATCTGCATCCGATCCAATCACTGTCTTCTTCTGGAGCAGCTTGTCATCCTGCTTGGAGGAGGAAGAGCAGGTTTCTTCCTTCTGGTATCCTGCCCATTTGTCTCCCTCCCCACACTTCCTAGGCCTGGGCCTTGGGGAGAAATTCTTCAGCTCCAGTAGCCTCCCTAACCCTATTACCTCTGAGGTAATCAGGGGGTCTAGCAGGAAACTGCTGTTCTGCCCCTTTCCTTGCCAATGAGTAAGAATGAAGGAGCAGCAGCAGCAGGAGGAGGAGGAGGAGGAGGAGCAGGAGGAGGAGGAGGCAGCCCCCTAAGAGGCTGGCCTGCAACAATGGCTGGCCTGGCCCATTTTCCTAACTTTCCTAGCCTGGGCCATCCACTTACTTTCCGCTGAGATGACTTGTGTGGGACCTTCACATAGGAGAATCCTTCTCCACATCCTGTAGGGTCTGCCACTCCAGTCACGTCCAAGAGACATTTCCCATTCATAGCTGCAATAAAGGCTCGCGTAGTGTTCCAGGGGGCACAGTGTATCTAAGGGGTGGATGGGAGAAAGCCGTCACACACTGGGTCTGTTTGGCAGATGAAGGAAGAGGTTATCCGGAAGGAGCATCTCCACCCCCATTGTTTAGCCCGGACACTGAGGTCCAGCCCCAAGGGCCTTCTGGCCGTTCCCCTACCGTGAGAAGTAAAGTTTCAGGAAACCAGGCAGAGGGCCTTCTCGGTAGTGGCGCCCACCCTGTGGAACAGCCTCCTGACAGATGTCAAACAGATAAACAACTACACAACTTTCCGAAGACATCTTAAGGCAGCCATGTATCAGGAAGTTTTTAATGTTTGATGTTTTGCTATGCTTTTATTATGCTGGAGGCCACCCAGAGTGGCTGGTGAAACCCACTCAGGGTACAAACAATACATTCTTACAATTGTTATTATTATTATTACTACCCCATCTAAGGTTATGGTTGAGAATATCTGGCACTTCCCTGGTGAGCCACTGTGCAGTGCTGGTTCTACCTCATCATCTATCTTCAGATTGTTTTCTTCATCTTTTTCTCCTCCTTGCTGCTCTCCCTCCTCTTCTTTTTCTTCTTGGGCAATGAAGGATTTCATCCCATAACCTGCATCCTGAGGAAAGAGTTGGGAAGCAATTTTCTGAGTCACGTGGGACATGCCCATGCAAACAGGGGCACACAGAGGGGCCTTGGGCCACCCTGTTAGCACAGGACCTGTGATAACAGAAAGCAAGCTTTGTATTCAAGAGACCACATACTCAAGGAAACAATCTCCCCATCACAGGCTACTGCCTTCCCGTTGTCCCTGTTCCCACTGGATGGCAAGTCTGCCCAAGGTTTTTAGCAGCCAAAGAATCAGCAACCAAAGAATCCCAAAGACCTGCCTTCTCTTGAGTGGATGCCTCAGCTGGGGCAAGGGAGTCATCTTAGAGCAATAGGTAAGGTAAGACATCTGACAAGAGTCACCTGAAATGGTGTGTTACACTCAGATCCTGATACAAAGGTTACCTTATTTTTGTGTAACCAAAAGCATCGCTTTGAAGCAAAACTTTACAGAACAATTAATTTCTACTTTGCGCCCAGGAGAGTGAAGCAACTTCTCATAAACCATGTTTTTCCCATCTTTAGAAGTATTAAAAATTATATTACATTGAGTACAGGCAACTCCCTAGTTGCATGCGATCTACATGTGTGCAGCCACACGCAAGCCAGTCTTCCCACTTCTGCCGGGAACCCGGAAGTGGGGTCCACCCAGGAGAGTCTAGTGGCTTGCGAGGAGACCCTCCCCAGAGTCTGAAGGGGACATCCTTTTCTGCTCTGGGGAGAGTCTCCTCGTGAGCCAGAGGGGCAGTGGGGCTTTGTTGATACTGCTCAGATGATGTTCTAAAACTTGGGTCCCCAGCCGTGGTTGGACTACATCTCCCATCATTCCTGACCACTGGTCCCACTAGAAAGGGATAATGTGCATCATAGTCAAACAAGAGCTGGAGACCCAAGTTTGAGAAACACTGCTCTAAGCAGTGTCTAGAAATATCCAACAGGACCTTACAAGACTGCTATTCAAAGTGCTATTCCACAGCTATGATGAAAGTCAAGTGCTAGCCATCTAAAAAACTGCCAGCCTAACAAGGAGATGGATGAGGCTCCAGTCTCCTCAATCATAGCGAATGCATACTGCCTTTCTGCTTCCTTGAAGTGCACACACTGGATCTGGCTAGAATACAGTCAGCCTGGCCACTTCTCTCTTACATAGAAAGCTGACAGTCATACACTAGTCCATCTGGCTCACTGGTATCTACACTGCTTGGCAGCGGCTCTCCAGGAGATGTTGGAAATTGAACCTGGGATATTCTGTATGCAAAGCAGATGCTTCTTCCACTGAACTAAGGCCTCTCCACAAAATTAATGTTAACTTTGAATGCCTAGGCCAGAACAACAGCTCTGCCTAACCAGAAAACACACTGTCAGCATATTTTTAACATTCTAAGCATTCCAATGAAAGCCCCATATCCTATGAGGAACTGTTTTTGAGGCTCCTGGTGAACTGGAGGAGTTGGGGAGGGCAGACATTCCTATTCCATCACCAAAAGGGCAATTTCACAAAGGAAGGGACCATTTCTACCTGATGTTCAAGAGAATCTTATTACGGTACTACTGAAAGGGCAAATGCAGCTAAAAACACTGCTGGATGCACAACGCAAGACACAGGCTCATCTATTTCTTTGATTGATAGCAAAAGATTGATTTATATTTATGATGTATTTATTTATTAAATTTATATACAGTCGTACCTCTACTTACGAACGTGATCCGTTTCGGGGTGCCATTCGCACCCCAAAAAGTCCATAAGTAGAGTGTTGCTACTGCGCGGGCGTGAAGCGCGATAAGAGTGCTTCTGCACATGCATGAAGTGCCCAGATTGCTTCTGCGCATGTGCGAAGCACATAGATCGCTTCTGCGCGTGCGGCGAACCCAGAACTAAACCCTTCCGAGTTTGCCGCATTCGTAACCTGAAAAGCCACAACGTGAAGCAAACGTAACAAGAGGTATGACTGTATATTTATTTGCATTTAAACTTATTGCGTTCATATCACACTTTCTCCTCCCTCCCAAAAAAGGAGCTCAAGGTTCTCCCTTTCCTCATTTAATTCTCCCAACAACCCTGTTAGGTAGATGGGCCAGCCAAAATATTTCAGCCTCAAGGTCACCCAGTGAGCTTCATGGCTGAGTGGGGACTTGAACCCTGGCCTCCCAGGTCCTGGTCTAACATTCTAACCACTATGCCACAGTGGCTGGCCATGTTTTGCAACCTACATTCTGCCTTTATAATTCTCCCGCTGGTGGAGATTGGCAGAAGCAAGATGTCCTTGCAGTTCTCAAGTATCTTGCAGAGTGTGAAGGCAACCAACAAGGACTGAGGATATTCACAAAAGACACAGGCTCACCTTCAGATGCTGTTCGGCAGAGATCATGCTGTAATAGCCGCAGCACTGCTCTGGAGACACCATTGCTCTTATCTCCTCTTCGGTGGGCAGTCTGAAACCTGGCTTTAGTTTCCACCAGTTTGAGTACATCTCTGAAAGAAGCAGAGGTCCCCGCTGAGTCATACCAGGAATGATACCTGATCTGCATTTGTAAGAACTCTGCTCTTTTAGTGTGGCAGGTCCTATACTTTGGAACTTCCTGTTTCTTGACGCCAGGCACTGCACTGCTAAAACCGTTTTTGTTTAGATAAGCCTACGCAGGTGCTTAGAATGTTGATGTGAGTTTTAATCTGTCTCTGGCCTACTGTCCCTTCCCCTTATAGTCTGAGCAACAGGAGAAGCAGGTAGACAACATGCCAGAACCCACAGCCAAGGTGGAAAACCAAATATATACATATCGGAGACAAATAAAATATCAATAAATGCAGATTCAGTACCCCAAAACACATTCTACCCAGACTTTTGCAATCACAGGGTGGTGAAATATGTTTCTCTATCAAGGTTTGAGATTCTTTACTGCATTTTATATTTTATCTGATCTTAACGTTTTTTCAGATCTGTCTCCTAATACTTAAAACGGGGGGGGGGGGGTACAGTTTTCAACAGCTTCCAAAAGCTTTTCTCCCTTGCTGATCAGCCATTTTTTAAAATGTTACTTTGACCCTGGAAACAGATGCACAGAGCACCCCACTCATGCTTGTAAAGCAAATAAGGGGATATCGGAGAAGAATGTGTGCAGGTATGGGGAAGCGCTATGCTATAGACAATTAGGCATGGATACAGGGAGGCAAGCCTTGGGAATAAAAGCAGAGAAGAGTTCCTGTGATGAAAAAGGCATTTCCACGTCCTAAGGGTCCCAACCGGTCAGTCTGTGAGGCCAGAAGCCTACCTAGGGCTCTGAGGATCTTAGGAACCTGAAGGAGGAGGTGACAAACTGGTAGCGGCTCCCCAAGGTCTCAGCCGCAACAGAGACATTCCTGTTACTTGTTGCCTGGTCCTTTTAAGCAGAGATAACAAAGGCGAAACGTGGGAGCTTCTGGAGGCAGAAGCAGTGGCCCTCCCCAGGAAAACAAGGCTATGCTCAGTGACCACCTCAGCAAAGTGGGGCTTCCCAGGAAGGCTAGTGCCTGGTATTGCAAGGGAGCACAAGCTTACGTGTGCGCTCATAGACTGCACAGGGCTTCAGCTGCTTCCGGACCCTGGTGTCTGAGACCAAAGGAAATGCGTTCCTGATATCCTCCATGCGGATCCTCCGGGGTTCGTCTCTCTTACTGAACAGGCGGTATATGAAGGCCTAACAAGAAAGCCAAAGGAACAGCTTGAGATGCCAGTGGGCTACGATTGTGTGGCAAGAAGGGAACCTGTGCATAGCCAAGCCCAATGACCTCTTAATGGGGGCCGTTCAGTCCTCTAAGGAGGGATCTAAATGATTCAGGCCTCAAATATCTGAAAGACCACCTCCTTCCCACAGAAGGCCTCTTGGTTGTTCCACTGCCTTCAGAAGCTGGGGGGGGGGGCGTTTCCAGGATAGGGCCTTCTCTGTGTTAGCCCCTAAGTTGTCCACAGAGGGGCATCTGGCACAGTTTGGTGAACGCTCGATCCACCTCTCTTTGACACTTGTATATTTTTAGGACTCAACTCACCTTATTTCTGAAATTTTGTTTCAAACTGTTTTTAACATTGGGTTTTGATTGCTGTAACCTGCCCTGGGACCCTGGGGTAAAGGGCAAGTAAGAAATTGTAATCCTCAGCAAGCCTTGGGAGGAGCATACAAAACTTTCCGGGAGACATTTGGGGTTTCAGGCAGCCCCCTGGGACAGCAACCAAGCTAATGGAGATTCAGAGCCTGGAAAAAAGCACCAATGGGGCTCAAATGAAAACGGGAGCCGTTATGAGAGCCCTTTTGTCTCTCATCCTCAGGCAACAGCGGAGGTGGCTCAATCTGTTTCTGGCATCCCCCTCGTTGCACATAGCTGAGTCTGTGCCTTCAGTACGGATCCACTTGGCAAGAAATGGGGGCACTTGAGTATCATGAAGACTTGAAGCTCGAGCTGTGCAATAGCACCAAACCCAACAATGAGAAGCTGGTGGTGATCATTGGGCAGCAAGAGCCCCAGTGAACAAATGCCTAAGATCTGTGTGTCACATGCATATAAGGTTGCCTTGTCCAGAGTGCTTTTTCTGTCCTATTTTATTTGCCTGTGATTCTGGGAAGGGGATATGAACAATAAGGCTGCATACTTGATAGGCAGCACTGCCCTAGCCCAAACCTAGGGAAGAACTGCTCAGTACACCAGATGACACATCCGCCTCATGTGAATCCGCATCCAAGATATTGCCTGCACTGCATCCAATATATTGAACAAAGATTTTTTCCTCTTGACAGAAGCCAGCATGGAGATTTCCTGATGCTGGGATACGTCAGAGCTGTCATGGCAAACTTGGTATTACTGTGTTGCACACAGCACTGGTTGAAAAAGTGAAACATACTAATAGATTCTTAAGGCAAGTAGTTAATCCTGATGCATTTGACTCTAGTTGGTTTCCATTTGTTTCTTTTGTAAACATGAGCATGCAGAGCATTTGGCCTTCTAGAGGGCAGGGGTTATTTTGGAAGGACACTTGTGTTTCTGTGATAATGAAAATTTGTCAGTGCCTTCAGCTAAGCTTCTTGAAGGAGGAAAACAACCTTGCAATGTGAATTGGGGAGGGAAGGAGTGTCTTAGTTGTGCATGACCTTGTTTCATTTCGCAATGGTAAGTTTTATTGTATGCTATTTTGGAAAATACTAAAGAACAATTTTTTAAAAAAATTAATCAATAGTCTCAAGCAAGTGAGCCAAACTACAAAAGAGGGCAATTACTTTGAAGTTACTAGTGAACGTGAACCAATCCATTTTTGAGCTCAAATATGAACACAAAACTTTTTAACAGTCTGCCCTCTTGCACAGGCCCATATGCCACAGCTGCAACAACACTCCATTTTCCCTGAGCTTACTGCAGAGCTAATAACTTGCGTAACCCACAGAAGACAAACCTGGAGAAAGTCTCGAATGTGAGTCTTGGCACGTTTGGAGTTGGGTTGAGGAACTTCAAAGAGAGGACATTGCTGTCCAACCACAAATATATCCTGCAAATCCCGGATGTGGTAACCATTCTGATCCCGGATAACTAAGAAGTCTGTTTCCGGCATCTTGTGACGATAAATCGGAGCCCGGAAGAGATTGTTTTCAAATGCCTGTCAAAAGGAAAGGGGCTACCTTGGTCAACTGCAACAGGAGTCAGGGAAAGAAAAGGAATCCAACATGACCTTACAGACCAGCTTTAGTCCTTGAGAAATACAGTCAAACCTCGTTTTGCAGATGGGATCTGTTCTGGAGGATCTGCACGTCGAAATGCCACCTCTGCACATGGGGTGATTTAGCGCTTCTGCGCGAGTGGCGACCCTGGAAGTAACCCATTCCGGTACTTCCAGGTTTGCCACAGACATTCGCCAAAGCGGACGCAAGCAGAGGCGGATGCAGGATGAGGTTTTACTGTACTGGGATTCTCCATCAAACCCAAGAGACAGTTGATACACAGCAAGATCAAAGGCGTACAAGCAGTGCAAGCTCACTACCCACACACCAAGTCACCTTCCATTTTCCAAAGGTGACCAAAGTGCAAAACATTAGAAACAGCTAAAGTACTGGCTGCTTGCCTGCACACAGTTCACTGTGGCATTCTCTGAAGTCATGGGCCAGAGGGAGTACTGGATTGCTGTCCATGGGTGGGACTGCCATGAACAAGTTGTTCGCCCCCCACCTTCCCAGGTATCTGGCCTCTGCTGGTACCTTGGGGAGAAGCACTTACACCCAGAGTACAGACTCCCTAGCCATGGAAGAATTCTCCACCGCAACTCTAATGACCAAGTCCAAGCTTTTATTGTAAGTGTCTGAGAGTTTTGGCAGAAAGCATTCCTGCCTTCTTTTATACATCTTCAGAAGCCATGCAGGTGACTCACATCTTATGCTTATTTTACTTACGAGGTTGTGGCTTTGGAGAGGTACGGGGAGCGAAATGAAAAAATGGGAAGTGGAGGAAACCCACTCTCCGTTTATTTATTTCCCCCCTGCACAGCTGGGGTCGCAGGGAAGGCATCACAAGGACTCTGGCAGTGCCCAAGAGCTCCTGTGCCTTCTTGTCACGAGCCAGGAGTCAGTTTCGCCTGAACAGCAGCCTGGAGGAGAAGAAGGTGGAATGACTCCACCTGTAGCTGATCAGCCTTCAAGGACACAGAGAAGGCACTGATGAGAATCAGCTGTCTTCAGCCTTTTTAAATAGAGCTTCCAGTAGCAGTAAGATGCTGGAAACAATGTCTGTGGTGCCTGGCCTTACCTTGCTGCTTCCTGCTCTCCACCTGGGCTCTGTAATCATCTGGTTTCCCTGATCCCTGGACTGTCTGACTTCATATGTGGATTCTCCTTTCTGGTAAGTCTTCCCCAGAGACTCCTAGTCCTTGCTTGCTCAGCAACAGTACTCATACGGGGCTATGACACGCCTCTGCAAAGCCCGGCACCTTGCTTACCGGGCTTTGGGAAGGTGGTAGCTCTGGGACCCTGCCAGAGCCCTCGAGCCTCCTTCCCAAAAACCAGGCAAACACTTCTTGGGTTTGGGAAGGAGGTCACACAATTCTGAAGAACACACACAAACTCAATCTTGCCACCCCACCCATTGTGAAAGGCAGACATCTCACCTGGAGTTGCTGGCCTGGGTAAAGAGAACCCAAGAACGGGGAGGTTTGGCAGTAGGTGGTCTCCCCATATGGCTGCTCAGGGGGACCTGAATCTTTACCCGGCTTCTGCCAAAAGGAAATACAGCTTTAGTGAGAAGGGCAGCCTCAAGCTACAGAAGCTCAAACACCTGCAGCCAAACAACAGCACTCTCACCCGCTTGTAGTAGTTCTTGATCTTGGTTGCCATGCCAACCTGCATCATTAAGGGGGGGTTCTCCTCACTGTACTCCGCTAGGATAAGGTCTCCATCCTTGCCTGAGAGGTCTTGCGGAGTGCGCATGAAGAACATCTCCCCACCACCAGAGGCTTGCAGCGCACTCCTTCTCATCTGGGTGCAGAGAAAGTTGAAAGTACAAAGAGAGCAAATGCAGATAGCAAAGATGTATAAGACAGCGTCGGACAAAGGTCGGAAGTGCCAACACGTGGGACATCTTTCTATAGGTGCTGGACTTGTATATATATATATAAAAAAAGCAACAGGCTTTTGGGAAATGATACATAATGAAATAAAAAAAGTTTAAAATCACTGTTCCCCAAAAGCCTGAAGCATTCTTATTAGGAGTAATAGGATTAGAAATCCCAAAAAGGATGGCCAAGTTGCTTAAGTATGCGACCGCAGCAGCCAGAGTTCTGCATGCACAGAAGTGGGAAGGCAGCAAGGTTCCAATAAAAGAGGAGCGGATTTTGAAGTTAATGGACTATGTGAAGATAGCAAAAGTGATGGCAAAGAGACCAAAATGAGAATAGTATATGGAAGAATGGAATTTTTTCAAAAAGTATTATAGGCAAATAAAATTGCAAGCAGGCTTGAAGTGTAAGCAATGGAAGGGTAGCAAGAATGAAAAAATAAAGAAATGTAAAGTAGAATAAGTATCGTATAAAAGGCACCAGGTAATTGCAGGAGGGGGGACATCATGAATGGGAGGACGGGAAGTGGAATTGTTAAGTGTATAAATTGGGTTTTGTGTCAAGTTATAAAACCAATGAAGATTTTAATATTAAAAAATTATAAACCGACCAAACGAAGACAGAAACACACACAGCATCAGGTAGTTTCTCTCTGAGCCCCCAAGGTGGGAAAGAGTTGAGGGCATAGCTGTCAAAGCATCAGAGCCGAACCAGGAAATGGAGGCTTTACCTTGGCTTTCTTCTCGATGTGGTTTTGTAGTGACTGCACTGGATGGGGGCCAGGCTGGGACAAGGCCCCGACGGAGTATTTCTTCAAGGGGGGCCGGTGCAGCTGGCGGAGCTCTGTGGGGTCCAGGTGGGTGGGGAAGAAGGGCTGTTGAAGCTGCATTGCAGGAATTGAGTGCTGCACCAAGGCAAAAAAAAACACAACCCAAGCATGAACTTTCACTCGGGATGTACAAAAGTCTGGATGTACATTACCGCCAGCCAAAGGAACATGTCCCCATCCCAGAACAAGGGCAATCATGGGTCACAGAAGGGAAGGGGCTGAGGGATATGTCCACCCTATGAACATGCAATGCAAAGCCACATCCTAAGCCTTGGGAAGAAGCTCTGTAAGCATCCAATGGAAAGCTGGCTCACCAATCGTATCTGCACACAGAATCTTGTCCTATTGTGAAGATGCAAGGCTGAGCATTTTGCCACAGGCACATGGTTCTCAGAAGGCTGGAATTCTGCACGAGACTGCACTTTTGCACATTTAAACATGCATGCACATACAGAGAGAGATGATACCACTGGTTTTAACCTGGATGATGTTGCCTCCAAAGGTTCCATGAAGCCTATGCTTGTTTGGATAGTAAAATTCATCATTCGAAAGGTTCCAGGGGTCCTTCACCTCTGGGTCAGACATATTCTAGAGTTGCAACACAGGGAAGTTGAAGTCAGAATTTTTTCCCCCCTTCCATTTATCAGCCTTATGTGAAACAAACTGAGCCGCTTCCACAAACCTGTTGAGGCTCCTCCTGAATAACTCCTGTCTTGCTCAGGAGAATCCGGCTATTCCTTTGAGAAGGTTTTTTCTTATTTTCAGAAGGAGTGTTCAACGTCCCCTCGTCCTCCTCCTCCTCAGGAATTTCTAGGAAAGAACATACAATAAAAGTGTACTCTCAATGTCTGTCTGTAGGTATCCCCATCACCAAAGCACTTACACAAAGGAAGTCCATCTGAATGCATGACCCTTCACTGGCAACCTCTTTAAGAAACCTATTTGGACATGGACTGCTTATATTAATCTATACTTTTAAGTTAGGATTGATTGAATATTCTTATTGTTAATGCCAGCTGATGATATTTTTATCTCTTCTGTAAAATCTGCAAAAATATTTTAAAATGTAAAAAAAAGGGCCAACTAATTTTTAAAATACAATCTTAACTTAAAACAATAAGAGATTTAACTGACCTTCAAATCTGAGCCCATGATCCAATTCCCTCCCCATGGGATCTATTACATGACAGGTCACCTTACTCCTTGCTTCTGCAGGTTAAGTCCCATTGCTACATTGTGTGTGTGTGTGTGTGTGTGTGTGTGTGTGTTTGTGTGTTTGTATACACACACACACACACACACACACACACACACGAGTTAACTAATGGCTCCTCCAAAGGAATCAGAGTTCTATTAGATCCTCAGGCCCCTTACGCAACTACAATTCCCAGAATCCCTTGGGAGAAGTCAGGACAGTTAGGAGAATTTTCTGGGAGCTTAAAAAAAAAAAAAAAAGGAAGAGCTTCACCTGTTGTAAACAGCAGATTGCTCAGTAAAACATTCAGTCCAGTATACCTCAAGGAGTATCTCCACCCCCATCGCCCAGCCCCTGAGGTCCTAATCAGAGGGTCTTCTGGTGGTTCCCTCACTGCAAAAAGCAAAGTTACAGGGAACCAGGCAGAGGGCCTTCTAAGTAGTGGCGCCCTCCCTGTGGAACACCCTCCGTCAGATGGCAAGGAGATATAAAAAGAACTACACAACTTTTAGAAAACATCTGAAGGCAGCTGTGTATTGGGAAGTTTTTAATGTTTGACATTTTACTATGTTTTTATATATGCTGCAAGCCAGCCAGATGGGCAAGGTAAAAATAATAAATAATAAAATTATTATCATCATCATTATTTCCTCAGTCCACCTGAATTTTGCATCTATGTTCCCCAACCCAACCCTGCAAAATCACTGATCTCCAGAAAGCCAGAAATCTCTTGTTTCCAACCACTAGTAGGTCAAAGGAAAAGCATGGTGATTGTGTGAACAAACCCAGGACTAGATTTTCATCGTCTGAGTCAAGTGTCATGACCGATGGAGTCAAGACATTCTCCATTGCTTCATGGTCCCAGATGATGTTGTCCTCCCAACGGCCATAAATGAGCTCTCTGTTCTCAATGGGGAAAATAGAGTACCATGGCTTGCCTTCTTTCTGATTTGCTGCAACGACACAACAAAAGCACTCCTGTAAAGATCTCCAGAGAACTAGGACCCTGTCAAATTCCTCTTGCCCCTATCTACCCAAATGATGCTGACCACCCTCTCCAAAGCACAGACTTGACCCTCAGAAGATGTAAGGGCAGAGTGTGTGAATTTTGCAAGACAAAGAGGAAGAGCACATTGTCAATGGAGGGTGCTTCCTTCCACACAGAGGCTTATTGTAGAATCGATGCTGCTCATTTAACACAAGTTATCAGCATATGGGGAGAGGGTTTGTTTGTTTTTTGCCATGTGTGTGGTGATGACTCAGGTGATTGGTCCTTATCACTACAGCCCTGCTTCCATTTGTTCCTCAACACCCTAGCAATTTTATTTCCAGAAACGCAAAGGATACAAATGACCATATCTCCACTGACTGCCACATGCTTGAGGTACATTGGAATTTCAGCACCTCCGTTCCAAGGAACTGCTCTCTCAAGACCTCATAACGATATATGAGAAGTCCTGCCAACAGCCCAATTAGTCTAGCATCTTGTACTCAGTGGCCAACCAGATGCCCTAATGGGAAGCCCACAAGCAAGACCTCTCCCCTCCTATGGTTTCCAGAAACTGGTATTCAGCAGCATACTGTCTCCAGCAATGTAGGGAGAACATAGCCATCAGGGTTAACAGGCCTACATGGATTTGCCTAATCTTGTTTAAAGCCACCCCAATAGTGTCCTCTGCAGCTAAACCAGCATCTTTGGCAGTGTCTCTGAAGATCCTGCCTGGTTCATTGCATTCTGTGCTCCTGGGGGAGATTTGTTTTGGGGTGGGGGGGTCAAAGAGCCATCCAGGAACCCCAGGTGCTGGGATCTCTTGTCCTGGGGCAGGGACTCCCAGATTCAACAACTCTTCAATGGTCACTGACTGAGTACAGATCTGCTGCTGTTCCTCTGAATAGGCCTCAAGCTTGAAATGTGGGCAGGGCTGAAGCTGACACGTCAGACCTAGATCCTGCCAGGTAATTATTGCCCGTTCCCTTTTGCTGACTAACATAGAACATCTCTCCACTGCATGGTACAAGCCTCCTCTTTCCTCTCTACTGTTTGAGGAGCTGCTCCTCTTTGCTGAGCAAGGCCCAACACTCCCGACATGCTGGGCTTTGTGTGTCAGAGGGAGAGGCAAACTGAGCAGGCACCCACTGCAGTTCAGTCCTGGCAACAGATGCAAGAAGATGTTGAGGAGGCCAAACGAAGTCCAGCGGCACATGGTCCAAAAAGGGGCCAGTGTGCTTCTTGTCTATTTACTTGGCAATATCTTTAAATACTGCATAATCAACAACAACGAAACCCTCTAAGCCAGGGATGTCCACCCGAGGAGGAAAATGAGCCCACAATCAACCACAATTGACTTATATCAACCGGGGGTCGACCTGTCAATCGCCATTGACCAGTTGGACATCCCTGCTCTAAGCCATTCACATAAAACACACACACACACACAAATTCATTGAAAACATAAAATCAGACATTAAAAACAAACTGACAAATTGAGGAACTTTTCGGTTCAATAAGTTTGTGCAGTGAGGTGAAACGTCTCTGTTACAGGTATGTTTCGTATTGCTTTTGAAATCTATTTGCCGGGGGCTGGGTGGGGGTCGTACTGCTTTTATTCTATTATTTTGAGTTATATACTACCCTTCATCATAAGATTTCAGGGTGCTTCACAGAGTAAAATTGTAATCTGTTTCTTTGGCCTGTCTGTAAATCATTTTGATACATATATACTGCATATATAAAAGGGTTACTACTACAACTACTACCAATAATAATGTTTTGACAATGGTATTGTTACTAATGCAACCTGCAGCTTTAAAGATACATAATTATAGGAAGCTGATTTATACCAAGATTGGTCCATCAGTCTCAGTATTGTGGGCACTAACAGGCAACAGCATTCCAGGATTTCAGGCCACGTTTCCCAGCCGTACCTGAAGATGCTGGAACTGAACCAGGGACCTTCCGTGTGCGAAGCAGGTGTGCTCTGGCACTGAGATATGGCCCTTCCTCCAGTTGCCTGCTAACCTTACCTTGCTGGGTGCTGGTGGCAACGGCACCTGTCTTCGTACTGGAGGGCAACCAGGCCTCCTGCCTCGCTTGCTTTGCCTTGGGATCCTCCTTGATGTCATCCACGTTCCAGATCACGTCATCCTCCCAGTGCTTCTGGGTCACCATGAGGAAGTCCTCATCTGACAGCAGATTGTCCTTCTCAGCCTTAGGAGTCTGAAGGGAGAACAGAAAATGGTCAAGGTGCTGGTAGCTGCGCCCCTTACCTCCTCCTGCTGCTTTGGGAGAGGAAAAACAGAGCCCTTCCTCCACACCCACCTCCTCCTCTTTATGCTCCTTCATCTTGAAACCATAGTCAAAGCCGCTGCCATCCTCGGGGACGCCCAACATGTCATACCAGAACTTGGCAGGCCCATGGCGCCATTCAGCCACCTTGGACGTGGCTGCCACCTTTGTGTTTTTCTTAGACTGGGACGCCTTGGGCTTCACCGGTGCCATCATGGTGATCTGGAGGGGGAGAGGGAGTCAGAGGGTCAAGCGAGGGGAGCTGGATCCCACTGAAGCAATTACAATTAAGAGAGTTAATATGGACTGACAATGGGCAGCTTACAGGGAACTGCTGGATTTTACAGTGAGGGAACCCAGACTGAAACCTATGGAAGACTTAAGGAGCCAAGTTACAGATTGGTTGCAATAACACCAGTTACACAACATGTTTAAATGAGATAGAAAGAATTGATTTCTGGACCAAAGCTCACAATTTGAAGAGGGGGAAAAATCTTACAAAAAAAGGATAGACCTTTGTCTAAAATGTATAATTTTCTACTAGAACAGGAAACAAAAGACGAGCTTGTTAAAGCTTCAAAGACACACTGTGCAATAGATATAGGACACAATATAGATCTCAACCTCTGAGAGAAACTCTGGAAAAGTGACCTGAAATTTACTGAAAGTTATTCATGGAAAGAAAGTTATTTGAAAATGATTCATAGATGGTACTTAACTCTGAGTAGGTTGGCTATGATTTATAAAACAGAATCAGATATGTGCTGAAAGTGTAAAGAAGTGGAGAGAACTTTTTTTCACATGTGGTGGACATGTAACAAGATAAAAGTGTATTGGGAAATGATTTATAATTAATTGAAAAAAATATTTAAAACTACTCCCCCCCCCCAAAAAAAACCCAACCAGAGTCCTTTTTGTTAGGAATAACCCAGACTGAAGTTCCTAGGTGTCAGAAAAGGTTATGTATGCAACAGCTGCGGCCCATGTTTTGTTAGCCCAAAAATGCAAAGTGAGTGAGGTCCCAACTAAAGAGGATTGGCAACTTAAGCTGTCAGAAAATGCAGAACTTGTATATTTAACACATAAAATAAAAGAGCAAGAAGAACATATATTTAAAGAAAAGTGGAAATCATTTATTGAATATATGGAAAATAACTATAAAGCTGAAAATGCTGGAAGAACTAAGATAAATTCAACAGAGTAAATAATTTTTGATAGATGTAAAAGTGGAAAACTGATTTGAATGGTTATAGTAAAAATATGCAGGGATGTGTAAAATGAACCATGGAAAGAGTAGAAGGAAGTCACTAGATATTTTAAAGTTTGTAAAAGGTTTATTTGGAGATGTAAAATTGAAAACTTAATAAAAATTATTTTCTAAAAAAGAGAGGTGGTAGAGAACATCTCCAGAGGACTTGGACCATCCTCAGCACTGATTTGCACTTGGCATTCGCTTTGCAGAGACTAATATTTCTCAGCCAGCCTTCTTGGTAGGAAGAGATTCAGCTGTTGTTGGCAGGGGAACCTATGTCCTACAGCAAGGCAGACAGGAATCCACAACCTCTCTTTTGAAGTAGCAAAGAGGCTGTCTGGCATGAACTACATCCCACCCCTGCTGCTGTATTCCATAGATAAACTTTAAATGGTGCTTGGAACAGAGTCTGTCCTTGAAGCAAGTTGCTTAGCAATGAGAATCCTCCCCAGCATCAGGTGGGGCACCTCTGAGGGAGGAGAGATTCCGTGTCAGCCTGTGTCTGTGAGAGTCTGTCTCTCTAATTAGATGGCTGCAGGGAGCAAAGAGGCTCTCTTCATTTCAGAGAATCCTAGCATCTTAGAGTTGGAAGAGATCCCCAGGGTCATCTAGTCCAACCCCCTGCAATGCAGGAATCTCAGCTCAAGCATCCATGACCCAACCTCTGCTTAAAAACCTCCACAGAAGGAAAGTCCACCACCTCTCGTGGGAGTCCGTTCCACGACTGAATAGCTTTTACTGTCAGAAAGTTTTTCTGAATGTTTAGTCGGGATCTCTTTTCTTGCAACTTGAAGCCATTGCCTTGAGTCCTACCCTCCAGAAAAGAAGCTTGCTCCCTCTTCCATGTAACGGCCCTTGAGATATTTGAAGATGGCTACCATATCTCCTCTCAGTCTCCTCTTTTCCAGGCTAAACAGACCCACTGACAGAGAGCTGGACTGCTGTGAAGATGCTGGAAGGCTTTCTAAGTAACTCTGCTGTGAGACAGTAAAAGCAGCGAACACACTAACAATCCCCTACTCCATCCTCCTCTCTGCTCCCAGAAACCCACCTCATCGTCAGAAAGGCACTGCTCCGGAGGAGGAGTTGGGGCAAACTTGTACTCCCAGGACGATTTGCCTTCTGTGCCTTCCTCAGTAGCAGCTTCTCCTTTCTGGAACTGTACTTTCTGAGTTGATTTCTGGTGCTGCTTCTTCTTCTTCTTCTTGAGCCTCCCATGGACTGTGCTCCAGACAGATGGGGCATTTTTGCCAGGGTCAAAGAGGCGCAGAAATCGCAGCGCCTACAGGGAAGGACAAAGAAGTGAGCGAAGGTTGGGAGGCATAAGTGGCTGGTCTCTCTGATCACTCAGGGCATGTCAAGCATGGAAACATTAAGTTTGCCATCAGGCCGCATCTCTCTGTCACTCTAGCTGGCTGTGGAGGCAGTCCTCTCCAGGTGGGTTTGCAAGACCTGCAGAAGGGGTGGGGGAACTTCTGCAACCTGGGGGCCACATTCCCACATGGCTAACCTTTGGTGGGTCGCATGCCAATGGAGGAAGAGTCCAAAACGTAAACAGACATAGCCCAAGAGAGCTGGGCCAGAGCTGGTGGAGGGTGGGACCACCCCACGCTTGCTCAAGCATTATACACATACAGCACACAAATTCATTCACTCACTCACTCTCATTGCCTCCCTTACACTCATGGGCACCCATATCCATTCCATCAATGTAGCATCTGCGCCTGCAACAATCAGGCTTGCCTAAAAGGCTCCTCCCAGAGTGAACAGGAGGCTTTTCTGAAGCCCAACTGCACTAGAGCCGCACTTTCAGTTTGGGAGGGGGAAGCACCACATTTAAGCTTCAAATCTGGAGTCACCTGGAGGCCTTTCCCGACCCTAAATGTGGCTGGGTGGGGTGGGCTGCGGAGGTGTATGCTGCCGAGGAGGGAAGGGCTATCCTTTTCCTCCCCAGCTGTACCTACACCCACCTCCAAATGACAAGCTTTGAGACAGTCCAACACAATAAGCCATGTCCAGCTTTCTCTCATAGGGCACAGTATATGGAGGTACCAGCGATCTTGTTGCTCTTGGGACTTATTCACATCCTGGGGGCAGGTGGGGGGCTATTAGTGCTGAAAAGTGCTTTTCATTAGCCTCCAGCCTGAGCTCCCCACAGTCATTACACATACCTCAAGCTTGGGAATTTACGCTAATCATTTGGGACCACAAGAGAACCCTCACCTGAAGAAAAGGAGATGCACCTAGCTTTTTACACTCTTACTAGGAATTGGCAAGGTAACTGCATCCTGAGACAGGAAGCCTGGAAGGATTGGGAGAGGAGCAGGAGACACAGAGCCATCTCAGGGCTCCGGGGGCCAAAATGGAAGTTCACCATACCTGAAATGTGCTCACCCAACAGCTTCAGTCTGCAGAACTGACACCATTGCAGGTGCTGTATAATACTTGCCCTGCCTTTACACTTTGGGAATTTACACTATGGAACTCGCTGCTAAAGGCACTTTTGCTTAGACAAGCCTACCCAAATATGTAGAATGTTGCCATGTGCTTTAATCTGTTTTTAGCTTATTGTTAAATGCAATTATATTTTGTTTTATATAGATGTTTGTAACTATTGTTACTGATAATTTTATTGTTTTATTCCTTCTGCAAACTGTTTTGGGGGTGGGGGTGGGGGGAGGATTTACAATCAAGTGGTATATAAATTTGTGAAATAAACAGAAGTACAGAGAGAAATCGCCCATCCTTCTACCATGAAGTGCAGCCTTTCATTCCGACTCAACCCTCAAGCCCTACCTTGCCTGGCCGGAATTCAGGGAACAGGTCTGTGGCGCTGGGCAGCTGCTCGGTGGCATCTTGCTGCATTATCCCTGCAAGCGGAAATGTAGACTTGTCTTCCTTGGACTGCTGCTCAGATTCAGAAGAGGAAATGGTGGGCAGCTGGATGGCATTCTCGCTGTCTTCATTCCCTGGAATGGAGAGCATCTCTCAGAGAGAAAAGAAAGAAAATCTCTGTTCCGTAACCTCAACATGGCAGAAAGCTAATTCAGGCATTGAAGTGGAAAGAAGAGCAGTGTTTCAAATGGAACCCGGCATCTTGAGAATTGCAGCTTGCATTCGGGACAAAAGTGGTGTGGTGTGGGGCAGGGCAAGGGAAGAGTCACAGAGAATCCTCTTGGGCATGCCCAAAGCCACACTGACCCTGCACTCAAGAAGTCTGAATGACCCAGATCAAGTTCTCCCACTACCAGTAGATTCTGTGACTGTCGAGCTATTGCGCAACCATAAATCCTTAACGTAATGAGATGAGAGCTAGGTGTTACAATGAAAAATAACAAGTGGAGTACAGTGTGCTTGTTTTGCTCCTGTATACCTTCTGCTTACCCCTGACTCTAGAGGGCTCACAGTCACATCCCATGAGTGCATACGCACCAGAATAAGTTGTGTCCTGTTCCTCCAGTGCTGGAGGTGGCGGTGGCGAAGGAGTCATCAGCCTGGAACTGATTTCTTCAGAGCCAGAAACAGAAACACCACCTAAGGAAGAAAGGGGGGAACTCAATGATGGGCAGCCCTTCCATCTCATCGCACCTCCAGTTCGTTGTCCTTGTTAAAAGCCACCAGAATTAACATTCCAAGAAGACCCAGGCATCCTCCATCATCTTCTATTCCCACATATTTCCCCTCACTCAACTAGTTATTTCTGTCATTTTTAGGTTTCCTGTGGGGAAGGGCTGAGGACCATCTGCTTTGCATGAAGAACACCTCAGGTTCAATCCCCAGCATCGCTAGGCATGGCTGCGATAGGCCTAATTTGAAACCCTAGAGAGCCACTGCTAGTCCATGTAGACAACACTGAAAAAGATGGAGCTATGGTCTAAGGCAGCTTCCTATGACCCCCAATAATAATAATAATAATAATAATAATAATAATAATAATAAATTTTTATTTATACCGCACCCTCCCCAGCCAAGACTGGACTCAGGGCGGCTAACAACCAATAATAAAAACAAGTTGATTAAAATACAATTTAAAAAGATTAAAATACAACATTAAAACATTAGGATGTAGCCTCTTCACCGGAGGAGAAAAGAAAAAGAAAGAGGGGGAGGGAACCAAACTGATTCTAAGCCAAAGGCAAGGTGGAACAACTCTGTCTTACAGGCCCTGCGGAAAGAAATCAGATCCTGCAGGGCCCTGGTCTCATGAGACAGAACGTTCCACCAGGCTCTGTTGAGAAGACCCTGGCTCTGACTGAGGCTAATCTAACTTCCTTAGGGCCTGGGACCTCTAGGGTGTTGCTATATATGGACCTTAAGGTCCTCCGCGGGGCATACCAGGAGAGGCGTCCCATAGGTACGAGGGTCCTAGGCCGTGAAGGGCTTTAAAGGTCAAAAGCAGCACCTTAAATCTGACCCTGTACTCCATCGGGAGCCAGTGCAGCTGGAAAAGCATGGGTGAATATGCTCCCATGGCAGAGACCCTGTGAGGAGCCTCGCTGCAGCATTCTGCACCCGCTGGAGTTTCTGGGACAGCTTCAAGGGCAGCCCCGCGTAGAGCGAATTACAGTAGTCAAGCCTGGAGGTGACTGTCGCATGGATCACTGTGGCCAGGTTGGGGCGGGAAAGGTAAGGGACCAAATGCTTGATGCGACGAAGGTGGAAAAATGTTGCCTTGGCTGTTGCTGTAACCTGCGCCTCCATGGAAAGGGAGGCGTCAAGGATTACACCCAAACTCTTAATGGAAGGCAATGGCACTAATTGGGCCCCTGCAAGAGAAGGGAGTTGGTCCCTCATCCCCATACCATCTCGACCCAGCCAGAGGACCTCTGTCTTCGAAGGATTTAGTTTCAATCAGCTCCCACGAAACCATCCAGCCACAGCTTCCAAACATCTGGTCAGTGTGTCCAGGATCGAGTCAGTATGGCCATTCATCAGCAGATAGAGCTGAGTGTCATCAGCATATTGGTGACAACCCAGCCCAAAGCTCTGGACAATCTGGGCAAGGGGGCGCATAAGAATGTTAAAAAGCATCGGGGAGAGGATTGCGCCCTGCGGCACTCCACACACCAAGGAGTGGCGCAACGACATCTCCCTCCCACCCTCTGTCCCCGACCAGTGATAAAAGAGCACAGCCATTTACGGGCTATGCCCTGCATCCCCACGTCGGCGAGGTGGTGGTCCAAAAGATCGTGATCAACCATGTCAAAGGCTGCTGACAAATCTAAGAGAATCAGCAGTCCCGACCCGCCTCAATCCAGTTGTCTGCGGAGATCATCTATTAGGGCAACCAGAGCCGTCTCGGTCCCAAACCCAGGACAGAATCCGGACTGAAATGGATTAAAGCCGATGTTTCAGCGCTCGCTTCGGCAGCACATATACTAAAATTGGAACGATAAAGCCGATGTTTCCTCCAGAAAACTACCAAGCTGTTCTGCAACTGCTCTCTCAATTACCTTACCCAGATATGGGAGATTTGAAACTGGGCGGTAATTGGATAGATCTAAAGGATCTAGTGAAGTTTTTTTTAAGCGCAGACACACCATTGCTTCCTTCAGCTCCCCTGGGAATATCCCTGTGTCGAGGGACAAATTGATAATTTCAACCAGGGGAGTCCGTGCGATATCTGGGCACGCCCTAATCAGCCAAGACGGGCACGGATCGAGGAGGCAGGTGGTGGGCCTACCAGCTTGGAGGAGTCTATCCACATCAGCAGGGGGTATCCGATCGAAATGGTCTAACACTGGACCCGAGGACAATCGAGGGGCCTCCAGTTCTGTCACTGTATCTAAATTGGCAGGGAGGTCATGGCAGAGCAACAGGACTTTCTCTGCAAAAAAGCTCGCAAATGCCTCACAGCTGTGGGTCGAATTTGTGCTTAAATTTGGTTGTCCTCCTAAGGACGTTATTGACCTAATTATTCTAAAAAGTTGTGCTGGGTGAGAGCTAGCGGATGCAATGGAAGCTGCAAAGTGAGATTTCTTAGCAGCTTTCATAGCCATTTCATAAGCTTTCATAAGCGTCCTATAAGATGTTCTTGAGGCTCTGTCACAAGTCCATCGCCATACTCGCTCTAGCCATCTGAGATCCTGCTTCATTTTCCAGAGCTCCTCGGTAAACCAAGGGGCCCGGTTTCGACGGGGTCGCAGAGGGTGCTTAGGCACAATCTCATCAATGGCCGCCAAGAGCCAGTTATTCCAGTCCTCAACAAGGTCATCTAATGAGTCACCAGGAGGAGCAGGGTCCCGCAAGGCTTGTCGGAATCTATCAGCGTACATCTGTTTTCGTGGACGAGCCCAAATAGGTTCGCCACCCAAGCAGGGGAGGAGCGGGAAGTCAATCTTGGCTTTCAGAGCATAGTGATCAGACCATGGCACTTCCACGGGGGGTGGGGGGAGCATGATCACATCTATGCCAGCACCAAAGATCAAATCAAAGGGCAGCAGGTTGGGAATGTGCATAAGCACAACCAACATCACAACTCAGCCTGAACCTCCAATATAAGGCTGGGATACAGTGCAATGAAATCCACTGAATAAATAAATGGCACAACACAGACCAGTCAGAATTCATTTGGATTACAGCAGCCCAATGCAACCCTCGAGGGCCCCCAGACGAAGGGTAATAGATCAGTGGTAGATCATCTGCCTTGCATGCAGAAGCTCCCTGGTTCAGTTCCTGGCATCTCCAGGGGTATTTGGTAGAGACTCCTTGGCTGAAACCCCAGAGAACGGCTGCCAGCCAGGGAAGATAATACCTAGGTGGGCCAGGCACCTGGCCCAATGTAAAGCATTAGTGGAGATTAATAATAATAATAATAATAATAATTTATTTATATCCCGCCCTCCCCAGCCAAAGCTGGGCTCAGAGCGGCTAAAAACAGTAAAAATAGCACAGTTTACATAAAATCACAGTCAATTAATTGAAATACATTCTAAAATCAATTCAGTCATGGTAAGTAGCCACTGATTGCCTCATCTTCCATGGTCTGGCCATGTGAAAGAAGGTTGTCCTTTGGCTAGCCAAGCCTGAGACATATTTGCAAGTGATGACTTCAGACAGAAAAATGTGAAAGAATCCAAGGGAACTAGCCACTTTCTCTTTTTAAAAAAACTTTCCCCTATTCCCCACAGCTGAGACACCTGCTATGGGAATGGAAAGGCCTAGGGCTAAAACATCCAATTAATGCAATCTTCATTACCATCAGCTCCTGTAACAGGGGCCAAGGTGGGCAGAGCAATGGAAAAGCATACTATGCAAGACTGACTCCGTTGATAAAATGTTTACCAGGAGCAGAAACCAGGGTTGCAATTATTAAAGGTATAGGACTCTAAAGAAGAAGAGCAAGAGAGAACCAGCACGGACATCAGGGCAGCAGGAACCAGCTTGATCAGTTATGCCAAAGGCGACAGAGGAAACCATCTGCCACCGCTTACCTGCCCTCACAACTAGCTGAGGGCTGCATACCACCTGCCCACTGTGGACATCATCTTCAACCAGCTCGGTAATGTCAGAATAATCAACAGCATTGTCATTACTCTTAACCCAGCCTAGTGGTGGAGGGAGAAACAGAAAACACAGCAAAATTACAGATCCAGCAGGCAACACCTTTTTCCTATCACAGCTTCTGCACACACATTCATGAAGGACGTGGGAAAAAGGAGTATGGCTTTCGCAGGAGTATCCTAAGCCTCATTCCCACCAGCAACTAGGCATGATGATAAAAGCAAAAGTGTAATACGTCCTGCTAAGGAACAGATGATTGTTATTATGTCTTCATATGTAAAACCACAGAATTCAAAGAGGGCGCACTTTCTTTTTCCCATGACTGTAAGGGAAACACCAAGGCAAGGAATGGGTGGGAGGGAGGGAGGGAGGGAGGAATACAATATTTAATTCACAGAATATGAACAAACCAGGTGCAGATAACAAATCACATAGAAGCTGTTGGCATAGGGCTTGTGCCAAGCACGTGCAGCTCCCCAAGCATGTAGGTTCATGGCAGTGCAGTTTGTGCTGGAAGAAATTCAGTCAGACTCCAACTTTTCAGTCAGTTCAGTACTTACTGACAGGTCCAAAGCATTAAGATAGTTTCACTGTATACATAAAGTACAGGCTTCCACTAGATCCCTGGTAGAAGGTGCAGGCTTCAAATGCAAAGCAAGTACAACTCACAGCATACATACAACACAAAGCTCAGTATCAATCTGGCAGAGCTTCCTCACAGCAAACCGAACAGATAATGTACAAACCCTCTCTTAATATACTCAAGAATGACCATAACCTTGGCTGGTTGCCAGGTCACAGCGACCTTCAAACACCAATCACAAGATCTGCAGGTGTAAGATAAAGGAAGCCATGCACCAAATTTTTCTGAACAGCAATTAAAGGAACCACAACACATAGGAACCATCACATATAAACCCCTTCAGTCCCAGTGCAGAATATCAGCTCCCCTGATGGAATCCAGTTTAGCACTAACTTTTGTTCCACTGGCATAAGGATTTATGCTTAGACATCTGATTTCTGCCTATTACTGTATTTTTCGCCCCATAGGATGCACTTTTTCCCCTCCAAAAATGAAGGGGAAATGTGTGTGCGTCCTATGGGGCGAATGCAGGCTTTCGCTGAAGCCTGGAGAGCGAGAGGCATCGGTGCGCACCGACCCCTCTCGCTCTCCAGGCTTCAGGAAGCTATCCGCAAGCCTTGCACGCCCGGCGGGAGGTCCCGCCGGGCGCACGAGGCTTGGGGCAGCAGCTTGCCGCCCGAAGCACACGGAGCCCTCCGGAGGGCTCCCCGTGCTTCGGGCGAGTGTCCGCAAGCTTTGCGCGCCCGGCGGGAGGTCCCGCCGGGTGCGCGAGGCTTGGGGTGGCAGCTTGCCGCCCAAAGCACGGTCCCGCCGGGCGTGCGAGGCTTGGGGCGGCAGCCTGCAGCCCGAAGCACGCGGAGCCCTCCGGAGGGTGCCCCGTGCTTGGGGCAGGTGTGCGCCAGGCTTGGGGCGGCAGCCGCGGTGGGGGGGGAAATAAATTTTTTTATTCATTTCCCCCCCAAAAAAACCGAGGTGCGTCCTATGGACCGGTGCGCCCTATAGGACGAAAAATACGGTACATGTGGCTACTTACTACCAGACAAGCATTTACAAGATTATAGTCTGTAATCTTCAGATCTCAGTGTTTTCCTTTTGCTTTCCTGGATCTAGCACTACATCCAGGACTGTAAACAAAGAAGATCTGAGAGGGAGTCCTGGCAAAACTTAAGCTCTGCCTAGGCATCTAACAAAACACTAAAATTAACAGAAGAGTAGCATCTTTATCTGTCCCTTGCATCATCAATCTATGAGAAGATCAAACCCAGAGGAGAGCATGACCTTAACAAAACTGATCGACAAAGAAAAAGGTTTTAAGCTCTACTAAAAGAAATCTGGGAGGGAACCAAATACATCTCTGGGGAAGGGGAGAGTTGGAGCCACAAACAAAAAGAAAGTCCTATCACATGTGGCTACTTCCTCTCAGGTAAGAGTTTACAAGATTGCAACCTGAGGTATATAATTTCATCCATTTCTTCCTGAAGCATCTGTGCTAATTGTATATAACGTTGTGCTATTGTATTGGGGGCTGGCAGGTGGCGCTGTGGGTTAAACCACAGAGCCTAGGACTTGCCAATTAGAAGGTCGGCGGTTCAAATCCCCACGACAGGGTGAGCTCCCATTGCTCGGTCCCTGCTCCTGCCAACCTAGCAGTTTGAAAGCACGTCAAAAGTGCAAGTACCGCTCCGGCGGGAAGATAAACGGCGTTTCCGTGCGCTGCTCTGGTTCGCCAGAAGCGGCTTAGTCATGCTGGCCACATGACCCAGAAGCTGTACGCCGGCTCCCTCGGCCAATAAAGCAAGATGAGCGCCACAACCCCAGAGTCTGTCACGACTGGACCTAAGGTCAGGGGTCCCTTTACCTTTACCTAGCAGAAGCTGCCACTTTGCTACTAAGTCTAGCCATTGCTTGCAGATGCTGAGCAAGCATCACTAAAGCATCAACCAGCTGGACCTCTTTTTAATACACAAACAGGAGTCATCCCAGATCCTGAGACCAAAGCCCTTCTTCTACCCTAGACTTCCCCAACCTGGTGCCCTCCACATTCTGTTGCACCAAAAGTACCATCTTCCTTGACCATTGGCTGTGCGGGCTAGAGCTGATGTGAGCTGGATTCCAACAACATGTGGGAGACACCAGGTTAGAGAAGGCTGTTCTACCCCAGACCCCCAAGGCAAAAAGGTTATCTCACCTTCCTCATCCATATGGGCTTCATCTACCACAGAAGCATCATATTCACCGGCTGTGGCTTCGGTTATGTAGCTCCCCAGATCCATTGCCCCTAGATCAGCCAAACGTTTTTTTGTTTCCTGGGAGAAAGAAAGAGAACAGAAGTTGGTCAGAAGTGGAAGGAAAGACAGTATTATGGAGTAGAGTTGGGAAGGCATAACTGCAAAGTTATTAGGAGGACAAAGCAGTAAGTTGCACTGCAGATAACATCTAGCCACACTGCACTATTAACAGAAATGCATACCTGGGAGCTATACAAGATGTGACAGTAGTTTTGATGGCTGAGCACGTTTTGTATGCAGGAGGCCCCAGATCCAGTCTTCAGTATCTCCAGTTAAAAAGATGCAATGCTGAAAAAAATCTCTGGAGAACCACTGCTAGTTAAAGCAGATAGTGCTGGTTTAGAAGAACCAGAGGTCTCATTTGATATAAGACTGTTTCATATGGAAGGTGGGTGGGGGGAGCACTATGGGCTCAGTGACAAGACCTCAGTGACATTCAGTCTTTGGCATCTCAGACTGAAGGACAAGTGGGGAAAAAATCCTTCTCTGCCTGGAATATCTTGCAGAGGTACTACCAGTTACAGCAGATGTACAGCTGCAAGAAGAATGTGCGTGTGTGTGTGTTTCAATAGCAGGGAAAGGGGCTTCTAATTAACGCTTTGTCCAATGCTGTAGCTTTAATCAGCTTCAATCAGCTATGCTTGTTAGAAAAGGCTCCCACGCACTCATGCAGGAACTTTCCCAGCCCCTTCTTGAAATGTCAAGGTCGAACCAGGAGGCTTCAGTACACAAAGCACATCCTCCACAACCAAACCATTGGTCCACCTAGTCCACCATTTGCTATTAATGTGATTGGCTCTCCAGGCTTTCAGGCAGGAACTCTCCAATCCTTACATTGAGATGTCAGGGATTGATGGAAGAGGGCGAGAGGGTTTCTTGATGGGGGAGGGGGGAGGGGCTTCTGCACACAGAGCACATGCTCCAAAACCAGACCAGTGGTCCCCCCAGCCCAGAATTCTCCATGCTTGCTGGAAGTGGCTCTGCACTCCCTCAGACATGAACATTCCTAGCCCCACCTTTCAATGTCAGGGGTTGAACTGGGGAAGGGGGCTTCTGCACACAGAGCACATGCTCCAAAACCAAACCAGTGGTGTCCCCCCCTGCCCCCAGGGGGCAGAAGAAAAGAGAAGAGGAAAGCAAGTCTTCAGCCACCAGCGATGTCTATGTATCATCCAGAAAGTAAAGCCGGAGAAAATGTGGTAAATTTAGAACAGAAATTTTCCCCCTGAAAAAGAAGAATTCCCCCCCCCCTTAAAAAAAGAGGGCACATGACAACCCTAGATATTTGCTACGCTTTTCTGCAGGAGCTCTCCCACTCCTCCCTGGCGACTGAGGAAGAGCTCTTCCCCATGCGGAGCAAGCCCCCTAACTATGGAGCTCCGGTCCCGGGGCGACTGCTCGGAGAGTAGCGAGCCCCAGCCCCCTGCCTCCGAGAGGAGACCACCTCGTCGAAGAGCTCTTCCCCATGCAGAGCAAGCCCCCTAGCTATGGAGCTCCGGTCCCGGGGCGACTGCTCGGAGAGTAGCGAGCCCCAGCCCCCTGCCCAGCGCCCAGCGCCAGCCCCCTGCCCCCGAGAGGAGCCCACCTCGTCGAAGTTCTCTTCTCCCTCGAGCTGGCCGTGGTCGTTAATGTTGCCGAAGTGTAATGCGGCCAGGGAGAAGGGCTTGGCTGCTGCCGCCGCCGCCGCTTCCTCGCCGTCCGTATCTGACATCTCCGCCAAGCGGTATCTGCAGGTGCCGCCTCCAACAGCGCCATTTATTTCAACTCGGGTTTGTTTATATCGGAAGCGGAAGTTGCGCCGCGTCTCGCCGTATTCATAGAGAGCAGCCATGAGGGTAGAGCGGCGCTAGACTAGCGAGTTTGCTGTGGGACGGGACGCGGGAGGCCTGTGAAGAACGAGGAGGCGTGGCTTCCCACTACGCCGGGCTGAGCGAAATGAATGAGCGATGTCATAGCTCAAGTCGGCAGAGCGAGCGCGGGTTGCGGGCTTCAGCCCCCATGCTGGGAGAATAGATTTATTCCGGGACCCTTGTAGTCCCTTACAGCTCTTTTGGTTTTATAAATGAATCTTTTGTTACATCACACCATCTCCCACGAGGAGCTCTCAAGTGGCGAAGTTGCTGCTGACGGTGCTCCTAGTCTATCCTCTACACAACCCCACTAAGTAGGGGATTATATGTTGGAAAACCCAGGACTTTCTCCCAACCTGCATGCAGTTAACCTGTGGAACTCCGACACAATGATGTGGCAACAAATTCTTACTCAAGACTGCTTTTAAAGGGGGGGGGGGGGGGTAACGCTGCAATCCTAAACTTCCATACCTGGGAGTAAGCCCCATTTAATTCAATAGCACTTACCTCCGAGTAGGCATGCTTAGGCTTGCACTACTGAAACATGTTCCACGAGGTGGCAGCAACATAGCTGTCAACTGTTCCCTTTTCTTGCGAGGAACCTTATTCGGAATAAGGGACTTTCCCTTAAAAAAAGGAAAACTATGGGCAGGAAGAAGGGGGGTAGCAGCAGGCTTGGGACGAAATCAGAGCTTACGTAGCTTAACGCAATACCAGTGGTTTACCCGGAAAGATGAAATTAGGGAGCTGAAACAGTGAACAGAAGCACTGCACACTACTTTAACTTACAGGGCCACAGATGCCTGCTGGTATTTTTATATTCATTGTAAACCACTGTGCTAATTTGTTTTGAAGGGCAGGTGGTGTGTGAGGGGGTAATTTTAAAAATACAACGGGCTACTGCAGGGTGCTAGACTGGATGGCATTTGGCCTGACCCAGCAGAGTTCTTGTGCTCTTAAGGGAAGACAGAATAGATTTGCATCCACATAAAGGTAAAGGGACCCCTGACCATTAGGTCCAGTCATGACCGACTCTGGGGTTGCGGCGCTCATCTCGCTTTATTGGCCGAGGGAGCCAGCATACAGCTTCCGGGTCATATGGCCAGCATGACTAAGCCGCTTCTGGCAAACCAGAGTGGAAACGCCGTTTACCTTCCCACCGGAGCAGTACCTACTTGTCTACTTGCACTCTGACGTGCTTTCGAACTGCTAGGTTGGCAGGAGCAGGGACTGAGCAATGGGAGCTCACCCCGTCGTGGGGATTTGAACCGCCGAAGGTCGGCAAGTTCTAGGCTCTGTGGTTTAACCCACAGCGCCGCCCGCGTCCCTTCGCATCCACATATATTCACACAATTGCTTGTTTTGGGAAATGGGTAAGTTTTTATTGTGTTTTTTTTTTTAATGATATTTATTAAAGTTTCAAAAAATACAAAAAATACAGAATACAGAAAGAAAAAGAATAAAGTTTTTTAAAATATAACCAAAAAAGTAAAAAATAAAAAGAAACATACCAAATAAAACAGTTAAAAAAAACATTAATTTTCCATAACCTATCTTCCCTATACTTATTTCCCCGGACCTCCTCATACCTCCCTTTTTTGTATTCCAGTTCAATTTGTTAGTTCAGCAAATCCTTACCATTAAAATTACCCAGTTGCAAACATTTTTTCATATCTCTTAAAGCATTACAGCTAAAAACCTCTTAGTTTCTATCCAACATCCTTCTAAAATTCCTTAATTTTACAATATTTCTGTAAATAGTCTTTAAATTTCTTCCAGTCTTCTTTCACCGACTCTTCTCTCTGGTCTCGGATTCTGCCAGTCATTTCCGCCAGTTCCATGTAGTCGATCACCTTCATCTGCCATTCTTCCAGAGCGGGTAGATCTTGTGTCTTCCAATACTTTGCGATGAGTATTCTTGCTGCTGTTGTAGCATACATAAAAAAGGTTCTATCCTTCTTTGGCACCAATTGGCCAACAATGCCCAGAAGAAAGGCCTCTGGTTTCTTCAGGAAGGTATATTTAAATACCTTTTTCAATTCATTATATATCATTTCCCAGAAAGCCTTGATCTTTGGGCACATCCACCAAAGGTGGAAGAATGTACCTTCAGTTTCTTTACATTTCCAACACTTAGTTTTTATTGTGTTTTCTGCACAACTACCACCCAGCAGAAATCAGGCAAGGGTGAGGTGGCACTAGAGGTAACAGAAGTAGCATATGTCCAACTGTAGTTCTTGGACATTATAAATTTGGTCTGCCTACACCAAATTTGTGAAGGTCTGATAGAACAATGGAGTAGGAGACACTTCTGAAATGGAACAAAGACTTGATAAAGGTTACATTTAAACAGGCGTAGATGATGGTAGCTGCTGTACCATCCCTACTTCAACCTTTTAAGAGGCACTACTACTGTCATAACTCACATCCTCCTCTCCAGCTCAGAATGCAATTCTAGGCATGACTGGAGAGATATTTCCCTCAGAACTAAATGCAAGATCAAAGCTGTAAAAACAGAGGAACATTCTTAAAGGGAGCAAGGGCATTTCATAAAAGATCAAAGTTGCTCTAAACAAACTTGGTTCCAAGGAACTACAAATTCCTTATAACAAAAGCTCAGGGAGAAAGGGAACACTTTTTGAAACACCCCTTACGAAAAGAGAGAGAATGAATAACCAGACAAAGGAAAAAACCAAGAAAATGCTTTATTACAATTTAATTCTGCATAATTTAAAAATAACTCCGTTAGTCGCCATACAAATTTATTTTTTAACTATAAAATCAGTTGCCAGTGTATGTTTCAGTACCACACAGTCTCAGATTCCCCTTGCACATTAAGGCACATGTGGCACACCCATCAACCACGTAAAACCTCAACCTAGAGAAATTCCTTCCAACGGGCAGATCAGACAGCTATTTCACCTTGGCCCCTGCAGCACCCAGAATTATTTCTGCAAGGCAGATGAAGAAAGCTTTGCAAGTTTTTAGGGCCTGCACATTCTACACAAACATTCAAGTAAAAAACAAAACAAAAAACCTATTGGCCTGCAGAGCCTAGTCCACAATATTTCTGGGCCTAAAGGCACCAGAGCCTAACACAGTTATGATTTTATTTGATGTTCAAAAAAGCATTTGGATCCAGAGATCAGACCAAACCATATTTAACTGTGTTCCCTAGTCACCAAGAATGTGTCCGTCTCCACTTTAAATCCTGAGAATGGTCAGATCACAGCCAAAGGACCCAGGCTATGTGGGGAGGAGAAGAAAAGACCCAATTTCAATTGTAGTGATCTAGTCAGGTTAGCCTCAACTCTTAGGACTTCTAGGTGCAGATTTTGTTCAACCATGGTATGAACTACACTGGCTTTGCACCTGGTCTCAGTTATCTGTCTAGCTCCATTACGCCTGCATTTTATTGGCATCAATACCGAGGACAGCTCACAAGTACTGCGATTCTAAAGTCAGGCAAATTTTGCTCTCCATTTACACACACCAGATTTGTAATCAGAACAATCGTCATATAAAAACATAAATAATTCACTTCGAAATGGTGCTGAGCTTTAAAAAAAAAAAAAAAAGGAACAGAATTCTGCTCAGTATTGTTTTGTTCCTTGGCAGCAATGCAGCATACCTGTGGAGAAAACACTCATTTCTCAAGAACTGCAATTAACAAACTTGTTGATCAAATAAATAAGCTATCCTTGGCCAGAGAGATGCCATAGAGCATCAGGCTCCCAATAAACTAAAGATCTTGAATATGGCCACAAATCATCATAAGTAAAAAAAGTTCCTTAATGCCACTAGATTAAATCAGCTGTGGTGCTAGAAATGCATGTTTTCTTTTTAAAAAGCACTTGCACATGTTTTTTTTTCCAAGAAAGGGAAGTTAATATTTCAGTGAAAGTTAAAACCCTGCCTATACGCACCTATATTGGGTACCTATGTCTTAAAGAGGTCAACAAACCAGTGCAACATTTTAATAGCATTTACACCTGAAAGTTTAGAAGGCAAGAAATTACTGATATTTTCACCTGCAGGAGAAAACATAGTACTAATGAAAAGGCACAGAAATACAGTACTGCTTTGTAGCATTGGCAATTATATTAAAAAGGCAGGCGGGGTGTAGTGAGCAAATGAGACCTTCTGCTCTAGAGCAGGCAGATCTCTGCCATCTATACCACATTCATAAGATTTATGGTCAACCACAACATTCGGGGAAGGAGGCATATGCTGAGGAAATGGTGGGCACTGCCACGGTGCCCATGGACATAAAGGCCAGCCAGTCCAGAGTTTATATAAGGGTACCTGTAGCATAGCTGAGTTCAGTAAGCCTCCAACAGTATAAAACATACGTAAAATCAAGTGAGTGGGCACACTCTTCATTGTGGGGTTTAGTTGGCCTGGCAGCGATGCCATCAGGGCATCTTCCTACAGCAGGCACAGCAAGAGTATAATCTTGGAGTGATGGACTCTTATGGCAGGCTGAGAAAGGAAATCTCATCCTGTGGAGAGCAAGCCCAGCTTTAAAAGGATATGTGGCAAAGTCAGCTTTTGAAAGGATGCCTTGGCTTAATCACACAGCTGAGGGACACCCTCCAGAAACAGTAAGGAGCTGCATTATAAAGCCCAGTTTTCCAACCCTGAAAGCAAAAAGGGACCAGCTCCCAATCCCAGAACAAGTTTGTGGAACCTGCATCCAATTCCACGAAGAGGAGCAGACTAGTTTTGATCTTATTGAAAGCCCTCTCAGTTTCTAAATCTCTGTTACCACATGTGGTGCTTGCATCCCACAGTGGAGACATTCTAAAATTCAGAACATGTTCTCAAACACTCTTGGCAAATTGACAGAGTTATTGGAAAGGCACAGCCCTATCTATACAAAAGACAGCTAACTGATGGAGAAATTGTTAGGAAAAGCAACAGTGGCACATGAATCAAAACAGATTACTGTCTCCTTCAGAAAGGACTGTATCTTAGGTTTGTATAGCAAAGAAAGCACTTGTCTTGGACAGTCTCTCTTGGCTGCAGCTCTCCTCCACTGAAGAGATGGAGAATTAGGTAAGCACAGATACTGAGAATATGGCAGATAGGGTGATCTTAAAACTTGGAATTGATGTCTTTTGTTCCAGTCTGCTGGAACTGGCACCTGAACTGCAGGAGTACTTGCGAAAAGAAATATATCTCTTTAGAGCCATTAGTGCAAGATGCAATTAGATTAAGGAGGCAACCTTCAAAACAACCCAAAGCCCTCAATCCTTGCTCCACGTTCCTTGGCGACTACAACAGAAGGCACTTCTTGGAGTTCTTCTTTGTCACAGGGTATAAAACGGCACGCACAGCTTCAGCAAAGACTTCTCTCACCCCCTCCTGGTTCAGCGCCGAACATTCCAAATATTTGACGGCTCCAATCTGCTTGGCCAGCGACGTCCCCTGCTGGGGGGTGGTGGGGCCCAGGCTCTGCTCCTTCAGCTTCTTCACCGTCTCCGTGTTACTTCTCAAGTCCTTCTTAGTGCCAACAAGAAGAATCGGCACATTTGGGCAGTGGTGAGACACCTCAGGGTGCCATTTGTGCCTCACATTTGCGTACGAGGAGGGGCTCCCAATGGAGAAGCAGATGACGAAGACATTGGTCTGAGGATAGGAGAGGGTGCGCAGGCGGTCATATTCCTCCTGACCTGCCGTGTCCCAGAGATTCAGACTAACCATCCTGCCATCAACAGTCATCTGAGCGCTGTAGTTGTCGAACACCGTGGGAATGTATTCCTCAGGGAATGCATTGGTAGTGTAGCTGATGAGCAAGCAGGTCTTCCCCACAGCTCCATCGCCAACAACCACGCACTTTATCGTTTGCATTCTTCTGATCTGAAGGGAAGAGTCCTGCACAAAGAAAGGAAGAAGTCAGAGGAAGCCAAACTCAGTTGGGAGAAAAATACTGGACCAAGCCTCCAGTATTGCTAGGAGACTTATGCAATTACTCAGAAACCAAGTTATGGACATGCATTCCGCACCCACCCTTCTCCAGAGACGACTCACTTCCCACTTGCCCAGGGGACAGCAAAGCCAAAGAGAGGCAGACTCAGGCCTCTACCATCAGCCAATGGCCACAGGGAGGCTTCGCCCTCTGCTGTCCAGGAGAAAATCATGGCAAGATGGAAATAAAACCTGGTCCCACCCCATCAGCCAAGGGAAGCGTAACTGAAAGGAGCTGGTTTCCCACCTTCCTGCCTCAAAACGCAAGGTTTACGGGGATGGGCCACATCTCAGTGGTGGAGTATCAGGAAGAAAGTCCCAAGTCTGCAGCAACTCCAGGTAGGGCTGAGAGAGGCTCCCTGTCTGGAACCCTAGAGAGCCTCTGCTAGTCACCACAGACAGTACTGAGCTAGGTAGACCAAGCGTTTGATTTGGTGTCAGGAAGAATTCCCATGTTCTTTAGTCTCCAATTGCAAGTTGCCCTGAGACTGCAGAGCTGAAAAGAGGCACTTTCTAGCTACATGCCTCGGCCAGGAGACTGAAGGGCTGCTGGGCTGGATAAGCTGCCTTGGAAGATCATTCGCTAGAACGGCAAAATATAAATATTCAAAATTGCGAATGACGTGTGACAGTTCCTAAAGAAACCACAAACAGATTGAGAGGATTCTGTTTTGTCTATTGTACCTTTTGTTTTAGTACAGTGCCTTTAACAGTAAACTGCATTAGGAGAAAAGTGCACTAGGAGAAAGCAGAATACAAACGTATTAAATATGTAAGCATTTAAAAGAACCACAACCACAGTAAGGAGCTCATTTTCAGAAGTTATGCAAGGAGAAAAGAGAAACCAGCCAGGAATGAGCCAGAAGCAATCAGAGAACAACCCACCACTACCATCACCACCCCCCAAAAACCCAGGAAGCTGTCTTACACAGCACAGGAGCTTTTTCTTGACCTAGTTTAACAAACACTTTTTAAAACCATGTTCCGGGGAGCTAGAACCTACTCCTAAGCAAACCATGCATCTGAACAAGACCAGGTCTGCCTGATGTATTTTGTAAAACTCCAGAGATTGTAAAACACCATGACTTGTTGTCTCAACATAAAAAAGGTAAAGGGACCCCTGACCATTAGGTCCAGTCGTGACCAACTCTGGGGTTGCGACGCTCATCTCACTTTACTGGCCGAGGGAGCTGGCGTACAGCTTCCGGGTCATGTGGCCAGCATGACTAAGCCGCTTCTGGCAAACCAGAGCAGCGCACGGAAACGCCGTTTACCTTCCCGCTGGAGGGGTACCTATTTATCTACTTGCACTTTGACATGCTTTCAAACTGCTAGGTTGGCAGGAGCAGGGACCAAGCAACGGGAGCTCACCCCGTCGTGGGGATTCGAACCGCCGACCTTCCGATCAGCAAGTCCTAGGCTCTGTGGTTTAACCCACAGCGCCACCCGCGTCCCTTGTTGTCTCAACATACATTCACCCTAAACTCACACACACACTTTTTGGTTTGTCGGTAACAGAGCAATCCTAACCCTTGATCTATGTCATGGGTCAGTAAGCTAAGGCCTGCGGGCCAGAGCAGGCCCAATTGCCTTCTGGATCCGGCCCGCGGACGGTCCTGGAATTGCCACTTGGATCGGCATGATCATTCGTGCTGTGCCTTTTTTTTTTCGCAATTCCCCCCCCCCCCCCACCTTTTTCCCCTCCTCCCTCCTTCCTCCGGGCTTCTCCCTGCCCTGTGGAGGAAGGGAGCTGGGCTTTGATTGGTGCCAGCCAATCCAAAGCCTTGCCGCCCGTGCCCTGAGGCACGGCCCAGACTCACCACTCGCCTGCCAGCCTCTCCGTCCATGGCTGCATTGTAGGCATCATGACAGGAGTGTCACGGGGCTTTGGCTGGAGCTTGGAGTGCCTGCTGGCCCCGCACCAGGTACCTGGGAAAGGTGGCCTAGAAAGGAGACGCACCACCACCACCACCGGCTCCCAACCACAGGCAGAGCGGTGGAGGAGGTAGGAAAGTGGGGGAGGGGAGGGGCTGGGGAGAGAGAGAGAAGCCCCCCTCTGCCATGTGCATGCGTGCGTGCATGCATGCGTATGTGTGCACGCGTGCATGCGTGCGCAGTCCGGCCCGCCACAAGGTTTGAGGGGTGGTGAACCGGCCCCCTCCTAAAAAAGTTTGCTGACCCCTGATCTGTTGTTGGAAGGGGATTAAGAGTGCAGTGATTTCCCTCTGCCAGCAGGGGGGTCCTCCCTTGCGCCTGCCAACAGTGCAGATTATTGACAGGATACCACTTGTGGTATTTGGGCAGCCAGTGTAAAGCCTCGGAATGGGGCAGGATACAGGAAGAGCTGATCTAGACAAAGATTTGCTGGATTCTAAACTGCTTCATCAACTTGAGAGGGGTCCAATTCAGAGCTGGCTCAGCAAATATTAAGACAAATACTGCCCCCCTCCCCCACACAAAAAAGACTTCTGCCCTGGTCAGTACATGGCTAGTTTTCAGATATCGCAGTGGAATAACCCCTACTGCTCCCCAGCCAAGAGTTAGCATTGGCCCCTGATTGTTAGAAAAGTTTTCCTGGTTGCTGAACCAAAGTTTTTGAATAAACAGCAAAGGAAGAAACCAGACACTCTGTAATAAGCTTCTAGCAATCTTGAGCAGTCTTAACTTTGGTTCTCTACCAGCAGAAATTCTCTACATTGAAAATGACTGCAAGAGAAACATTTTCTGCTTTGTTAAATCTGAACTATCTGTCAGCTGCTCTGGTGCAATCTAGGGCCCAATTCAGCAGTCCAAGACCCACAACAGCTTAGAACGCAACAGCTGTGATGGGTGCTCAGAACGTTTCCTCTCTCAGCCAGCACCAGAGGCACGGAGGCCTTCTGTGAATACACAAAGAACTGTTGAGAAGGAAGCCAAGAGCAGATTATTCTTAACAATGAATGGTCCAGCAGGAATTAAGGGGCTTGAGCTGCAGACACGTTAATACCAAATATATGTGAAGAGTTCAGGATGAAAGCAAAGTGCAAAGCTCAGCGCAGGCCTCGTCACTCTGGAAAGTTTCAGAATGACTTTTAGCATGAAAAATTCAAATTCACCAGAGACAATTTGGGGATGGGGCGGGGAGTCCATTTTCTGACAGGACACTTCCCAGCACTTTCCCAATGGACTTGGTGGAGCCGCATATCACTCCCAAATATAAACCAAAAGCCTGCACGCTTTCAAGCTGGAACTGCCAAGCTAGCCCAAACAAGAAACAACTTGTCAGCCTCTTTCTTTGGAAGGTGCTACTTAGCTCCCAGGATGCAGTTTCCTGCTGAGCGAGAAACCCTCTTAGAAGATAAAGCAGCCCATTCCAAGAGACTAACAGCTGAACATGTATTAGCAGGGCAGCTCTCCAGAGAGCAATTCAGTCAACCACTCTCTGCAACCTTTGGCTCAAGTCCCTTCACTTAAAGCAATTGCTCCAGTTCCTCAACAAATCACCAATCTCCTTTTTGGGGATGGGGGGGGGAGAGAACACTGGCACTGGAGTTCTCTGTTCACACAGCAGCAATCATCCACACTGAAGCTCTATCCAATCTGAACTCCCAAAATGTCCTTCCACCATCATCTTGCTTGAGTAGTTCATACTAGCCGCAAACAAGCAGCTGGAGTCTGAGACCCAAAATTTTGTAACTGCCAGTGCAAAGACAGTTGCGCTAGTGTAAGGGCAAGAATCACAGTTGCGCAATATGAAATCCAGCACAACGGTTGCACTAGTGGAATTTTTTTTGTGGAACAGGAAGTAATGGGACTTCTGTTGTGCAACCAGCCACAAGAGCCAAACCAATATCCTGCATCTTCTCGTGTGACATTTAACTTGAATTCCAAGTTTTATGGACTGCTGTTTCTGTGAAATCTGGAGTCTTCCCCAACCTGGAACCTTGCAGATATTCAAAACTACACCTCCCATCATTCCTGACCAGTGGCTATGCTAGCTGGGCTGGATGGGAGCTGGAGACCCACAATGCCTGGAGAGCACCAATTTGGGGAAGCCTGGATCCATGCAATTCATTATGGGAGGAATGTTTGCCATTGAGAGAATGCAGTCACTTTCAAGGGAAAACTAGGAAGCTGTGATCAAATGAAAGGGGAGCACTGGTGTGGTATAGAAGGCAGCCTACAAAATCTGGGAAACTGTGGACTCCTGCCCAGTCCTGTATCTTTCCAGATTCAATCCCACCACTCTAGCCAATAACTGATCTCAGGCTTGCAAAAATCTCTGCCACAGACACTAAAGAGCTATCTCGTCAAGCCTGGACAAGATGGAGCTAACCAGCTCAGCTTCATATACAGAAGTGTGTAAAATGTCACATACTATCTCAACTATCATATACCACAGGCTCAGCAAGGACAGCCGCCAGTTACAAAAAAATGGCTAGAAATTTAACTGTGATAAGGGAACCTTGGTCTGCCCAACATCTAAACATCCACATGTAAATTTCTGCTAGTGTAATAACAAGCAGAGGTGGCCAGAATATTCCCCGCCCCCCCCAAAATGGAATCGGTTTGCTAGTTATCTTCATTAAGAGTGAAATCCTATACCCACTTATTGTATATATATATTTATTTATTTATCTATCTATCACCTTTAACACACATATCATGGTGGTGCAGAAAATACAAAATACAATGAAAACAACTGGGAAGGAAGCCCCAGTGAACTCAATGGAATTTATATGTAAGGAATTGTGTTGTTAAGAGTGTTGGTTTAGGGAATTTCTTGGCCACACTTTATCTAAGGCTAACAGTTTATAACCAGCATCTATTTTATTATTATAAATTATTTATTTCATTTACAAATCACATCCTACAAAGCATCTTTACCAACTCATTCACTTTCCCCAGCAAATGTCTTTCACTCATCACATCTCTATAATGCAGAGACTTCTTCCCCCGTACCCCACACGCCAAAAAACAGTATTTCATGATGCACTGCAAGAACAATATAGCAGTGACTTGTATAGATATTCAATATAGCTTTGAAGATTACATTTGAAAACATAACTGTAACAATAGTGTCACAAGATCAGTTTTGTCTGCTTCCTGCTAGAAGGAAGAGTGTGCTGGGTTATGGAGCCAGGGTGTCCAGATAGGAGCAACGCCCTGGTAGCAAAACTGCATTTGCAGCAGGACCCCAAGCTCCAACAGCCCTCACTTTCCCTAGCTATTCCATCCTCACTAATGTCAGCAGCTCAAACTGCAGCAATGACTGTGAGTTCAGATCAGCCTGGTATCCCAAACACCCTCCCTGCAAGGCACATAATATGCTGTCAAAAGCTGCCACACCTCCAGGGAGAGATAAGGTGACAAACTGTAAACAGTCAATTCAGATACATTGTACAAAAAACCACTTCCTCACCCACTCTGCTTCAGTCCTCCCCAGTGGTTGCTGTACATGGCAAGCAGCTTTGCAGATGCTGCTGCAAGGTGAGGAGCCCAGCCACAGATTGTGCATACAAAGGATTTGCTGCTCACACATGTCCCCCTGTGTGCTAGCCATATTCAAGCCATACTGAAAAGGAGTTGGGAAGGAGGGTGTAGGCGCACACTGTGTCATTAAGATTGCTACATAAATTGTAGCTAAATTCAGATGAAAGCAGAAAATTTATCCAATTAAATATAAAATCAATATTTTGACAACTCTGCATCCTGTTTCTGTAAGCTGATATACAAGTTTTAATGTGATGTCTGCTTACTGGATCAATAAAATAAAAGACAATTTGATGCTACCAGGCTATATGGAAGTAGCCAGTGTAAGAGAGTGCCAGTTCTGAAATTTAAATGACAGAGCGTGGAGTTGGGGGTAGATCATAGAAGGGTTACCAAGTCCCAAGCACCCTTTGTGGGTGGGAGAAAAGCATCACGTGATCACCAGTTCAATTTGACACACTTGAACGAAGTCTAGCTGGCAAGCCACCAGAAAGAAAGAAAGCAGCCTTATGCCCCAGGGAGGTACACAAGCTGGGTGGAGAAGCAGCAGCCATGCCTCACTGCTTGTGCTCTGGCTTCTCATCCACAAGCAAAACCATCTCTGGATCATGCAGCTGTGTAACAAGGAATGCAAGAGCTGCCAAAGAGCAAGGGGAGGACCAATGCTACCTTAGAAAAAAGAAGCCCTGAGCGGGTGCCAGTGTTCGAAACTCCCAATGTTCTAGGCACATTTTGCGACAGGGAATTTCATTAGTGTGAGCAGTTTCTGAGCTCTGGACGCAGTACTGCACCTAAGATTTCAGATTAAAACTGCAGAATGGAAGAAAAGGAGCGTTTTCTGCCTCCCCACTTCCAGCTACTCTTTGAAGACTGGAGAAGAGACCCTCTTAAGAATATTAGGGAGGTGGGCAGAAGGACAAGACCATATGAAAAATGAACATAATATTTTAGCTGCAGTTTATTCATTTTCAGCTTTGTATTCTTGTTATTAAAAAAGTGTGCCTAGACATTTCTTTGTTGTGCCCGTAACTTAGGTTTAAGGTGCCATTTAGCTCCTAGCTTTCATATTTCAGTTTCTAACACTGACGGATGCCTTACTAAGCATCTCTGCAGCACCCAAAATGCATTGCAGGTGGCCAACTTTTCTCTAAACCTACTTCGGCATGTTTACTAACAGTTTGATGCACAAATCACAGCAATTTAATTTCTCTGGGAAAAGTTTTACCTGTTAATTTCTACACCTCTGGCTGCTGTACAAGCACAGGAGCAGACCAAGTTGGTCAGCTGGCAACTCTAGCCAATGCATTTGATCAATGGCCCTCCCCACCCACAGTGAATAAAGATGAAGACCTCCCCTCTTCTCCACCATCACCAACAGTATCTTTTGGTCCCCTTTATTAGAACATTTTTTAAAGCCTATTAGAAATGCAACAAAAGACACCTTTATTAGGATCAATAAAAAGGTATCCATGTAGAGAACAAGTTCCCAAATTCTCCAGAACTGTCAGGAAAATGTTAAAATGTTTGCAGAGGGGGAGAAGAGAGAGAGAAGTAGAAGTGCATAATGTTGAGGGCACAAATCCTGCAGCTTACAACAGCAGAAAGTGTTAATGTCTATTACAAATAGAAAATTCTGGGGCTTTAACAATATTGCTCTCTCTTCTCCCCAGCTCCTCCCTTGTTATTTTTCTCAACTTCTTCAAGCTGGACCCTATGCAAGACAAGGTGGGTGGGTGAGCATGGAAACCAACAGAGATGAAGGACAAACATAATATACCTGGAACTCAGGATTATGCTTCATGCATCTGATGAAGCAGATTGTAGCTCAATGACATTTATGTCACAGTAGGATTTGTCAGTCTTCAAGCTGCTACAAGACTCTGTTATTTGGGCATGATATCCAAAGACTACATTCTGCAGTTTTGGGAGAAACTTTCATTGGTTAAAAGACCAATATAAACTGCAGCCTCTGGACGTTAGGGAAACAAGCACTGGCTTTATACAGTCAGACCATTAAGAACCTAGCCCAGCACTGTCCACTCTGACTTACAGCAGCTTCCAGAATTTCAGGCAAGGATCATTCTCAAGACTCTGTGGAGAAGCAGGGATTGAACAAGGGACCTTCTGCATGCAAAGCAGATGCCCTACCACTGAGCTACATCTCTTTTACCTGCTAATTAATATGAAATTTCATAGCAGCCTCCAAGTTCATGATTTATTTCCAAAGTTAAGCCTCAGTGGTGAACCAGTTCAGCTGCTTGCCTCTGATCTAGTCAACATGACTCACAGCAAGTTCAGTTTTGTCTGCCCTGACAGGCAGCAGCTCTCTAGGATTTAAGGCAGGGTCCTCTCCTAGCCCCACCTGGAGATCTCAGGGATCAAAAACAAATTCTTTCCCCCCCTACTGATATTGCTAATGAACAGAGGAAACTGCCTTATACAGAGTCAGGCCAATTCTTACTCTGCCCACTCTGTTACAGGCCTAAGGCTGGCAGCAGCAAGAAGGTACTGGCTGGAGGCAGATCTACAGGATTCCAGGCCTAATACATTCCCAGCCCTCCCTGGTGGTGTGGAGGATTGAAGCTGCATGCAAAGCAGATGCCGAAGCCCTTCTCCAAGCCCCAGACCTTGATTTTTGCTGGGTTTTTCACAGAACTGTAGAGTTGGAAGAGACCAGCTAACCCATGTAGTGATTGCAATGCAGGAATCCTTTGCCCGACATGGGGCTCGAACCCACAGCTCTGAAATGAAGAGTCTTCCCCCACACACACACAAATTATTTTTTATTAATTTCCCAAACGATTACAAACCAAACCAAATTAAATTAAATTAATGCAATACAATTTCTTAAAATCACGTTTCTCGCTCCTGTCCCGAACTCACGATCGCCATCCTTTTCCTCGCGTTGCAGCATCATTTCTCATTTACAGTCCGGCTAACTGAGATTAAAGGTTTTAAGGCTCTCCCAGCTGAGCTACCCCACCAGCCTCCCCATACAGACGGCAGCAAGCCCCCTTCGCCCTGAACGTGACCATTTACCCCATGTAGCTCAGCACGGCCCGCACAGACCGGCAGCAATCAATCAGATTTCCCCCCCCCCCGCCCGCTTCCTCTTGGCGATTGTCAGCGGGGGCTGAAACAGCGGCCACAGATTACACCAAGCCGTCTCGCCCCCGCGGCACTCTGACCACTGGGCCCTTCTCCTCCAGCATTGCCTTGCACTGACTGGCAGCAGCCCTGGCTCCAGAGAGGCGATTCCCAGTCTTCCTCTGCTTGCAAGGAAGGTGCTCAGACACTGGACTGGGGGGGCCCTTCCTCATCGTGCCCACCCCCCGGAGGCTTCTCTGAGCCCGCAAGAGATTCCCCCCACCCACAGGGGGTTCCTTTTTAAAATAGCCCCCCTCCCCCATCCTGTCAGGCCTGAGGGCGGCGGCCACACAGCGGGAAGCAAGCGCTCCCCGCCCCACCCTCCGAACGCCCTGCTTCGCGAGGGGAAGCCGGCCTGGGGCTCCGGGTCTTACCTTGGGGTCCCCCCTGCTCTCTCTCTCGCGCTCGCTCTCTCCCGTCAGCTGCAACCGCCGCCGGCCGAAGAGAAGCTGTATCCGGCTGAGGGAAACCGCCCCCACACCTCCGCCGCAGCCCGGCCTCGATTCTGCGCACGCGCGCGCTGCCCGCCCTCCTTTTCGGAACGGCCCGCCGGGCACACATACACACACACACAGCTCGAACCTACGGTGGCCGGGAGCCAGCCGAGCTTCCTGCGGCGTCTGCTCAAGGCGGACTTCCGTCCTCTCTCTTTCCCCCCCCCTCCTCGGTCTATGGTTTTTCTTGCGTAGGGGAGGCTTCCGTGGCCAGCGACTGGGGTTGATGGGAGATGTAGTTTCCGCGGCTTCCCAGACTGAAAGAGGGCATTAGCTAGCCTACCTCGCAAGGAGGTTGTGGAGATTTGGAAAAACAAAAAACGGTTGCAGGCATTAAGTCTGGTTTGGAAACGTAGAGAGTTGTGCCTGCCCACTGAGGGGGGAAAGAAACCTCTTCCCCAAGAGAGGAGGTCGCCTGGCATCACTCAGCAGCTCTTTCTGATATTTTGAATTCTTGTGATTTTGCTGAATTGCTGATGAATTTATCATCGAGTTATTTATATGTTACTGTATTCAATGTTATAGTGTTTACAATGTGTGTGTGCAGTGCTGTTGTGATTATTGTGAGCTGCCATTAACACTGTCGTGTGGGGATCCCTTGCAGATGACGGCCACAGTGCCTGGAGACAGTCAGGTCATGTATCCAGAAGAGTGACTAGGGGAGGAATGGCTGCTGGGAGGAGCGCAGAGAGAACACAACCAGCAACACAACCAGGCACCTTCATCTGCCCCACCTGCAACAACACATGTCTCTACTAATCTATCGCTCTCTGCAGCCATAGCAGGTGCTGTAACTCTCCAGTGCTTTGACTTTACCCTCAAAGGCACAATCTTCCATTGTCTTACAAGATAGATGGATGCCGACAATAACAGCTTTGAGCTCAACATTTGTTGTTGGAAAAGCAGAATACAAATATTAAATATAATCAAGATCAAATCATTAATTTGATCGATTCATCAGCTAAAAACACATATGATGAATCAGTAAAGAAGGAATTTCTCCACTCAGATGACAGCCCTAGGAATAAGACAAGCCTCTGTGACCTTAGGCCAGTTTTGACTGCGGTGATGGCTGAGGTTTTTGAGACCATACATGAAATCAGCAGCACGAACATCATGCATCCCTGCTCCATTACTCATTTACTCAAAAGGAATGACCCCTGAGTTCAGAGAGGGTGACCACACAATCCAAATAATGTATACAGTGGTACCTCGGGTTACATACACTTCAGGTTACATACACTTCAGGTTACAGACTCTGCTAACCCCGAAATACAGTGGTACCTTGGGTTACATATGCTTCAGGTTACATACGCTTCAGGTTACAGACTGCACTAACCTAGAAATAGTACCTCGGGTTAAGAACTTTGCTTCAGGATGAGAACAGAAATCGTGCTCCGGCGGTGCGGCTGCAGTGGGAGGCCCCATTAGCTAAAGTGGTGCTTCAGGTTAAGAACAGTTTCAGGTTAAGAACAGGCCTCCGGAACGAATTAAGTACTTAACCCGAGGTACCACTGTACTCAGAAGTAAGTCCTATTGAATTCAGTGGTGTGTTGGGACGCGGGTGGCGCTGTGGGTTAAACCACAGAGCCTAGGACTTGCCGATCAGAAGGTCGGCGGTTCGAATCCCCGCAACGGGGTGAGCTCCCGTTGCTCGGTCCTGCTCCTGCCAACCTAGCAGTTCAAAAGCACGTCAAAGTGCAAGTAGATAAAAAGGTACTTCTCCGGCAGGAAGGTAAACGGCGTTTCCGTGCGCTGCTCTGGTTCGCCAGAAGCGGCTTAGTCATGCTGGCCACATGACCTGGAAGCTGTACGCCGGCTCCCTCAGCCAATAAAGCGAGATGAGCGCCGCAACCCCAGAGTCGGTCACGACTGGACCTAATGGTCAGGGGTCCCTTTACCTTTACTAAATAGGGGTTAGGGTTACACTCTTACTCTCTAGGGGCATATGCCTGAACACCCTCGTCCATTCACAACGTCTGGGGTTCAATCACCTCATCTTCCAATGTCATGTATGCTATCATCTGCCAGCTATGTTCTGTGGAAAAAAATAAATGGTCACAAATTTTGGCATCAGGTATGACAATATTTAAAAGCCCTTTGGGGGGAACATTTCAACCTTCCAGTTCTTTCTGTAAGTGATTCTAGAGAGCTCATCCTAGAGCAATTTCAACAGGAGGCTGCAACATGAAACTGCTGAGTTACAAGCTATCAAGAGGTTCCACACTATCACATCTGATTGAATCGAGATAAAGGATGTTTAATTCATATTTGTTCATTTCCTTGTCAATGTCAGAATGCCTGTGTTATCAACAACTTGCTTATGTTACATAATTATCACCGCCTGTGTTTCTCTGCATTTCATGCAGTTAAGGCAGACATTCATTTATCACCCTGATTTCTTAGTTCCAGTAGGCAACTCAAGCACCAAAGCATGACGTCACTGGTATGGCAGAACAGAGGCAATGTGTGTATTCCTGCATGGACCTGGGAACGTAAAGCATTTCCATTCACACTTCCTATACTTCTACATGCTGGCGCTCAGCAGCTGTAGCCATCCAGTGATTCACTCATACCAGGCCACAGGAGAACAAGGTGGTAGAAAGCACATATTTTTGCATTCAAAATGTTCCTGGTTCAATCCCTAGCACCTTTTCATCCAGAGCTGGTACCTCTCTGAGGTAGTTTCCAGGTTATCTGCTTATTGAGTATTCATCCTGCTTTCTTTGCAGGGAGATTAGATGACATCAGATATTTCTTAAGCATTCATTCTGCTTTGTTTGTCGGGAGATCACAAGATGTTGTGTCAAGCAGTTGCTGCCCCATATCAGCCCAGATACATGCTATTGGGCTAGTTATGCGTGCTTTCTGAGTGACACATCGTTTCCCATCAGGGAAAATGAAAAGCTAGCTAAAGTTGAGATGGTGACAGGGAAAAGAACACAAATTTGTGGCCAGCCTGCTGAAAACAACAGCTCTTGCAAAAGCTAATGTGGATATGCTCTCTTATTACATACCACTTCCAGAACATAGCACCTTTCAAGGTAATACTTTCAAGGCAATACTTTCAAGGTAATACCTTGAAAGGTGTTACCTTACTTGTCATATCGCCCATGGCCACGCAGGCAGGCAGGCTTTGTTCCTCGGCAACCTGCTTCCAGGAACTCCAGAATTCTCACAGGTCACCATGTGCCTGAAGGACACTGTGTTGAACCAAAGGTGAAATTTTCCAGAAGCTCTGCAAACGCCATCTTGGTATTCAGGATAACCCTACAATTAATTGGTAGTCGTTGCAAGAATGAGCTCATATATGTTTATGTTCCCTTGCTTTGATGTATGCTAACGAGCTTGCTTTGATGTATACTAATGAATTTGCTTTGATGCTGCGCTTATCTGTGGACCTTGGGATGCTGGGCTCTAGGCCCAGAGAGGGGAGAAGCTTTGGACAGTTGCCACCTATGGCCTCACCAGCCAGGTGTGAGGGGAGGTTCTGGACAAATTGACCCAAGCTGTCTTTTGTGTAAGTAATGCTTAGCATATTAGCACTTTGCAGACAGGTCATGATGACCTCTCTCTGTTGCTGTTTCCATCCCATGTCTGTAAAGACTGTGAGGCTCTGCACGCTGTGTTGTGAGTTTATACCTTTCTTTTAATAAAGCACTTAGAAGAGGCCATTCTGGAGTTGTCTCCATCCTTCTTTGGTATCCCTGCATCAAACCACTTTGGGCCTGCAGCTCAGAACAGACATAGCATATTCTTCTCCTAGTTTCTATGTAGGTGAGGGTAGGGGACTCAGTTTCAGGAGCTGAATGCAGCTCTCCAGCCCCCTTGGGACTTTCTGCAGCCCCCCTCCCCCCCATCACACACAGACATCCTCTACTGGCCCTGCTTTGCACCCTCATAGAGTCTTTTTGCCTGGCCTGATTACTACAATGAAGTTTGATAATGCTTCTTGCATGCCTGGATGGAGGAGAAAGCGTGTGCACAAGCAAGCCTACTGTACGAAGGTAAAATTTACATTAATTGGTCTGCCCAGTTTTGCCTCTGGCCGCGCCCACCATTGGCATATGCCAAGAAGGTAGGTCTTTGAGAAAGGTGTTCCCCACCTTGGCATCAGGCTGTTCTCGTTTTCCAACTCTGTGAAGTAGTCATTTCAATGGATAGTTATTATCACCACTTCTCCAAGCCTGCAAACTGACCCTTGAACAGCTTCAACACCCCCCCCCCCCAAAAAAAAATTCCCTCCAACACCTGAAACTGTTCAGGTGGATCAAAATTCTGCTAGGGGCGAACATACATTTCCCTTGCTTCTGCTCCTTCTACATCCTTTCCCTTTCTGAAAATGGTAGGAGCACCAGAAGAGACTGGCTGCTGCATCAGTCCCAAGGTCCATGCAGCCCAGAGTCCTGCTGTCACTGTGGCCAGCTGGATGCCAGGGGGAAGCCTGAAAGTGCAACCTGAGCACAACAGCACTCTTCCCACTTGTGACTCCCAGCAAGTCACAGGTATACTGCCTCTTACAGTGGAGGGACAACACGTCATGGCTATTGACAGCCTCCTTTTCCATGGAGTTCTGATTTCCTTCGAAAGTCACCTAAGCTGGTGGCCACCATTGCATCTAATGAGAGCCAATCCCATAGTTCAACTGTGCACTATGTGAAGAATTACTTTTCCTTTGCTTGCTCTGAATTGTCTGAATGATGCTGTGCCTTGTCCAGAGCAGGTACATGAAGGCAACCCCAACTCAGAAATGGAAACCCACACAAAGCCTAGAAGGACCAGGACTAAGTCTTGGAGCATCTGCTTGCATGCAGAAGCTCCCAGGTCCAGTCCCTCATTTCTCCAGGTAGGGTTGAAAGATCCCCTGCCTCAGACTCTGGATAGCTGTTGCCAGTCAGGCTGGACAATACTGGGCAAGGTAATCTAATGGTCTGATTCTGTATAAAGCCAGCTTCTTGTTTTCCTAATGCCCAGAGGCTGCAGCTTATATTGGTCTCTTAATGAATTAAACGGCAGAGTGCAGTCTTTCGATGCCATACTCAAGCGGCAAAGAGTCTTAATGGCACTTAACAGACTGGCAGTTCTTATCACTGTCAGCATGAACAAAGACTGAGCTAGAAGTCAGCTTCCTATGTTCCCCTCACCCCCAACCCTGAGCCAAGCACAATCTCCCAAGAGTCAAACACAACCACAAAAACACTGCCCAAGATGGTGGTACTTTCATAGTATACTTTTCATCTTCCTTTTTATTGAAGAAAGTTTCTTATTCCATGAATGAAATGCAGCAACAGAGACACAAACAAAAGAGGGGATGGGGAAATTCCAGACACCAGTTCCCACCACCCTGGATATGCCCCCCACGCCTCCCTTCACCTGCATCCCAATCCAGACAGCTCTGCGGCCCTGGACAGAAGAGGAGGAGCATCAGGCATAGTCTGTCCCTGGCAAACAGTGGGCATTCTTCCTGTAGCACCCGGTTGGTGCCCCTGTTTTCAGCAACACAGATCAGAGCTGGGAACAGTCCAGCCCATTCCCAACTCCACAGGCTGCAGCACTCAGCTGCGACTCACTTCCCATCAGAGTCGTGGCTAGCAGGGGGGGCTTGGCTCTTCTCTCCTTCCTCCCATTCCTCCTCCTCCTCCTCTGACCAGCTCAAGCTGTCATCGGACTCCTCTTCCAGATGAGCTCCTCTGGCTTTCTGGCTTTCCAAGCTGTCTGTCTCCAGCTGTTGCTGCTGCCGCAACATTTGTGATTTGCCCTGGGGGTGCTCCAGCCTAGCCCAGGTGACAGCGTTTTCCTTCTTCAGGGTAATTTCCACTTTGGAGGGCAACATGTTCAAAAAGCTCTTCTCCACATTGATGACCTGGAGAGGAGAAGAGTGCCATTTAATGAATACTGCTCTGACTCTCTGCTGTCACAGAGCCAAGGAATAGTATGGTATAGAGCTGGCCCTAACGTTAGGCAAAGGAAGGCAACTGCTTCAGGCAGCAGATTATCGGAGGGCAGTCATCATGGCTAGTAGCCTCTTGTAGGAGCCAGCATCATGGCTTCTGGAACCTTTGGCTGCAGGCAGAGGAGAACTTCTGAGGGAAAGAAGGGAGGGATCCAATGACTGGACACACTAGGCAGCATGTTTATAGCTGTGCCATGCTATAAGGTCTGCTATGCGAGTGGAGGACATATTTAGGCTTCCCCACTGTAGCCAAACTGTGGAACTGCAAGGTAACTGTATTTTTCCTGTGTGTTTAACAGCTGCTCATGGAGTAGGAATTCAATAGCTTTAGCTGTCGTTGCACCCTCAACACAGGCCCCGTCCCACATATTTTTTTCATTTTTTTAAAAAATTATAGTTTGTTACCAAGTGAAGCAACCCAAAACTTACCCCCCAGAGATCCAACTCTGCCTGGAAAACCTTATCTCCTTCGAAAGTAATATGAATGTCCAGCTGCAGGAAGGGGGATAAAAAGAGGAGGCAACTTCAGTACAATTTTGTCCTGCTGTAGGACCCCCACTGCCACTCCCAGGGCTTTTTTTTCCAGCTGGAACTCACCAGAACTCAGTTCTGGCACCTCTCAGATGGGCGCCATTGCCATTATAAGAGAAAAAAGGCAGGCGTTTATGGTGAGTTCCGGCACCTCTTTTTCTAGAAAAATAGCACTGACCACACCCATCTCATTTTGGAGAATACAATGATCGCACATTCGCCATGCAGGCCAGCACTGCACTCAGCAGCGCCAAGGTTGTTCCAAGGGGCAGATAGCCCTCCTCAGGGCAATGTCTGCCCTTCCTTACCGTTGTGCGGTTGGCCTTCACAGAGCTGAGATTTGGCAGAGGGGTCTTGGCATAGATGGTCACCACCACTTGGCTGCCGGTTTGGTGCCAGTCCTGCCGGCAAGAGACCAACTTCTTGTCCTGCTGCCAAAAAGAGCCAGTTAACATTCCCACCTGCTCACTTCCTATTTATGGAGCAGCCACTTCCCTCAAGGCAGGTGGGCTTGAAAGGTTGGTGGGGGGAGGGTATCTTAGCTGCAAAGCAAGGGTGAAGACAGGCAAGGAGCCCCTTTTCATAGGAAGCCCAGTAAGCACACTGAGGTGGTTGACGAGCAGAGGAGGGGGGTAATTTTCTTTCTTTCTTTTTTGCATTTTAATGAGAAACTAACCTAATTCGCACTTCTCAACCCAATTCCTGAACTAGAACACAGCTATCCTTCAAATGTGAACTTCACATTTTGCAAAGCATTTCTCCAGCCAAGCAATGTGTGTAAGAGGGGCAAGTATGTGTCAAAATGCATGTACAGTGGTGCCTCGGGTTAAGTTATTAATTCGTTCCGGTGGTCCGTTCTTAACCCGAAGCACCACTTTAGCTAACGGAGCCTATTCTTTCCCCCCCTGAAAGAGTCTTATCACAACCCTCCCACATCACATCTACTTTCACCATCACGTGCAACATTAAAATACATTTCAGACTATTAACTCACTTAAGGTGCAGGCTCTCAATCTTCTTTAATGGATTACTTTGTGTGTGTGAAGGTCATGGGGCAGAAGTGAATGACCAGCACTTCCAAGTACAGTGGTACCTCAAGTTAAGAACTTTATTCGTTCTGGAGGTCCGTTCTTAACCTGAAACTGTTCTTAACCTGAGGTACCACTTTAGCTAATGGGGCCTCCCGCTGCCGCCACGGCGCAATTTCTGTTCTCATCCTGAAGCAAAGTTCTTAACCTGAGGTAATATTTCTGGGTTAGTGGAGTTTGTAACCTGAAGCATATGTAATCCGAGGTACCACTGTATATATGTGAGAACAACGCATGAAATCCCATCAAAACACCTTGCAGAAATGTGTGCATTGCTCAAAACCGCATGCAAAAATAGGTTTGTTAGGAGAAATTTACACCAGCCCGCTGATTAATTTTAATGGGGATTTTTAAAAATCCAGAAATTTCTGCGGACATGTGGGGAGCTGAATTTAAGTAATGGAGGGAGGAGAGGGGAGAGAGACTGAGAAAACTGAAATGGAGAGATTTGCCCATCCCTAACAGGGGACCAGAGGAGCGTGTGTTCCTCACCTGCTTCTTCACCCAGGTGTGCTTCCCTCGGCTGCAACCCTTTTGCTCCAGGAATGCTGTGAAGTCGGTGGTTTTCATTCCACAGCAGCTCCAGTATTTCATGCTGGGAGGGTGGGGGATCAAATGAACCGATAGGAGAGAGAAGCACAGGAAAGAGGCTGAGAATTAAGCCACCCCTGAATTCTCACCTAGATCCTACTTTGGCTATTTGAGTGTAGCAAATTGTTCCTAAGCTGGCTGGTTGCCAACAGAAGATTGGAAGACTGGAGGGACATATACACACACACAGCACTTAGTTAAACTAAATAACTCATTCCCACAAGAGGCAGGGATGGCCATGGACTTGGATGGCTTTAAAAGAAGACTGAAAAAATTCATGGAAGAGGATAAAGCTATCAAGGGCTTTCCAGCCATGATCGAAGCTATGCTCTGCCTCCACAGCTGGAGGCAGCGATGCTTCTGAATATCAGTTGCTGGAAACTTCAGGAAGGAGGAGTGTTTGCAGGTTTCCCAAAGGGGCATCTGGTTGGCCACCGTGAGAACAGAATGCCGGCTCTTCTTATGTTGGGTTGCCATATGTCACGCCCAGAATACTGCAGCCGAAAGCAGAATCTGGGCGGAAATCAGCTAAATGTTCGGGGAAATCTGCATGTATGGCAACTGATGTCAGCAGTGTTGTTCTTGCCCATGTCCCTCAAAAAATAGCTCAAAAACGTCCAATTATTTTGTGACAACTTTGGGCTTTTCACTGATGGGGAACAATGAGCTCTAATGGGCATTTAGGCAACTTTTTGTCACAAGCTGCCTTGGAATGCATCATCCTCACTAGAATCTACAGGATGGGCGGAGACAGAAGCTTGATTGACTGGAGTGAGCACAGGGAAAGCATGTGCATGAGGTGAGCTCTATTAAGCAGAAGTATTTGGGGGAGGAGTCCTGGATTTCGCCAGATATGGATTGGGGTCCAGTGCTTTGTGCTTGATTCCGCACCCAGGAACGACCTGCTTGAGCTGTACGAGTATGATAAAAGAGCTCCAAGGGTATTGCACCCTGCAGAGCACAGTGCAGGAACAGAATAGCCTGTGCACCAGAACACAACTGCTGACAAAGAGAAACCGTCCTCCAGCTGGCCAGCATGGGTTGAACATGGGAGACGAAGCACCCCATGATCCCACAGGCAGGGCTGGAGGAATTATGCCTTACCCTTCGTGGAAGACAGGCACCCCAGGGTGGAATGTGCAGGTCTCCCTATCGCTTTCTTCTCCCTGGTAAACCTGGAAGATAAGCCAGGGCAGAAAGGTCAGCCAAGCAGCCTTGTGGGAGGCAGAGGCGGCCAAACCATCTCTCTGCTGGCCAGAGAAGCCCCAGGCCCACCCTTTGCTTCCTGATGCACGAGCCACAGCCGCGGGCTCCATTTCCCAGCAGGAATCTTGTTTGGAGTGGAGAAACCATGGATCAAGGCCAATGGTGGCTGGTGTCCTTTGGGATTGGCAGGTGGCATGGAGCCCAACAGTAGGGGGCGCCAGAGCCAATGAAAGACAGAAGCAAGAAATTCCACCTCTGTCCCCATCCTTCCTGCTGCTGACCTTCAGCATAGAGACCTAGGAAGAGGAAACTGAGCAGCCTCCACAGATTGGGCTCTAGGCTTGAGGCAACCTTCCTCAATGTTGTACCCTCCAAACGTTGGACTGCAACTGCCACAAGAGACTGTGTGGTATAGCAGTTAGAGCACTGGACTAGGTGGGGGCCAGGTTCAAAGGCCAATTTTGCCATGAAGCTCACCGAGTAGCTCTGGGCCACTCCCTGCCTCTCAGCCTAACCTACCTCACAGGGTTGTTGTGGGGATTAAATGGAGGGGGGAACCACGTAAGCTGCCTTGAGCAACTTGGAGAAAGAGGTGGGATGTGAATGCAGCAAATAAATAGATAAACTTGGCGCCCTCCAGATGTGGTCGGACTACAAGTCCCATGAGCTCCAGCCACACCTTTCCCTGGTTCTGTGAAATGTGTGTGAACTGGCTCATCCTCAGCTCTAAATTCTATGCTAGAGAAATATCCCAGAAACCCCATCCTTTCACAGTCGGACAGGGTATAGCAATCTCCCCCAACCTGGTGCCCTTCCAAATGTTGAACTAGAGCTCCCAACATATGAGCTGATGATGACGGCTGGGAACCATGGGGGCAGTAGTCCAAAATGTGCGGCTGGGGTAGGTTGCCTTAAGGTTTGGTCAGAAGTTCACATCGGAGATGCAAAGTCTCAGAGCAGAGGGTGTAAATGAAAGGCGGGGGGACCAGTATTGGAAATCTGAGAAAACTCATGGAAAGAGAGCACAGGCTTGAGGAGACATGCCGGGAGTTTAGAAAGGGAGGGGCAGACCCAAGCACAGGACTCACCGCCTTGCAGCCAGAGTTCTTGCAGGTGGTGCCAGCGCTCACCTCCAGGGAAGCTGCTATGGGGAGGCACAAATGCAAAGTCAGGCAAACTTCTTGAGGGCACTTTGCAAACCCCCAAATGACAGGCCACCCCACCCACTTCTAAGAGCTTAGCCCTATTGGCTCTGCAAAGTGCAATCCACTGCGGTTGGTTAAAGTCCAGGGAGATCCTATGCTAACTAACAGCCCTGAGCTCGTAGATCTGGGTGACTGATTTGCTGTGTGCTGCTATCAGACCCATAAAAAAGGGAGGTGGGCAGGTGAGCCTGTCGATGCTCAGCACAAAGGCAGAAACCCCAAACACCCCTGTAATAAAGCTCATGTTCTATTCCTCAGTGCCGTATTGGATACCAAGAGTTTACATTTTTATCCAGCAGAGCAACAGGTAGCCACCGCAGGCTCCCGCTTGTAACAGAAAGGGAACCCAGCTCAGGTTTTCTAAAATGAAAACATGTGGTTGCTCAAACTGCTTGGACTTCTTGACCGTGGGCCTTAAACAAGATGGGGGAGCCCCCTGCCGCATCTCCACCATATATTTAAAGTGCATAGCTTTCCCCCAAAGAATACTGGGAACTGTAGTTTGTTAAGGGTGCTGGGAATTATAGCTTTGGGGGAAGGGTAATCTACCATTCCAAAGATTCTCTGGGCAGAGCCATGTGCTTTAAACATGTGTCAAATGTGCTTTAAACATTTGCTGCAGATGCAGTCTTATTTGTTTTTGGGGGGGGTGAGTTTTGTCTTTTTTTGAGAGGGGGTTCTGGACATTGTTTGTTTTTATTCTGTGAAAGGGGTATCTTGTGGTGCCCACAACAGTTTCTTAGATTTCCAAATATGCCTGCAGGCACCAAAACTTGGGGGAATCCTTTCCAAGTACAATACCTGTCCTGTACCCCTTTGTAGTTATTTCCCACCTCACCCTCCCAAACCAGCAAGGCTCTTACGAGTGTCTGCTGAGCCTTGAACTGGCGGGTGGTCCTTGCGGGTCAAATCCAGCTTGCTCAGGGCCTGTGCCAGAGATCCGGACACTTTCACAGGCAGCAGCTGTTTAGGCTCATCAGAACTGGAGAACATTAACAAAATAAAAAACAAAAGAGATTTGATGACATATTAAGATTCAGAGTTACTGCCAAGCTTCATCTGAAACAGGGTTCCAAGAAGGTTTTCACCATGTGCCACCCCCTTCACAAAATGCACAGTTCACCTGTGGAATTCCCTGCCCCAGGGCCCCAGGGCTTTAAACAGGAATTAGCCACAGCACCAAAATGGGGCCTTCATACCTGGAGGCAGTCTGCCTCTCAGTGGCAGACACTGGGGCATACAACAAGGAAGGGATGTTGCCTTCACACTCTCCTTGGGGGGGGGGGTTGCAAGAGGCATATGGCTGGCCATCGAGAGGAGCAGCAGGCTAGACTAGAGGGACTCTTGGTTTGATCCAGCAAGAGCCTGTAGCTCAGTAGCAGAGCATCTGCTTTGCATGCAGAAGGTCCCAGGTTCAGCCCCAAATGGCATCTCCAGGTAGGGCTGGGAATGTCTCTGCTCGATGCCCTGGACAGATGCTGTCTATCAGGATAGATGAAACTGAGCTGGATGGCCCAATGGTCTGAGCTCAGTATAACAGACCCTCAAGTGTCCCTATTTTCCAGGGACGGTCCCAGATTTACAGAAGCCATCCTGGTTTCGTTTTTGATCCTGGAATGTACTGCTTTTCCTTAAGACATCCCTATTTCCATCAGATAAATGTTGGTTTTGGCTCAGTTATGCAACACTCCCCCCCCCCAAAAAACGGAGATAACTATACAACGTTTAAAAGACACATGAAGGCAGACCTGTATAGGGAAGTTTTTCTTAATGTTTAATGTTTAATGTTTTAGTATGTTTTTATATGTGTTGGCTAACCAAATCAGATGGTGGGGTATCATTATCATTATTATTGAATAGGATATCTCTATTTTCATTGGATAAATGTTGGAGGGTATGGTACAAGGCAATTTTTTAACCCGTTGCCCCTGGTCCCAGAAGAATGGCCTGCCCTTTCTCCCCACCTCACCTGGGCCTCTCACGCTCCATCATCTCTGCTGACTTTGGCCCCTGGATGATGACCTCAGTGCTTGTCTTGACCTTTGGCTCGCTCGAGGCCTCCTCTGGCTCTGGAGGCTTCTCATTGCTGTGATACCCTTTGGTGCAGCCCTTTGGGGACAAAATCCATAGCGTCCAGCCATAGTTTGAACCTCTCCACAACCAAATCAGGAGGAATACTCAATAAACAGGTCGTCTGGAAGTGCCCAAAGCTGTAGGAACCAGTGGCCCACTAAGGGCCCCTTCACATGTTACAAAATACCTCTGCAGAAGGCACATGATGTGTCCATGTACTTGTAAGCAAAGGAGCACGCCCATATGCCACATTGCCACAGCATGTTAGTAGCACTCATTTATATTGTGAGGAAGATCTCTCCTGCCCTTGAAAGTGAGCGCTCTCCTATTCCATGCACTGGCTGCTTACGTCTGCATGCACATTCATGTGAGTGTCTGCCATAAGAGATGGAGGTGGGGGCCATAGTTCTGTGGTAGACCACCTGTTCTGCACGCAGAACATCACAATTCAGTTCCCAACATCTCCCCTGTAAAAGGATCTCAGTTGCTGAACTACCAAGCAGAAAGAAAATATTAGGCTAGGTGGTCCAGCTGGCCTGATTTAGGAAAGCTCAGCTTTATATGTTCAAGATGTGACAGGTTGATCTAGTGCTCGTCAATATAACATGTCACCATCTGCTACCTTTGCTGAACTAACCATTTTAATTTAGCTGTTTTGCTAGTGCTTGTTTGGCTGCTTTCCAGTTGTTAATTACCTGCTCTAAGCCTTTGAGTTGGGATGGGGCCATAGCTCAGTGGCAGAGCATCTGTTTTGCATGCAGAAAGTCCCGGATTCCATCCCTGGTGTCTCCAAGTAGGGCTGAAAGAGATCCCTAAACCCTGGAGAGCCATTGACAGTCCATGTAGACAATATTGAGCTAGATGGACCAATGGTCTGGCTGAGTATAAGGCAGCTTCCTATGACTCTAAAGGTCAGCAGATTGGATATTTACATAAAGGCAATGGTCATCAGAACATCTGCCTGAATCTCCAACATAGGGCTCATACAGTTCAAAGAAATTCACCCAAAAGAGTGGCGCACCAGAGATCGGTCAAAACTCACTTGGCTCACAGGAGCCAGCACTATGGGGTGAAGGGGAAGATCCAATGCGCACAGAACACACCTTTATGGAGAGGAATTCTGAGAAGTCGGTGGTTCGTTTCTTGCAGCAAGACCAGCCCTGGGAGGAATAACATAGGGGTAAGTCTTCCATTTCACAAACACAGCAACCCACAAATGGTTACCAGAGGCAACTAGAAATTTAATACTGGTTTATTTTAATACTGGAGTTTATTTCATCTGACAAAGTTAAAAAAAGAGTAGTGATTTATGCAAAGGAGAGACTATCACCGAAATTCATTTTTAAAGACAATCAAGGAAGATTTGTGGCAATTGAAATTCAAGTTCAAGGAGAGAAATTTTTGATAGTAGGAATTTATGCACCGAATGAGGGGAAATCTGAATTCTTTAAAAAGTTGCATGAGACCTTAATGGACTATTTGGATTACAATCTGATCTTGATGGGGGATATGAATGGAGTAGTATCTACAAATATGGATAAGGCACAAAGACAGGTAGTCACCAAGGATGGTAGACTACCGAAAACATTTTCGAGATGACAGATAACTTGGACTTAGTTGATACTTGGAGAACAAAGAATCCCTTGGGAAGAGAGGGAACCTTCTTTTCTGAAGCCAAGATGACATGGACTAGAATTGACCAAATATGGGTAACTAGAGGAATGGCACCAAAGATAACGAAAGTGGAAATTTGTCCAAAAAACCTGCTCCGACCATAATGCTGTAAGGATGGAGATGAAACTAATATCAACTGGCTCCTTCAGATGGAGGATGAATGACACCTTATTCAGAGATGAAGAAGTGTATAAAAAGGCCCAAAAAACCTTGAGAGACTATTTTGAGATAAATATGAATACTAATGTAGAAAAAAGAGTTATCTGGGACGCAAGCAAAGCGGTCATGAGAGGGTTTCTGATACAACAGAATGCAATAAAGAAAAGCCAAAATGAGAAGAAAGATAAAATTTTGGAGAAAATAAAAGAAAGTGAGAAGAAATTGAGAGCAAAACCAAAGTCGCAGGAGATTTTGAGAGAAATAAAGTTATATCAAGTACAATATATGGAAATGATGAATCAGGAAATAGAATGGAAAATTAAACAAATGAGACAAAAAACATTTGAATCAGCTAATAAATGTGAGAAATTGCTGGCTTGGCAAATGAAAAAAAGACAAAAATTAAATACTATCACAAATTTAGAAGTGGAAGGAAAGAACATACACAACCCAACTGAGATTAGAAACTGTTTCCAGAGGTACTTTAAACAATTATACACACAAGGGCCACAGAAAGAAATGGACATAGATCGATTTCTGAAGACAAATGGATTACAAAAAATCTCTCAAGAAAGTAAATTAATGTTGAATTATAAAATATCTGAACAGGAAGTAGAAGGTGCCATTCAAAATATGCAATTAGGCAAATCTCCAGGACCGGATGGGCTGGCCAAGAGATTGAAAAAAGTGTTGATGGAAGAGATTCATAAAGACCAAGCGGGCTTTCTCCCGGGAAGACACTTGTCTGACAATTTGAGGAATATAATTGATATTTTGGAAAAACTAGAAGTGAACATAAATACTAAAGCAGTTTTGATATTTGTGGACGCGGAGAAAGCTTTTGATAATATCTCTTGGAGTTTTATGAAGAAGAACCTACAGGGGATGGGGGTAGGCCAAGGCTTTGAAAACGGTATAAGTGCAATTTATTCAGAACAAAAGGCTAAACTAATTGTAAATAATGTGGTGACGGAAGAATTTAAGATAGAAAAAGGGACAAGACAAGGTTGCCCAATTTCCCCATTGCTTTTTATATCGGTCCTGGAGGTTTTGCTGAATATGATTAGAAGGGACCAGCTGGTTAAAAGTATACAGGTCGGAGCTAAACAGTACAAATTGAGAGTATTTGCAGATGACTTAGTATTGACATTACAGGAGCCAGAATCTAGTACCAAAAGGGTTTTAGAACTAATTCAAGAATTTGGTCAGGCTGCAGGATTTAAACTGAGTAAGTTAAAAACCAAGGTTTTAGAGAAAAATTTAACATTGATTGAGAGAGAGAGGTTTCAGAATGAGACAGGCTTGACAGTGGTTAAGAAAGTGAAATACCTGGGGATTAATATGACAGCTAAAAATGGGAACTTATTTAAAGACAATTATGAAAAATGTTGGACGGAAGTGAAAAAAGACTTAGAAATTTGGTCAAATTTGAAGCTTTCACTGCTAGGCCGTATTGCTGCGATAAAAATGAATGTATTGCCTAGAATGTTGTTTTTGTTTCAAACATTGCAAATTGTGGACAAAATGGACTGTTTCAAGAAGTGGCAGAGAGATATTTCTAGATTTGTCTGGCAGGGCAAGAAGCCCAGAATAAAATTTAAGATATTAACTGATGCAAAGGAAAGGGGTGGATTTGCCCTGCCAGACTTTAAACTTTATTACGAATCAGCAACTTTCTGCTGGTTGAAAGAATGCCTGCTTCTTGAAAATACAGACATTTTGGATTTAGAAGGTTTTAACAACGTATTTGGATGGCATGCATATTTGTGGTATGATAAGGTCAAAGCACATAAAGCATTCAAGAATCATATTGTCAGGAAAGCATTGTTTAATGTCTGGATAAGATATAAGGATTTATTGGAAAACAAAACCCCAAGGTGGTTGTCACCGATGGAAGCAAAAGCACAGAAAAAGCTCAATATGGAGGCCAAGTGGCCGAAATATTGGGAAATTCTGGAACAAGAGGGAGATAGACTGAAATTGCAGAGTTTTGAGAAACTAAAAACAAAGAGCGAGATTGGCTTCATTATTATCAGATAATGGAGGCATATAATTCGGACAAGAAAATTGGTTTCCAGGTGGAAAAATCAAAATTAGAAACAGAACTGTTAGAACCCAAAACTAAGATTTTGTCAAAGATGTATAACTTGCTGTTGAAATGGAATACTCAGGATGAAACGGTGAAATCCGCTATGATTAAATGGGCACAAGATGTTGGACATAACATAATGATGGCTGACTGGGAACAGTTATGGACCACAGGTATGAAGTTTATGGCATGCAATGCCTTAAGAAAAAATATTATGAAAATGATATACAGGTGGTACATGACCCCAGTCAAGCTTGCAAAAATCTATCATTTGCCCGATAATAAATGTTGGAAATGTAAAGAAACTGAAGGTACATTCTTTCACCTTTGGTGGAAGTGCCCAAGGATTAAGGCTTTCTGGGAGATGATCTATAATGAACTGAAAAAGGTATTTAAATATACCTTCTTGAAGAAACCAGAGGCCTTTCTCCTAGGCATAGTCAGCCAATTGGTGCCAAAGAAGGATAGAACTTTTTTTATGTACGCCACAACAGCAGCAAGAATACTCATTGCAAAGTATTGGAAGACACAAGATCTACCCACTCTGGAAGAATGGCAGATGAAGGTGATGGACTATATAGAACTGGCGGAAATGACTGGCAGAATCCGAGACCAGGGAGAAGAGTCGGTGGAAGAAGATTGGAAGAAATTCAAAGATTATCTACAGAAATATTGTAAAATTAATGAATGATAGAATGATGTTGGATAGAAATTAAGTGGTTTTCAGCTGTAATACTATAAGGGAATATGAAAAATGGATTATTAATAGGTAAAAATTTAACGTTACAATATTTTAAGATTAAAGACTAGGATAAACAAAGAGGGTAAGGATTTGCTGAACCAACAAACCGAACTGGAATACAAAAAAGGGAGGCGTGAGGAGGTCCGGGAAACAAGCTAATGAAAAATAAGTAATGGAAAGATTGAGTTGTTTTTAACCATTTTTATTTTGTATTTTCTTCTTTTTTTATTTTTATTTTGTAATATTTTGAAAATCTCAATAAATATCTTATAAAAAAAAAAAGAAATTTAATACTGGTGTCTGGCGGGGAAAACCTGTGTGCGCTTTTACAGCCAGAGGAGTGGCATATTTTCTTTTTTAACCACCAGTAACACCAGGGGGGCAGGGCAACAAGTCCCAGAATGCAGTATTGATGCTGGGAGGACAGGGGCATTTTTTGCAAACTCATCCCTCCATTTCCCAGTCCTCACAGTAAACGGTGGGCACAGGACAGATGCTCTTAATTCACAGCCGTGGAGCATGAAGTGAGAAAGCCAAGTTCACATCCTCAGCGTACATTGAACAGTTCCCTGGAGAACTGCAGGAACTGCAGTTTGTTAAGGTGCCTGAGAACTGCAGCTCTGTGAGGGAGGGGGTCTTCTATCATTGGCAGACTTGGATGGCGCCAAAATTTGCACACACTCCCAGCCCTCATGCTGCTTTCTCAAAATTGGGTGAGGGGGCAGTTCTGCTTTGGGAAAGAGGCATGAGGTTCTGGCAGGGCCCTGGAGCCCTCCCAAGCTCCCATAGCACCCCAAAGTTGGGAATGCATTAACTAGGTTTTGGGAAAGAGACACTGTCAGAGTCTCACACCTTCTTTCCAAAGCCTAGTGCCTCTGCCTTCTCTCCTTCCCTTGCACAGCCCTAAATCCTCCCTTGCTCCTAGAAACTCACAGTCAGCACCCTTAACAAACTACAGTGCCCAGGGGTCTTTGGGGGGAGCCATGACAGGTTAAGGTGGTATGATAGGAATTCCAAGGGCTGCTAAGCCCAGCCAAAATGTAAAGCAACAGGATGCCTCCCCCCATACACACAAATACCTGATCAACAACCTGCTATTCTTATGCCTTATGCCAGTCTCTCCAGACCCCACTGCCCAGACCCTGTGCAATCCTATGCAAGGATGTGGCACTGCAGTGATGATCTTCAGCCCATTGCACTGCTCTGCTCAACCAACTCACCTTCAAGGCATCATGGAAGATGGGTAAACCCGGGTGGTAGAGGCAGGAGTCTGAGAGCGGGAAACAAAAATGGTAGAAGTCAACAGTTCAGCCAGAATCATAGAGTTGGAAGGGACCTTGAGGATCATCTATTCCAATGCAGGAATAAGCTGATGTCCCATACGGGGATCAAACCTACAACCATGGCATTATCACCACCACACTCCAACCAACTGGAGCTATCCAGGCTCTCATCTTACTGAATCAGGCCAAAAGCTCATGTAGCCCTGCATCCCATTATCACAGTGGGCAACTGGATCCCTTTGTGAAGTCTGCAAGCGGTATTACTTTTCTCACCCCGGCCCCTCAGATATCCTTCTCACTGGGCATCCAGGACAATTTGTGCTTGGGACAGTATTGGGGAGTGGTTGTACATGATCCCACTTTTGATGCTGTTCGCACTCGCAAAGGTTCCAGGGTGAACATGTTGCTGCATTTCCAATCTGTGCGTGTCCCATAGCCCCCTGCTGAAATCCTGCAGCTTTTCAAAACACAAACAGTCTAGGGTTTTGTTCAACTTTCGTTGTGCTGTGTTAGTTATCATATTTATTTAAACAAATTACATATCCCTTGACTACAACAGTCTCTATTGTGAGATACAAAAAAAAATCAGTTAAAACTAGAAAATCAAACATCCATTGAAGGAAATAACCATGCAGGAAATTATAGATGTAATAAACCAGGCAAAGGCAGGGAAATCACCGGGGCCAGACGCTTCAGGTTACAGCCTCCGCTAACCCAGAAATAGTACCTCGGGTTAAGAACTTTGCTTCAGGATGAGAACAGAAATTGGGCTCCGGTGGCACAGGGCAGCTGGAGGCCCCATTAGCTAAAGTGGTGCTTCAGGTTAAGAACAGTTTCAGGTTAAGAACGGACCTCCAGAACGAATTAAGTACTTAACCCGAGGTACCACTGTAATAGAAGAGAACACAAAATTATTAAAGAACATGTATAACATTCTTTTGGAATGGGAAACAAAAAATGAGGAAGTGAAATCAGTAATAATTAAATGGGCACAAGATATAGGCCACAACATACAATCTGAAGATTGGACAAAACTCTAGAAAGTAAATTTGAAATTCACAGACTGTATATTGTTAAAGGAAAATTATATGAAGATATAAAAATGAGCAGAGGGAATGCTGGAGGTGTAAAGAAGCTGAAGGGACTTTTTGTCGTATGTGGTGGGATTGTAAAAAGGTTAAGGTATACTGGGAAATGATTTACAATGAATTTTTTTTAAAAAGTTTAAAATAACATTTGTTAAACAACCAGAAGCCTTCCTGTTGGGCATTTTAGGGCAAGACCTGCCAAAAGAGAAAAGGACACTATTTATGTATGCAATGGCGGTGGCGAGAATACTGCTAGCACAGAACTGGAAGACTGGAGAAATTCCAACGAAAGAACAATGGCAAGAAAAACTGGTGAGTTATGCAGAGATGGTGAAGCTGACACACAGACTTCGGGAAAAGGACAAGAGGGATTTTGAAAAAGAGTGGGAACCTTTTATATTATATTTGCAGAAACAAAGGAAGAACATTGATCTGATGGTAGGATTTAAACATTCACAGTTTTATGGATAGGGAATAGGTAATGTAATAAAAGGAAAAAGTATGATATTTGTAGAAGATAGCAGAATATATAAGGAGATAAATAAATCAGAACCGGAAGCCGAGAAAAGTCTAAAAGGGGGGAGGGAGAGATGTTTATGTAATCTGTATGTTATAAGTTTATTGGTAATGCGAGAAAAGAAAAAGTTTTTAAAAATTTAAAAATCCATTGAAGGAGCGTCTCCACCCTCATCGTTCAGTCCAGACACTGAGATCTAGCTCTAAGGGCCTTCTGGGGGTTCCCTCACAGCAAGAAATGAAGCTACGGAGAACCAGGCAGAGGGTCTTCTCGGTGGTGGCACCCGCCCTATGGAATGCCCTCCCATCAGATGTCAAGAAAATGAGTAACTATATAATCTTTAGAAGACATCTGAAGGCAGCCCTGAATCGGGATGGCTTTTAATATGTAATGTTGTGTTACGTTTTTATTTATGTTGGAAGCTGCCAAGAGTGGCTGGGGCAACCCAGTCAAATTAGCAGGGTACAAATAATAGATTTATTTATTTATTTATTTAGCCTGCTGGAGTAATAATAATAATAATAATAATAGAGCATTCAGTAGGTGCCAGAGGTTCAACAAGGAGGGGGCCTCTGGCCTCAACAGGAAGGGAATTCCACAAAATTGTGCCCACAATACTAAACACACTGTGCATCTGAGCCATGGGGGGGGGGGCAGGAACAGTGAGTCCCCCAAAGACCTCTGTGATCAGGTAGGGATATAAGGGATCAGGTCTCCCTAAGGTAACTTGGACCCAGGTGGCTAAGGGCCTTGTAAATTAATACAAAAGCATAGAGCTTGCCCCGGTAGCATGTGGGCAGTCAGCGCAAGCTTTTGAGCTTTGGAATTATGTGCTGGTGAGAATTTATCACCACTAACTGTCTAGGTGTAGCATTCTGCACCGGCCGAACTTCCAGACCAGGCCTAAGAGTAGACCCACATTGCAATAATCCAATCTATAACAGAGTGGGGGGGGGCATTTCAACAGCAATAACATGGTAACACTGGGGAAGCATCACAGAACAACTCATAAAACTGAAGGGTGTGTGGAGCATCCACTAATGCACTGTTATTGTCTGTCTTTTCACTCCGGCAGTGCAACCCTGGCACTGAGCAGGTAAACCAAGACTGTGTATACACCATACATGCTTTCCCCCTAAGGATAATAGGAACTGTAGTTTGCCCAACAGAGAACTACAGTTCCCGGCACCCATAATAAGCTACAGTTCCCAGGGTGAAGCTATGTGCTTTAAGTGTGTGTGTAGCCCAAGAGGTGCTTTTGAAGTAATTCTCTCTGCCTTGGAGACTCCACCTTTTTCCTTCTGGAAGCATACCAATGATACTACAGACTCTGCAGATGACTGAGACATTCTCCTTGCTTGACATGTGCTTTGAATGTGCTGGTTCTAGGGCTCACAGTACCTTTAAAGCAACCCCCACCCCAGAAACCTGGGAGCTGTAGTTTGTTAAGAGTGCTGGGAATTGTAGCTGAGGGGTAAACTACAGTTCCCAGGGTTCCAGCATGTATATGCTTCAAAAGTATGGTGAGTACACAGCCAGAGACAAATCTGCAAGGTCATGTTTTTAAATGCATTTGTTACTTTTGTGTTTTTAAGTGTTTTTAATCATCTTACCCTTAAATTGCCTTGAGACTGTGGTTTAGTTAATCAACGGTAAAGATTAGTAACAATACTGTAATAACAATATATTGTTGTCTTCGGGTTTTTCCCTTACAGAGATTCCTGTCCTGTGAACATTAGGCAGAAATTTAGCCTCTTATCATAGCTCTGGGGTGATCACATCACCTGTTGAACTCGCCGGAGAGGCACAGGAAAGAAAGAAAGCGGTAATACCACACACGCGCACGCGCGCACATGCATACGTGTCAACTGTTAAAGCAACTCTCCTAACTTACATGCACACTTCCTTGCAAACAAACTTCCTGCGGTTCTCCTGAGCGCCGTGGGAACTCGCACGGAGTCACGTGGACATCAGAGGCCGCCCATCGCTGCTCCCGGACCTCTGACTTACCTTGCGTGTTCTTCTCCGGGTCAAACTTCTGACCGCATCCCTTGTTGTAGCAGAGCAAAGCCATCTCCTGGGTCGGGGATCCAGACCCTCACAAAGAAAGGCAGACAGGCAGGCAAGCAGGCAAGCCGGGCCGGCTCTGTCACTGTCCAGCACGCATCCCTGTCAGTCAGAGAGGCTCTCTCGACCGCAACTTTCGGGGCTGGGCGAAAAACGAGCCCTGGCTATCTTTAGCAGGCGGCAAGGGGGAGGGCCCTGCAACCGGAGCCCGGCCCAAAGATGGGCATGCAACCCGTTCGGCCTACCAGAAGCACTGAACAAGCAGGCGTGGATTGCCCCGGCGGGGAAGGCACAGCGCAATGGGGCGGCAGCGGTGGCAGCAGCAGCTGGAGCGCAAGGCAGATGCTCCAGAGACATAAAGGACTGGTCTTCTCCATACTGTAATTCTATGATTCCAAGTGGGATGGGAAAGAAACATCAACGTTGGGATGCGCTGCCCCACTGGCCCCTGACACCTGAGGTGGTTGCCTCACCTTGCCCTGTGGGTGGGCCAGCCTTCTGTGAGGGCTAAACTACAGTTCCCATAATTGCTATTTTTCAGGGAGACTGGATTTGCCTTAAATGTATTGTGTCTGTGTAGCTTTTGTTTCTCTTGCATCTTTGACTTGGCTTCCCAGCCCCAATCTGTGGTGCTCAAATCCCCAAACCCCACAATCTTGACATCTTAGGGTTTTTCTAGGAGATGATGCATTTCATACTTTGAACACAAACCCGCAGTGGTTGGGAGGATGCAAGTCCTTACCAGAAGTGGGGGGGGGGCGTGGGCAGAGGCAGATCTGGGGTGTGTATGACCAGTTCGGTTGCACTGGGGGCAAAGTCTGGGGGCACCGCGGGGGGGGGGCGACCAAATTTTGGGGTCACAAAAATCACCGCTGAAATTTGAGAATCCAAGGTCTGCCACTGCTGTGGAATCCACTTCCTCAAGATGTAGTGGTGGTAGCTCTCAATTAAGGTGGATTTAAAAAAATAGGCAACTTTGCAGCTGACAACGACTTCCAACCATAATAGCTATGTCCCACCTCCACTGTTGGGGCTGCTAGAGAATCACAAGTGGGGAGAGTAGATTCCCATAGTACTTTTAAAAAATATATATATATATATTCATTGCTTTTACGTCACATTTTTTCTCTAAGCAGCTCAAGGTGGTGTACATACAATTTCTGCCCCTCATTTAATTCCCACAACAACCCTCTGAGGTCATTTAGGCAGAGAGGCACAGGCCAGCCTCCAAGTGAGCTTTGTGGCTGAGCAGGGATTCGAACCCTCGTCTCCCTTGTCCTAGTCTGGCACCCTTACCATTACACTACGCTGACCCCTTCTGTTATTACCACTTTGTCATTTTTCACACTGAAGTGTCTCAGAGCAACTTACAGGATAAAAATAGGAACCAAGAAAAAAAACAAAACCAAACATAAGAGCAGCAATAAAATAATAGGCTTCTGGCCACTCTCAGAACAGGATGCGAGGTGACAAGATGGGCCTTTTTGCCTGATCTGGTGCTCTTGTGTTCATGCATTTGGATAGCTCAATCAGTAGACCATGAGACCCTTAATCTCAGGGTCATGGGTTCGAGCCTTACGTTGGGCAAAAGATTCCTGTATTGCAGGGGTTGGACTAGATGACCCATGTGACCCTCTTCCAACTCTACAGTTCTATAATCTTCTTCTATTTCCTGCCCTACATCCACACTAATCAGCTCAGTGGGGATCACGTGAGAAAAGACTCAAGGGCTATTATCCCTAAAAGATTGCTAACAAAAGACTGCTGCGGACAGTTGGATGGAAAGTGACACAACCAATCGGGTCCACCCACCTCCATCCCTGCCCCCTGTGAGCATCTGTTTCCAGATTCCCTGTACAGATGCAAGAATATTGTGGTGGCTGCATATGGTGTTTTAACTGGAGGTGCAACCATGCAATGCACACACCTTCCCCAGAAGGCACTGCAGAAGAAGGTCCCTAGAAGATGTGATGGCCAGCACACACATGAAGAACAGTGGTGTTCACATAGCCCATGTGGTATAGCAATTAAAGTGCAAGACCTGGGAGACCAGGGTTTGAATCTCCACTAAGCCTCAAAGCTCCCTGAGTGACCTTGGGCCAGCCACTGCCTCTCAACCTACCCTACCTCACAAGGTTGTTTTGGAGTTTAAATGAAGAGGAGAGAGAGCTGCATATGCCACGCTGAGCTCCTTGGAGAAGAAATGTGAGATACGAATGCTACAGATACATGGGTAGGCAAACTAAGGCCCGGGGGCCGGATCCAGCCCAATCACCTTCCAAATCTGGCCCATGGACAGTCTGGGAATCAGTGTTTATTTCTCTGTTTCCTGAGATCCCACACAAATCTCAAGATTTGCAGGACAATATATGTACAAAAACCCCGAAACAAAGCCTGGAGTGGGTTAAAAGAAGAGAAAACAAAATGCAATGGTTGGTCTTGCTTCCATGGGGCCTCATTCAGCCAGCTGCATGCATGCCCTGCATCTGCAGGTGAACTGGAAAGTGGATAAATGCCGTAATTACCTGCAATCTTCCTTATCAGCCCCATCCAGCATGCTACTCTAGTCCAAAAGATCTGAAGGATGGCCAGGTTGGGGAAGCTTGCATTAAAGATCACTAAGAAATTGGCCTGCCTCGTCACATTTCCCACACCCCACAGGATGGCTGATTTCAAATCATTCCTATCTCACAGTTCCCCCAATATGTCTCTGTTTTGCTGGTCTTTGCAGCATCTGCTGAGAAAAAAGCAATCTTGGGCTGTCTCCCGATCCCACCCCACTGATAGATACCCTGAAATCCAAAAAGCCCTACCCCCCCCCATTTCCTGCCTTGAGCCAAGGGTGTCCCCTCCAAGATCCCCTTGAGAGAGGTTGACCATTGCAGTTCCGTTCAACCAAGAAAATCCCCGGCTCTCTCCATCCATCAACAAAGTTCTCGTTTCTCTGGGACTGAGTCCAGACTTCAGGTTGTCCTCTCTGCTAGGCTGGTCAGCTTTTTCTGAGTCAGTTCATAGGCAAGGAAGAGGGCACCATTGGATGGCAGGGCACGGATCACCGTGGGCATCAGCCCACAGTAAAGAGGCATAAACCCTACAAGAAAAAGGAACATATAAAACCATCTTATACCAGGCCACACTATTTGTCAATCTATCCCAATATTGTCTGCTTTGGAGGGTAGCTGATGTCATGGGGCTGAGACTGAGAGGGGTCTTTCTCAGCACTTATTATTATTAAATTGTTGTTGTTGTTGTATTAATTACTTCTTATATGCCAAAATGGTTTCTAAGTAGTTTACAACTGTAAACATCAATAAATAATTAAATACACATGAACAAATCCATTAGGGAATTAAAACTTCCTCAGTTAAAATATAAAAGAAAAACAAACGATTAAGAAATGTGTGATAAAAACCATTAAAAGCAATAAAACCAGAAATTCAAGTTCAGGAGAATGCTTGCCTAAACAATTTTGTCTTTGGGAACCGGCAGAATGCCAATGCTGATGGGGCCTCTTGTATTTCAGCAGGGAGGACTGGGATTGAACCTGAGGCCTTCTGCATTAAAAGCACCTGCTCTGATCATCAATACCCATAGAAAGAGGCAACAACAAGGCAGTCTGTTGATGCCTAGTGGGCAACCTCTGACATACGGTCCTAATTGGGCACCTGTAGGACACCCTGTTTATCCAGTGAGGCTATTTTGGCCAACCACAGGTCAGGCACATAACGATTGGGCTTGGCTGAAAGGGGTTTTTCAGACACAGCCCCTGTGCACCAGACTCTGCAAGCCCTGACAGTTAGCTAGTTGCTGGAGCTTGCGAAGCCCTGTGCCTTTGCCCACAGGGAAGATAAAGATCCCAGCTGGAGGATCCAAGTCCCTGCCACTGCTCTCACTCGAACTAGCATTAGCCAACTTTGGGAAAGCCTGCAGGTATACTACAACACTTCACCAAGGGAGCTCCTATCTCATTAAAATGTAAGGAGAACTTAAGAAAGAGCCTTGTTGGATCAGGCAAAGGCTCTGTCTCCCACTGTGGGTAATGAGTGCCTCTGGGAAGCCCCGAAGGGCATAGGTCACATGTTCCTACGCACACAGAGAGAGTTTGTCCCTCAGAACCACCTGGCATTCAGAGGCATTGAATTCCATCAGGCAGTGAGAGAAAAGAAGCAGGGCAATTCCATTGCCCCTGCTGAGAGACCAGCTGCATTTGTCCCTCCCTAAGAGTCCCTAAGAAGACATGGGTGGCGCTGTGGTCTAAACCACTGAGCCTAGGGCTTGATGATCGGAAGGTCAGTGGTTCAAATCCCCGTTGTTCGGTCCCTGCTCCTGCCAACCTAGCAGTTCGAAAGCACGTCAAAGTGCAAAGTAGACAAATAGGTACCGCTCTGGCAGGAAGGTAAATGGCGTTTCCGTGTGCTGCTCTGGTTTCGCCAGAAGCGGCTTAGTCATGCTGGCCACATGAGCCGGAAAAACTGTCTGTGGACAAACGTCGGCTCCCTCGGCCAGTAAAGTGAGATGAGCACCGCAGCCCCAGAGTCGTTCATGATGGGACTTAACTGTCAGGGGTCCTTTACCTTTACCTTTTTAAGAGTTCCCTAGCAGCAGCCATGCCATCAGCCTGCCTGAATTGTTTCCACTGCAGCTGGTTGCTTGACAAACTGTACCTTTAAGAACTGCTGCCCAGAGTTTGCTTTTTTTCTTCTTCCCTAAGCCCTCCTCCTCCTCTCCTTTTTCCTTGTGTGTTGTGCCCTTTCCATTGTAGCCCCGAGGGCAGGGAATGCCTGACTACTCATCTTTGTAAGCCACTCTGGGAACCTTGCCAGCTTAAGGACAATTTAAAAAAAAAATGTTTTAAATAAATAAATGTCTAGGAAGGACTCGCCTTCTGTACGTAGGATGTGTAAGAAGGAAAGCAGGAAACCATCTTGCCGCCCAGCCATGGACAACACCTGGATCCGTGATTTTACTGAATCAATGGGATAGACAGCCAGCCAGAAAGCAGCACCACCAATTCCGCCACTCACAGTCACAGGGAGAGCACCTGCAAAAAGTAGGTGTAGCTTAACGGTCACCGTTGTTGCTCAAGCAGATTATGGTCAAGTGCATCTAGGCAAGACCCACTTCTGGAACATTTCAGAAAGCTTAAGATGGGTTTACACAATAGCAGACTCTCCAACAGAGCAGAGTGGTGGTAAATTCTGAAGTACAGACACTCCTATTAGCATTGCCTTCTAAGACTATATGGTAAAAATGATTTTGGGCTATTACACACCACTTTGCTTAGCATCCATCCTGATAAAGAGTTCTGATGGACTCGTTATTTTGTGACATTTTTGGTTAACTATAATAAAGGGACTTTGCAATGATGGGAGTCGGGAGTACAATATGGTTGCAGGGCACCAGGTTGGAAAAGGCTGCCCTAAGGGCCATGAATTGCTGAAGCAGAGGTGGGGAACTTGTGAATCTAGCTGGACTCCAGTTCCCATCAACCTAACCATTGGCCATGCTGGCTGGGGCTGATGAGTGTTGGAGTCCAACAATTTCATGAGGGCTGCAGGTACTCCCTAGCCCAGAGGATGATAACACTGGGCTAGATGGGCAATAATCTGAAGGCAGCTCTGTATCAGGAAGTTTTTAATGTTTGACATTTTATTATGTTTTTATATGTGCTGGAAGCCTAATAATGATGGTGATGATGATGATGATGTTTCATGGGTCAGGCAAACTTCGTAGCCTCGGTAGTGGCCAAGTGATGACTAATAAAAGGAATTTGGAACAGCAAGCTTCCTGCCTACCCACATTAGACAGGTACATCCACAATATTCTTTTAAACACCTGCTGAAAACTTTTCTGTATTCAACAAATCTATCCAGACACGTGAATTAGTTACAGCCATTTCAGATGTTTCATTGATTTCATCCTTCATAAACGGTTTTATGCATATCTGTTTTTAATTGCTTTGCACATCCTAATCATGCTTTATATATAAAGTCAGACTGCAGGCTGCTTGGATACTTTCTTTGAGCAAGCCGTTTATGCATTTTTGAAATAAGCAAACAAAAATGAATGGTGAGGAGGCTGGCACGGAAGCAGGCAGCTGCTGTCCTCTTTGGATCAGAACCCTTCCACCACAATCACTGTGTCAGAGCTCCCCAGAAGGAAGGGGCTGGCATTCCCCAGATGAATCATCAGCACATTCTAGGACATGCAAGATTCTGCTTGGGTCTGGCACCTGCTGGAGAGTTGCACTCTTCCAGAATCCCCTTCCTGCATTCCTGGCAGACAGGCAGGCAGGCAGAGCAGCTGGCACAGGCGTGAGAGCAAGAAAGCCAATTCTAATGGAATCCCTCTTCAGGGCACCTCTGAAAGGCAAACTGAGGCATGCCACCACAGACAGAAGCATCCAAGAAAAAGATCATTCTAAGCAAATATATCTTTTCTCTGCCAGAGTATTTACATTGGGGCTTCTCAGGACCTCCCTTGCCCAAGAGCAAGTTCTGCTGACTACCCAAATAGGACTAAACTGAACCCTTGCTATTGACTTGATCTCCCCCAAGAAGGGACCCCTCCTCCAGGTGCCCTTTGTATTGTCCATTCAGGAAGATTTGAGTTCATAGTGGTATTTAGGCAGTTATCTGCTGTCTTGCTTTCCATATACTGTTTGCAGCTGCAAAATATGTTGGAATGGATATACTGCTTCATTTCCAAATCAGTGCCTGTTTTGTAACTTTCTGCTGGAATCTTGTAAACTTTTTCTTGCCCTGCAGGGCAAAGGTTTCTGTCCAGAAAGCAATAATGCAGCAACATTGGGGTAGCATTGCAGAGCAACTAATAAAGCAGAATGATCTGTCGTTAGTTCACCACTAATGTGCTATCATTGCATCAATAGCACATTGTAGAATACCCCTGCAAAAAGCACAACCCTGGAAAGGCTGCTGCCTCCGACATCTTTCAGCTCATTTCTTTTTTCCCATTCTGGCTTACTGGGCAAAGCTGAGGACCCCTGTAGGGAAATCCCCCTGCTCCCAGGCTTTGCTTACCCAGCTCCTCCTTTGATTGTCCAGCCTGGAGGAAGAAGCTTCGGCTGACTTCATAACCCCCAAAGAAGAAGAAATAGCCAGGCACCTCCCGTAGCCATGTGCTGGTCAGACCCTGGAAGAAACCCAGGGGGCCTTCTGAATGGAAGATGGCTTTCACCACAGTCCAGGTGGAACTATAAGAGGGGAGAGAAGAAAGTCCCATGACACATGGAGAGCACAGAGAATCCATATTAGGGGTAGATTGAGGGCCTCGTTTCCCAATGGGCAGCGTTTCTGGGACTGCATGCCTGGGTAGCTGGGACAACAGATTTGACATTCATCTTTGTACAGGAGGCAACAGGCCAATCTTGCAAAAGCCAGAGGCTTCCAGACACACTGTTTATGGGAATTTGTGAGTGGAAGACTCCCCTGTGTGATGAGTTAGTGAGTGCCAGACACTGAATCCCTGGATTCAGCAAAAGTTAAACCAGAGCTTTCCAAATTTTTCCTGTTGGGAAATGCATTGCTTCACGACACAGTAATTCAGTTTTACTAGCAAACTGGAGGTTAAACTAACCCCTTTCCAGCCCCAGGAGGAGCGCAGGGAGCATTCTCACAACACATCTACACGCTGCAGCCAACATGCTAATGTATCATGACACACAGTTTGGCAAGCTCTGAGTTAAACTATAAGTCAGGCCAGCTTCTGTATGAGGTAATTGCCTGGGAGATGAACCACTAAGAAAACAAAAGGAAGGTTATGAGCCATTAGGAAAGCCAAGGAGAGGGGGAAATGGAAGGAGCTCCTCCCTCAACTGTTAGTTAGAAAGCCAAAAGGCACGTGTTTTTGGTTGACTGTGATGTGAGCTAGAAGCTGGGGGAAAGCAGCAAGCAGAGGTTCAGAGGCCCATGGCTGATTTCTGTTTGAATCCAAGGCTGCAGCCAGTGCTTTTTTCCTGGGGGTACGCAGGGGTACGCATACCCCTAAACATTTTGTGAATCTTTGTACTTTTGTCCATTTACTGTATATATTCTTCCCAATTTGAACTATAAAATGGTGATTTTCTTGAGTCAAAATGAGAGTACCCCTAAACATTTTTTTAGAAAAAAAGCACTGGCTGCAGCTATGGGAGACACAAGAACCTCTTGGGGTGTTAATGCTGCGAGCCCCTCCATCATAGGCTCAGGTTGCATATATGTGTGAATAAACCATATATCTTAAAGACACCCAGTCTTTGCTGTGCCTCAAAAGGAAATCCTGGGTGAGTGCTCAGAGCCCCTGGAATCTCACACTGCTGTGGAGACTGGGGTGGCATGCAAGAGTGCAGTCTCCACTCAGGCAAGCAGGAGGCATTCTTGGAGTTCAAGAACACATTGCAGCCAGGCGAAAAATCTGGGAGGGGTGTGACCTAGGAAGGAGGTGTGGCCTATGGAGAATTCAGAGGACCAGACAGAGAAGCCAAGGAAGCCTCTCTCTCTTTCTCAATACAGTGGTGCCTCGCAAGACGAAATTAATTCGTTCTGCGAGTTTTTTCGTCTTGCAATTTTTTTCGTCTTGCGAAGCACGGTGTCGGGAAAGTTTTGGAAAAGCTTCAAAAATCACCAAAGTCTTTAAAAACCTCAAAAAAGGCTACCACACCGCGTTCTATGAGTTGCTCCTTGAAGTCAAGTCGCAACTGTATTAACGGTTTTAAGAAAAAGGGAACAAACTTGCAAGACGTTTCCGTCTTGCGAAGCAAGCCCTTGGGAAAATCGTCTTGCGAAGCAACTCAAAAAACCAAAAACCCTTTCGTCTAGCGAGTTTTCCGTCTTGCGAGGCATTCGTCTTGCGAGTTACCACTGTACATAATTAACATCAGGTATCCTTTCCCAATCTGGGACCTTCCAAGTGTTCCAGCCAACAATTCTAATGACAATTCCCATGAATTATTATTTTTTGGTGGGGGGGAAGGCATGATTGTTTATAGTGGTACAATACTGCTTTGAATGTGTAATGCAGAGGGGGCCTTAAATGGCTTCCCCTCTCAAAGGATTAAATTCACATGGGAGAGACGCCTCGGCACCCATTAGCCTGGATAACGAAATAGAGCCTCCATGTTGCGAGGCAGTCTACCTCCGAGTACCTGTGCCTCGACAGAGCTGTCTGCCCTGTGACCTTCATCTCATGGAGAGCTTGCATCCGGCACTTCACCAGCTCTGTGGGGCACAGAACCATGGAGGAGAAGACTGATGAGAAGGAGCCGGCAATCGCGCTGTGCAAATCACTGTAATAACCCGAGAGAAGAATCCTCAGAGGAAAGCGAAGACCAGAGGGCGGGTGGGGGGAATCCCACAGCTAGGGAGCAACCTTCCATCCTCCCATACACTATGTATTTGTTTGCCTTTCGCCAGCAGAAATGAGCTGATTAAGTCAACCAGCCCACTCAAACCTGGTGTCCTCCAGAGGTTTTGGGCTGCAACTCTGATTGGGAAGTCTGACCAGGCTGAGGAATTCTGAGCAAAAGGATCCTATCCTGAGCAGCCTCCCACCCAATCCTCCCTTTGCATTTTATTTATTTATTTATTTATTTATTTATTTATTTATTGAAACCCATCTTTACACCTATGTTGCAAGCTACTGTGAGACCTATGCTATGTCAAATATTTAAAAGACAAACTAAAGCTGCAGAATTTAAAACCTCAAGGATTTAAAACATAAAAGAAAAAGCAAAACATCTGAGAGGCATCCAGGGCACAATACCTCCTCAAATCAAACAGTTCTGACCAGGTGCCTGAAACTCAGAAGGGACTGTTCCTATCTAACTTTCTCCAGAGGGGATTTCCATAGAGTTGGGGCCCACAGTCCTGAAGCTATGACTCACCCTGGGTGTCCAGTGTGGTGGCTGGTGTCCATTGGGACTCGTAGGGCAGACAATGGGGAGCCAGAGCTGAGGACAGGCAGAGCCAACTAATTCCAGCTTTACCCCCATCCACCTCCCTGCCTTCTAACAAGGCCAAAACTGAGTCTGAGGAGGAGGAGCCTCTGGCAGAAGAGAAGGGAAGAGAAAAAGACTGTACCTGAGCTCCTGGACATTGCCCAACCCAAAGAGCTGCCTCACGAGCTGCTGGCAGAACCCGTAGCAGGCAAAAAGCACAGCGTTCTCCGCAACGTTGGCCAGCAAGGCTGGAGTGGTGCCTTGGTAGAGCCCGTGCATGCCCTCCTGCTGGTAGGTCTTGACTGAGCAGTCAAAGAAGCCCTGGTACATTGTTGGGAAGGTCTGCATCTTCACCTTGATGGTGTCAAAAGGCTGCCCGGTCACCACGCATGCCACACCACCTGCAAAGAGCCACCCCACCCCAGGCAAGGTCACTCACTTGCTCCTGAAAAGCAGGGCAGATCAAACCAACTGTACTGCAGTGCCTGCTTTGCCAAAACGTACCCATGAAACATGTCAAGGGATGAGCATTAAAGGAGCAGCACTCACACACTATCCCTGTTCTATAAGGCCTGCTTCTGCTCTAAGCTGCTATGATAGAAATGGGACATATTAGGGGGCCTCACCCATATAAACTTGTCAGAGCATTCAGATCCAACATCTCAAGTCCCATGTCCCCATAGCCTTTGTTGGCAACTCTTCAGTGCCAGGACGACCTATATATTTTCCCTAACTAAGATTATGCTGCTTTTCTACTTCCTAGCGTGCTGCTAAACTTCCTGTGGCTAGTTTGGGGTTTGTTTTGGTCTGTTTTTATGGTATAATGCATTTATGTTTGTGTGTTACATGCGTTGTAAGTTGCACGGAGACCTCCAAGTAACAAGCAACTGACAATAAAAGAACAGCAATGAAGCTAAAGCTACAGCAATCTTGCCTCCATTCTTCCTCCTGCCTTTCCTTGTTGTCTGCCTTGTGTTTATTGGCTGGCCAGCCATGAGAAGTGGAGTCTTTTATGTGATGGCACCCAGACTGTGGAATGCCTTCTCAAGGCACCTTTGCCTTCACCATTGCTGCTTGCTTTGCCCAGAGCACTTAATGCCCATTTATTTCATCTGGCTATTTCTTTGCTGACTTGGAACATTATCTGTCAAAGGCTTGGCATTTCTAATTCATCTCTGCTTGTCTTCACCTGTATTTATTTATAAAACCTACAAACAACTTTTCACCACCAACGTGATCCCAAAGACAGATTCAGAAAGTGTGACAAGGAAAACAAAATTACAGTTTGAACGTTAAAACCAGCAGAAGTACATGATGTACCGTACGAAAGATAAGACTTCAGAGCAGACCTGACCAAGACCTTTATTTTCTTGGATACATTTTGTGATGTTTGTGATGTTTTAAGGATGTCTTGCACGGAGAAGTAGAAGAACAGAGATTATCCTGAGATCATGAGACCTGTCTCTCTACACCACCTGGGAGGGAAGTTCAGAGGGTGGTGGTGGTAACAGGCTTTGTATGCAGTAGATCCCAATTTATATATACTCTCTCCAGGAAAGCTTGCCTGGCACCAGCCTTATCTGCATTTTTGCCTCAGAAATACCTTTTTTTGTTTTCTTGGATGTTTGGGCAGCATACATAATGGGATATTGTATTGTTAAACCTGTTTTAATGTTTACGTGATTCTGAAACTGTATTTCTGAGCTGAGGAAAGTGGATGTGCAGAAATCTCTTCGCTCAGTCTTAGCCAGAAAACAGATTTGACAGCAAGACCCTGTAGGGTAGCAGCAGGTACCTGCCAGCAAGCCCAGTTGTCATAAGTCGGCTTTCACCAGATGTTTTGGACTACAACTCCCATCAGACCATTCACAATCCAAAGCATTTGGAGGGCACCAGGTTGACAAAATCTACCTTATGCTGTTGCCAGTTCTACACATCTCTTTCCCTTCAGAGCAGACAACTAGAAGCCAGACTTGGCACAGGGCCTGCCAGATGTAGACCTATATAACACTACAATAAAAGACCATGCAGATCTCCATATACTCGTATGCACACCCCCATCACATCCAAGATCCACCAAGATCCCATGGCTCTTCTCTGAATCTTGCTTGCTTTCCTGAACAGGCATTGCCTCCAGTGCTTGCTCAGTTTTAAGGGAGGGGTGGGAAACACTTTCCAGTTAAGGACTGCCATTACCTTTTGGACAAGGCCACATTCAAGTGGTGGGCGGGGCCAGAGGCAAAAGTGGATGGACCAACCAAGGCAAGCTTTGCCTTTGTACAGTAGGCTTATTTCTGCACACCCACCCACCCGCCTCTCTATCTTCCACCCAGGCAAGCAAAAGGCACGGTCAATGACACATTCCAACCAGACAGAAGCACTTAAGACAGGGGCAAAGCAGGGCTGGTTAGGGGAATGGCTGGGGGTGGGGATTGTGGTATGGGGAAAGTCCCATGGGTCAGTCAGAGAGGCTTGGAGCTGCCCCTCCTAGGTTAAGAGTTCCATTCTTCCCTACACCTGCCATTGATCCTTGGTCTCCCCTCTAAAGGGAGGCTTCTTGACCCATCCTCCCAGCAGCTCTCCATCCTTCAGGCTCACCTGCTGCCCCTGCAGTGAGGTCGATAAGCATCTGCACCAGCGGGTGGACTCGGGCTTGTTCAGTAGGCATCTCAGCACACAAACGTTCAGGTGCAGATGTCCCAAAGAAGACTGCAAGACTGGAGGGGGAAAGAAGAACATCAGTGGTGTAGTGGTTAAGTTTTGAAGCAGCTCATCATGACGGCCCCTGTAGCCACGCAGTCAAGGAGAGTCCAGAAATTAGGCAGCTGTGCTGATCCATTATTATCATATAGACAAGCTCAAAAGCATCATTACATAGCATAACACCCAGTTTGTTAGGACCAGAATGCCTGCAATCCAACAGTTTCCTGGGAGCACTGTTGAACTTAGAGGTACTTCCTTCCCATTGAAAGGATGGGCTTGCAAAACACACAGAGCTTTAATGAAAGATCTTCAGCTAGCTAAAAGGCAACCTTATGGGTTTTATCCAATGGTAGTCACATTCAAAGTAGGCCCAATGAAATTAATGAAGCTAGTTCCATTGTTTCAGTTAGGTCTGCTCTAGGTATGACAGTGGGACTTAGAAAAGCACCTAAACATGAAAATGTTACTATTCAAACTATTAGCATGAAGTAAGAACCTCACTGAACAAAAGAAATACCTCAACTTTGCTTATTTTTCACAGGCTTCTGACTGCTTCCAAGCTAATCTGTTGCAAACACACTTGAAAGCTTATTGCACCATTTAATTGCTAGAAAAAGGAGGATCTGCTGTTCCAGATGACCTCAGTGCCTGGCATTAATTATCCTGGCAGTCTAGGAGATGACAGCATTACCTCAGCTCGGGGGGGGGGGGGGGAAGTTCCCAGATCTGCACTCCTACACCACTGAAGAGCGTCATCTAAATAGGCTCCATCCTGCCCCCCAACTGAAGGTTATGTAAATATCTGAGTAACAGACCTGTAAGGAGAGATGGTGAAGCAGGATGAGGTGTCCCAGGCAGCTACCTGAGGTAGGCAGATGAGGTGCAAAAAGTTAAAGGGAGCCAAACAAGGAATGTGAGTTGGGTGGGGGTGGCATTTCCATTCTGTCTTGTGCCTTCTTACCCACTCCAGCCTTAGCCAGCTAGTCAGCCAGACAGATAGCCAAATACGCTTCAGGGGGAAAAGGCTGCTAGATTTTCTCCCAGCAGGGCTCCTGGGCATTTATTAGCTCTATGCAGCAAGTGGATCATTCCCCATCTATATATACTAGACAGGAAGCATTCACTGTTGAATTTCTAGCTGTTGCAGTTGCATGAGGCAGATTCCTTGACACAAATACACACACATGTTTCCAGAGGTTCTTTAAAGTTGCTAAAATTTGCTTTTTACAGGTCTTTATCCAGTGCTCACCATGAAGTTGTTACTGCAAGTGCCACACTTTTAACATAAAAAGGACGAATGGACTCTGTAACAGATCGTAGTAACACCGGGCCATTGCATTAGCTGGCTTTGCAGTGGACTGATAAAAGGCCTCTCATAAAAGACTTAAAGGGAAATGACCAGACAGCAACTGGAAAAATCCTGTCAGATCAGAAAACTGATGAAGGCTGTTACAAGGTCTCTGGGACAGCTAGAAAACCAGGCTGCTCTCTTGTAGGTTAATTGCTCTCTCATCTTTTTGCCTTAGGGCTGGAAATGCCAAACTGAGTAGTAGGGCGCAGCTGCAGAGCTGCACCAACAGAATCTAACCACAGAAAGGTGGAATGAAATTATGGTGAAGATTGCTACAGCTCTTTGGTATTTAGAATACCAAAAGTATCGAGAGACTTTGGGTTATTTTACAAGCCTGTAGGAATCTACAGGGCTGCTACAGAACACTGAAACCAACAGGATACAGACAGGTACTGTGGGACACTAGGCCATTCTCCCAAACGTTACCAAAAGCTCAAGCTTCTTGAGGCCATCTCAGGATACAGCTTTGGGGAGAATGGTTATCGCCACTTAGGTGGACTCTGCTACCTGACAAGCTCATGTTTCTTGGGTGAAATTCCAGGTGCTGATTACAACTGCCCAAGGCTGGGTGCCAAGTTACGTTACCTACCCTTTGCTTCCACTCTTTAACCTACTTCTATGCATTTGCAGAAAGCATGGAACATGGATGCGTTGCAGCTGTCACCAGCCAGCTTCAGTACTGTAGTACGATTGCCCATGAGCAGCTATCTCTAATAGGGACCTACAGATGTTTTAGATTCTAGCTTCCGTCAGCTGCCGCCAGCAAAGCCAGTGGTGATAGATTAATAGGGGTTGGAAACATCTGAAGAGCACCAGGTTGGGGGGGGGGGAGACTGCCCCAGCGAGGCTATTTGAGTTTAGTCTTTCAGGATCCCACAAATCAGGGGTCCTGAATGTCTGCAAGCACTTCAACAGGAACAACGTATGGCCTTAGAACTTCTTGTTTATGCTAGGGAAGCAAAGGAAGAAGCAGATTCCCGATGTACATAGGTATTGGGCCAGAAAGAAGATATACAGCTGTGGTTATGCTTCGGCAGAACCCATGGTATACATTGCTGTGCTCACTGCTACACATGCCATTATCATCATCCTTTCCCACCAACAGCAACTTGGAAGGTGGGGCTATTCAAAATTCCTCCTTTTTGCCACATGACCCTTAGCAGACAGCGGAATTTTAAAGCTACTTATCGACACTTGCCATTTCCCAATAACTGCATGGCAACAGATGACCAGATCATGTGAACGCTGGAAAGAGAAAATCACAGCCAGAGCCTACAGCACACTTTCCAAACTGTGTTGGGACACATGTTGGCTGCAGTGTCTAGGTGTGTCACGCGAACACTTCACATGCTCCTCCCGGGGCTGGAAAGGGGTTAGTTTAACCTCCCAGTTGTTGGTAAAACTGTGTTGTGAAATGATGCCTGTCTAAAAAGGATGTCACCAACATGAAAAATTTGCAAAGCCCTGGCCTAACGGATCCCTTTTGCCAAGGGCTATCTACTCCAGCTAACAGCAGCTTGCCAAAGAAACTAGGAAGAGTTTTGGCCCAGTTCTCTTACAACAGATCCTTTTCGCTGCAGATGCCAGGATTATCCTTTGCATGCAGAGCCTAAGATCTAGTATCCATCTCTCTTGACTGTTTAACCACTTGCTGTGTAATACCAGCAACTCCCATGTTTCTGCAGCTCCGCACAAAATGCCCCATAGCTTGCATACATAGGAAACTGCTTATATTTTCGCCACCCAAAGCAGAATCACAGCCTCCCCCTCCTCCTGCTGTCCCACCAGTGCATGGGGCAGTTCAATTAGTAGAGAATCCTACATACCTGAATGGTTTCTGCTGCCAGCAGCTCTGCTGTAGTAGAATCTTGCAAACAGCACCACCCACCAGGCTTGCAAGCTTGATGAACTTTGAGCAGAAACGAATGTCCCCTTCACCTCCAGCACACCCTGTTTATATAGGGCCCAGGTTCCTACGGTAAGTCTGGCTCTTATCTTGAATCATTAAGCTGGTTCAGACAACAGTTGCTACACACTGCATTTTTTCCATCTCCAGGCATAAGGCAAGAGCAGAGTTGTGGATGTTGACTGCCTTAAACTTGCTTCTAATAGCTGTTTGTGCACCCAAAACATTACAGAACCAGTGAGTCCACATTGTGCATACTACAGTAATAATCCCAAACTGAAGACTAGGAGAACACAGCAGCTGTGTGAAATTAGTAAAACACTCTTGCTTCTGCCTGCAACCTATCCACTTTCCTTTCACTTTCCAAATCAAGTGAAGGTGCAACACTTTTCATTCTCTCACCTTCCCTTCAAAACAATTTTTCCAGCTCTGAAAGGAGCAACTTGAAAGTTGAGTGGGCCACTTTGCCCACAAACTTTCTCCCCTGTAGCAACCTGTGCATTAACAATCCAGAGTAAGAGATATGGGGCAGATGCCAACAGGAAAGGATATGGGGCAGATGCCTCCTCCCATAGTAAATCTCCTTTTTTGGTGTGTGTGTGTGTGTGTGTGTTTTTGTGTTCTTGTTACCACCTTGTCAGGATTTGTTTGTCGGTCACATAATTTGGAACCAAGCTACTTTGTGGGCTCTACACAAGACATATCAGCTTCACTGTTGGAGGAAGAGAACACTGGGGGGTAGAGTGGTGGTATCTTCAAACACAGAGTGTCTCAGGTCTTCTCAGAAAAAGTAGAGATCTGGCTGCCACTTCCAAGAGATGCAGAAAGGATGCAGCAGGTTCTCCCTCTAGTGACCATAACCCAGAAATACACAAGCCCAAGAAACAGAAGAGATGCCACACAAGATGAAAAAGGCTTAAAATCCCTTTTAATAATGCATTCCTGTAACAATCTTCAGACAAACTCAACCTGTTAGTGGACGATTACAACTGAGGTTCACATAAAGAAAGTCTCATACTTCTACACAAGACAGGCAAAGTTAGGGTTATACGAACAGTTGCTTCAACTTGAGTCTTCAACAGGAAACTTTAATTTGTCCAATAGATTGTACTTTTCTACCAGTAAAAAAAATGTTTTGTTTTTTTAAATGGTACAACACATTGAATAAGTCATCTCCATATCACCACCACCACTAACCTGGCCCTCCTGGCTGCACCAGCGAGCTACAATAAAGGAAAAAATGGTCCAGAGGAGAAAAGTGAAAAGCTACAAGTTTATTCTTTAAAAAAACTAGTCCCCCGTCCCCCACATGATAAGCTGTTTGAAGCTACAGACATTTACAGACTCACAGGCCCTGCTCTACTGCTCTGGAAAAATATATCCAGAGAGCTGCATGAAGGCAGAACAGGCCTCCAATGGCAGCTGAGTTAGCTGGGGGCTGAACCTGTGTTGTGGTGCTTGGGAATGGGAGAGACATCAAGGTCCTAACCTGGCCTCTCACACTACACAGCTAGTGAAGCTTCCTGGGATCCATTTTCACATTGCATTTTGCAGGAATGCACCTTGTGGCATCGACTAAACCCTTTACAAATCTGGCTGGGTGCCCTTTTGCCATGGCCAGACCCCGGATGCCCAAGGGAAGCCCCTAAGGGTTGTCCCGATGGAATGGGCAGGAGACTGGACACGCCTCCCTCCCCATTTAGTATCGGCGACGCTTGTTCGGGCCAAAGTCCCCCCCAGGAGCTCCTCTGTTGAATCCCGGTGTGTTTCCTCCCATGGTTCCAAGTCCTTCCATTGCAGCGCCCTGGCCAAAGCGATCAGCGGGTGGCGGTGGAGTCTGAAGGAAAGTGAGGAGGGAAAAGAAGCTTGGGTTAGAAACATCCCTCAAGACTGACTGCAACTGTACAGACCCCATGCAACCTCCACTTAGTATGCTCTTCCCTCCTCCACCAATAGCCATTATGGGGGAACCACCAGGGCCCAAGCGGGCTTAGGAAGAACACATTAAACTGTGCACCAAAGCAACAGCACCTGAGTTCTCTCTGACTTCCAATCCCTTTTAATTTTCTGTCACGTCTTTTTTGGCAAATGCACAGCTGCCAAGTTAGGAAAAGGGGGAACACACGGCTTAGCTTCTTTGCTTCTGCCCCCTGCCAAACCATTAGTCGAATCATGTAGCTAGCTGATTCAAATCAACTTACAAAGAGAGAAGATGCTCATGCAGATTCTTGCCTAGATCAAGGGTTTTGCAACCCACCCTCTCAGCCAAATCCTGCCTAATTGCACTTGGTTGACCTTACCATTCCCATGGCTCCATCAGGAATCATTGGCCCAGGACCAGCTGCAGGTGGTGGCCCTGCTGGAACACTGGTAGCTCCCATTGTCCCTCGGTTGTTCATGCCTATCGCACCTGAGGAAAAGCAAGGAGGCCTCTTGGTCTGTATACCCCTGAGGGTTAAGTGGCCACTGAAAGCTCAGCTCCCTTACTGCACATATTCCTGCTGGTGAATAGCACCTGTGGCCCACCCAGAGCTCAGCTACCTGCTGACTTAGGAACCTGCAGCCACCACATAGAACAGCTGATGAAGCACAACCCAACCCAAAACATTAACAGGAGAGGAAAAACCACTTGCAGCTTACCTCCCATACCCATCTGTCCCATTCGCATATCTGGAGGCTCCCTCTGAAACAGACAGACAAGCTTGCTTCAGACAACATCCCAACACCTCCTTCTGGCAGGACACATGAAAGAAGCTTCTCTGTGCTACTGCCCAGGCCAGAAGGGGTTAGAAACTGTATGAATTGTAGAAGCTGACCCTCACCACCCCACCAGGTGAAGCAAGTCCCCTACCGCATCAGGGAAGGCCCCCTTAAATCCTTCTTGCCGCCTCATCATCTCTTCCTGCTGCCTCCTCATCTCTTCCTCACGGCGCCTGCGTTCCTCCTCTTGCCTGCAAGGAAGGCTCCCATATAGTCACACCAATTGGAGAGCTATCAAACAATTCAGACTTGCTTATTCACAAGCTACAGATGCTCTCAGACGCTTCTTGGCAACAGCCTTGCCCCTACAAAGTCCTACCAATTACCAGCACAAGTCAAGTAAATTCACAGACAGGTGTGACTGATTCCCTGCTCACCTGAGTTCCAGTTGTTTACGCTTCTGCACCTCCTGGTTGTGCAGCTCCTCCATTCTCCTGAGTTCTTCCTGGCGCCTCATTAAGTCTGGAAAAAACATCCACAGGGGTGACAGGTCAGGATGCCTGCACTACCTGCTCCCAGCAAACTGCAAAGGCCATCGCCATTCTGCTTCTCACCTTGCCTCATGAGCATGACCTGATGCTCATGACGAGCTGCCTCCATTTCCATCTCCAGCTTCTCCCGTGCTTCTTTGATGTTGCGATCCACTTGCTCTTGCTGCTGCTTTTCCATCTCAATCAGGGCCTTCCAACGCATAGCATACTCATACTCAAAGGAACCGGGCTGTGCAAAACGGGGAGGTTGCTCACGCTCCCTGCAACAGCAAGGTGGAAAAAATCCAGTCACTTAGGAAAAGGCAACTTGAGTTAGTGAGTCACAGGACTGGGGTCAAGGCAGAAAGTAAAGTTTACAGGCAAGCAGCTTGCATCATGAACGTTTCTGAGAATGGGAATCAAGCTCAGATAGCTACTAAGTTTGCTTTATGCATCCTACCACTATGCTTAGCAAAAGCCAACAAAACAAGGTGAAAAAAATACTTGCATGCTACTTTATGTTACATTTTTATGTTTCTGGAAGCCACTTTATAGAAATTGGCTTGAAAAGTAGTAATAAATCCATTTAATAACAATGGTATTTCCCATAAAAATGTAACTGTCCTCAGATGAGCTTCCCCTAAGAAGGCACCACTTCCCCGGGCTACTTACTTGTGATATTGTTGGTTTTTGATGACAAGTTTTTCTGGCAGTCCCTCTTCATCATCATACTGATCCATGGGCTCCACAGTCACAGGTCGAGGGAACCTGTCAATGAAAATTGTATCCATCTAAATAAATGCCAACCTCTTTAAAGGCCAAAATCCAAGAGCTAGCAGCAGCCTTTGTACAGGCTTAGGCATGATCAGGGCCTTCCTTAGCCTAGTTACCAACACTCTTTCCCTGAAGCTGAATGCTGCTGCCTCCTGGGACCAATAAGGACTCCCAGGTGAAAAACAATGTTCAGAGTTAAGAAGCACTAAAGCAGCACAAGAGAGACCTGAGATTCTGCTGTGGCCAGCAAGCCATAATACCTTTGATCCAGCCTTGCAAATAATGTTTGACTGGGCAAACCACCATGTGTCCTGTGGTGCTCAAAAAGCATCTCTTATAAAGGTATGAGCACCAAATGTAGAGCCCACAATTTTCTGGTTGTAGTTCTTGTTCTACCAGCCCTGTTCAACATAAGCAATGACTGGTGATGAGTAAAACTGCAATACTGTATTTCTTCATTTAGCTCTGTAGACACAGATAGAGAACATCACTTAAGATTCAGGCCCACTGAATAAATGCACTCTTTATTGCCCTCTACTGGTAAGACACACACACACACCGCCCTAAGTCAAAAGACCTGGTTTCTTTTATTGTACTTACAATAGTAAACTAGAATAACTTACGTAGTTAGCAAGAAGGAACCCTCACTACATCTGTCCAGGGCTTTTCTAGCAGCCGGCTTTCCAGAAAATTCTACAATGCCTTTCCCAGAAGGTCTGCCTCTGTCATCCACAATGACCACAGCCCTCTCCACTTGGCCAAACATTGAGAAGGCCTCCTCCAGAAGCTCATTGGACACAAACTGTGGCAGGTTCCTGACAGTCAGTGAGGCACTATGGCATGCAAAGCGCACGCGCAACTGCTTCCCACGCAGGGGCATGTTGTCCAGCTCCACTTTCGCAATCTCAGCCAGAGTTCGAGTTTCCTGGAGACAAAAACACACACACACCACCCATTAAAGCCCACCACACCAGAATTATTTCAAGTGGGTAAATAATCCACCAGCTCACTGCTACTGGACCAAGAACCTCCCTGAAGAGACAAAAGGGTAGGCACTCCCTAACAAAGCACATATTACGGGAAAAACAATTTTATTCCCAAAGAGAGTGGAATGGAGAGTGTAGGGAGCCCAGCAAAGAGAACACTTTGGCATTACAAATAGCCAGGACTTGAGAGAAGAGATGAAAATCAGGGAACTGATGAATGCATGACTCTCATGGGAGAGTAGATCCAAACACTCTTGAGAAAAGGGAGCCCAAGATTTCTCAACTGGATCTTTTCATGTGTGACATTTAGGGCACACACTTGTAAGCTACTCTTAAAAATACAGCATTCCTAGCGCCTCAACACTGGAGTAACAACAATTAGCAGAACATAGTCGGAAAGTACTATGTGGCATAGGATCTCGGATGCAAAATAAATTATACATCAGACTTTGGGAGGGATCCAAAATCAAGGACAAAGAAAAGGAAAGAAAACCAGATATAAAATTCATTATATCCACAATCCATTATTAGTTGTTGTTGTTGTACTTGTTACTATGGAGAGTAGTAACAGGCTCTTTTTTAAAAAATCTGCTTTGTTTACAAATAACTAGATGTTGCCATTAAGGTCTTACATAATCTCATGTGTAGATGAAGTTACTAAGAATTTCAAACGGCAGCATATTTCACAGGAGATTAAATCCACAGGCCTTCTAATATACAGTACCTTATTTTCTGAGTTAATTTTTTAGCAATTACTATGGACCAGATTTGATAATAAATCTTTATCCAACTCATCTAAATATTTTCTTTTCCTTACAATAACCATCCTGGCAGCCAGCAATATATATACATATACAGATAGGTAGAATATATACACATATATAGATAGAATACACACATACACACACACAAAATCAATTATTTATCCAAATAATCCAAAGTCTTTATTTGGCCCATCCCATATCCCCATGAAAGCTAATGAGGTACCAATTCACTACCTTTCCAAAAGCTGTCACTGAATGATATTCCCACCATAAGCAGAAACGCATGCATTTTTTATTTTTTTTTGCAGCAGAAGTACTTTGGAGAGAAATTGGGGCTTATATACGATAAGATCACTAGTGTACAATGCCACCTTAAAAATATATTGAGAGTAGATTGTTGAATCCTTGCTGAAATTGATTTTTTAGGCCTCTTGTTCCATACTCTTTCCCATTTTATAGGCTCAACATCATAATCAGAATCCTTTTTCTAACCTTTTATAAACCTGTTAAAGGGACCCCTGACTATTAGGTCCAGTCGTGGCCGACTCTGGGGTTGCGGCGCTCATCTCGCTTTATTGGCCGAGGGAGCTGGCATATAGCTTCTGGGTCACATGGCCCATAGGTACCTAATAGGAGTGGTACCTATTTATCTACTTGCACTTTGACGTGCTTTCGAACTGCTAGGTTGGCAGGAGCAGGGACCGAGCAACGGGTCACCCCGTCGCGGGGATTCAAACCGCCAACCTTCTGATCAGCAAGTCCTAGGCTCTGTGGTTTGACCCACAGCGCCACCTGCGTCCCATAAACCTGTTAGATCATGTCTAATTTTGTTAATATTTTATAAATGTGGATGATACGTCATTTTGCCTTAAATTTATTTGCAAAATCTGGTGCTTAAACTTTATTAAACAGCAAGTTAAAAGAAAGAACTAATTCAGTTTACTATAGAGAACATACCTGCCCAAGTTCAAACCAGGAGTGAATATTTAATGTTTATGCAGTTGTACTGTTCATGCTTTATTTTAATGCTTCTAAATTATAAGGTTTTGATTAAATAAAATTACTGTAACAAGTACTTAAGACTAGGCCTTCTTCCTTCACTGAATTAGCCATTTTTTTTTTACTTTTGTATTTTTTAAACAACCGATTTAAAAAATACAGAATATAAACCAGCTCATCATTGCCCTCCCACCTTGATATATTCCTTTGACACATTATGTATGATTGAAGATCAAGAGTTTGCACATCTCCTCTTCCTCAGTTCTAGAAATACCAGTCTGGAAGCACAGACTGAGAACATTAACAGGTCAGCTCTGCCAGCATTGTAAGTTCAAAAGTCTATGGACAGCAGCCACCAAGAAAGCTCTCAAGAGCTTCTTCATCTCTTTATGTGCACTGCTGGAAGTTCCATGTGCAAAACTCAGCTAGAACTGAGCAGCTAGGGATTCTGGAGCTAGTGGGGAATCAACTAGCATAATCCATTAAGCTTGCATGCCATACTGATCACTTCCCTAGGGAAGACATTCTGCTTTCTGCCAGTGAAACACAGGCCCCCCTGTAAGCAACTGGTTTTCTCACAATCCCCATAAAATTCCAGGACCAGAGGCATTAAGTATTATTCTGTAAGTCCTAACTCAGAAACATCATGCAAGAGTCTGCTTCCACAAAATAAAGTGCCACATGCAGCATTCACAGTGCACACAATATGAAACCATGCACTGGCCATTCAAGCCCACATGGCTAGCATTAAAAGCAGCACTACTTTCGCCAAGCCATAGGAATCCTTAGCACACTATAGCCACTCACCAGCCTGATAAAGCCAAAGCCTTTGTCCTTATGAATGAAGACTTCTCCAGCCTTCCCATATTTTTCAAACAGCTTCCTCATCTCTTCTTCTGTGATATCAGGGGGCAGGTTCCCCACAAATAGGCGACTTCTCTGTGTGAAGGTCTTTTCACCAGGTTTTCGGAAATTCTTCATGTCAATTGTCAGGCCTTCATCTGAGGGGAATAAGGTACAGAATCGCTCTACAAAATTGGGGGAACAAACGCTGAGTGTTAACACATTGAAGAGCACAAAGGTCAGAACATTCACCAAGTCTCCCAACACACATCCAGTCTTAACTATTTTAGCAGCAACTGCAGGTCAACACAAGTCGGAGGCCCTGGGAGTTGAAGAGTCAGCGCCATAGCAGCCTTTGCCCTGCGCAGATGAAAGATATGGCCCATTGACTGAAAATGCAAAGCCACCTGCAGGACAGCCAGAGCACTGCAAATGCTGGAAGGATAGGTCCAAAACAAAGATTTTTAGCAGCACTTACATGACAGTGCTGGTAGGAAGCTTTCCAGCACACAGCAGCAGATGGGAGAGTGGGGCTCCAAATACAGCCTGCAAATTTACTATCTGGAGGAAGCAACTCAAGATACAGTCAAATAGCAATGCCAGTTAGAACACATTACCCATTGTCTTAAAAGACTGATCAGAATCAAAGTCCAACACCAGTCTTTCTGGGTGTTTGAAGGAAGCCACATATTGCTGTGATAGAAAAAGGACAAGCATTAAGAGGTGAGAAAGTGCTCAGTGGCCAGAGGAACTGCAGCAAATGAAGAAGCAAGCGTCCAAGTCCAGTTGTAGAAAGAAAGCCATAGTGTTCATTAAGTGCAGAAAGAAGCAAACCATCTTAGAAAGCAACCCAATCAGCCACAAAAGCATAAGCTAAGCCATGTCTCCATCCACCATTTAGCTATACCTATAATCTACAAAGCCCTGAACTCCTAGCAATTTAAAAATAATCATGCATTCTTAGGCCACTAGCAACCAAATCATTAAGTTATGCTAGCTTAGTTTGCAAGTCACATTAAGGATTTGAAGTATAAGCAATCCTCATGTGCTGAAGGGATTTGCTGTTAATGCTAATATTGGGAAAGGGGGTGATACACCCTTTAAGAGTCAATCCAACAGTAACATCTGGTGACCTGAGGCAGACATGTTAAGCACCTATCTAAAGTCGCAAGAAATCACACCAGATCTGGTCGAAAAATTCCCACCTCATATATGCTTTCTGTGTCACTGAGCTTGTTCTCACCAGCCTAAGACTTTCAAACCAAGCTGTGATTCAATCATGCAACTGACCAACAGTAGCTTTGAAAAGACTTCTGCAAGTACACAATGAACAGAATATTTTTGGAGCACACAGTGGTGACCAGGTCCAAAGGAAGACTAATACCTTGCACTATCTATAGGAGATCTAACCATATGACTATGACATCTCCAAAGACACCAAAATGACTTGTATGGGTTTGTTCCACTGGCCACTCACAATCAGTTTGTGTGTAATTCCCTGGAGCCAGAGGGCCACTTCACACTTTATAAACAAGTGAAGGTGAAATAAAGTGCAATCACAAGCTTCCCATGTGGAAGAGAATTGGAACAGGTGCTGTGTTTTTCAAACTATGTCCCAAATGAAGTGCTGCAAGAAAGGACACCACATCCAGTGTGGATGTTACCCAAGGAAGCCGCCACTCACTTTGGTTGTTGGCCTGCTGTCCATTAGCTGGGGGAGGTTGTTGTTGCTGCTGTTGCTGTTGGTGCTGATGCTGCTTCCTCGGAGTGTGGTTTTGCTTCTCCATAGCAAAGCCCTTGTTGCCCTGCATCTTCAAACCTGGGAGGGGGGAAAGAATTAAATATAAGTACAATGAACCCACAACCACAGTGTCAGAGCACACATTTTTCTTCCCACAAGATCAGGGGTTCAAATACCAGCACCTTCAGTTACAAATGATCTTTCCTGATGGAGTTGGAGGTTGGGGACTGTGTATCTGGTACTTTGGAGAGCTGCTAACAAATCCAATCCAGTGGTGGCAGCTTTGTTAGCTCACAAATGGAAGAAGCCTCAAAGCTCAGGGCAGAATATGTGCTTTGCTTGCAGAGGGGTCCACTTTTACTCCTTGGCTTCACCAGCTGAGAACTGCTCTCAAGTCATAGGGCTAGAAAGAGACTATGAGAAGTCACTGATAAATAGTATTAATAATAAATTATTTATACCCCGCCCATCTGGCTGGGTTCCCCCAGCCACTTTGGGCAACTCCCAACAGAATATTAAAAACACGGTAAAACATCAAACATTAAAAACTTCCCTAAACAGGACTGCCTCAGGTGTCTTCTAAAAGTCTGATAGTTGTTTATTTCCTTGATATCTGATGGGAGGGCATTCCACAGGGCAGGTGCCACTACCGAGAAGGCCCTCTGCCTGGTTCTCTGTAATCTCACTTCTTGCAGTGAGGGAACCGCCAGAAGGCCATCGGCGCTGGACCTCAGTGTCCGGGCTGACCAATGGACCTGGAGATGGTCCTTCTGGTATACTGGGCTGAGGCCGTTTAAGGTTTTAAAGGTCAGCACCAACACTTTGAATTGTGCTCAGAAACATACTGGGAGCCAATGTAGGTCTTTCACGACCAGTGTTATGGTCTTGGCAGCCACTTCCAGTCACCAGTCTAGCTGCCGCATTCTGGATTAGTTGTAGTTTCTGGGTCACCTACAAAGGCGGCCCCACATAGAGCGCATTACAGTAGTCCAAGCAGGAAATAACCGGAGCATGCACCACTCTGGTGAGACAGTCTGCGGGCAGGTAGGGTCCCAGCCTGCATACCAGATGGAGCTGGTAGACAGCTGCCCTGGACACAGAATTGAACTGTGCCCCCACAGACAGCTGTGAGTCCAAAATGACTCCCAGGCTATGCACCTGGTCCTTCAGAGGCACAGTTACCCCATTCAGGACTAGGAAGTCCTCCACAACTTCCCACCCCGTCCCCCCAAAACAGTACTTCTGTCTTGTCAGGATTCAACCTCAATCTGTTAGCTGCCATCCATGCTCCAACTGCCTCCAGACACTCACACAGGACATTCACTACCTTCACTGGTTCTGATTTAAAAGAGAGGTAGAGCTGGGTATCATCCGCATACTGATGAACACCCAGCCCAAACCCCCTGATGATCCCTTCCAGTGGCTTCATATAGATATTAAAAAGCATGGGGGGAAGAGGATGGAACCCTGAGGCACCCCACAAGTGAGAGCCCACTCATCCCCCAACACCACTTTCTGGACACAGCCCAGGAGGTAGGAGCGGAGCCACTGTATAATAGTGCCCCCAGCTCCTCTAGACGGTCCAGAAGCACGCCATGGTTGATGGTATCAAAGGCCACTGAGAGATCCAGAAGAACTAGGAGACAGCTCATTGACCAGCATGACCAAGGCAGCTTCAGTCCCATGGTGAGGCCTGAATCCCGACTGGAAGGGATCCAAATGATCCGCATCCTCCAGGTGTGCCTGGAGTTGTTCAGCAACCACCCGCTCAATCACCTTGCCCTAGAATGGAAGATTTGAGACTGGGTGATATTTGGCCATATTGGCTAGGCCCAAAGATGGTTTACTAACTGCCTCTTTCAGCGGGTCTGGGAAGGCTCCCTCACAGAGGGAAAAATTCACCACCCCACAAAGCCCATTGCCCAGCCCTTCCCGGCTCACTTTTATGAGCCAGGATGGGCAAGGGTCAAGGAGATAGGTGGTCAGTTTCACTCATCCAAGCAGCCTGTCCACATCCTTGGAGGTAACAGATTGGAGTTGATCCCATGCAACTTGACTAGACAGGAGTCTAGCACTCTCCCGCCCCAGCCCTGCTTCCACAGTGGAATCTACCTCTTTCTGAATCTGAGCGACTTTATCTGCAAAAAACTTTGCATAATCATTGCATGAGATCTTGGGGACCTTACCAGGCCCCAATGACGAAGGTGGTTCTGTTAGACTGTGAACCACCTGAGTCTCCTACTGCTGTATTCTGCAGATGCAATAGAGGCGGTGAAGAAGGTCCTCTTCGCCGATGCTATTGCCACTTGGTAGGCTCAATGCTGATCTCTAACCCGTGTTCGGTCTGATTCAGAATGAGTTTTCCGCTACCAGCACTCTAGCCGCCTCAGCGATTATTTCATCGTCCTCAGCTCTGGAGAAAACCACGAGGCTGTCTGGGCTCCATGCAATCGGAAAGAGGGAGCTTCACAGTCAATAGCCCTGGTTAACTCTGCATTCCAGCGGGCCACCAGGGAATCAGCTGGAAGGCCATCAACATGGGATAAAATATCCCCTATCACTCTCTGGAAACCATTTGGATCCATTAAGTAGCAGGGGCGGACTGTCCGAATTGGTCCTATCCAGCACCGAGCCAAGCAGGCCAACAGCTGCAGTCCAGAGAGCAGAAAACAGCAGCTTGGGTTGACTGGCCATATCTCAAGCAGGTCCAAAGTCACCTGTGTGGCACACAAGAAGAGCCCTGCTGGACCAGCATCCTATCTCTTTGCAGTGGAGAACGTGATACCTCTGGGAAGCTCACAGGGCAACAACCCTCTCCCACTATTGTTCCCCAGCAACTGGCATCCAATAGGCATACTGCCTCTGGTCCTGGAAATAATACACAGCTCCTTATTGCTAACGACCAATGCCACATATCTCCTCCTTTGCAAGTTTTCCCATTCCTCATCTGAAGCACCTACCTCAACAACCATCATAACATCTTAATGCCAAGTTCAGAGTTTCACTATACAGATATGTGAAGATGTCTTTCCTTTTGCGTGTGCTGAATCGTTTCACTGGGTGCTGCCAGGCCAGGCAACTTTTGCCAAAGCGATTCCCCTGCAGGTGGTTTCGAGCTACAACCACCCTCAGGTGTACTGACTCGCCTCCACGGGAGCAGCTGCCCGGAAACACTCAGGGGGGCTCCAGGCTGACAAAGGCAGCGCTAGCAACACGAAGGAGCCAACAAACAAAAAGCCCTGCTGGGTCAGGCATCCCCCAGAAAGCCCCTGGCCCTGGCCCAGGTCCCCTACTCCCCACACCGCCGCGCGCAAACAGCAACCCTCCAGCAAACTGGCTCCTTCATAAACACGCGGCCTCCGATTCCGGGAGGCGATGCCACTACTCCGCAGAAGCCTCAGGACGGGTCGCTGAACAAAGCCCCAAAATACATACTGAAAACAAGAAGCAGGCAAACCAATAGCCCCCCCTTCAATACACACACTCCGCCCCACCTTACTAGTGTACTACTACCGCCGAAAGCTTTCCCGCCGGCGCCATCCGCCCCGAGAACCCAGAAAAGGCAGCGGACAGCCTGGCCCTACCACGGATCTCGCCCCCTCCTTCTCGCCGCAGCTTCCGCGGTCCAAAACCGGAGGCTGCGTCCCCTCGCCGCGCACGAGACTTCGCCGACGGACCTCCGTTCCTCGGAACCGGTCCCTCGGGTGCTTGCCCGGCAATCGGGACAGGGAGGAGGCAGCGCCGAGAGAGAGAGAGGTGGACGGGGCGAGAAGAGGGACAAGGGGTCTTTGGGGGTGGGGGGCTCCCGGACCAGGCGTGAGGGGGAGGTAGGCCGCGCATGCGCTCGCTCACTCACTCGGTCGCTCGCTCGCTCCTGCCTTGCCCACGGCTGCTTCTTCCTTCACCTCAGGCGGCGGCGAAGAGGCCCAGCGGCGCTACAGAAGCCCCGGCCTAGATTTGCCCGCCTTAGCCGGCAGGTGCTTTTCTTCTCCTCCGCCCCCGCCTCGTCCCTCAGCCGGACCCCGGCTCGCAAATGCCGCGCTTGCTTGCTCGCCGGCCGGCCAGCCTCGGCCTCCTCACCTCAGGAAAAGCCGCTGAGAGGAACGAGGGAGGAGGAAGAGGAGGGGGGTCCGCCAAAAAGAAGCGGGGGGAGGGGAAAAGGCGCGCGCGGCCGGAAACCGTTCACCCGTGCTTGCTGCGCTCGCCCCGCCCTCCGCCGCCGAACTGATTGGCCGACGGAGCTCCGGCGGGCTTGCGCTGAGTGGCCGCTGGCGACGCCGGTCGGAGGCGTTCGCCTGGGCGGGGGCGGGCCCTCGCGCGTCCTATTGGCCGCGCTCCTCGCCCCCCCTCAGCCCGCGCAAACGGCAGCCAATGGCGGGCTGAGGGGTGTTTTAGGTTCCCCCCCTCTCTGTGCCTCTTTCCCACAGCAAGGTTTGGGTGAGAGGCGAGAAAGGGACAAAGGGGGCAGGAAAAGGGGAGGCGGTGGGTGGCTGGAAATGAGGAGCGAGCGTCGTGACGGCGCCGCGGGGCCCTGCGCAGGCGCGGTAGAAAAAGGCGCTGTTCCTTAAGCAGCAGTGCCGCGGATTTGGGTCCGTCTGCAGGGGGCGTTGGAGCGCGCTCTTACGGTAAAGCCCCTGCCTTTTAAGCATGTTCAAATACGTACTGTGCATAAGCGTGGGCGGGTGGAACTCTTGTCCACATGATGCCCAGGAGCAGCTGCAAAAATGTGCTGGGTTTGGCAATAGGATTGTGCGCACCGATCCTGTGCATTATTTTTTTCCACTTAAGAGGGAGGTAAGTGCGGTTTAAAAACTCAAAAATGCATAAAATAGTAGCAAGCAAAACAGTACCTCCGTCCAATAATGGGTTTGGGAAGGTGGTTTACAGCTCAATATTCATTGCATCTATGTCCCACTTTTTCCTCCAAAGATATCATGGTGGCTCACACCACTCTCAATTAATCCCAACAGCAACCCTGTGAGGTAGGTTAGGCTGAGTGGCCCAAGGCCATACCCAGTGAGCTTTATGTTCAAGTGGGGATTCAGACCCTGGTCTCCCAGGTCCTGGTCCGTCACTCTAACCACTACCCCGCCCTGTCTCCCCTAGAACATAACAATGTATGCCTATACTTACCATCATATATAATACAAAAATTGGAACAGTTGCATAAATGCAGTTATAATAAAAAGGAATGCATAATTCAATATGGATGGATGGATTCAGCTAACCTGGTTTCCCAGCAGAGAGCAGTGCAAGGGCTCCTGCATGACACGTTTTCCCACCTTAAAGTAATAATGCGTAAAATGCAGCAAGTGTTTATTTGGAAGTAAGGCATGTGTTCAGCCCGGCCTATTTCCAAGTTATTGTGTGGGATTGCTATTGTACACTAGGGCATGTTTTTCACAAATCTCAAAATACGTTGTAGTAGGAAAGTTACTACAAATTATAAACAGAAAAAAAGACATGGTAGAAACAAAAGCAAAAGTGACTGTACAGTAATAGTTCTGTTGGGTAGAGCATGGTGCTGATAACACCAAGGGTGCAGATTCAGTCCCCCTACGGAACAGCTGCATATTCCTGCATTTTTAGGGGGTAGGACTAAATGATCCTCAGGGTCCCTTCCAACTCTACTATTTTATGAGTCTATGATTCTTTGCTTTGATAGTCAGCCTATATGTGAAGAGGGGAGTCTGCTTACCTAGACATTATTGAGAAAATGCCAAGAATGTTTGTGCTGGGAAAACTCGGCCTTGTACTTCTGCCTGCAATTCTTCAGCTCTGATAATGCAGGCTGGCTTTTCTCTGAGAATGTGAATTACTTTCTACACATGTGTAAAGCTAAGGTGAGGGAACATCTGTGTAATTTTTAGGCCTGTGAATCCCACTTTTGTGGGTTCCCCAGCGGCCGTTGTTGTTGAGACCAAATAAAGCAGTCTCAAACTTCACAACTGATGTGGCCGATTGAAGAAAACCCAACCTGGGAAAAAGCCTAATTGAATACAGTGGGCTTACTTCTGAGTAAACACCTAGAGGCTTGCATAATAAATTAATATGCACATCTACTGATGTGATGAGGTGAGAAATGCAGATAATGAGTTTTCAGGAGGGAGGAAGAGGAGACAAGCTGCACTGGATTGTGAGTCCGCAGGTGGGAAGTGTGGGAAAAATCCATGAAGGCACAATTTTTAGTGGACTTTTATGTTGTTACTGTAGCACTATGCAATAATACAAACTTCTGGGTTAAGCTGAACTCTTCAGCAGTCCCAAGGGGAAAACAACATTTTGTGTATGTATACAATAATACTGTACTGCAATCCTGTGCATAGTTACTTGGAATTTGGCTTATTGATCTGCCTTATTTCCAGGGATCTGTGCCTAGGGTTACACTGCACAACTCACTAAGGTTTTCAGTATTTTAGTGGCTTCAGAATATGGGATACCTTCCAATCGTCTCCCCATTACAGTAAAAAATACACTGAATTGTTACAAGCTAAAAACAGGAGTAAGAGCATCTGTAGCCATCATTTTTACAAGTACTTAAGATTGTGCTGTTGTCTCATTCTGCTTGATAAGCTTTAGTGTAATATTAAGCTTGCATATGCTTCCCCCCCCCCCAAAATGCCTATAAAAGGTATGTATGCATTCATTCATTTCCCTATTGGTTGGTTGGTTGTAAGATGCTTTCCACTGCCTTGGATAAGATAAACTCACCAAATAATAATAATAATAATAATAATAATAGGTTGCTGGGGCTCACGCTCTTCTCAACTTCGTGACAGCCAGCACTTCTGAAGGAGAAGGGACAGGCATAATTTGAACCCAGGGCCACCAGTGCTAGGTGGAAGTAACCAGCCAGTTGGATTCCAGCAGGGCTTTGCAGGACGTGGCCTTACCTCTCCACCCCAGTTTGCAAAGAATAGCCAGACCCCTCCAGCGAGTCATTCATTATGTTAAATATGCCCATGGATAGCGTATTTGCCTCGATCATTGTACCTTTGCAACAGTCCCACCAGCACTGGCACCACCAGCACTCCTGAAGCCTGATGACCAATTGCAGTGCCCAGAGCAACTGCAGTGCTCTGTCCTGGCCCCTGTTGGAAGATGCAATACCTGGGCTCCCAACACTTTTATTGCCAAAGGCTTGGATGCATAGGTCAGTGGGATACACGAGCAGCCAGGTGGCAAGCATTCAGATGGACAGGTGCAGCACAGGCTAAGCACATGGTGAGGTGTCAAGAAGCCCCCAGCACTTGACATTTCCCCAAAGTCCCTTTCTGAAGATCACAGTTGTTTACGTGGTGGTTGTTCTGAGCCACAGGACCGGGAAAGCAAGCTGGCACCCCTTTCGGCAGATCTGTTTTCACCAGAGCAGCCTCTGTATCCTTGGTGATGGAGGCAGGCTCCACAAGGCCAGCTCGCTGTCTGCTTTGTCCCCAGGCACCTTCCTGGAGGGGGAAGGCTCTTAGCCAGTCATGTACATTTGCTGTAACCCAGTGTTTGGGGTGTCCAGTAGCACTGAGGTGGGCTACGCCCATGACTGTCCACTTGGCCCCTCCCCTAGACGTGGATCAGTGTCTTCCAGCCTGCTTGGAGAATTTGCAGCGACCACTTGTTATACACATTAGCAACTTAACATACATATGAAATTCCCCTTAACATACATATGTAATTATGCTTCCTTTCCCCACAGATGTGCAAACACAAAGAATTGTTCAATAAATCTGTATCCCGAGTATGTGAGTTGTGTATGTGTGTGCATGTGACAGAGTGATGGAGATTGATAATATTTATACAATCAACTCAATATTCAAAACCTGGCCATCCTTTTAGTTACCAAATATCATTCCATCCTATTTTCCTATACAAATTAATTATAGGTTAGTACCAATCAATAGCATCACATATAATCAAGCAGATTACAATGATAACATATATATAACTCGATCCCTAGGATCCAGTCCCTCCCAGTTACATTCTCATCCCAGTCCTCCTCCCACTCTGGCCAGTCCTACCAAGAGGTCTCCACAGGACTCATGACATCACCCCCTTGTCCAGGTGTCCCCTGCAAGTCTCCCTCTCTCTGCAGGGCACAAGCCTGGGTAGTGTGTCTGGAGGTCTTGGGCTGCCCAGATGACAAGACCCCCCTTTTGCCCTCGATTATGAGGTCCAAAGGAAAGCAGAGCAAGATGTTTGACACCAGCTGGGCTGCAGGAGTTGCCAGAAGGAGACCTACAAGGCGCCATCCAATCCACCTTAGGGACTCCAGATTTCTGTAGCTTTACTCCTTGGCCTTTTCTTCTCCTGAATATATCCCACAAGACAGTGGAGGTTTAGGGTCAGAGCTTTTCTTCTCCAAGATCTTCTACCTTCCCAGGTGGTTGAGCCCCATTTACCCCTCACTTCCCTCTACATGCAGAAACTGCCTTCTTGACCACTGGGCCTGCTATTGGACTTGTCCGTTCACTCAGCTGGAGCCTGTCTTTGCTTGCAGGGTTAGTCCCTAGCTCACCAAGGGCTTGAGACCCATTGGCTCCCCTCACCTGGTTTAGCCAGCAATCAAAGCTATTCCAAGGGTGTGGCCGCTGTTGCATGCTGACAACTTATCAGAGCCCCAGAGCTGAGTGCAGGGGGGGGGACACCAAAGGTGCGCAAACTACCCTGGAAGCAGTACGATGTGTCCCCCACCAGAGATACTGCCCTTGCCCTAACACTCCATACACCCCACACAACTCCTAAGTCTTGAGCTTCTCTGGATAGCAACCATAAAATGAAGAGTTGTCGGCATATCGTCCGGCAGCTGCCATAACTTGTATTGTCTTTGGGCCCATAGCCCTTCCAATGAATTATTTTTATTGTTAAGATTTATTAATTTTACCTGCTCATCACCCCAAGGCCGGTTACAACAGTTGAAACACAATGCTATGTTTAACACAACTTAAAATCACAAGAATAATTTGGCTGGTTGGTTGGCATCTGTCTATCTCAGGAGACAATGTAAGAGTGCCCCATTGGGATTGAAGTCCAACTGTTGCCCAGCCCCAAGAGGTACCTTTCAAAGGTGCCTGATGTGAACTGAGGTCCGTTGTCCAAGACGAGGACATCAGGACACCCATGAGTTGCAAACAGGCTCCGCAGCACCCGGATGACGGGAGTGGTGGAGGGCATCAGGGCCACCTTCAGCCATTTGGAATAGGCGTCCACTACTACCATAAAGGTCCGGCCGTGAAAGGGGCCGGCAAGATCGATGTGCACCCTCGACCAGGGTGCCTTGGGTATCTCCCAGGTGTTACGCTTAGCTGCTGGTGGTGCAGGTCTTGACTCTTGGCATGCTTGCCAAGAGGCAACCCATGAAGTGATGGCATCATCCACGTTAGGCCACCAGATGTAACACCGATCCAACACCTTCATGTTGAAGATCCCCGGGTGGCCGATGTGCAGAGCCTCGAGGACGCATTGGCAGACTCTTTGGGGAACCACAACTCGGTCTCCCCACAGTAGGCAGCCAGGATGAACTGAGAGCTCGTGCTGTCTGGTTGCAGACAGCTGGAACTCTGGTGCGAAAGACCTTTCCGGCCACCCCCTCCACACCCAGTTGAGTACACGTTTGATGGTGCAGTCCTGGGCAGATGTGGAGGCTACATCGGCGGCCGATACTGATGCTGCTGAGAGGAAGGCCGCCATTTCCCAATGACCCTAGGACCACGGTACCTTCGTGCTGAGTAGGCGGTGTAGAGGCTTGGATAGCGTTGCGCCTTGAACTCCTCATTGTCATCTACAATAACCGGTGGCAATTCACCCAGATGGAGAGGGACTGCACATGGCAATAGTGAATGACAGAAGGCAGGGAGCACTTCACACGGGCAGAAGAAGCTGGAGCTCATATGCCACCAGATTGACTTGAGCCTCCACTGGGAAAGGTTTGACCCTGCATGCATCTAATTGGCAGCAGGGTGGGGGACAAGTGCTCAAAGTGCCCCATGTTCCTCAAGTGCAAAGTGCCTTTAATCAGGTACCCTGAGGCTTAGCCCCTCTCCCAAATTCTGGTCCCAAACTCATGAGACAGTGTGCAGGAGAGGAAGAAGTGAAGCAAACGGAGGGTATATCATCTTCAGTTTTATTTTCTGCTGCTGTGCAGTTGCCCAAGAGTTACATCCTGTGCTCTTTCAGAGCAGTGTAGGTGGGGCTGGCAGGTGAGTCTGGGTCTGATTTCTGAGGATTGGACCCTCCCCACTGACTTCCATTGTGTGCTTTGATCTACAGCATCCTTCTTTGCTGGTGGAATTTACACCAGGAGACCAAGCTGAACAGGCATAGGAGCCAGTTCCCTAACTCCCAGCCACTCTGGGCGGCTTCCAACACACATAAAAACGTTGGCCAAACTGCGGGAGGCAGTGGAAGACAGGAGTGCCTGGCGTGCTCTGGTCCAGGGGAGTCACGAAGAGTCGGACACGACTAAATGACTAAACAACAACAAAGGTCAAACATTAATGATAACAGCCTGATCCAATACAAAAAAACTAACAATGTCTTTAAAATACAGTAAACAACTTATATCAAATTAACCAATATTCAATAATACATCTAATAGTAAGCAGTAAAATTAAATAACTGCAAATAATACTTAAACAGTTTACACTTATCAATTGCAATAAAGAATTACTAAACTATAATCAATAAAAATAATGGTAAGTCGTAAACCAGGAAACATACAAAATCATGTAAAAATATCAAATTGAGAAGCAAGGGCATGTGCTTTTCATATCATATGCCCTTGGGGTGGGGGTGGGGGGCAGGATGTTTCACAGCTATTGGCAAACTGCCCCCCTGCAGAATATGGGCCTCCTGCCTGCCCCTGAACTGCTGCCAGCCCTGCCACCACAACTGACTCGCCCACAGGTACACCTGCACTGCTGCCACAAAACCCCACACTTACACTAAGTAGAAATACTGCGTGCAACACTAATGTCTCACAAAACAAATGAAACTGATCTGTAGAAAACACAACTTGAAAAAAGAGACAATGCATGTATTTTTATAAATGACGAAATCGTTAATAAAAATATTTTTTTTAAAAACCAATCTGCCGCCTGAGGCAAGTTGCTTAACCTTGCCCTGCGAAAGTGCCGGCCTTGCTTAAGACCCACCATACTTGGCTCACTCAGTTCGGCACCAGCTAATTTGGGATGGAGAAGTCACACCGACGTATCTCTTTGGCTGAGAGGTGACTAGGGACTTAACCTGGCCAAATCTGTCTGAGCTGGGCTTCTGCCACATCCCAACTCACTCATCCCGGTGGATAGAGGGTTAGGATTGCACCCTTAGGCCCCAGATACCTGAGAGACTGCCTCTTTTGCTACAGACCCTCTCAGCTGTTAATATTGGCACAGGGGGCCCTAGGGTAGTTCTGTTGCAGGACATTCTCTGCGGCAGCCCTAAAGTTGTGGAACTCCTTCCCCACAGAGGTGTGTCTGGAACTGGCACTGCAGTTTTAATTGTATGCTGAAGACGTACTGATTTTCCTTGGCCTTTGGCGCTTGAGATATATTTTGCAGGAGGCACCCTGTTCTTGCGATGGTAATTTGTTTCAAATTAGTGGGGTTTTCCCCCATGTTGCATTTTAAATTGTTGTGACCTGCCCTGGGACCTTATGGTGGCAGCTAGTAATAAATCAAATTAATAAAATTTGATTTATTAGGATAAACTTCCTGACAGCAAGAGCTGTTTGGCAGTGGAACAGACTCTCATGAGAGGTGATGGACTCTCCTTCTTTGGAGTTTTTAAAGCAGAGGTTGAGTGGCCTTGGATGCTTTAGCTGAGATTCCTGCAATGCTGGGGGTTGGACTAGATGACCCTTGGGTCCCTTCCAACTCTAAGATTCTATGATTCTAATAATATACTCACCATCATCTTTGTATGTGTACAACGAAAGGTAGCAACCGACCTACTATCAAAATAACCGCTTCACTTCTCCGAATCGGTTCCTAAGGCAAGATTGTCCTGTGTGGTGGTGTTGTTGTTTGGTCATTTAGTCGTGTCCGACTCTTCGTGACCCCATGGACCAGAGCACGCCAGGCCCTCCTGTCTTCCACTGCCTCCCGCAGTTTGGTCAAACTCATGCTGGTAGCTTCGAGAACACTGTCCAACAATCTAGCCCTCTGTCGTCCCCTTCTCCTTATGTCCTCCATCTTTCCCAACATCAGGGTCTTTTCCAGGGAGTCTTCTCTTCTCATGAGGTGGCCAAAGTATTGGAGCCTCAGCTTCACGATCTGTCCTTCCAGTGAGCACTCAGGGCTGATTTCCTTCAGAAGGGATACATTTGATCTTCTTGCAGTCCATGGGACTCTCAAGAGTCTCCTCCATCACCAGAATTCAAAAGCATCAATTTTTCAGCAGTCAGCCTTCTTTATGGTCCAGCTCTCACTTCCATACATCACTACTTATTTTTTAAAAAGAATATTTATTCCAATTTTAAAGTTACAAAAAAAAAGATATAGAAAAACAAACAAACCACATACATCTTACAAAAAACAGACAATAAAAAAGAAATAAAAAAAACAAAAAAATCACAGTAGAAAATGACAAAAATCAAATTAGACCATTACAACCATTTTCCCATTTACTTGTTTCCATGACTTCCTCTCACCTCCCTGCTTTGTATTCTAGTTTAAATCGTATCTCCAGCAAATCCTTCTAACCTTCTTTTCTTTTACTTATTTTAACATTCGAAAGTATTTAATTCTCCTCTATCCTCATTTTACACTTCATATTTACTTATTCCATTATACCCTGTCTGCCAATACGGTCTAATATTCTTCTCCAACCTTTTCTAACATTCTTTTATATTACAGTGTTTCTGAAGATATATTTTAAATTTTTCCAGTCTTCTTCCATCAACCCTTCTTCCTGATCTCGAATTCTGCCGGTCATCTCAGCCAGTTCCATATAGTCCATCACTTTCCTCTGCCATTCTTCTCGGGTAGGCAATTCTTGTGTCTTCCAGTATTTCCCAATAAGTATTCTTGCCGCTGCTGTCGCATACATAAAAAATTCCTGTCTTCCCTTCGCACCAATTGGCCGACCATGCCCAAGAGGAAAGCCTCTGGTTTCTTCACAAAAGTGTATTTCAATACCTTTTTTAATTCATTATATATCATTTCCCAGAAGGCCTTGATCTTTGGGCACGTCCACCAAAGGTGGAAAAAGGTTCCTTCATTTTCTTTGCATTTCCAACATTTATTATCGGGCAAATGATAGATTTTGGCTAGCTTGACTGGGGTTAAGTACCACCTATAGATCATTTTCATTATATTTTCTCTTAATACATTGCAAGCCGTAAACTTCATACCTGTGGTCCATAACCGTTCCCAGTCAGCAAACATAATATTATGCCCAACATCTTGTGCCCATTTAATCATAGCAGACTTAACCATTTCATCCTGTGTATTCCATTTCAACAGCAGATTATACATTCTTGACAGATTTTTAGTTTTAGGTTCTAACAATTCCGTTTCCAGTTTAGATTTTTCCTCCTGGAAACCAATCTTTGTATCTAGGTTAAAAACCTCCCTTATTTGATAATAGTGAAGCCAATCTCGAACTTTAGTTTTTAATTTATCAAAACTCTGCAATTTTAATTTATCTCCAACTTGTTCTAAAATTTCACAATATTTTGGCCAGTTTGTCTCCATCTTTGATTTTTCAATGCCAGTGCCTCCATTGGTGACAGCCACCTTGGTGTTTTACTTTCCAACAAATCCTTATATCTCACCCAAACATTAAACAATGCTTTCCTGACAATATGATTCTTAAAGGCCTTATGCGCTTTAACTTTGTCATACCATAAATATGCATGCCATCCAAACACATTATCAAAACCTTCTAAATCTAAAATGTCCACATTTTCAAGAAGTAGCCAATCTTTCAGCCAACAAAAAGCGGCTGATTCATAGTAAAGTTTAAGATCTGGCAGGCAAATCCCCCTCTTTCCTTCACATCTGTTAATATCTTAAATTTTATTCTAGGCTTTTTGCCCTGCCAGATAAATTTGGAAATATCTCTTTGCCACCTCTTGAAACAGTCCATTTTGTCCACAATTTGCAATGTTTGAAACAAAAACAACATTCTAGGCAATACATTCATCTTTATCGCAGCAATTCGGCCCAACAATGATAACTTCAATTTTGACCATATTTCTAAATCCTTCTTCACTTCTGACCAACATTTTTCATAATTATCTTTAAACAGATTCACATTTTTGGCAGTCATATTCACCCCTAGATATTTCACTTTATTAACTATTGTTAATCCTGTCTTTCTGAAACCTCTCCTTCTCAATCTCTGTAAGGTTTTTCTCTAATACCTTAGTTTTCGTCTTGTTTAATTTGAAACCTGCTACTTGACCAAATTCTTGGATTAATTGTAATACTCTTTTTGTACTAGCTTCTGGCTCCTGTAATGTCAGAACTAAATCATCAGCGAAAGCTTTCAATTTGTACTGTTTAGCTCCGAGTTGTATACCTTTAACCAATTGGTCTTTTCTAATCATATTGAGCAAAACCTCCAGGACCGATATAAAAAGCAATGGGGAGATTGGGCAACCCTGTCTTGTTCCTTTCTCTATCTTAAATTCTTCTGTAACTACATTGTTTACAATAAGCTTGGCTTTTTTGTTCCGAATAGATTGCACCTATACCATTTTCAAAACTTTGGCCTACCCCCATCCCCTGCAAATTTTTCTTCATAAAACTCCAAGAAATATTGTCAAACGCTTTCTCTGCATCTACAAATATTAAGACAGCTTTAGTATTGATATTAACTTGCAATTTTTCCAAAATATTGATAATATTCCTAGTATTATCTGACAAATGTCTCCCAGGGGAAAGCCCGCCTGGTCTTTATGAATCTCTTTTACCAATACATTTTTTAATCTTTTAGCCATAATTTCCGTAAAAATTTTGTAATCCACATTAAGTAGGGATATGGGACGGTAGTTCTTCAACTGTGTCTTCTCCACTTCGGTTTTTGGTATAAGTGTAATGTATGCTTCTTTCCACGACTCGAGTGCTTTTCCTCCCCGTAGTATTTCATTGCAAAGTTCTTTCAGCGGTTGCAATAACCATTCTTTCAAAATTTTGTAGTACTTTGCAGTTAGTCCATCCGGTCCTGGAGATTTGCCCAATTTCATATTCTGAATGGCTCCTTCCACCTCTTCCATACATCACTACTGGGAAAACCATAGCTTTTACTATACGGACCTTTGTTGGCAAGGTGATGTCTCTGCTTTTTAAGATGCTGTCTAGGTTTGTCATTGCTTTTCTCCCAAAAAGCAGGCGTCTTTTAATTTCGTGACTGCTGTCACCATCTGCAGTGATCATGGAGCCCAAGAAAGTTAAATCTGTCACTGCCTCCATTTCTTCCCCTTCTATTTGCCAGGAGGTGATGGGACCAGTGGCCATTATCTTCGTGTTTTTTTATGTTGAGCTTCAGACCATATTTTGCGCTCTCCTCTTTCACCCTCAATAAAAGGTTATTTAATTCCTCCTCACTTTCTGCCATCAAGGTTGTGTCATCTGCATATCTGAGGTTGTTGATATTTCTTCCGGCAATCTTAATTCCGGCTAGGGATTCATCCAGCCCAGCCTTTCGCATGATGAATTCTGCCTATAAGTTAAATAAGCAGGGGGACAATATATAGCCTTGTCGTACTCCTTTCCCAATTTTGAACCAATCAGTTGTTCCATATCCAGATTGTCCTGTCTGGGCACCAAATCAGGTTCAGCAATGGCAGTTGCTTTGAGTGGGAGAGCCTAGAAGGGGTGCCCTCCTCTTGGCTCCCTTGCTTCAGCCCAGGATACATGTGTGCCAGTCTGACATGTGTTTCCCTCCCTCAGTAGCCAAAAATGCCATCCCTTTTCCAAAGGGCCCCAGACTAAATTCCTGCCCGGGAAATGGAACATTTTGCCTTCTGCTGACTTGCAGACTCTGCTGGGACCAAATTTATTGCACCTTTCCCCCCCTGGAGATCAAGGTGATGTACATGGTTCACCCCTCATTTACACCCCACAACAAACCTGTGGTCAGGCTGAAAGGCAGTGACTGGCTGGCCTAAGGTCACCCAGTCAGCTTCATGGCTGAGTTGGGATTTGAACCCTGATCTCCCAGGTCCTAGTCTAACACTCTAACCTTGTGGTTCTCAAACTTCTTTCCTCGACTGCATCAACAGATGTATAGTGTCTAGATCAAGGGAAGTAATAGTACCACTCTATTCTACCTTGGTGTCATGAACTGGCAGGACAGTGGGAAGAGGATCCTGGTGAGGGGTGTAATCGTGACTGGGACCCACTGGGGCAAGCTGGGGATGGGAATGGAGAAGTTGGGGTCATGGGAAGTACACACAGGGTGAAGGAGATGGGGGTCATTGTGCAGGGACCAGAAGATCAGGACCCTTCATCATAGCCAGAGAGGCCCCTGTCTCCACAATCAAAGACACAGGGAGCAGTGGGAGGTTACGCTCCGGGAGGCTGAGGCAGGCAAGAGCCCATAGCCCAGGTGGGCTTTCCTCAGCTATAGTAGGCTCAGAACAGGTGAGGGTCACCTACCTCATCCAGCCCAGATGCTGCAATCAACATGCAAGCTATAAAAGGGAAGTGGAGCTGAGGTTCTGGGTCTGCTCCGCTGCTGATGTTGATGGACCTTGGCTTGGATGCTCCAGGACCTCTACGGCGCTGTGCTTTGGGTTTGACTCTGGACTGCGTTTCCTGACTGCTGGACTTTGGACTTCGCTTACGTGGATTGACCCTCAGACTGTGTTTCCTGACTGTTAAACTTTGGACTTTACATATTGTACATGCCAGCGGGACTTGCTGCCAGGTAGGCTGAGGGTACAGAGCATTTGGTCAGACCACACCTGGAATACTATGTCCAGCTCTGGGCACCACAATTTAAGGATGTTGACAAGCTGGAATGTGTGCACAAGAGGGCAACCAAGATGATTGTGGGTCTGGAAACCAATCCTTATGAGGAACAGTTGAGGGAGCTGGGCATGTTTAGCCTGGAAAAGAGACAGCAGATAGGATAGCCATCTTCAAATAGCTAAAAGAATGTCACATGGAAGATGGAGCAAACTTATTTTCTCTTGTTCCATAGAGTATGACCCGAACCAATGGCTTCAAGTTACAAGAAAAATTCTGACTAAACACCAGGAAGATTTTTTTGACAGTAGGAACTGTTTGACAGTGGAACATACTTCCCTAGGAGGTGGAGGACTCTTCTTCCTTGGAGGTTTTTAAGCAGGCGTTGGGTGGCCATCTGTCAAGGATGCTTTAGCTGAGATTCCTGCATTGCTGGGGGCTGGACTGGATGACGTTTAGAGTTCCTTCCAACCCAAAAATTCTGTGCTTCTCCTGCCACACCAGTGTGGCGCCCCACAGCTCTAACCACTACACCACACTGGCTCTCAAATAGGATACAGATTAAAACTAAGTCAGTCTAATGCAGGGGTCAGCAAGCTTTTCCAGCAGGGGGCCAGTCCACTGTCCCTCAGACCTTGTGGGGGGCCAGACTATATTTTGAAAAAAATAATGAACGAATTCCTATGCCCCACAAATAACCCAGAGATGCATTTTAAATAAAAGCACATATTCTACTCATGTAAAAACACACTGATTCCTGGACTGTATGCAGGCCAGATTGAGAAGGCGATTGGGCCGGATTTGGCCCCCGGGCCTTAGTTTGCCTACCCATGGTCTAATGAACTTTCCCAGCCTGCTCTGGAGATGTTGGGGATTGAACCTGGGACCTTCTGCATGCAAAGCACATGCTCTACTGCCCAGCTATGGCTCTACTCACACCCACTTCCTGCTTCACAACCTTGTGATGCTGGGGAATCTCTTATTGGACCCAAAGGCTGCATTCTTTTCTGGTCAGCCTTGCAAGGGCCACATGCCAGTGGCAGGCAGGGTCAGAGGTAAACATGAGTGGAGCCATGAGTTATTGTTATTTTCTTCTGAACAGGATGGTTTTTATTCACCCAACTCTCTGGTCTTTTGTTATGACAAGCCAAAAGCATTATTAGCATCAATGACACACTCCAGTCAGGCCAAAACATGCAGGGTGTGAAGCAGGGGCCATAGAGGAGTGTGGCCTGGGAAGAGGTCCAAGGGTCATAGAGCGAGGCCTGAATGGCCACATTTGGCCCCTGGACCTCCTCACTCCTGGCCTCCTTTATCCTATTTAACTGATCCCATCCTTGTAAATGATGCTCCTACTTTCCCAGCCTGCCCCATCTCAATCACCCACCCTCTAGGCATCACACAACTGTACAGGTGGTCTGTTTGGGAACATCCAGGGAGATATTGCTGCTTGCGGGTGCAGCTTCCAAAATGCAGCACCATCAAGGGCCACACATAGTAAAATGCCCCTCCATGGGTCTCTTCCATGCATTGGGCCTTCATTCCCATTGTTGTCAGGAATGTTATTACAACACCATGACAAGCAATTGCTATTCTCCTTTTTCCACTGGTTTCCCCCTCACTTTCCTTACTGCAAAAAGCTAAGGAGTTTAAAAGTGGTTCTTGAAGCAGGTTTGTTGCGCAGAAGTGTCCAATCCATTTCAACTGTGCGATGTGACTTTCCACATATGCCACTGAACCCCAAGTTCAGTGCCCTGGAAGTGCCCAGGGTGGGGGGGTTGGCCACTAAAGTGCCAGGACTGTTTAATGCAGGTATGTTAAATTTTCTCCAGGCCTCTTGAGAACCCCCTCTCCCCTCCCCCGGCAACCGTTTTAGCAGAGCCGTGGGCTTGCCAGAGCTCTAACAAGGCCTCACTGCCATTCAAAAGGCAGTTTGCGTAGCTCTGGAATGTTGCCGCCAAGAATCCACAGTGCCATTTTTCCATGTTTGTTGCAGCATTTCCCCACATCTGTGCATCTGCGCATGCTGCAACCAGGAGCCTGCTCCTTTTCCAGTGTGCGTTGGAGGCTGGCGGTTGAAAACAAACCTCTCCGGAGAAAGCAGCAGCAGGAAATGCACGCCTGGAGGCCATCGCAACAGGAGGCAGGAGAGGCCCCAGCAAGGAGAAAACCTGGAAGCAGAGGGGAGGGGTGTTGAGGAATGCATGGGAGGCGGGGGTGGAGGTGCGGGGTAGAGACAGCCATTGTGGAGCTTTCAGTTCTGCGTGCTTGTGGCATTTCTCCTCTCTCCTTCTCCCCGCTGCAGCCCCTTGAGAATAGGTAGCATGCTTCTCTCATGTATCCTGCACCCAGAATTGTGAAAGCTGCAGCAGGGAGCAAGCGGCACACTTCTGGAGGGGTGTGTGTGGAGGTGAAGCTCCTGCTGATGAAACATGATGTGCACGTGCAAGTGATTTGTGTTGTGTGCACCCTTGGTCTGGCGGCTGCTGCTGTTTAAACAGAGGCAGGATTCTGTTGCAAGCAGGAGTTGGCCCTTGGCCATGTGGTCCTTCCTACACCAGGAAAAGGAGTCTTCCCAGCTCTGCGGAGACACCTTGAACCCTCTGGCGTGCCACGTTCGAAACAATTCTGTCCTCCACAGCGTCATAACATCCTCTGGAGCGGCTGCCAAGTCCTTTCGGCAGCCGAATCCCATCTGGCTTGTGTGCATGAGATAGCTTGAAAATGGGCGTAGCCAACTTGGAGAGCAGGACTCCCACCCATTACCTTAGACTGGTCCTGTAAAAGGGTGCGTGAATGCCAGTCAGTCTGCCCAAAGAGTCATACAGGGATGTCCAGCAGCGCCCCTGCAGAGTGCTCTCTTAAGGTACCTGATTCTCATGAGAACGGAACAGAGCAGCAGGCAGCCTTTACTCACCAAGAGCTGTAAAAAAATGGGGCAGATAGCAAGCTGCAGAGAGGTGGGTTTTGAACTCTGAACTTGCAATAAATCCTTTTGGTACTTACATCTGCTGAGCAACCGATGCACATTATTTATCAGCTGCACATTGCAAAAGGATATTGCATCCAGTTTCTATGCATATGGGGTGCTGGCGAGGCCTTGTGGGACCTGCTCATGTTTGTGCTCCAACCCCCCCCCCCCATTAAGCTGAGGGTGCCTCTTAAGACACCCAGCCTTGACATGCAATTGTGAATTGTGGGAGAAGACTTATCAGTCAAACAAGCTGTTGCAGAAGGAAGCATATCTGGCTTTTGCCCCATATGTCGAGTAAGCAGCACAGGTTGAAAACAACCAAAGCAGCAGTGATTGAAAGAAATCTGTCAAAAGCGAAAGCCAAACTCCTACGCAGCCCAGGTCTATGCTACAAGTAAGATGGTTGCATACCTTACCTCAGAAGGCCTTACAAACAACCCTGTATTACATATGAACTGCTGAGATAATAGTGGCATAGAATCACAGAATTGTAGAGTTGGAAGGAACCACGGGGGTCATCCAGTCCAACCCCCTGGAATGCAGGAATCTTTTGCCCAAAGTGTTGCAAGAGTCTCCCCTAACATGGTGCCCTCCACATGTTTTCGATGATAACGCCTCCTAGTCCCAGCCACTTCTGGTCCAAAACCTCTGGAGGGCAGCAGGTTGGCAAAGTTTACCCAGAAGCAAGTCCAAGGGGGCTTAATCCTAGTGTGTATAGGATTGCAGACTTTTGCTGCGCTACAGATGCTTTCATCTAGTTCATGGGCAGGCAAACTAAGGCCCGGGGGCTGGGTCTGGCCCAATCGCTTTCTCAATCCAGCCCACAGGCAGTCCAGGAATCAGCGCGCTTTTACATGAGTAGAATGTGTACGTTTATTTAAAATGCACCTCTGGGTTATTTGTGGGGCATAGGAATTCGTTCTCCCCCCCCCCCAAAAAAATATAGTCTCCCCCCCCCCCCGACAAGGGCTGAGGGACAGTGGACCGGCCCTCCGCTGAAAAAGTTTGCTGACCCCTGTTGGTGTCAATGCAAATCTGCAGCAGTGTGGTGCAGTGGTTAGAGTGCGGGACTAGAAGCTGGGAGGCCAGGGTTCAAATCCCCACTCAGCCACGAAACCCACTGGATGACCTTGGGCTAGTCAGTATCTCTCAGCCTAACCTACCTCACAGGGTTGTTGTGAAGGTAAAATAGACTGGGGGAGAAGTCTATATGCCACCTTGAGAAAAAGTGAGATATATAAGTGTAATAATAAAATAAAATAACGGTTTAATCGCAGATTAAGTTTCCAGGATGGACTCACCCATTCCCTTCTGCAAAGAAGGTTGAAAGCATTGTGAAGACACCAGAAACGATCAGAGGCATATCATGAGCCACAACTCAGTGGCAGAAGATCTGCTTTGCATGCGGAAGGTCCCATATTTAATCCTTGGCATCTCCGAGTAAGACGGGAAATGTCCCTGCCAGTCAGTTTAGACAATACTGAGCTAAATAGATCAATGGCTGTAGAAAGTTTAGCTGGGTCTTAAAGTAAGGGTCACTGGAAGAAAAAAGCATCTGTTGGGAAGATTAGGAAGACAGTAAGGCAATGCAGTTTTCTCCATCTTGAAAATATACATTACGGTAATTACAACAGGGGCCATATATTGGCATTGAACAGGCAGCAGCTTTAGAACAAACAAAAAAAGGAGGGGTATTAAAAATTTGCAATTATATCCTGTCTTTTGTGCAAGAAGCTTAATGTGGCACCATAGTTCTCTCCCCCCTGCCCTCCCCACTTTTACTCTCACAACAATGCTGTGACTTAGGTTAGGTTGAGATAAGGCGACTGGCCCAAGGTCACTCATTGCAGAATAAAGATCTGAAAATGAGTTTTCCCAGGCCCTAGAACCAAAACTCTAACTACTACCTCTCTCTTCCAAAGTACAGCTGGGTTGCAGAATTTTAGGTGGTGTGATCCTGCGGAACTTGACATCCTTCTGCAGCGCCTGCAAGAAGGAGCTGTTCCGTCTGGCCTTCGGTCTGGGCCAGTTTGACCCCCCCTCCATGGGACCCTGTAAGTTACCTCTTTGCCCTTTTATCAGCTCATGTGGGACCAACATGGACAGCTGGCCCTGATGAATACTTGAGGTTCCCGACCCCTAAGGTTGTAATTCGTGGGCAGTCATTTAATTTTATCCTGATTCTAATTTTTAAGCTATATTTTAATCAATTGTTTGATTGTGTTTTAATGTATTTGATATTTGATGTTAGCCGCCCTGAGCCTGGTCTTGGCTAGGGAGTGTGGGGTATAAATAAAAATTTGCTTACTTACTACTTACTTACTTGCTTACTTACTTAAATGAGAGGGGGGAAAAATACAAAACGAACAACCAGTGCTTATACACGTACAAGTTACCAATTGCTTTTATGTGAAATTATTAATACATAGGCAGGGGGTTTAACTGCAGGTTGGAAAGCTAACGGTAATACTTGTAGGTATTAGACAAGCATGAAAATGGCTGCACACTTCTGGTATATGACCACAGCCAAATAGAAACTGATGAGGAATGTCAGGGAGCATCCATCACTTTTACCGTTCTTCCCCAAGGAAAAGGACCTCAATCGAGTCTCCTTTTTTAAAAAAAAGAGAGAAAGAGAGATTCCTGTGTATAACTAGGGTCAACGGGCTGCGTGTGGCTTCCTATCCTACTGTCCTGACGGGTTGTGCCTGCTCTTGGGAAAGTGATGGGGCTGGGCTTGGGGGGGGGGGGGGGTTGGAGTTCCTAGCCAGAAGTCCCACGGTATACTGTCAGTGAGACAGCCTTAGATAGCTTCAGCTGCATGCACACCATACATTTAAAGTGTACGGCTTCTCCCAAAGAATATTGGGAACTGTAGTTTGTCAAGGATGCTGGGCTTTGTAGCTCTTTGCACGGTTGCCTGCAGGGCCTAGGATTTTTTTGGGGTGGGGGGTGGGGAGCAAAGGTGCTTTAAATGTGTGGTGTGTATGCAGCCTTCCTAATTGTTCACTTCACTCCTCTCCTGCTGGGTGGATGCATGGCTGGTGCTAGGAAGGTGCAGGAACCTAGGAACCTAGCAGTTGCCCAGTGTTGTTGTGGATTGGGGCACACACTCTCCTAGCTCTAAAGCAGGCAACACCAGTCAGGGCTGGATATTCAGCTGACCTGACCAAGTGAGGTAGTTACCACGGTATTAAGGATGCCCACCCCACCTCAAGGGAGACCTACAGTGTAAAATGAAGAAGGCAGAGAAGCAGCCGTGTCCTTTCCCCACTTAACTGATGGGAATGATGCACCAGAGTGCCCCTTGCATCTATAGGGCTTTGTTGAGCAATGGAATTGAGAACTTAAGGGGTGTTCACTGTAAACCCGACTAGGGGCATTTTCACAGACACTAAAATTGACTCTTGCCCCCACTAGCTGCATTGCCTGCACCCATAATTCAAATGCACCGCCTTTGTTTGGTTTGGGCTGGAAATGCACAACCTACAGTGAGGGGGGGAAAGTATTTGATCCTCTGCTAAATTTGCCCGTTTGCCCTCTGATGAAGAAATGACCAGTCCATAATTTTAATGGTAGATTTATTGTAGCTGGGAGAGACAGTGTTTTGCCACCAAGTCATCTTTTGCAAAGGGATCAAATACTTATTTCACTCATTATAATGCACATCAATCTCTGACTTTTGTCTTCTGGTTTCTGGGGGTTTACCTGTTGTTATTCCGTCTCTCACAGCTACAATAAACCTACCATTAAAATTATGGACGGGTCATTTCTTCATCAGAGGGCAAACGGGCAAATTTAGCAGGGGAGCAAATACTTTCCCCCTTCACTGAGCTTAGAGCTCCTTGCGGGGAAAGGTGGGGCACAATAAATGCATCAATAAATGAATTAATAGTCTCAATTTTCTGGAAAACATCATGTCTCAAGGAGTGTGTGTGGACAATTCCTTGGGGGAGTCGTGGGTGGCAGAATACGATTGATATAAGAGACAAACCCCAGATGCAGGTGGTATGGGATTGAGATGAGACTTTTGAGGGGAGAGAGGCTTTTGTGGCCGAGAGGGAAATGGGGTGTGGGTTTTTTGTGTGTATGTTTTTGCACGTCTCTATCCTGGTATGTGAAGCGGGGCCGGATTTCTCAGGACCGTGAGGTGGGGGGAAGTGGGTGTCAAAAATATACGCAAAGCAGAGCATTTTCCGAAGGGGCACGGACCGAATGCGCGTGGGGCACCCGTGGGGAAGAGGTAAGGATAACGCGGAGTTGGGGCTCCTGTCTTTTTGTTCCGTGGAAAGGGGGACCTGGTCTTGCTAGGTGCGCCCTCCCCTACACATCTGGGGTTGTTAGAGGGGGCATTTATGCAGGGGAGAAATATTGTGAACTTGGGGATCCTGGATCGTGCCTTTGGGTGGGTGGGGGTGGGCGTCTGGCTCCGCAGTGTCCACCATGGGGCAGGGACCACCCCCACGAGGGGAAATAAGAGGAACCTCCAGGGGAGGGCGCTCACAGATACGGTCCGGATGGGGGGCGTTGCAAGGGGGCGGGCCCTTCCCTAAGGCGGGCGGGAGGATAAAAGGTGGAGGGGTCCTCTGGCGCCGGCTCCCCAGCACCCGTCCCTCCCTCCGTCCGTCCCGGAGGCGGTGCCCGTGCCTGCCCCACCCTGGACGCGCGCTCGCTCTCTCCGTCACTCGCCTCCCCGGGAGACGCTGCGGCGGGGCTGCTGGTGGCGAGCGGGGAGCCGCGCAACCTGCGGGAGAAGAGGTGAGGGGGCGCCGGAGGACCCCGGAGGTGTTTTATGCGGCGGGTAGGAAGAAGGAAGAGGAGATTCAACAGGGGCAGCCCCACTTTCATGTGCGTGTGTCTTGTGGGGTGGGGGTGGGGGTGCTTGGGGAGGGGGCGATTTCTTTCCTCGCGACCCCTCCTTGGATTTCGGAGGTAACCGTTGTGCTTGTTGTCGTTGCTCGCGATGGGGGAGGCCGGAGGGACCCCTTCCCGTACCTTCCCTCCCCGACCCCCCAACCCGCACCAACCCCCGGCGCCGCTCCGCGTTTCTGCCGTTTCGCGTTTTCCATCTCGCCCCCCCGCTCCGGGCAGCCGTGTAACTCCGCGCCGGGTTTTGCGCGCCGCCGGGCCGGTCTCGCGAGCCCGGAGCCCCGCGCGGCCAATCGGGGCGCGGGGCCCGAGCGCCGGCGGCCAATCGGAGCGCCGCCCTGGCTCGCGCCGCGGCCAATCGCAGGCCTCCCCGGACCGCCCCCCCTCGCTCGGGCTGCGGCGCGCTGAGGGCTCCGAGCGGCGCCTCCATTTAAAGGGGCCGCAGCAGCCACCCGAGCCTTGGGCGGGCTCCGAGTTAAAGGCAGGGCTGGCGGGCAGAGACAGGGAGGGGAGCTCGGGGAGGCCGGCGGCGGCGAAGCTCGGGTCGGGGAAGCTGCGGCAGGTGAGGGGGCGCCGGGCGGGGCGTGGGGGAGGGGGCGGCCATCGTGGGCTGGGGGAGGGGCGGCGGCGCGGGACCTCGTGACAAGGGGCGGGGCCTGGGTTGGTTAGGGGGCCCCGAACCCGCACTGGTGGGCGGGGCCTGTAGCGATTGGGCCGCGTCACGGGGTGGGATCCTGCAGGTACTTGCTGTTCAAGGGAAGGAGCCAGGCCAAGTCTCACCTGGAGCCCTTGGCGGGGAAGGGAAAGCGAGGGAAGAGGGCTCTAAAAGGAGGCGGGCCTGGGATTGGCCAGGCCTGCAGTGGTGAGGTCAGGCTCCTGCAGGTACTTGCTGGGCAAAGGGGAGGAGGTTGTGGTCGAAGCTGGTGGCAATCCTGGCCAAGTGTCACCAGGGGTGGGTGGGAGGATAGCCTAAGATCTGTGCAACAAGGCAGGTCCGGGATGCACCGAAAGGGTGGGATTCTGCGGGCACTTGCTCAAGGAGAGGAGCTTACTTGTGGGTAAGGCCATCAGGTTGCAGCAGCAGGCCGAGATGTGCTTGGCATGCCACTAGAGTGTGCAGGGAAATGCAGCGGTGTTATGCTTGTTAGGCTGCCTCTGAAGATGGGTTGGAAACTTCAGCTGGTGCAAAATTCGGCAGTGACACGAGACTGGGCCTTTTGTGTGGTGGCTCCCTGATTATGGAATGCTCTCCCCAGGAAAACTTGCCTGGCACCTTCCTTACATATCTTTAGGTGCCAGGCAAAAGTGCTCCTCTTCTCCCAAGCTTTTGGCTAATTAAACAATCTATGGCTTTTAAAATGTGTTTGTTGGAAGAGGTATTGGTTTTCTTTATTTTATTGTGCATTTTGTGTTGTCATTTTTTATTTTATGTTGTGAAAAGCTATGTGATCTTTGGATGAAGTGCAGTACACAAATTTAATTAATAGTGATAATAATCATGAGGGATTCTGCAGGTACTCGCTTTGCAAGGAGAGTTCTACTGTTAGCAGGGATGGGCTACAAGCTCAGTTCAGAGAATTGTAGACTTTGAGGTAGTTTTGTAGGCCTCAGGGTACCCGTTTTCCTGTCTAAGCCAACATTGGGGAATCTGTGCCCCTCCAAATGTTGTTGACTGCAACGTCCATGAGCCCCTGACAGCATATCCAGTGGTCAGGGACTTGTAGTCAAAAAATATCTGAGGAGTCATGTTGGCAACCTCAATTGTAGGCCCACCTATCTTAGCCTATTGCTCAAATTGGGGAAACCCTGGTAAGATCTCACCTGATACTTAGAGGACAGGATAGTGGTTTGCCCTGGGATGTATTTACACTAGGGAATAGCCATTCATGTCTTTGCTGTGAAGGGGAGGAGCAAAACCCCTGAACTGGGACCAGTTCAAGCTATAGTAGCTGATTGGCTTAAACCAAGGTACCTGGAAAGGACCATAGATTGCAGGTTTGGGTGTTGGACTGTACTAGGAGAAAGGATCCTGTAGGCACTTGTAGAAAACAGAGGCAGTAATTGGATTGAGCTGCACCAAGTCTGAAGGAGAGAGAATGGCTTAGAAGGTTTGGGGGGCAGCGGGGGGGGGGAATCTTGGAGGTCTGAGCTGGGACAAGGCAAGCATGACTAAGTTGTACTTGTGGAGGGAGGGGAGCTGGTCTGCAGAAAGGCAGATTTGGTTTGGGCTTGGAAGACATCAAATAGCATGCAGATATTTGCAGAGGAAAGGGGGAGTGATGGCTTGAACTGGACTTGTTTTTGTTTTGTCTAACATCAAACGCTGGATTGTGCTTAGGAGTGACCAAGGCTTGTGGGAGGTGTATGTCCCACAGCCCTTATCCTTGGGAAGAGCTTTTTTCAGTAGACAACATGTTTAGGTTTTGAGTAACCAAGGAAGGAATCCAACATGAAATTGTTGAAGATTAAAGAGCAAATGGCTTCAGCTCTGCTAGCTGTTTTTATCGTACCACTGAAATACTGCTGCATTGAACTTCTCTGAGATGCCTGTCTGAGGGAGAGCAGTTATTTTGAGTTCTTATGAGCAGGATGCAATCTAAACATTAAAAAGATGAGTTGCTTCCCTAAAACCCAGGGGTCTTGTTCTGGTGCAGATTCTCTACAGCTTCCAACCCATTGGGTTTAATCCTGGCTCTGTGTGTAGGTTCACCAGCCAAATAGGAAGCCTGTAGAATGTGTGGCTTGGTTATTGCATTTGGTCTTTTGTCCTCCCCACTGCCCCTCCAACTAAATGATTGGCAGCACCTGGCTTGATGTCAGCATTCAGAGTCCCAATGACTGAATATTAAATTGGACTGTTGATTGGATTGGACCAAGGAACCTCTGCACCCTGCATTCTGATGTGGGTTCAAAGCTAACGAAAGGCAAGAACTGTACATTAACACCCATTCTCTGCTCCAATGTTGGGATGGGACTTTTGTAATATTAGCTGTTCTACTTGATTTGGAGAATTAAACTGTGGCATGGAAAGGTTCCAAAGGAGTTGCAGGTAGAATGAGTGGAGGTTTTGCTTGTGATGTATGCAGAAATAAGAAGGGTGGAAAAGCTGTTATACGTCCCCATGGGGGGAAGTAGTAGAGACTTGTGTTATAAGCCCATAGAGTGGGCTAGAAGACTGTGGTGGGTCCCTTCCTGACAGGGGATAGAGCAAACAGCGAGGGTGTGTGTGTGTGTACCTCTGTGTAGAGCAATTATTAAGAGACATACATTTTCTCAAAGGATGGAATCTTGTTCCTAGGAGGTTTAAAAAGACTTGAGACCACTGAATGCAGAGTTTCAGAAAATCTGACTAGGTGACCTTTGGGTCCCTTTTGTGTCTGTGTATCAGCCATTCTTGCAATGCACTTAGTGCTCCTTGTGTGAGAGGCCCCTAACTGAGAGAAAGAGGGGGGGGGGGGGATTCTCTTGCTACAATCTCCCACGATTCCCAGCCTCTTTACTTTCCTCCTAAAAGGGACATTTGCTTTTTTCCTAGATCAACACATAGCTTGAGTTTCACAGACTGTTCCTGGAAATAGATGCCCTGCAAACCTGTGTGTCCTCAACATCACCTGGCACACGCTGTTGGCTTGTTTTCTCAGAAGTGGCTTTGCTTTTTTCTTGTGGCTGGGTTTCCAGGGTGGGCCTCCGTGAGCAAGCCCAGAGAATTGCTAAGTGGGGCCACTTGAGTTGTATACTGACTGAGCAGAAGGCAGATCCACAGGAAGTTGTTTGTCTAGGACTTCGGAGCCTTCCCCAGGTTCAGATAGTCCACCTGTTCCCAGACTAAGGAATAGCTGGTGTTGTAATTGCTCAAAACAGAGATCTTCACTTGGAGAAAGCTCATAAGGTCTGCTGCAGATTCAGGACATGTAATATATTGATAACCCAGGCGACCTCTGTAAGGAAAATGCACCCGTTTTACAGATAGGGGAACTGCCCATTGCAGGTTGGTCTTCAGTATAGTCACTGCCAACATGTTGCTTTCAGTGTCCTTTATGAAGCCGGCAGGTGTCCCCTCAGGATAGAACTTGCATACCTGCTAGTCCGGGCTTAGCCAACATGTTTTTGGACAGCTGCCCCATCATCCCTGACCATTGGTCATGCTGGCTGGGGCTGAAGGGAGTTGGAATCCAACAACACCTGGAGGGTCCCATATTGCCTGCCTCTGTTCTAGCTCATAGCTGATGTACCCACAGTGCTGTTCAAAGGAAACCAGGGTTAACTGAAAGGCGATGGGAGAGGTAGGAGCTTCCAATTTCTTGCAGATGTTTGCTTGCTAAAGAGCCTTTGTTAATTGTCCAAAGAAGCATTTGGGCTTTTTTATTTTTTCCTGAGTCCCACTAACACAGGTGCTGATTGGTTCACCTCCAGCTCTGAAGTCTTCCATGAGGCTGTGGCTACCTTGCCTTTTTCAGATTTACATATTCGGATTTGTAGCCTTGTCTCTCCTGTGCCTCAGAGGTAGCAACAGGATTTAGAAACAAGCAATCAAAATGCTTAATTGGATAGCTGCTGCTTCTTTTTTGACCCAGTCATTAGAAGTCCAGTGTTCCTGATCACCAAAAATCAAATCCAGATTTCTGTGAAAAAAGGCTTTCTCAGGCGTGGGTTGCTGTAAAGCTTTAAGAAGAATTCGGCCTGGGAGGAACAGCTTTTGCAAGGGCCCCTCTCTGCCTGGCTTAGCTGTGTAGAATTGTCTGGTGGTAACACTAAGGGGCTATTCTAGACTAACTGGATCCTAATGGTGTCTATCATCCTGAGAGCACCTTGTGTACTTGGAATGTGTATTGTCTGTTGATCTTTTTAATAAACGTAGCAAGTGACAGGCGCTGGTGGAAAAGCATGACACTTCACTGAGACTTCAGGGTTGGTGTGGGGTAAGGGCAGGGACACAATTTCAAATTACAGTATACCAACTCATCACCTGATTCCTTCTTATTTTTTAAGATCTCCTCCAGCCAATAACTTTTGTGCGAACATAAATTTTCTGAACCCTGATTAGTTCAGAATTGCTCCCCTGAGTGTGAAAAGGCCTAAGTTGGTGGGGGGGGGCGGGTTTAAGGATTATGTGTCTACTTCTCACAATGCTTAAAAGATCTTCTGTCTTCTGGACCACTTCCAATGGATTCCCAGTATTTGCCATGAATGAATCAGTTGAATTTGAAGTTAGAAATTTTTGGTTTGTGTTAGTTCTGGTTCACGAGGGGAGGCACCCTTCTGAGCCAGTTTTGGGGTCTGATTCAGTTTGGCTCCTTGTTGCTGGCAGCTGATCTCCAAGGCCTCGCACGGTTAGCTGCTCGGAAGAACTACATCCCTTATATTCCCATATGTGCTTAAACGTGCTAACATTCCGTTCTCTCCCCTTTCTGCCTCCTTGTTTTAAGCCTTTTTCTGAATGGAGTCGAATGAATTTCCTGGCTCCTTGGGGCCAATGTCACTGCCTGATAAGCCATTGATTGGAGACCTTCCTGCAGACATGGAGTATGGAGAGGATCTGCTAGCGTCCCAAACAGCCTCCATCCCACAGGCTTCAGCTCAGCAGCCCCAAGAGATGGAGTGGGAAGCACCTAAGCAAGCAACTTCAGATGCAGACCTGGACCCGGGCTTGGTGAAAACAGCCGGATTGTCTGATCTGGGCAAATCCAACAGTCTGACCCTCAGCAAGTCTGGTGCTCTAGATGTTACAGAGAAGCCCAGTCTTCTCGGTAGCTTGAGCAACAATGACAACCTGGTGGACCTGGATAGGTCTGAGGACCTGGACAACGTGTACAAGACACGAGGTTCTGCAGATCCGGAGGATGGACCTAGGGATCCCCCTGTGCCAGGAACCGAAGCCCTTGTGCCAGAAGCGTGGAAAGAAGCATCAGCATCAGCATCGAAAGTAGACTTCAAAAGCACAAAGGATGATGGAGAGGAGAGTGCAGCCTCCCTTCCCGACAGCCATGTGGTGAAGTCGCCTGACGTGGTGGAGATGAGCAGCACTTCCTCCTCACAAGAACCAACAGAATATTCCGAGAACTCACCGAAAATTCCACGGCCGGTTAAGAAAGCCCGATTGAAAGCCCCAAAGAAAAGTGCTCCAGTGCAGAAGGAGGAAGTGGCGACATCTACAGAGGAGGGGAAGGAGCCTGTTCTCAACAGTACTCCAGCTCCAGCTCCTGAGCCCATGAAAGAGGGTCTGACTGAGGCTGAGAAAGACAGCAGTGTCAGTCAGAAGGACCCTGCTGAGCCCAAAGCACAAGAGGCCGAACAATCGCTCCAACCTCCAGGTGGGTAAGCAGGAAGGAGGGCTCTCCCTAGAGCATTGCCCCAGCCCCACTTTTGCTTCTGCTCTGAGGCCAGGTGTGGGGAGGGGTGCCGGGAGGTGCTCCCACTGTTCTTCTCTTGGGTAAAAAGCTGTTGCAACTCGTTTCTGTTTATAACTAGCCAAACCTAGAGAATATGATCCCTGACCAATCAGGAGATACAAAAGAGTAAATAAAATCAACTATATATAATGTTGATTATTTTGTTGTTGCTGTATATAAATCTTTGCTTATCTAAATTAATGAAATTATGTTCATTAAGTAATCTTTATTTATTCTTTTGCATCTTTTGTAAATAGCCCCTGCTCTGACTTTGCTCGGCAAGCAACAAATTAGAGGTTATGTTATTTTATGTTATGTTAATATTTTATTTATCATTTTCAACAAATTAGATGTCTGGTCATTCTCCTGTTCCTTGCAAGATTATACTATTACAATTCACATTTATATCCAACCTTTTCTCCATTGTGCTCCTCCTTCATTTCATCCTCACAACAACTTGCCATAGTAGTTTAGGCTGAGAGACTGTGACTGACTCCAAGGTCACCCAGCGTGCTTCATTGCTGAGTGGGGGATTTGCACCCTGTTCTCTCAGGTCCTAGTCCAACACTCAGACCTCTACATCACACTGGCTCCTTTCCTTTCTTCCCCAGCTTCTTCCCCAGACAGAGCTAGAGAGCTTGGTCAGCTGTCTGAATGTTGCGCCAGTTGTAAAGGTGTTTCTACTCTCTCTTCCTCTCACCAGCCACACACACCCATAGATGGTTCATTGATAGCTTTCAAGCAGCATCTTAACCCAGTGATGTTTCGGCATTAGTTTGTTCCATTCCTGACCCTCGTTAGAGTGTAAAACCATAAGAAGATCAGGCCAATGTCCCATCTAGTCCAGCATATAGATCCCAGGGTGGCCGACCAGATGCTCTAATGGGAAGCTTGCAAGCTAGCCATGAGCACAAGAGCTCTACCCACCTGTGAGTCCCAGAAACTGGCATTCAGAAGCATAATGCCTCTGACAGTAGCCTTAACAGTTAGTACTAATTGATAATAGAATCATAGAATGGTAGAGTTGGAAGGGATCTCAAGGGTCGTCTAGTCCAACTTCTAGTCTCAATATGCAGTTCCCCCATCCAATTTGAAACCATAGTGGACCCTGCTTAGCTTTGCAGATGTGCGAGCAGTTTTCCTGCTGCACCACTGTTCTCCCTGAATTTGTCCAGTCCTCTTCTAAAGCCACCTAGACTGGCAGCCTCACAGACAGCTTTGAGGTCTCTCTTGTGTTTCTCTTGCAGGGGAAGACCCTGGCGCAAAAGGGAGCGAGAAGCCAGTTGTGAAGGTAAGGGAGGAGGCAGCTGAAGCAGCCGCCACCCGGTTGAGTGTTTGTCTTTCCACTAAGACCCTCCTAACACTTTCCCCAATCCCCTAGTTTTTTGTTTTTTTCAGCGTGGGGGAAATTATTGACATGTTCTGTTCATTTCAGGCTTAAAGTTTCTTGCACTGTATGTTTCCTTCCTCCTCCTTTGTGAGTGGGTGTGCATCACTAAACCAGTGTCCCCCAACCTGGTGCCCTCCAGTTGTTTCGGAATGTGATGTTCTGGGCCTGGTCAACAACATCTGTATGGCAGCAGGTTGCAGGAAGTTAGTTTAGACTGTGGACCTGTGGGCAGGGGTTACTCTCAACCATACCTGACATTCTTAGGTGTTCAGTAAACAGAGATGGGGGTTTCCCTGGGCTGCTTGCCATTGTCTGTTTAGATGGTTCCTTGGTTCGTTCCAGGAGCAGAAGAGAAGCGAGCGTGCCAGGAGGGCAGAAGTGTCTCGGCCTGAAACAGTGAACTCCTCTGAGAGCAGTAAGTTACCTCCTTGACTGTAAGAGGACCAGGCTTTACATATGCTTTACGTATTATAAGAAGCTGTGTTATTCCAGTTTAGACCCTTTCTTCATCTAACCTATTGTTATCTACTGTAATGGGCAGCATCTCTCCAGAGTTCAGGCAGAAGAGGGTCTTTATCAGCACTTGCTTGCCTGGAATATTTTAAAACTAGGCGTAGTGGAGCTTTCTGCATTCAAAGTGAGCACTCTGCCACAGAGGTGTGGCCCTTCTCCCAGAAGAGTAGGCCATTTTGGTGTGGTGGGTAGAGAAAGGTTTGGAGGGGAGACTCCTGGGTTCAAATCCTGCTCAGCCCTGCAGCTCAGTGGGCCGTTTACTACCTCTTAGGGTGGCCCACCTTGCAGAGTTGTTGCGTGGGTTAAAGAATGGGTTGAGGAAGAAGTATGTGCAATGCCTTGAGTTCTTCAGTGAAATGGGAGAGCGAAACATAGCAAATGTAGTCAGATATGTGTAAAGAAAGGGTGGAATCTGCCTTCTGTAGGATTTGGAGGCAAGGCTTAGTAACAGAGCTAGTTGCACAGTTAAAGAGGATCCTGCTCCAGTGTGGGAGTTGACAATCCTTGTTGTCTGTTTTGTGTATGTGGAAACTGTACAGGCAGGATCTGCCCTTCTCCCGCTCTTTCCCCCCAGTTTCTAGACCCCTCCCTGTGCAGCAGTGGCCAGCGACAGCCAACAACCTCTTGTTCTCTCTTGTGCTCCACAGTCCCCGTCTCGGATGAGGATTCGGATGCCATGGTGGATGACCCCAACGACGAGGACTTCGTTCCCCACCGCACCCGGCGCACCACGCGCCTGTCCCTGCGCAACCAGGCAGCCCAGCGAGCTGCCCGTTCCACCGTCACCAAGATGTCTTGCGCCAACTGCCGGACCCCACTGCAGAAGGGCCAGACGGCCTACCAGCGCAAGGGGCTGCCCCAGCTCTTCTGCTCCAGCTCCTGCCTCACCACCTTCTCCAAGAGGCCTCTCAGCAAGAAGTGCTGCACCTTCTGCAAAAAGTGGGTGCCCCAAAACCAACCAAGTGCCCTTTTCCCAATCTGCCCCTTCTGCTTTGGCAGGCCGCAACTCTGCAAGTACACTTTGCCCTCTTGCTACTTCCCTTCCGCTTTCGTTGCTCTTGGGTCCCCATGTCACCTCTTGCCCACACTTACTGGGATAGCCCAGGGTGTGGCCTCCAGGCCCTAGTCTGACCAGTGTCTTCCGGCCCCTTAGGGAGATCTGGAATGCCAAGGACTCCGTGGTGGCTCAGATTGGCTCAGGCAGCTCTTTCCACGAGTTCTGCTCTTCTGTGTGCCTCTCGCTGTACGAAGCCCAGCAGCAAAGACCGACACCACAGTCGGCAGAAGCCTCAGACACTGTCCGTTGCAGTGTGTGCTACAAGGCTGGAGAGGTGAGCGCGTCGGCTGTCTGAGAAAGTATTGCAGGGTGGAGGGGAGATGGGAATCCATGTGAGTAGTTGAAAGCTGCCAGGCAAGCAAGAGGCCAGTTGAGGAGTGCAAGGGACAGACAAAAGGGTGCAGACCTTTGCTGAGCACATGGTTAAGCTATGGAATTAACTCTCACAAGTGGCAGTGATGGCCAGCAGCTTGGACTTGAAAAAGAGTGCTAGACAAATTCATGTGCTACTAGTCACAATGGTTATGCTCTGCCTCTGCTCTCAGAGGCATTATATCTCTGAAGGCCAGTAGCTGGAAGTCACAGGTGGGGAGAGTGCTGCTGTTGCCCTCATGTTCTGCTTGCAGGCTTCCCAGGAGAGGCTTCTGGTTGGGCCACTGTGAGAACAGGATGTTGGCCTGGCCCAGCATCCTGGCTCTTCAGATGTTCTTCAGGGACAGGCCACAGAGGACGACTTGCTTCGCATGCAGAAAATCCCAGATCCAATCCTGTTGGTAGTATTACATTTCAGGCAGCAGGACTGGGAAAGGCTGCTGCCTTGAGAGTCCTGAGTCCCAGTAGGTGGTGTGGACCTCTATAAGGACCTGTTCATATCTGTAACTTGTATATCAAGTAAGGTGATGTTGGTGGATGTGTAGGAAAAGACAAGTATACTGGGCAGAGTCCAGAAAGGTAGCCATGGGGCAGATGGGCCCTTGGAGACTTTAACAGATCCATTGAGTGATGGATTGCACAAGCATTTACAACCTGCTTCACTTTGTTCCTGAAGCACAATGTCGGGGAAAAGGGAGAATGGAGTAGATTATATGGGGATGTTCTGAACCAGAAAAAAATGTGATTGTTGAGAAGGAAGATCTGTTAAATAGAGGTTTCTCAAGTAGCCAAACAATCATATACTAGTATAGGGTGTGGATCTAGAATAGAGATTCGTCCCGACTGACAAGCTCACTGAGAACAGAGAACTAAAATTCAGCAGAGCATCTTCCAAGATGCCGCAATTCCCGGTGCAAAGTGGAATGTCAATGCAGGATATTATAAGGTTGGCTGCTAGGTACAGCCTCCCCTGCCCACAAAACGTTCAGCTGTTTCCTTGCACCTGGGCCCAGCCACCTCCAGCCATTACTTAGGGGCTGTAGAGCACCACTGCTCTCTGGGGATGGAAGCTAATGCCAGGCCTGGTGACCCACAGTTCTGCTTTGCCTGCAGATCCAGCACGAGGTCAGCAATGGGAATGTGGTGCACCGCATTTGCAGCGACGCCTGCTTCACCAAGTTCCGTGCCACCAAGGGTCTGAAAACCAACTGCTGTGACAACTGTGGCCTCTACCTGTACAACAAGGGCCTGCCACTGGAGTACCTCTTCCACGAGGGGCAGCAGAAGCGCTTCTGCAATACCACCTGCCTCAACAGCTACAAAAAGGTGCGAATGGGTGGAGGGGATGTCCCAGAGCTTGGGTCCAGACCCTCAAGTGAGCCTCTCTTTGAGCCAGGCCATGTGATGGACCTTGCCCTGTCTCCCCTCCCCAACGTGAGATTGTGTAAAAAAGTTATTGTGGGAAAGGTGGTAAGGATAGCTTGGCTTGGGTGACTGAGTCTCGTGTGTGTGTGTGTGTGTGTGTGTGTGAGAGAGAGAGAGAGAGAGAGAGAGAGAGAGAGAGATGTTTGATGGGGAAGGAGATGCTTGTGAGGGAGAGAGGTGTGTGTCAGAGAGAATGACACATACACGAGTGCAATGTCCATTAAAATCCAGGGGGGAGTGGGACATAAAGGGTGCCCTGCAGTGAAAGAGCCTGCGTGACAGCTGTCCCTGCACTGTGTTTCTGCAGAAGAACACCCGGGTTTATCCATGCATGTGGTGCAAGACACTCTGCAAGAACTTCGACATGCTGTCCCACAAAGACCGGAATGGGAAGATGGGCCTTTTCTGCTCCGTCTGCTGTTCCACCTCCTACAAAGTCAAGCAGGCTGGCCTGACAGGTAAAAGCAGAAGGGTGGGGAAAAGAAAGAGCTCCTTGGATTCTGCTTAACCAAGGGTTGCTAGTCCATTAGGGCAAATGGGGCACTTCCCCACCAACCTCAGCTTGCCCTCACCTGGCCTGGCTTCTTAACAAGCAGCCTAGGAGGTGGCACCACCAATCAGCTTCCTCCTCTTCCTCCTTCTCCATCTCAGTGTTGCCATTTTATAACTTAGCAAGGCAAGAAGATGAGGACAAATCTAGAATTAGTTGGCTCTGCCTGCCGTTGGCTGTGGCTTCACCTATTGTTGGGCTCCTTGACGTCTGTCCCAGCTCTCTGATAGCACCATTAGGTTTACTAGCACTTGGCCAGTCTCAGAAGGGTGGTGGTTGGCCACAAGTGTGGCGTTTTCTAACCTTAGCACGTGGGGAACGGGAGGCAGCTGGATCTGTGCTTTAAGACACACGAGTTTGCTCCACCTGACTTGCTGCAAAATTCCAGACCAAGATGAGACCCCCAACTCCCATTGGGGTGGACTGTGCTACATGGGAGTGGAGAGAGAGAGAGGTCAGGTCTCTCCATGCTAAGTATTGATTGCCCTGCCTGGGGTAAGAGTAGTTTGGACCAGGCGGAGGAGAGCATTTCTTCTCATTTTCTCTGCTTAATGTTACATCATAGAACTGTAGAGTTGGAAGGGACCCTGAGGATCTTTTTAGTACAACCCCCTGCAATGCAGGAATATGCAGCTAGTCCATACAGGGATCGAACCTGCAACGTTGGCGTTATCAGCACCATGCTCTAAAACCAACAAGGCATCTTCTCTCACCAACTTCTGCCTCTCCTCTTTTCCCCAGGACCCCCTCGGCCTTGCAGCTTCTGTCGGAAGAGCCTGTCTGAGCCCTGCTACTACAACAAGAACGAGCAGGTGGTGTACCAGTTCTGCAGCCCCAGCTGCTGGACCAAATTCCAGGTACATAAGGAGGCTCTGCCGCCGTCACAGTGACGGGACCAAACCCAGGAACGTGGGTTTTCTGCATGGCTGAGATCTGGTGCATCCATCAGACTCCTGAAAGTCTCTTTCTCTTTCTCTCTGCTTTCATATTTATTTACAAAAAAAGGGGGGGGGGGAAGCATCTAGCTCGTTGTTTGCCAAGAAGAGTGTTGGAAGGCAAAAGGCATGTCTGCCAAGGGCTCTAAGGCTAAAGAAGACATGGTGGGGGAGTGGGCTTCTGTTGGCCAGGAGGAGAGGAGAGGAGGGGTCACGTTGCACTTCACAGTTGTCTGCTCCCTGCCAGGATTCCGTGCACTTTTTTTAACCCCGCCCTAAATTGCAAAAGTAAAGACATCCATGGCTTGTGATGTAAAATTTATCTTCTCGACCTTTTGGCACTGCTTAGTAAAAAGGAGCCCATTCTGCATCCCTCGTTCTTGGGTCCCATATATGTGTATGAAGATTTGCCATCTTCCTTCCTGGACCTCCAGCCCGCAACTGCCTTGTCTTCCAAGCTCCAACTCTCCTTAGCTGCCCAGTCTGCACACAGCTCCTCCTGTCTTAAGGCTTGTGTGAGAGATTCCAAACCACCCTCCTCCTCCCAGATCAACCTCCCCTCTCAGCAGCTGCCCTGTATATCAGCACTGTATGGCTGCACCTCTCCCTTCAGAACTTAGAATGTCCACCAGCACAACGCTCTGACATCACAGAAGCCCAGCCAATGGCCAGAGGATGGGGCAGGGCACGTTGGTGGAGCTGGTTGGGGCAGGGGAGGGAGGAGGGCGTGTAAAGCTTGCACACATCTACTTAGCTTATTGATATATCTCTATATATGATGTTAAATCTATCGTGGGGGTCATTGTCTCGAATAAAACTGTTTCTACTTCTGCTGACGCAGAAGAGAGTTTGTGTCTGCTATCCAATAAATAGTCAAATTTATAACATTTGTGTGATTTGCATAATTTATTCTACTCGCAGAGTGTTGGTCTTGTACTGCCACTGTCCAATGGCCAATCCCTGTTTCCTCCCAGGAGCAGCTGCAGTAGCTGGACGTCCCCTGGGAAGAACCTGTATGGGGTGCCTGCTGGTTACTGTCCCCCTCTTTGTGGAATGGGGTTCAGTCAGCCTTCTGTTGGGGGAAGCAGCGGGGACTTGTGTTTTACACTCAGTGGGTTGGGGTCATGGGCGGGTGATGCTGCTGGGGGTATGTGGTGAGAGGGTGGATGTGAGCTGGGGGGCTGGGGGGGCAACGCATGGAGAGGATCAGGAGCGTGGTGAATGCTGTGGGCAGTGCTGGTGGCGGTGGGGGAGTGGCAGGCAGGGATGCGGTTGTGAGTGTGTGGCTTGGGAGTGTGCAGGTGGTGGCTGGGTCGGTGCCTCTGCTGAGTAGTTGTGAGCCCGGGCACGGGCAGCTGCAGGCCAGCCAGAGTGGGCAGAGGTTGATCCTGTGTCCCCCTACCCACCCCTTCTGAATCTTTCCCCTTCCCTCAAAATGCAGCGCACCAGCCCAGAAGGTGGAATCCACTTGACTTGCCATTCCTGCCACAGCCTCTTCACTGGGAAGCCTGAGATCCTGGATTGGCAGGTGAGGGGGCCTGCAAAACAAACAGCAGAGGCAGAGGGATTGCCAGGGAGGGAGATGTGGAGATGAGCAGGACATGGGACCTTACAGCCACTCCTACAGAAAGAGTTGGCCTGGGAGTTGCTGCTGATTTTTGCTTTGTATGTATGTGTGCGTGCAGGGGGTGGGTGGGCGGGAATTTGGAGCCTGCCCTTCGAAAGCAGTGGGGGTCCAGTCCAGCTCTGCAAGATCCTGTCTCGCTGCTGTGTTGCCCGATGGCCGAGCGTGGCCTCCTCCTCCTCCTCCTTCTCTCTGGCAGGACAAGGTCTACCAGTTCTGCTGCCGAGACTGCTGTGAGGACTTCAAGCGCCTGCATGGGGTGGTGTCCCAGTGCGAGCACTGCAAGCAGGAGAAGCTGCTGCACGAGAAGATCCGCTTTTCTGGGGTGGAGAAGAACTTTTGCAGCGAAGGTACCTGGGCAGCTACGGGGGGAGCAGGGCCCTGTGCTGGAGAGGAGGAAGAAGGGGGCCTTGTGTGTGGCAGAGAGTCGTCCAGGGGCTGAAGGCAGGGCGGGGGGAAGGCGCCCCTTCTTGGAGGGGCCCTTCCTGCTGTGCTGGCGACCAGCTGGCCCTGCCACGCCTCCTGGGTCCTTGCATGCGGTGGGCGATCGTTTGGTCACTCGGAGCAAACTCTTCTTAGAACCAGAGAGGTGAGCGATTGGTGAGTCCCCACCACCCACCCCTGTTGTCAATTCCCGACCCCCGGGGGCCAGTGCAGGACACGTTTTGCTCTCAGGAATATCTCTCTCTCTCTTTCTCTCTCTCTCTGTCTCTGCCTTCCTGTGCTTCGCTTGTTCCTCCAAGCCTTCGCTCTAGGCTTCCTGCTGGCATTGGTGTGCCCACACGTTGCTCACTCTTTCTCTCCCTGCTCTGGGAAGGTTTCACCCGTCTCGTTTCTCCGCAGGGTGTGTGCTTCTTTATAAACAGGATTTCACCAAGAACCTGGGCCTGTGCTGCATCACCTGCACTTACTGCTCCCAGACGTGCCAGCGAGCCGTCACCGAGCAGCTGGAGGGCAGCACCTGGGACTTCTGCAGCGACGACTGCAAAAGCAAATACCTGCTCTGGTACTACAAGGTCAGTGCAGGGGCTCCGCTGGCCTCAGTGCCCACCTGCCGCTTGGCCCGCAAGGGGCCGGAGCGGAGCCCTGGAGCCCAGGTGGCCCCCTCCGCAGCCTTGTCGTGTTGTTTGTTTTTCAGGCGGCTCGGTGCCACGCCTGCAAGCGTCAGGGCAAGCTGCTGGAAACCATCCATTGGCGGGGGCAAATCAAACACTTCTGCAACCAGCAGTGTCTTCTGAGGTTTTATAACCAACAGAACCAGCCCAACCTGGACACCCAGAAAGGGCCTGAGAGCCTGCTGAACAGTGAGTCGCTGGGTGCTTCGGCTAGCTGAGAGCTTCAGGGGTCTGGCTTGAGCGCTAGGGAACGATTCTGCACTGGCCCCGGGGGGTGGGGGGCGGGACGGGACCTGGCGGGGAGCACCCCTTCCCCCTCCATCGCTAACCTCTCTGGTTCTATGACACACAGGGCCAGCCACGAGAAGCCGGCGCTGCCTGTAGCTCCCAGGCTGTTTCCGTGGGTGGCTCCCCTTCTCCAGCGGACAGTTCCATGTGTAGGGGTGGGGCCTGGCCTGGCATGTGGCTTGCCCATGCCGCTCCCCAGAGTCCAAAAGCTAAGCCAGTGTTGGGCCAGGTCAGTTCTGGGATGGGAGACCCAGAAATATGAGCAGGAAGGGAAGATCCTCCCGTGGCAGGAGAAGTGTCCAAGGCAGGTGCTGGAGGCCGTGGTGTTGCCAAAAGGTCGTCTGCTGGGTACCCAGGTCTGATGCTGGGAACAGGCAAGAAGCCCAAGGACGACTCCTCCTCTCCCATTCCAGTTTTCTTTCTTTCTTTCTTTCTTTCTTTCTTTCTTTCTTTCTTTCTTTCTTTCTTTCTTTCTTTCTTGCTCTCGCTCTTTGTCACGCTCTCAGCATCACTTTCTGTCCTTTGGGTTTCTGCTCTCCCCTCCTTCCTCCTGGTCCACCCACCATCCTCTTACGGATTTCCTAGGCAGTGATCCTCAGCCGACATCGGGGCGGCAGATGCCCTGTTGAGAAGAACCAACCTTTCGTTTATTTTCATTTTTATTTTACAGCTGTTGAGAGCGGGATGCTGTGACTGTTGTGTCCAATAGATTACGCATGTTTATCTGAACTCATTAGCCATGAGGGCTAGGAACGTGTTTTGTTTCTGTTTTTAAGGAAAGGTGGGGTTCTTGGATGCTGCATCCACAGTGAATATCAACTTCTGTGTAGGGGGCTTTTGCACTTGCGCAGAATAGCAGAACTCTCATGTGGGTGCTGACTTGCAGAGAGTCCAGCGAGTAAAGGTGGGTCTCCCTTAGAGGCAGGCAAAGGCAGCAACTCGGCAGCGCACAGACAGCACTGTTTTCCTCCCGGTTTTATGTCCTGACTGCACTGCCCTGACTTGCACCCTTCCTCTGAAATAAGTCACATCACTCCCCTGCTTGGCTTGTTAATGGATTTGCCTGAGCTTCAGTGGACGGCTCTTGCAGGGGAGGGGGAGGGGGCTTGTCTAGTTCCTCCCTACCCCACGCCAACACTTCTGTGATATTCCACATATCTGCTAAGACCTGGGAGCCTTGCCTCAAACGTACTACTTGAGCCCTGATAAACTCCTCCTTGCCTAGGTCTTTCTGTGGCTTCTCCGCCGGCAGACGGGCCAGGCCTTAACTCTCCAGTGGCGAAGACTTGCCAGACTGAACCTGGAGGAATGGGAGATAATGAGGAAAGCTCCCCTTTATCCCTTCGGCACCAAGCGAAAGGTGGCCCGCAGGACTGCCTGCCTGCCAGATCTGGGCAGGTGGCGACAGGGGGGAAAGCAGCTCACTCCCCAAGCCCTTTTTTCTTTCCAGGTCAGACCCCCGAGCCAAAGCAACCCTCCTCTACCACCACCTCGCAGAAAGCAGAGACCAGCACGGTGAGTGGCCTGAGCAGGCATTTCCCACTGTTTGCTGGGCTGCTCCATGGAGGGAGGTGGTTGGCAGTGTGGGGCTTGGAGGCTAAGATGGGGGAGGAGGGCAGCATTTCACCCCCAGGCAGCAGGTTGGTCTCTGTCCCTTCCCCCATGCCCTGCATTGCTAACATAGCCTGGCAGCTTGCAAGGAGTGGGGGCCCACGAGTGGCCCTGCCAAGACGCGAGGTGTACAGCAGAATGCCTTGCAGGAGAGAGGGGTGGGTGGGGCACCATCTCCCTCTGTAGTGGCTTCTGACACACGTATGGATCTGCCCAGGTACCTGCGAAGAACAGCTCTGCCCCTGCGGCAGCCGCCGCCTCTGCTGCTGCGTCCCAGCCGTCGTCTCAGCCAATCACCCCGCGGAAGAACAAAGCTGCCATGTGCAAGCCTCTCATGCAGAACCGAGGGGTCTCATGCAAGATAGAAATGAAGTCCAAGGGCTGTCAGACAGGTGAGGGGGCACAAGGGAGGCCTGGGCCAACACAGCAACCTGCTGGGGAGATGAGTGGTCAGGCATTCTCTCAAGTGGCTTGGTCCTGGACTGCGTGCAGGGCCCGTAGATGTTAGCCCTGCAACCTTAAACTTGGCCCTGCTGCAGATTGACAGCCAATTCGATTTGCACCCCATGAGCAGCGTATTTGCTGTGCATCTGGGGACTGGAGGACCTGATCCAACACCTTTGGGAGCAAGTGGCATCCCTGTCCTGGAGGGCTGTGGAAGCCAGGCAGGGAGAGGCTCTCCTGACGGTGTCTGCTTATCCTTCCTGACAGAAGCCGACTGGAAGCCCCAGGTGGTTGTGCTGCCCATTCCTGTGCCCATTTTCGTGCCTGTGCCTATGAACATGTACTGCCAGAAAGTACCTGTGCCTTTCTCCATGCCTGTCCCGGTAAGTGTGGTTCCCTGCGTCTCCCCCACACCGGCCCATTCAAGCTTTCCTGCATCCCCACCACCACGTTCGCCTTAATCCTCCTTCCCTGCTCCTCGCAGGTGCCTGTGCCAATGTTCCTGCCCACCACGCTGGAGAGCACGGAGAAGATTGTGGAGACCATAGAGGAGCTGAAGGTGAAGATCCCTTCCAATCCTCTGGAAGCCGATATCCTGGCCATGGCTGAGATGATCGCAGAAGCAGAGGAGCTGGACAAAGCCTCTTCGGACCTTTGTGGTAGGTTTCATGATTGCATTTCTCTGGGAGCAGCAGCACCTGCTGCTACTAGAAGGGTCCCTAGCTCAGTGACAGATCATCTACCTTGCATGTAGAAGGTCCCAGACAGGGTTGGGAATAGCCCTTTCCTAAAACCCTGGAGAGCTGCTGCCAGTCAGAAAAGGCAGTCCTGAGCCGGATGCACCCAATGGCTTGGGCTCCTCCTCTGTCTCTGCTCATTGCAGCAGCTTGTACTACGATGTTAACATACCCAGGGCTGGGAGCAAGAGAAGCAGTGGTTTGCCTAGGCCAACTTCAATGAGTTCAAGGCAGAGATTTGAAGCAGCGACTTCTTTGTTCACATGCCTGACCTGCTTTCTGTATTCGCAGACCTAGTGAGTAACCAGAGTGCAGAAGGCCTCCTGGAGGACTGCGACCTCTTTGGGCCGGCAAGAGACGACGTGCTCGCCATGGCGGTCAAGATGGCAAATGTCCTGGATGAGCCGGGTCAGGACTTGGAGGCTGACTTTCCCAAAAGTAAGTGCCAAGGCAAACTCAAGGTGTTGGGCATTTGCTGGAGCAGGTGGGGGATGGGGGATGCAGCACTGGTCTCCTCTGTGCTCTGGCAGGTGCCAGTTTGGTGGTAAGAAGGATTGCTTGTGTCATGCTTGTCTCAGATCCTTCCTGGGCGCCCCTAGGGCAGGCGTGGGGAACCTTTGGCACTTCAGGTATCGCTGAACTGAGCATGACCAATACTGGCTGTCTGGCATTTTCAGTTATGTAATGTGTTGCAAGGGCCCTCAGTTTCATCTCTGCCTCCTCAGCTGGGAAGAGTGGCTGGGTAACAGGTGCAGGGCTTTCTGAGTGGTGGTTCCACCCTCATTTCCCAATATCCCTTTTGGGGAAGCTCCACCCTGCCCCTTCTCCCTGTTTTCAAAGGGCGCTGTGGTCATTGGCCACGCTTGCTGGGGATGATGAGCATTATAGACTCTCAGAATTGTAGAGTTGGAAGGGACCCCAAGCATCCATGACAGATGGCCATACAACTTCTTCTTAAAAACCATCAACAAGTGGGAGGCTGCAGGTTCCCCACACCTCTCCTGAAGGAGCCCTAGGAAGCCCATTGGAAAGAAGCTGTCTCATTGGCTCGCTCTCCCTCTGCAAGGAGTGGGGGTTTGTTCTCTGCAGGCTTGGTCCTGGAAGGTTATTGTGTGTATCTGCTTGGGGGCAGGGGAGCTCCATAATTGATCCACTTCCCATACTGCTTCATTCCCTACCTAGACCCATTGGACATTAACCCCAGTGTGGATTTCCTCTTTGACTGTGGCCTTGTGGGCCCAGATGACGTCTCTGCTGACCAAGACTTGCCTCGGAGCATGCGCAAGGTGAGTCTGCTCCTCAAGGCCACCCGCTCGCCTCATTTCATCTAATGTTGGCTCATTGATTGGATTCGGGGTTGAGTAGCCCTGTGATAAGTCTCCCATTCTGGGCTCAGAGCAGCCAGCCCTTCCTTCAGCAGAATGGAACCATTAGGCATAGCATCACCATTTGGAGGAAGGGTTGCAGCTCAGTGGAGGGTCATGCACTCTGCATGCAGAGAGTCCCGGTTTCGGTCCCCCGGTGGCATCTCCAGGTAGGACTTTGGAAAAGGCCCTGACTTGATACCCTGGAGGGCTGCTGCCATTCAGACAATGCTGAGCTTGTTGGGCCAACAGTCTGATTCGGGATAAGGCAACTTCCTGTGCTCTGTTAAAGTTAGGATACCCAGCGTGGTGCCTTCCAGATGACTATGACTACAACTCCCAGCATCCCAAACAGCTTGGGCTACAGTCAAGGGGGCCATGGGAGCTGCATTCCAACAACAGCTGGAGGGCACCACGTACGAGTCAACTGTTCACAAATGCATTCTCCCCAAAGGTTTTTTAATTGGAAAGGAATGGGATGAGCATCAGGGGGAGGGAGGGAACTGGTGTGGGGGGCCCACTGCTTAAACTAATGCTTAAACTAATGCAGATATTTCCAACCCTTTTGGGTCCACGGCTCCCTTGACTAACTACATTCTTTCTGTGGCACCCCTGTGGGGCTCAGGAGCCCAGTTATGCTATCCCTTGCCTGCAGAGCTGGCAGCTCCTCACCCCTTTTTAAACGCCCTCCCTGGTGGGATGTGCCCTCAGCCTCCTCTCTTCTCCCCTCTGGGCTGCCAGCTCCTGGTCTCTGAGCTTCCCCCGCCCCAAAGAGAGGTGCCTCTGCGATGGCTCAACGGCACTTTCTCACCCTGGCTCCGTTGGGCCGGCCCTCAATTAAATACAGTGCGACCACCTCACGGTACACCAATTACACACACTTCTACAATTTACCCCAGATTATCTAGTGGGGGACTTGTGGGAGGGAAAAGTTAATGATTTAGAGCAGAGGTCAGCAAACTTTTTCATCAGGGGGCCGGTCCACTGTCCCTCAGACCTTGGGGGGGGCGGACTATATTTTGGAAAAAGAAAAAAAAATGAATGAATTCCTATGCCCCACAAATAACCCCGAGATGCATTTTTAATAAAAGGACACATTTTACTCATGTAAAAACACGCTGATTCCCGGACTGTCCGCAGGCCGGATTTAGAAGGCGATTGGGACCCTGGGCCTTAGTTTGCCTACCCATGATTTAGAGTCTCAAGCAGGAGTACATCAAACACGAAAAGTTTTATAAAGTTTATGACACAAAGTCGGTCAGGAAACGAGTTCTTTCGGGTAGAATTCAACTTAGTTACCGTAATTTTCGCTCCAAAACACACACTTTTTTGCTCCTAGAAAGTAAGGAAAAATGCCTGTGCGTGTTACGGAGTGAATGCACTCATGGCTGCCGTCAGTCAAGCAAAGCGGGAGCCGCTTGCAGGGCTTCTGTCCCGCTCTAGCTTTGCTTGCTTTACAGCCAGGAGGAGGGGAAGGAGCCGGGGAGGAGGGAGGGAAATAGAGCCATGGCAGCAAAGCGGGCAGCAGCCGCTTACACGGGAGAAGGGACAGACGGGAGCCATAGCGAGCCAGAAAAAGCGCCGCGTAGCCAGCAACAGCTGCTGCAGCCTCAGCTAGCAAAGGTCCGTGCGCTCTCTAACGGAGCAATGAGGCTGCAGAGGGACGGCAGGGCACAGGAGGGCTCTGAGCCACGAGCGCAGAGAAAACCAGTAAAAAAGTTTTTTAAAAGGCTGCTGGGGACAGGAGGGCACGGGATGAGGGAGAGGGGGAAATTACAATTCTCCCAGCGTCTCAGCTGATCCGCTGAGCAGGACTTGGGTTGCAGGGGATTCGCCATTAGCTGCGTAAAGCAGCAAAGAGGCAGAGAAGGAGCAAAGTGGGAGAGGAAAGGAGCTGTTTACACTGCTGTAAGTGGCTGCTGTCCGGTTGGCTCCTTTAAAGCAACAGTGCTCTTTCCCTCCCCCCTCCCCGCTCAGCTCGCCGAAAAGCTCCTTTTCCACACACCCCACGCGAGCCCCTTCTCCCCTTAAACCCCTCTCCTGCATCATTAGCAGCATCCTTCTCTACACACCCCACGCGTTTTCCTTCTCCCCTTAAACCCCTCTCCTGCATCATTAGCAGCATCCTTCTCTACACACCCCATGCGTGTTCCTTCTCCCCTTAAACCCCTCTTCTGCATCATTAGCTGCATCCTTCTCCACACACCCCACGCGTGTTCCTTCTCCCCTTAAACCCCTCTTCTGCATCATTAGCAGCATCCTTCTCCACACACCCCACGCGTGTTCCTTCTCCCCTTAAACCCCTCTTCTGCATTATTAGCAGCATCCTTCTCCACACACCCCACGCGTGTTCCTTCTCCCCTTAAACCCCTCTTCTGCATCATTAGCAGCATCCTTCTCCACACACCCCACGCGTGTTCCTTCTCCCCTTAAACCCCTCTTCTGCATTATTAGCAGCATCCTTCTCCACACACCCCACGCGTGCTCCTTGTCCCTTGAATGCTTTCCCTTCCCTCCCCACTTAAAACGTGGTTACAAAGCACGGATCCACATGGATCCTCAGGATTTTTGCACTGGGTCACCCCAAGTTCACCATCAGATCACATAGCATATCCATGGCTACAGTCTGCACCAAAAAACACACACGCACCCACTGTTTCATGGGGCTGCAACGGCGCAAAAACGTGGTTACAAAGCATGGATCCACATGGATCCTCAGGATTTTTGCATTGGGCTACCCCAAACTCACCGTCAGATCACGTCTGTGGCCACAGCATGAACCACAAAAATCATACATCCACTGTTTCGTTTAGAATATTTTTTTCTTGTTTCCCTCCTCTAAAAACTACGTGCGTGTTATGGTCAGGTGCGTGTTATAGAGCGAAAAATACGGTACTTTAACTATAAGATGTCTCAGTCTTAAACACAGTATTATAGGTACAACTCTTCTTAAATTTCAGTTACTAAACATCAGTTGGCACACTTCAGGTAGATAAATATTCAGGTTTCCAGAAGAGATGGTAAAATGTTAAAATCAGTTGAAATCATACTTTCAACACTATACCACTTCCTTCACAGCTTAATCCTTTGGTTCATGAGAGAGTGGCATTTTTCCTCAGTTACCCCCTCTCTTAACAATTCCGCACCTGAGATATTATAAATGGTATTACAGACCCAGGGGATCCCGTCTCTCATCACTGGGTTGGGAGTCTTCTAGGTACTGAACTCTCCCCTCCTGGCTAGACTGACCCCTCAGGGAGCCTGAATTCCCACAGGATCTGTCTCTCCTGGCTCAGATTCAGCCCTCCCAGCATACTCCTGTCTGGATACCTTCCCCAGACCCTCAGCCTGGTCTCCCTATCCCAGCTGCTCTCTCCCTATGGATAGTCTCCTCAGTGCGTATCTCCTCCTTCCCTCAGAACGCCTTCACCCTCTTTTCCAACCTGAAACCTGTCTAACCTCTCCAAACCAATCATATCCCTCCCCTGGAACTTTGGCCAATCGGACGACCGTTTGCTGACAGGAAAAAAACAACACTTGGTGACTCAAACTGCCCAGCAAACAAAACTTTTCCATCATACCTCTTCACACTGCCCCACAGGGGCCTGTGAAGCACCCCCTAGCCAGCCCCAGAGGCAGCATTCGTCTGGTAGCTCATAGCCAGAGCTGCTGCAACAAAGAGCTATGAGATGTGAAAAGGCACCCGAGGGAGGGAAGGAAAGAGGGACAGAGGCCAGTGTTGCCTGCGGCACCCCTGACCATCATTCAAGGCACCCCAGGGGGCCATGGCACACAGGTTGAAACCCACTGCACCCAAGGTAAAGGAATGCAAGGGTGTGAGATGGAAATGGTGAACTGTGTGGACTACCCTCCTTCCTCAAGCAAATGTCATGCAAAGCAGATTCTGGCTTCGTCTCTCACCCCCCCCCAATTTAATGTGGATGCCCTTCTCCCTTGCTTACAATTGTCTTACAAGACAGGCCTTCCTCTCCTCCTCCCTTCCTCCCCACCTCCCCCAGGGCCCGAAGCGCCTGGTTCTCTCAGAGAGCTGTTCGCGGGACTCCATGAGCAGCCAGCCCAGCTGTACAGCCCTCAACTACTCCTATGGTGTGAACGCCTGGAAGAGCTGGGTGCAGGCCAAGTATGCTGGCGGCGAGACCAGCAAGGGTGACGAGCTGCGCTTTGGCCGTAAGTCTGCGCCAGGTGGAGGGGCAGTTGCAGTTCTAGGAGATGGGGATGCTGGAGTCAAGGAGGGAGGGAAGAGGAGGAGGAGGAGGAGATGGAAGGTGTGCCGCCCCAGGCACTCAGGGGGGGTTTTCTTGGTCGTTCCTCTACCCTCAGAGACTTGAGTTGGGAGGTTGTGGCCTCTAAGTTGTGGAACTCCCCACAAAGGTGCACTCCTGACACCTTTGTTGCACTGCTTATAGCAAACACCAAAGCCGTACTCTTTGCCCTGGCTTTTGACGCCAGAGGTGCGTGTTTTTAGGGCTTCCCTTTAGTTTTGTGGTTGTAAGTTTGTTTTAGGTTGCTTTTATTAGTTTCGTTTTAGTGCTGTAGCCCAACCTGGGGACCTTAATTGATGACAGTGATGATGATGATGATGATGATGATGATGATGATGATGATCACTCTGCTCTGTTGCTGTCCTGCAGCCAAACCCATGCGGATCAAAGAGGACATTCTGGCCTGCACAGCGGCAGAACTGAATTACGGTCTGGCCCAGTTTGTGAAGGAGATCACTCGTCCCAATGGCGAGCGCTATGAGCCTGACAGCATCTATTACCTCTGCCTTGGCATACAGCAGGTAAGGAGACCCCCCCACCCTCTCCCAAATCTTACCTTCTTTCCTTATGCCCACAAACAATTGGACCAACATCCTGCTGCCGAAACACCTGTTGGCTGGCAAGAGAGCTTTCTCTGGGACTGACACATAAGGCTATTGTGTAGGAGGCCGTGATGCTTTTGAATACCTGTTGCTGGAAACCACAGGAGGGGCGAGTGCTCGAATGGGAGAAATTCATGGAGGAGAGAGCTATTGGTGGCTACTAACCACCGTGGCTCGGCTCTACCTTCAAAGCTGGAGGCAGGAATTCTTCTGAATACCAGCTGCTGGAAACCACAGGCAAGAGGGCTCCTGTGCTCTAATCCTGCTTCCTGGCTTCCCACAGGCATCTGGTTGGCCACTGTGAGAACAGGATGGCATTGGCCTGATCCAGCAGGCTCTTATTAGGTTCACACGTTCTTGCCAGCCTAGCAAGTGTTCTGTATGGAGGTGGGGGGAGGTAATGAGAGTGTGCATGGGAGAGAGCAGGTTTTGCAGTTTCATACTTGACTTTGTGCTTCCCATCTCCCCCTTTCAGTACCTGCTGGAGAACAACCGCATGGTGAACATCTTCACGGACCTCTATTACCTGACCTTTGTGCAGGAGCTCAACAGGTTGCTCAGCGGCTGGCAGCCCACCATCCTGCCCAACAGTACGTGCCTTTGGGGGGGCCAGAGGGAGGGAAATAAGAGAGGTGTTTTCCTCTTCCCTCGGCATCCTGGGAGAAGTTTCCAGATTCTGGGAAAGGGCTATATATCAGGCTGTCCAATTTTCAGCGGGTAGCACTAGAGCAGGGAATGGGCTCTTGCCTTCCTGCTTCACTTAGGGGCTTTTCTTGGGACACCCTCCCAGGCACCTAATGGATCTTTTGAGGCTCTCATCTGGACTTAATGCTCATAGTCACTGTCAAGCAAAAGGGCCAAGTTCAGAGGCTTCCAGGTCAGGCTTTGGGCATTTATTTCTTGGTGTCCTCCCCCCACAACAATCACAGTTTGTGGAAGCAGGTTTAATATTTATTACCCACCCTTCACCCCAAGGTCCTGGGGTGGGTTACAACATTAAAACACAATATCGAAAGCAACTTGTAACCATAAACATTAGGTAGGTCCTAAAACCACGTGTCAGAAGCCCAGGGTAAAGAGGTGTCCCTTAAGCATTCTCCAAAAGCTGTATGGTGAAGGCACCAGATGCACCTTTGTGGGGAGGGAGTTCCACAGGCCGCCACCCCTTAAGCCTCTGAGGGTGGAGGAACCACTGAGAGGACCTTCTCTGCCCATCTTAGCACCCAAGAGGGTCTGTGGTGCTTTGTGCATAGTATATTGACAGCTCTTGGTCTTTTCAGTGAACTGTTCATCAGTCTGTTTTTATAGCCATCCCAGGAAGCAGGGCTGTTTTTCATCCTCTTTTCTTCGTTCTTAATTTTGGCCCAAGAAGGCAATTGCTGAGCCAGGATTTGAACCCAGGCCCAATCTTTTGGGTATAGCTGCCGAGCCAGCCCTTGCCAATTTGTTGCTCTCCAGATATTTTGGACTTGCTGGCGAGAGTTCCCAAACACCTGGGGGTCAACAGCTTAGGGAAGGAAAGAGTTCAAAAATTATTAGACCCGGTGTTGAAAACCTTTAGCCCTCCAGATGCTGCTGAACTACAACTCCCATCATCACTGACCATTGGCAGATGGGAGTTGTAGTCAGAGAACCAAAGGTTCCCCATTCTTTTTTGGGGCCAAGGAAGGCGAGCAAAAAAAGAATGCAGCAAACTTACAGAAAGATGAGGAATGGTTGAGAAAGTTGGCGGTGTTTAGCCTGGAGAAGAGAAGACCGAGGGGAGGTAAGATAGCCATCTTCAAATAACTGACGGGCTGCCACACGGCAGATGGAGCAAGCTTGTTTTCTCCTGCTCTGGAGAGTAGGACCTGAACCAATGGGTTCATGTCACAAGAAAGGGGATTCCGGCTAAAGATCAAGAAGAAACTTTGGGCACTAAGAGCTGTTTGACAGTGGAATGGACAGCCTCAGAAGGTGATGATGGCATCTCCTTCATTGGAACGGAGGTGGTGTGGTCGTCTGTCATGGATTATTTAGCTGTGATTCCTGCATTGCAGAGGGTTGGACCACATGGTGCCTTGGGAGCCCTTCAGTGCTATGGTTCTGTTCAAGTTAAAAAAAGATGGTCTGGAAGCCGTAAACCAATTTCCTCCAAACTGGTGCCATGTCCGGTTGTTTTAGATTCCCCCCAGCCTGTGTTGGCCAGGGCTGATTGGAGTTGGAGTCTGAAACATCTAGGGGGTCTGGGTTGGGGAGGGCTGCACTAAATGATAGGTTCATGCATGTAGTGCAGAAAAAGAGCTAGAAAATATGCTGAAATGAATATATGTATATAACAAACACTTCCCCTCTCCAAAGTAACAATTGATGGGTTTCCCGTACTGGTTTCTTGCCAGCCATGTGCTTGATTGTGCGCACAGCAGAAAACGAGCAACTGAGTTTATTATACTAAGGCCAGTTCTAAATGCGTCAGACCTGAGAAAAGGAAGGGGTCCCATGGCAACAGGCTACTTAGGTTTCCTTTTATTGCACCAGATGCAGCCTTCCTAGCCTCTTAGTGCAGCGCTCCTCAACCTGATGCTTTCTATATCTTTTAATTAATATATATATATATATATATATATAAATAAGCCACACCTTCACACTGAACATCAAAAGGCAGTATGCAGCTTAAAAGCGCAGCAGTGTAATAATAAAAATATTAAGAATGTCAGATATATCAATAAAAGCTCATGGTAAAGAATGTCAGGTTTGAAAGGCCCATCTGAGTAAAACAGTTTGCAGAAACAATGGCTTCAAGGTACAAGGAAGGAATTTCTGACTAAACATCAGGAAGAACTTTTTGATAGCAAGAGCTGTTTGAAATAGAACGGTCTCTCTCAGGAGGCTGTGGACTCTCCTTCCTTGAGGGTTTTTAAGCAGAGGTTGACTGGCCACCTGTCATGGATGCTTTAGCTGAGAATCCTGCATTGCAGGGGGCTGGACTGGATGACCCTCAGGGTCCTTTCCAGTTCTGCAATTCTATGATGCCTACAAGTTGAGCTTGGATGACTCTTGCCAAACCTCTGGACGCAAGGAGTTCCACAGGGCAGGGCCAAGGGAACCTCAGGAGCATGTTGGACCACCCAGAGTTTCCCATCAGAAGGCTTGAGTGATCCAGGTGGGGCATAAGACATCAGGGGCTTCATAAAGCCCAATCGACTTGAACTGCAGCTCCCATGAGCCCTAGCCAGTGCATCAAAGCACAGTTCTTGGCTCTCTCTGTTGCCTTGTGGCTCACTCTGCTTGTGACAGTGGTGGCTTGTCCTTTTGCAGACGCCGTCTTCTCCCGCGTGGAAGAGGAGCACCTCTGGGAGTGCAAGCAGCTGGGCGTCTACTCCCCCTTCGTGCTCCTCAACACACTCATGTTCTTCAACACCAAGTTCTTTGGGCTCCAGACGGCTGAGGAGCACATGCAGCTCTCCTTCACCAACGTCGTGCGCCAGTCGCGCAAGTGCACCACAGCACGGGGCACCACCAAGGTGGTGAGCATCCGCTACTATGCTCCCGTGCGGCACCGGAAGGGGAGAGGTAGGGAATGCTTTCGCCCACATCCATTTGCTGCCCATCTGTTTTGGGGGTGCCCCTGTCCTGACTGTACCTCCACACTCTCCCTGCAGACGGTGGCTTGGGCAAGCGGAAGCGAGAGGAGGAAGCGCCTGTCTTGGAGCAGCGAGAGAACCGCATGAACCCTCTGCGCTGCCCGGTCAAGTTCTACGAGTTCTATCTCTCCAAATGGTGAGAGCCTTTTGCAGCAGCTGACTGCCAGAGGGTGGAGGGCTTCTGAATGCCAGCTGCTGGGAAACCGCAGGAGGGGTGAGGTGGCTCTTGTGCTCAGGTCTTGCTTGCGGGCTTTTCGTTAGGGCGTCTGGTTGGCCACTGCGAGAACAGAGGGCCCTTGGCCCATTCCAGCAACAAGGCCCATTTGATATTCAGTTGGTTCCTGAACGTTAGTTGGCTGGGCTCATGGGTCCCCAGTATGATGGCAGTAGGCCATGGACCCCCGCAGAGGCTTTCCCTGGTGCTTGGAGGGTAGTCCCTGACCCCAGTTTTCCCCTGCGGATATTAAGCTTGGGGAGGTTGACTGTTGCTCACTCCTCCAAAACTTGCACCCTCCAGAAAGATTGCACCATCCTCTCCCTCCCCCCCCCCCCAAAGATACCCATTAGGCTTAAGAAAAAGAAAAAGGCCCCTTTTGAAGCCTAAATGCGTTGGTGGGAATGAACTCCTAGTGGTGCAACAGTAAAGGTGCTAGCACATTTGCAAAGCTAAGCAGGGTCTGGTATGGTTTCAAATGGGATGGGGCACTGTGTGTTGAGAATTCTGCATTGTAGGGCATTGAGCTAGATGGTCCTCAGGGTCCCTTCCAACTCTACAATGCCTCGTTTCTGTGTGCACAGGGTCGCAGTGCGCACGATTGCAGCTCGTGCATGGTGGTGCTCATGACAGTTTCTCTGCATTGCCTCAGTACTCGAAGGACCCAGAAAGCTTGGCGACAACCCCCACCCCCCCCCGTTTTGCTGTTAGGTAGATGCCGATGGCAAGGGGAGGCTAGTGCCGTTGCTGCCAGCTGTGGTGGTAGTCATACGCAGTGGTGTCATCAAGGCATCAAGGGCGGTGGTGGCAGCAGGATGCAGCAGGCATTGAGGCAGCCATTGTGAGGAGCAGGAGCAGGTGGTGTTGAAAGGTTTTGGCCAGAGCAGAAAGCCGCTGCTCTGCAGTCCTTGCTCCTCAGTGCAACTTGGGGTCCCCTGTCTCTTGGTTCAGGGCTTATGTGCTGAACCTGAAGAGCGGGCAGTGGGGGACCAGGGAAGGGTGGGGCTCCCGCCTAGGCCAGGAGCCCCTTCTCTGTCCTCATTGCTTATCTCCTCTTGCCTTCCTTCCTTCCGGCTGCAGCCCTGAAAGCCTGCGAAACCGCAATGATGTCTTCTACCTGCAGCCTGAGAGGTCGTGCATCGCCGAGTCGCCGCTGTGGTACTCCGTCATCCCCATGGACAAAAGCATGCTCGAGAGCATGCTCAACCGCGTCCTGGCTGTGCGCGAGATCTATGAGGAGCACAGCCGCGGAGGCGGAGGCGGCCTGGATGAAGAAATGGACTGAGCAGGTGCTGCCGGTCTTGCCAGAGGGAGATTGGGGCCCCCAGCACTACTCCAGCCAGCTAGTGGGTGACTGTGGGGTGTGTGTGGCTCGCTGCCCCTTTCCTGCCTGGTTTGGCGGCCACATAGGGCTCTAGACACTCCCCACTAGGTGATCACTTTCCCTCTGACGAGGAGCCACCCCCACCCTCCCTCTCCTCCCACGCTGCCTACGAGTGCCTGCTTGCCTGCCCCTTTCTCCTTGCTATGTGTTGGCTTGGGGGGAGTGTCACAGGTAGGCTCTTCGCCTGGGGAGGGAAGGGTGCAGGGCGTGTCTTCGCTGTTGCAAGAGAGCTGGGCTCTGGGGGTGCAGACCCTGTGCCTGGTTGTGCTAATTGGGGCGGGGTGACCGTGCACGTTCTCTTGCACGGGGTGGGGGGTGGGGCTTCTACAGTTCTCCCTTTGCCCAGTAGATGGCAGTCCTCCCTCCCCCCCATCCCCAACGGTTGAACACTCTGTTCTCTCTCGTATTGGGGGAGACTAGGCCCTAGCATTGCACCCTGAGCCGCCTTCTCCCCTGCTTCCTCGATGCTAGCTTGGCCGCCCACCCCACCACGCCCACTGCCCCATGAGGCAGAGGCTGCTCAGCATCTCACCAACCCTTTCCTCACCCATCTGTGTGTGTTGCGTTGAACTCTGAGCTATGGCTGGTGCTGGTGCTGGTGCTGTCTGTTGAGCCTGTATATATTGTTCTGGCCCAGCCCCTGTCTGTGTCCTTGTTGCCAGTGAGCCAGTCCGCGGGTCTCGTCGTCGTAGTGATGCCCAGGGCATTAGGACCTGCCCTCCCCGCGTCTCTCTGGAAACCATTCATTTCAAATAAAGGCACAAAAATTTGGCCGACTTGTCTCTCTTCATCTCTTATTCCAGGGCTGTGGTCCTTGTCTCTGTGCCCCCAAAATGTGGTGATGCACGAGAACAGGGTTGGAGGCCCCATGTCCCAGTGAGGTAATTTCCATTGGTGGGTGTGCATGTGGCAGCCAGCATGCCTTACCAACTTTTATGCCCCCAGGGGAAGACCTCCACCCCCTTCCATGACTTGGCTGCTGTGGGTCCCATCGCATCAGCTCTCTGCTCCGACTGAGCCAGCCTTGAAGCGTGCTCTTTCCACTTCCTGGCCACTAAGGGGCAGCAGGCACCAAGAGAATCTTCCAAAGCGCCTGGCCATTGTCCACATGCCCAGTGCTCTTCTCTGCTTGTGGCTTTGCAGCAGCTGCTCCCAAAAGGAGAAGTGGCTGAAGTCTCTGCTTCAGGCATTTGGGGCTGATGCCTTGGAGAAGAGGGTCTCGAGACTTAGCACCAGCCTGGGACTCTCCCTCAGATTCCCCCTTCTTCGTTGGAAAGGGAGCTGTGAAGTCTGCTGCTTCTCCTAGCGTGGCAGAGTTGCTCTCTGATGAAAGGGCAGGCTTGGGACGTAAAGGAGAGAGGCCTGAGGCTTCTTAATTCCTGAGCAGGTACAGGCTACCTTTCCTCCAGCCCAGGAATTCTCTCTCTGATCAGGCATTGGGGTAGGGATTTCGACTTGGTGGTGCATCTAATGCCTGTGGGAACGCTTGGGTCTTGCTATCCAGTGTGAGGTTAGCAAAGTTCCTTGGCTAAACAGCCAGGTCACTGGACCTCCACTTGTTGCTTGATTTGCTGGACTTGCTCCCTCGCTTCTGCCCTCCGCCCCAAGCGGGGCTCTCGCTCACTCCCTCCGTCCGTGGACTGGCTTTCTCTGCAGGCTGCAGAGAGGGGCTGCTGGGAGGCGTAGCACTGGGGCAGTGAAGCAGGCGGTGGCTGGCAGGCTCTCCTTCTGGCTGCCCTTCTGGGCTGAGCTTGGGCTCATGACCTTGCCTGCACTTAGTGGTGGCCACGTGGTACATCTCCACCATGTTGAGCAGGAGGGAGAGGCAGGCGACGGCCAGCATGAAGAGGATGAAGATGGTTTTCTCGGTGGGCCGGGAGATGTAGCAGTTGACCGTGTTGGGGCAGGGCCAGCGGCTGCAGGTGTAGAGGGGCTTCAGCTCAAAGCCATACAGCACGTACTGGCCCAGGATGAAGCCCACCTCAAAGAGAGCCTTGAAGACAACATTGCAGAAGTACGTTCGCAAGATGGCCCCTTGCAGGCGGATCCTTCCGCAGGCGTCCCGCACAGGGGCTATGCCAGGCCTGGGCTGAGCTGCTGGGCTGTTGCTGACCTCCACCTGAACCCCTGGAGAGGCCCCCAGCTCTTTCTCTTCCATGCGCACCAAGTGCAGGATGTGGCCCAGGTAGATGAGGCTGGGCGTGGAGACGAAGATGATCTGCAGCACCCAGAAGCGGATGTGGGAGATGGGGAAGGTCTGGTCGTAGCAGACGCTCTGGCAGCCGGGCTGCTTGGTGTCGCAGGAGAAGTTGGACTGCTCGTCCCCCCACACCTTCTCTGCTGCTGCCCCCAGGACGAGGATGCGGAAGATGAAGAGGACAGTGAGCCAGACTTTGCCCACCACCGTGGAGTGCTCCTGTGCGCTCTCCAGCAGCCTCCCAAGCAGGTGCCAGTCGCCCATGGGTGCAAGGCAGGCTTGCCCTGCAAGAAAGGGAGGTTCAGACAATTGGGGTGGGGTGCTGGCACTGCTGCCTCTCTTCCTCTCCCTGCCAATGGGGAGGGAGGAGGGGCAGGACCTACCTGTGCCAAGCAGGCCGCCCTTTGATGTATGAGGAGTCATTGTGCTTTTGTTCTCGGGGTAGGGCCCATTGTGTGCATGTCACTTGAAAAGCCAGGCATTTAACCGGATAAATAGCTTAGTGCCCAGGAGTGGAGCTGAGCACCTGTTGCCTGCAAGGACAAGCCTTGGCCCCAAAGCACAGTTCTTCCCCTCAGATCTGGGCACAGCTGGGAGATGGCCAAGACCCCCTTTCTGCCCCTCCAGCCCTATGGTATGGCCACAGTAGGGGACCAAGATTACTACCGGCCCAAGCTGGGGTTGTGCCCAAAGCAGCAAGTTCGTAGAGCCAAGGTGGCTGCTGGGGGTGGGGTAGTAAGCCCTTTCAAAGTCAGACTCCACCCAGGTGCAGCAACACTCACCCTGTCTGCGTTCGGAGGTCCTGGCATCAAAACACTTCACATCCTGGCCAGCATCCCGGGCGTTGTCAGCTCCCTTGGGTGTCAGCAGCTCCTCCTTCGAGCCACCTCTGAGCGCCTGTCCGGCTGTCTCTTCCGCCGGTGACCACAATGGAGCAACGATCTCTTCCTGGTGTCTCTCCTCCCTGGGCTGGGGCTTTGTTGCCATTGGGGCTTTGCTGCTCATTGGCTGTTTTCATGACTGACCTCTGCAGCATCCACTGGGGGGTCACTTCCAACACTCTTATTTTTGGACAGCACACTTGGTTAATTATAGCCCCTCCTGCAGGGCGAGTGCGAAGGGTGAGTGGGGTTATATTTAGGCAGGAGCTCTCTGGTGAGAGGGACCTTGGAATGACCTGCGGACGAGAGAGGCTATGCTCTGGGATGGTCGTTCTGCTTCCTCTAGCCAGTCACCACCTCATCGCCCTCGGAAGCCTCAGCATTCCTCCCTCTTGTGTCTGTAGCAATGGTAGGGAGAAAGTCAACAAAGAGAAAGGGGAATATTTCCCCCCCGCATGTGCTACTAAAACTTTGGACCACCCGGTGAAGCTGAATGTTGGAAACCTTAACAGACAAAAGAAAGGACTTATTTATGGTGTTCCCACCTGGTGATGGCCACCTACCTGGGTGGCGTTAGAAGATTAGACAAAATCATGGAGAACAAGGCTGTTGGTGGTCACTGACCCTGATTCCTGTGTTCTCCCTCTGCTTTGAAGACAGTAAACGAAAACCAATTGCTGGGAATCCCAAGCAGAGAGACTTGTGTTGCGCTCATTTCCCAAGTGTGGGTTTCCCAGAGACATCTCCTTGGCCACTCTTGAGAACAGGATGCTGGACTAGATGGGCCCCTTTGGCCCGATCCAGGAACCAGCACCATCTTACATTCTGAATGTGACATTTTGGGGGATGCAGTGCCTCTTGTGCAGCTTCTTGCAACAAGCCAATATGCTCCCAACTCAAGAGAGCTGCTTCAGAAGTCAGGGAGAGTAGTGTGACAGCTTACCAACCTCCTTTGTGACCAACCTCCTTGCCCATATCCCAGTCCAGTGGTCACTGGAGCAGGTGGTATGCAGTGGCTTATGTTGGGGAGGGGAAATAAATATATCTTGTGTTCTTGCACAGTGCATTTTCCTGTGCAGTGTACAAGCCAGTGTGTTGTGTGGTTTGAGTGCTGGACTAGGACCTTGGGAGGCCAGGGTTTGAATCTCCTCTGAAGCTCCCTAGGCGACATTGAACCACTCACTGCCTCTCAACCCTAACCCACCTCACAGGGTTGTTGTGGGGATTAATTGAGGAGGGGGGTAACCATGTCCTTGAGCTCTCTGAAGGAAAGGTGAGATGTAAATGCAATGCAATGCAACCAATCAATAAAACCACTCAGTGTTTATCAGCGACCACTTGAGGCGAAGAGGAACAAAACATTTTCAAGGTGAGCACAGCACAAGGTTCATCTGCCATGTGGACCTTAGCAATTTACCCTGCACACTTACATACCAGTAAGATAAGCAGGTGGTGTCAGAAGGCTAGGCTTCACTTTATGCATTTTAAAGTAAAAAAAAAAATAAGTCAACTGCATCATTCTGAGTCAGGTCTTTGGTCCATGTAGCTCAGTATTGACAACATTGGCTCTCCAGGGTTTGGATCAGTGAGTAGGGAGACAGTCCAAGTTCTGATCTGGAGGTGCCATTGAATTTGAACCTGGGACCTTCTGCATGCAAAGCAGATGCTCTACCTCAGACCTGCCTTTTTGTTTACAGTTTTCTAAAACTAGATACCTGCATCTGTTTATAAGCCAAGGTTAACTCGTTTAAAAGTAGGAACATTTTAAAAATAATTGCAAGTGTGAGCTGGGGATTTTGGGGAGAGCAGTGCACGGACGGGAACAACCTGTCCTCGCGCAGCTTTTCCTCATCCAGGCTGAAAAACCTGCAGGAATTTCCCTCGGATCTTGTTCTTTGAAAGAGAAAAGGGTACTTGTGGATGAAGCACAGCTTCTAAACCTCCCCACCCACCTTACTCTGCAAATGTTTGACCTTCTTTGAATCACAGCCCTGTCCCTCTGGCCTGAGTAGAGCAGCCTTCCTGTCAGCAATGTCCTTCATGCAGCAAGTTTTGATAGGCTATGCTCTTATCTTCACTGTTGGAGGCAGTATGCTCCAAAATCCCTACTGCTGGAAGCTACAGGGAGGGAAAGGTTGCTGTTGGATCAGGTCTTGCTGGCAGATTAGGTGGGCCACCAACCTGATCCAGCAGGACTGTCCTTACGTTCTTCAGCCTCGAGTCTCCAGAGGTGGCTGTTCCCAGCCAGCTTAGCCAGTGGTCATCTTGGACACTCAAGGTTGAAGAACACCAGAATAGACTATGTAAGAGCCCTGCATGAAAACTTGCAGCAGTGTGGCCGTTGTGGATTAGTGCCCTTCCTGAGCTCCCGATGAGAATCGGTTACTCAATGGTCAGTACATGGGGCTACTCTCAATTTGGGATGAAGCAGGGGCTTTCGCCTCTGTGCATGTTGCTCAGAGCCGTTCCCAACCCACTGGAGATTTGCCCTGCTCTTCTTGCACGGACCTCCAGACCGTTGGTTGAATGAAAGAGCTGCCCTACCTTGTTAGGAAAGAGGTGCAGCTCAAGGGTAAGTCCACCTGCCTTGCATGCAGGAGGTTCCATTTGCCATATGTCCAGTTAAAAAGGATCAAGTAGTACGCAATAAGGAGGACTCTGCAGAACTACTGTCAGGAAGCGGAGAAAAATCCTAGCTGGACAAAGAAGTCTGCCTTAGGATGCCAACTTCTGAAATATTGCTGGAATACTGCCGGAAGGATTGCCCCAGTTGCCAGGTGGGGCTTAATTTGAGTATGTGGTTCCTACAACCTACTACTATTTGTAACACTCGGGGGGGGGGGCACAGACAAACCCCCAGATGAAAAACAACTCTTGAGTCGAGAATTGCAAAACCAGCTTTAATACTGTGTGACTGCTTTGGCAAAATGAGGTGTAGCAGGTGATGAAAATAGCCTGGGAATGCCCCACCTCTCTGCCCCCAACCCAATCTTCTTTGAACCCTGGCTAAAGGAGAGCAGCAGTGATGATGCAGAGGTGGTGGTGGGGGGTTTGCTGGCTTTCCCCCCCAGTGGGAGGGCTCCCCATCCTTTAACCTCTGCCTGGCTAGCAAATCAGGTAGTTGCAGTGAAAGCAGTGCCATTTTACCTTTTCTATGTTGTGTCTAAAAGGCCCAGGAACACTCCCAATGCAGAAAGGAGGGGGCAGGAAAGAGGTGGCCCCCCCACCCCCTGGCCTGCATGGGTTGCTGCTGCTGCAAACCTTTTCCTCCAAAGCACTAGCCAGGGCGGTGGAAACCAGCATGAGGTGCCGGCTAGAAACAGCAGGGAGAATTCAAAAGACGCAGACCAATGTGCATGAGCTCTTGTCCCGCCTGCCGATGAATCCTGGGCCACAAATTTCCCTGGACTACACAGTATGGATACAAAGTGCTTCCTGGATGTAGAAAGCATGTCAAATAATATAATATTTGGGTTTAGCATCTTTTATTTTTGTTTTCCTTTCTTTCTGGTGTAGGTTAGGATGATAAAGAGGAGGTGGTGTTGGGAGGGCAAAAGGAAAAAGGGCCTGGCCAGACAAGGAAAAGGCACACGGGCCCCCCAATTCTGCAATATTTTGACCCCCAGAACGGGGCCCAGCAGGGGAGTCTTAGTGGCTACCCAATCATCCCTAGGCTGCTGAGGCCTGGTTAATCACAACCAGAGGCATATTCAACAGAGGATCTGCAGTGGGCAAATTGTGTGATTCTCAATATCAGAGGCCATCCTGTCCACAGGGACTGTGCCTGGAGGACATTATGTGGGCTAGCAGTAGGGAGAAAAAGGCCACGGCTGGTGGGGCATCTGGCAACGGGAAAATCGGAGGGAGCCCAGTATGAGGGCTTGACAGAGTGATGGTGATCTGACTTGGCAGGCCCACAGCCGCGGCCCCCCCTCTCCCCACCAGGCGTGCTGTGCTGTAACCAAGTTGTGAACACCCCTGCCCTCCGGTCCTGAGACCCTTAGCAGGCTGAGCATCGGTCACTCTTCTCTTGTATCCCTGAGTTCCGCCGGAGAATGTCTTTGAGGGAGCCGTCCTGCTCCGTCAGCAGCTGGTTGATTTCGTTCTGCTTGTACTCTGAGAGCTTGTGGCCCAGGAAGGAGCCCTTCTTCGATGAAGGGTTGTGGCTCTTGGATGCGCGGCGGGCGCAGGCCCTCACCAGCAGGAACACCACCTCCGTCAGGTTGAGGATGATGCAGATGCCCGAGGTGGCCAACATGAAGACGGTGAAGACGGTCTTCTCAGTAGGGCGCGAGATGAAGCAGTCAACCGTGTTGGGGCAGGGGTACACGTCGCACTTGACCAGGCGGATCATCTGGTAGCCTGGGTAGATCATGTAGAAGATGTACATGAAGGTGCCTTCAAAGACGATGCGGAAGATCACGCTGCAGATGTACGTCCACCACAGGGACCCCGAGATGCGCATCTTGTGCTTCTTCACCTCCTCCAGGTGCTTGGGGTCTCCGTGGCCCGTCATGACCAAGAGCTTCTTCTCCTGGTGCTGCTGGTATGCCACGTGCATGGCCACCAGCAAGGCCGGCGTGGTCACCAGGATGAGCTGTAGGGCCCACAGGCGGATGTGGGAAATGGGGAAGTAGTAGTCGTAGCAGACATTCTTGCAGCCAGGCTGCTGCGTGTTGCAAGTGAAGGACGACTGCTCATCCCCCCAGACGCTCTCTGCGGCCACGACCAGCACCATGATGCGGAAGATGAACACCACAGAGAGCCAGATGCGGCCAATGGCGGTGGAGTGGCGGTTCACACCGATCACCAGGGCATAGAAGCCTTCCCACTTCATTCTTCCGCGCTCCTGCAAGGGAACAGCAGAGCAGGGTCAGAGCAGGATGTAGGCAGGTGGAGGTTCCTCCTCCTCCACAACAACCACCACCGTGCTGCTGGTAGGGATACAGGTGGCTGCATAACACGAGTTATGCCATAGAGGTCTATCTAGTTCAGTATTGTCTACACAGGCTGGTAGCAGCTCTCCAGGGTTTTAGGAAGGGGACATTCCCAGCTCTACTTGGAGATGCAGGGGATGGAACCTGGGGCCTCCTGTGTACAAGGGAAATGCTTTCCTACTGAGCTACGGCACTTGCCAGAAGGACCGAGAGTGTAGGCATCGCAGATTCTCCAAAGTAATATTTTTCAGAGAAAGGCCCATTTCCCTACCTCCGTTCTGTTAAGCAAGGCAGGCGTGTATCAACTGCTCCAAAGCCGTGCTGTTGCCAGACTTCTGAAATCAAGAGTCAATGCTCCTGTGCCCACCTTTATCATTTTATTTTAGGGCCTCCTTTAGTTCAGCCTTTACCTGCAAGCACTGTGGCCGGAAAAAAGCCACATTTTAACAATGGGCGGAGCTGCAGTGCCTGACACCCAGTTTGCACAATCCCTGTTTTCAAAAGAAAGGCGTGCTGAGTTTAGCACCTGGACTTGGGTCTGATGGGAATTGCTCTGACCTGCAGAGTCCATTGCCTTGAAAAACAAGTGTGAAAAAGGTAATGGTGCTACTCAACAATTTTTACTCGGCATAGACCCATTGGAAGCAATGAGCATGACTGAGGTCCATTTCTTTAAACAGGTCTACTCTGACCAAAACGTATCTGAATGCCACCCCTAGGATCATCCAAGGAAATGCCAAGTTGCAATCCAGACACATCACAACATTTCCAACACTGTTTCAACACATCCAGTTCTAGAAGGGAACAGGGCAATGCCAGTTCTGGCTGAGACTTCTTGTACAGGCACACGGAAGCTCAAGAAACAAGTCTGCAAACAGAGGGGCTTCTCTGGGCAGCAGGCAGTCACAGAGGAGACCACTTTCAACTGCTCCCTTTCTGCTGCTGCTGCTGCAAGGCAGTCTTCACCAACTTGGATCTCTCCAGTCTTGGGCCATGCTGGGCAGGGCTGATGGGAACTGTAGGCCAAAACAGCTGGAGATCACCAGGGGCGAGAGATCTTTCCCCTGACTGCTTTTGTTGGGGGCTACATTCCCTGGGAAGGCAGCAGAATCTTTCAGGGGCTGCATGGTGGCCATGAATGGGACCAAAGGCAGACTGTTCATAGGGGAACAGTTAGGGCCAGAGGTGCCAGCTTGCAAGGGCAATGGGGTGGGGAGCAGTGTCACATGCAAGCATCGTGCCTTCCTCCCTAAGCTGGGCAGAAGCTTCCCAGGCTTTGGGAAGGAGGCGCCAGTGGAACATTGAGGGGACTAGCCTACTCCACTGCCAGCATGGCACTGGGCAAAGCCCAAGCTAAAATCAGGTGGGGCCTTTAATTTCTGCCAGTCCATTTCCCCCTGCTCACACCCTGTTTGAAAGCTGAGGGCTGCCCCAATTCTAGATAGTAAATGAAAACGTTCGCTCTGAAACCCACAGGTGTGTCTTCATAGTCTCCTGCTTTTTAGCCATGGAGCTTTTCTCAAGGGAGCAGCACAGCCTAATGATGTCTGTCTATTCTCCCTCCCTCCCTCCCTGCTTCCCTGACCACCTCCCACTGTTCCTATGAGAGGCACATGACATGCAGCAGAGCAGAGCGTTTGATGGGGAGGTCCTGAATTCCATTGGGGGCAAAGCTTTGCTGCTTGCTTGCTTGCTAGCTGGCTCTCTCACTTACTTGCAAAGATGAGGTGCAAAACAAACAATGAAGGTTTTCCAGGCATAGCGTGGGACCAGAGATGCATGGCATCTCCTTTCCTGACGTCCACAGCACTTTCTGCTCTGTCACAGTGCAAGCCAGCCCAAAATGGGCCTTTCAACATGATGGTTTGGAGAGCGACAGAAGGGTTGGTCAAACATTACATTCAATGAGGGTTTAATTAATGTAAATGTGAACGTTGCTTAGGGAGTCAGATCATTTGTCCATCTAGCTCAGTGTCACCTTCACAGACTGGCAGCAGCTCTCTGGGATTTCGGACCATGGTCCACCTAGAGATATCAAAGGTTGAACTTGGGACCTTTTGCATGCAAAGGGGATGCGCTCCCATTGAGCCACAGATTTCCTAAGAGCCATAGCTTAGAGGAAGAGCACCTGGTGTGCATCCAGTAGGTTCCAACTTCAGCTTTTGGTACCTCCAGGCAGGGCTTGGAAAGACTGCCCTGTCTGAAATGCTGGGCAGCCGCTGACGGTCAGTTTCAACAATACTGAGCTGGATGGGCCAATGGTCTGATTCCACAGAGGGCAGCTTCCTTTTCTGCCTCTGCGTACGAACAGCTGAGCTGTAAAGCCATACAGTTACTCACATGGAGCATTAAAGTCTCTGAACACCAGTGGAGCTGCACAAAACAACACAGGTAAGCTCATCCACGCACACATTTGTACACGTGGCAAAGGCAGCTTGTACCACTTCTGAACAAGCCTACAGCCAGAAAAAGAGGCAGCACTGCAGATGCCCAAATGCTTTGCAAGCAAAAAAAAGGGGGTTCTCTTTCTGTCAGAGACAGGATGAGTTCAGGAGGTGAAGAGGTGCAAGTATCACCCAAGAGGCACAATGATTACCCAGCCTCCCCAGAGGCAAACTCCGTGTGAGCTAACAAGGGCCCGGTTCAGAAGTCACCACAGCCCCAAACTCACTAGGCGGACAACTAGGCTCTCTGGACCTCAGGCATTCAGCAGTGATACAGAGATTGCTGTAGTGAGCAACCTTGCAAGGTTAAGGATTGTAAAGGAATAATACAGCTATAAACAAAACATTTTGATTTTTTAAAAATTCCTGGGAAAGAGCTTTCCCAGCTTCTGGGCATCTCTTCACACCCATTTAGGTTTAAGTCTTATCTAGAAGCAGATGCCATTACGCACTTCTGATGCTACAGCCATTGATGCTTCAAAATGGGAAGGAGAGCTGCAGAAGAGTGGGTTGGGGTACTACATTTTTAGATTGGATCCATGCCCTTTGCTTGCTTCTGGAAAAATAGACAGGTCCTTCCCATCCCACCACTGAGGACCACCACCGCCGCCGCCCTAGTCTAGACTGCTACCCACCAAGTCATTCCTGCTTCTACAAAGATCTGGGTCAGGGGAGGTTTCACAGCCGGGACTTTACCTTGCCGCAGGTCCTTCCCAAGGCAGCCGCAGGCTCCCTCTGCAGGGTCAGGCCTCCCAGCAGACTGTGCCCAGCTCGGGGAAGTCATACGCTGCTTTATAAACTGCTTTGCATACAATGAGGCTTTTATCGGCCCCCAAACAACACACTTTAGAATTCAGACCAAGCGCCCGGACTTCCGCCCACCCTTGCCAAACAAAGTGTCTGTGTACGGCATTCCAGGCCGTTCTAACCAAGCACCAGCACCTGGTCCCAGGCTCTGCCAGGGGCCAGAGACCCCACACAGTGACCTCTCCCCTCTGGACATCAAAGGATAGAAGCTGGGGGTGCTAAACTTTGTGGAAGAAGGAGCCAGGAGTTTGACTGGAGGCGGCCGCTCTGCTCTCAGGCCAATGCACACAGGCATGCCTTGGAAAGATCTGCAATGGCCCTGGAGGAAGGGGGTGGGGGTGGGAGAAGGAAGAGTTAAGGCTGCTAGTTGCTGCCCCCGAGGGTCAGAAGGGAGGATGCTCAACACGCCAGCTGCCTCAGCCATGACGCCTTTTGGCGTCAGCTGTACCATGTCCCACGAAAAGAGATGGTGATTTGCGTCTCCTTCCGGGATGCAAAGTCAGTACCGGAATCCGGTGCCAAGCCTGGCAGAGCACAATGATGCCTTCAGTCCTTTGAGTTAGGAAACCGAACCCTGTTCCAGTGCATCCTTCCCTACACACTCACACATCCACACACCACCCCCCCACACACACCCGCCCACACACTCACTGCCCTTCATGAGCTCAACAGACAGAGCTGCCTGCCTAGAGCACAGGAGGTAACTGCTGGGCAGAAGAGCTTTGCTGCGGAATAAGCTCACAGAGCATAAACTCGGTCCAAGAGAGACTCCTGCCACATGCATGAAGGGGTGAACGCAGGGAAAAAATCACAGGGATAGAAACTGGGGCAACTGCTGGCAGGTGCTGGGCTGGGGGCTGGGCATGGAGGGAGTGCCGGATTAAACGCTGTGGAGGCCCCTAGGCAGTCAGAATCCTGGGGGGGAGGGGGGTTGAGCCTTGCTAATTATCTCCTAGTACATTTTTGCTCTTTCAAGATCAAATCAATATTGTTTTGCTCTGTTGTGGGGCCCATAGACCAGCACCTACTCTGCCTATTGGTAATCAGGCACTACATGAAGGACTTATCAAGCAACTCAAGGCAGCAAATGGATTCTGTGTCTGGAGTATTTGTGGGCTGAGACCTTCCAAATGCAGACCTGAAGGAAGGATGGTGGCTGAGGACAGCTCCCAAAGTTCATGTGATCTACAAGGGGGCTGGAAGGACTGAGCACTGTCCCAACTGGATAGCAACTTGATCCCAGATCCCAATCCAGTACTTGCAGTGAAGGTGGGTGGGTGGAGGTGCAATGAAGAAATAACACAGTGATTTTTCCGTGGGAAGGTAACCATTAAACCAGTTCAAACATAGCTGGACAAGGGGCCATGGGTCTGGAAGGAGCAAAGGTCCTATTCAGGGCACCAGAAAGCTTTGGAGAGGAAGTGGCTCTCGCTTGAGAACCAAAGGTGAGTCATGTTGGGGATGGGAGTGAACGTTAAAAAGTAAAATAAAATGCATACACTTTTCCACCAACGGAAACAGTCTCCTTAGAGCACAGCGCAGTTCATGGAATCATAGAATCTAGGAGTTGGAAGGGACCCAAGGGTCATCTAGTCCAACCCACTATGATGCAGGAATCTCAGCTAAAGCATCCATGACAGATGGCCACCCAACCTCTCTTTAAAAACCTCCAAGGAAGGACAGTCCTCCACCTCTTGCGGGAGACCGCTCCACCAAAGAACAGCTCTTTCTGTCAGAAAGTTTTTACGAATGCTTAGTCGGAATTCACTTTGGGTGTTGGTATGTATCCCAATAAAACAAGGCAATTAGACAATGGAAAAATAAATACTGGTCAGCACATAAAGCAGATCTGGGAAAATGACCAAACTGCAGCACTAGTTGGTGGTCAAAGGAAAGGATGTACCCAACCCGAATGAGAAGGCACAGATGGGGAATTTGTAGGCCTCAAGGGGCAGCTGAACCACAACTCTCTTCACTCCTGACTATGGAGAACACTGGCTGGAGTCTGAGGAACAAGAGGAGGCACAGCAGGAACAGCCTTCACCCATTTCTGCCACCACCTGAACATGCCCCCCCCCCCCGCCTTGCTGAAACTCGGTGAGGATGTTCTGCAAGGCGTTCTGCCACCTGTCTTCTGCACCTCAGATGTGAGGAAGACAAGCAGCAACACCACACACCAGAAGCATCTGAGTGGGCAGGGTGCTGCCTCTTGCGCTTCTGCCACCTGAGGCAGCTGCTTCATCCTGCCTCATGGGTGGGCTGGGTCTGAGGCACAGAGATTCCCCATCCCTGTGCTGTCTTTAGCAGCCAGGGAAAAGATTTAATGAAATAATAGACCAGGCAAATTTCCTGTGAGAGTTCTGCAATTTGGGAGTTGCAACCAAGAAGACCATGCCCTGCATGTAAAGGGACACAGTTCAGTGGTTCAACATCTGCTTTGCATGCAGAAGAATCCAGGTTCAATCTGGGGGAGATCCCCTCTCTGAAATTCTGGAGAGCTACTGCCAGTCAGTGTAGGCAGTACTGAGGCAGAAGACAGCTTCTTATGTTCCTAATATAGTGCCAATAAATAGTTTGCTATGTTGCCATAGAAAGGAAGAGCCCCAGCTCTGTGGTAGAGCATCTGTTTGGAATGCAGAAGGGCCCATGTTCAAACCCCAGTATCTCTAGGTAGCATTGGGAATGTCCCCTACCTGAAATCCTAGAAAGCTGTTGCCAGGGAGTGTAGTCAGTTCTCAGCTAGGTGGACCAATGGTCTGACTCAGAATAAGGCAGCTTATTATGTTCCCAAATGGCCACACCAGCAACAGCGGTGGCAAAACCAGGGCAGATGTGTTTGGGTGCGGCATGCAAACCAAGATAGCAGCCGTTTGTCTCACTGTGAGCCAGAACAATCGCCATCCCTTGGCAGAGTTTACCTAGTGGGAGAGGACCAGGGTGGGCTGCAGGGAGCTTGACGCCACAGGTCAGCATTGACGGCAATGAGCCTTGGCTGAGCTCTTTGGGGGGGGGGCCTGGCAGAGGTGGGAGAAGAGGGACAAGAACAACCAGGACTGGACAGGGGTTTGCAAGAGAGAAGGGAGCACAAATCCAGCAGTGAGCCTGAGCCCAGCAAAGGGTGCTTTTGGAGGGGGTGGTGCTCTGCGTCGAAGGAGCATTAACCCACTGCTTGCAGGATAGGAAATGGCACCGTCCTCATCAATTGTGAGTTTATTTGTATGCAGCTTTCCTTTGGTAAACACATGCTCAAAGTGGTGCATAACACCATACAGAACAAAATAGAGCAACATTTCAAGGTAATGAAAGGACAGTTAGAAAAAAAGAACACAATTTAAACAGTTGTACTACTGTTAATAAGGCAAGCAAGCAAACATCTCCTGTTAAATAAACATTGAAGCAATGCCTAGTAATATAACAAGAAACTTCCAAACAGCAGCAACAACTGCACATTTTATCCAAAACTAAATGCTGCCTGAGCAACATCCCATTGGAGCTTGCTCCAACTTAAAGCAGCCTTGGGACAGCCCCAGAGGATGCACCTGTTTTTGTCACAGCTTCCAGGTAGGGCATTCACATTCCCTAAGCAGCACAGGCATTGCTGTTGCCAACTGACACCATGGCAGAGTTTACTGGCCACTTCAACATCATGGTAATATTTCAGCAGTTGCAGTCAGGAGGTTACATGTGCATTTGCTGGGGTGGGGAAGACAGCTTCCTAAGTTCACGCATGCATTTCATGCGCCTGTGAATTGCACTTCTGGACAAAACATATTTCCGCAAGGACAAGAGAGCAGAATCTTGAAGTTCACATTCACACTTAACTCTTTCTTATCATTTTCTCTCTACAGACCGCTAGGCAGAGAGGCCAGGAGCTAGGCAAAGCATAGCGGTGTCCTTCTTTTCCTTTTTTAAAACCATTTTTATTAAAACTTGAGAAAAGAACAAAAAAGCAATATACAAAATTAACACCAAACAACAAGCATTTTTAAACATATAAACTAAAAGAAATACAGAAAAAGAAAGAAAAGAAAAGAAAAAGAAAAGACATTCAATTCTCCGTCTATTAACTTCCTAGACTTCTGCAAATCCCTAGCTCCATAATAGCCTCTAACTCTTCTGCTTTCCATAAAAAAATCTTTTTTACTCTTAAAACCCAGATATCACAAGATCATTTTCTGTTTTGCACACAAAGTCCCTAAGGGGTTTCCAATTATTCATAAATGTCAACAAATTTTCTCTTAATTTTCCTCTAATTAAGCACATCAACTTTGCCATCTCAGCCAAATCCACTAATTTCAATAACCATTGCTCCATAGAAGGTAATATATATGTCCTTGCATCCTTGTACAAATAACAATCTTGCCGCTGCAAAGCATAGCCATGTTCAACTTCCACAGCCCAGTTCCCATCACTGCTCAGCCTCCAAAGTGCATAAGCCCCAATAAGGGCTAGAAACTTGCACTTGACTTTTAAACACACACACACACACACACACACACACACACACACACACACACTAAAGGAGGCTTTCTCAGCTTGCTGTAAAGTTTACACCCAATACTGATTTCTGCAGGGCTGCAGAAGGAACATTATGCTGGAACAGGGCAGGATTTCCTCCTTATCCAACAGCCAGCTCTGTTGCTTAATTTCTGGCACTAACTTCAAATGAGAGAAGTTCTGTTCAATGCTGAAAATTTCAGATATGAAATGGCATGAATCAGAAAACATAGTGGAAAAACAAATGAAAGGTTAGGGTGAGGGAGAAAGAGAATTTGGGTTGCAGGTGTCTGGATTTGACTATGCAACTTTGGGACTTGGACGTTTATAGTCTTCCATTTGCTCTGCATCAAGCGAGCTCCCGCTGCTGTTTTGCGAATGTTCCAGCCATTGCTTATGAAATAACTGCATTTTGATGTGTTCCACCCCCCCCCCCACCAAAAAACCCCAGCTTATATCCAAATTGAGAAAAAGTTGCATTTCAATGCATACATAGTCTTCCTCATTAAGTTTAGATTCTGGATGTTGAAGTCTGTAGGCACAAACTCCTAGGAACTCCACACACTGACAAAACCAAAGCATTGCCTAGCCCCACAGGATCTCTGCCAGCCTCGCCCCTTGCTAGCACACTTACCTGTAGCCAATCAGAGGACAGTCACCAGCATAACCTTTCTGCAAAAAGCTTCAGCCCAGCTGCCCCAGCTGAGCTGTTTATACCTTGGGGCAGCCCCTCCCACTTCCCTCCCTCTTTCCATCTAGGGAAAACCAAAGGAAGGAGGGAAGACTCTTTTGCCCACCCTGACTTCGCCTCTTCTTTGCCGCCTCCTGCCCATATAAAGCACAAGAGGCACATAGCATAAGGATGTGTGGTTGGCACTGCCAGTTCAGCCCAGAGATTTCTGCAGGAGCAGTGCCCACTCATCTGGGTCAGATGCCTTGGGCAGATGCTCCCCACCCTGACTCTGCCAGACACAGGGGTGGCAGCAGTGGCAGAGTTTCATGGGCCAAATGCTCCCTTTCCCCCAGGCAGGACCCAGAAGATGCCAGCTGTGAACAGAGCACTACGTGCCCACACCTCTCTGAGTTGGCAGCACCTGCTTCAAAACAGGAAGATGGACTCCTGGGTTAATTCCTCCAACCCACCCCATGTCCATACACCCTAGAAGCAGTTTTTGCAATTAGCTGTGAACGCCACAAACCAAATACTGTGCCCCCACAAGCCTTTCAAACTCTTGCAAAAGCCAATCCTGTATGTAAACATTAACTCACGTGTACTAAGACGCCCCACTCCAAGGTTCCGCTAACAGCTGTTGAAACAGCCCAAAGGTCACAAGACCCGGAGAAGGCAAAGCAAGCAATACCTTTGCACTAGGCTCACTGTCTGGGCACAGCTGGATAAAGTGTGCTTCAACACAGACAACAGAGATGATGGCAGAATCATTGCCCATTGAGATAGCTGGCCAGTAACCTTCCTCAGGGCTTGAAATTCACCCCAGAACCTGCTCTGGATGTCAGGGATCAATTCCAGAGACATAACATTTTAATACTGTCTCCTGAGCATGTGCAGAGTGCCTCTTTCCTTTTCCTCCGTAGTAGGTGAAGAGGCTGAACTCCTGTCTCGGAGGAGCTGGTTTCCAGTCAGGCTTAAGTGCCAACAGGTCTCATTCTAAGAAACCAGCTGGCTATTCTTGTGCATGGAGTATTTTGCATTGTCAAAGCCAGCCTGTGCCTCCATAAGCAATGTAGAAGCAGCCCCAGCCTCACAACCTGGCCCACAACCCATTTCATCTGCGAGGTGGTTGGCTGGTTGAGGACAACAGAGAGAGGAACATCAATCCTTATTGCACAAAAGGCCCAATCAAGTTTGTGGTTTGACCGTGGCAGTGACTCTGAGCACCTATTGCAAAGGCAGGCATAGGAAGAGCAGCTAGGACATACAAAGAGCCTGGCTGCTGGGTCAGGCCAGTGGCCCATTTAGTCCAGCCGCCCTGTTCTCATCTCACAGCAGCCAATCAGATTCTGGACCTGAGCTTCATAGCTCCTCAAAACAATTGCAATTCCAAGCACCTTGTTTTCAGAGGCATCTGCCTCTGACAGTGGAGGCAGACCCTAGGCATTGTGGCTGGCAGCTATCGATAACCTTGCCCTACATGCATTTCTCCAGTCCTCTTTTAAAGCCATCCATGTTGGTGGCCGTAACTACTCCTTGTGGGCAGCTGTTGACAGCTGAGTGGGAGGATCCCTCCCTCCCCTAAAGAGGTAGAAAAAAAACTTGCCAGAAAAAGGTTCCCGGTTTCTTCTGCACTGTCCTCTAGCTTTGATGGGCACAGAACTGGTGCCGCCTCGCGGGGTGGATCCTGTGTCTAACTATGCCTTTCTTGGGCAGTGCCCTCTCTGCAACGCTTTGGTGTCATAGAAGGCAATGATTTTATTTGTCCCTCCCTGCCTCAGTTAAGGAAGGGCAGGGCAGGCGGGGTGCCAAAGTACTTATCGCCTTTAGTAACAAGTACAGCTCACCCTGTACTCACCCAAGAACTGGGAGAAAGTTAAAGCAGCCACCCAAATGGGCCGGATGGCCCTCGTGCAATGGACAGGTGCCAGGTGACTGTTGGGCAGGATAGCACCTACTGGGGGCTGCCGAGGGTGCTGGTAGACAAAGCCAAGCAAGACTTGAAGTCTCCTAATGAGGGCTAAAAGGGCCCATGACACTTAGGCATACAGGAAGCTGCCTTTGCAGAGTCAAGCATATTGGGGCCTTCAGTATTGCCTGCACTGATTGGCAGCAGCTATCCAGGGTTTCAGGCAGAAGACATTCTCAGCTGTCCCTGGAGATTCCAGTGTGGGAAGTTGAACCTGGGACCTTCTGTTTGCAAAGAAGATACTTTAGCACTGAGTTATGACCCTTTCCTTGAAATATCTGTGTTGCTTATGTTCCAGTCTCAATGCACTGCCAGATTTTAGTGGAGAGTTGCATATATATTTTTTGTTAAAAATCAGTCATTTCACATCTGGATTCTTTCACAAAGCTCTTGCCCAGGTTTATGCCATCTGGGCAAAGTAACCTTTAAAAAAAAATCCATGAGCCAGTTTGCCCTAAAATGTCACATTTTGTCACCTCTTTCATTTGCTTAAAAATGATAAGACCTCCCTGAAAAAGTGGTTCAGGCACAGCTATCTGCAGTGAAGTATTCACCCAACTTCATTGCCATCTCCTTAGCCATAGCTTAGAAGTAGAACAACATGTGCTTTGCAGCAGTTCCTTGGTTCAATCCCCAACATCTTCAGGTAGGGCCAGAATATACTCCTTGCCTGAAATCCCATAGAGTCACTGCTGGTGACACTGAATTTAATAGACAAAGGATCTGAGTGTGCGTAAAAGCAGCCTCCTGTGGGTGCCAATCATGTCACACCTTTGTCACCTCACAGTCTGGACCAGTTCCTTGGGTGCTCTCCTGCTCACAGTGTATTTAAATGACACATTTGTTGCTTGTTTTTAATGTTTTTAACAATCTGCTGAGGAATTCTTTTCTCCACATGCTTCACTATCAACCTAAGATTTGTTTTGACAAGATTTGTTTTCCTAGTCTGAGCAATCCTTCTACTTCCCAAATAAAGCTTTCTTGTCTTTTATAGCTTCCATGACTCTACTCATTAACCAGACTTTACATACTCTTGTGTCTTCCTGAACTAAGGTGTTTATTCTATCTGAACTTTATTGTAGTGGTTTGAAATAATGAACAAACCTCTGCAGCACAATGGCAGAATGCGCTATGCTCCTTTATTTTAATTTATGTTAGTAAAAAGATTTTTTTTAAAAAAGAGAAAGCATAAATCTAACTTCAATTTAATTTTTCTAAACATATAGAGGACTCTTTGTATGTGGTTTTTGTTTATACGGTTCTGTTTATATTTTTGTTCATTCAAGGATGTGTTAACAGAGAAATCCGAGGGCTCCCTTGGACAAAAACAAAGACACCAACCAGGATAACTTGGAGCAAAACAGCAGCCTGTAGGCTTGGCCTTTATTGAATACTGTCGCAACAGGACTCCCACCCACAACAAGATGAAGCAAAATGGAAGTCCAGAACAAAATAAGACCCCACCTTTTATTAGTTACTAATTCCCCAAACTACACCCCTAAGACTACATCACAACTACATCACAAAAAGGAGGGGTTGAGGGAGGAGTTGTGGAGGTAACCTGAGCATCTTGTCACCTGGCTGGTTCCTCCTTTCCCCCTCCCCATGAGTACTTTCCAGGTGACAGAGGGGAGTTTGCAGTTTCCTGCCCCCAGAGGGAAGAGCTGATCATTGTTCTTTGTTCCAGTCCGTGCTGAATCCACTCCTATATGCAAGTTCTTTGTGACCTTGATGGTCTTCTGCTTGGACCATCAGGGTTGGCATAGCAACTGGGCAGGGCCTCCTGTGGATGTGCTGGTATGCTCAAGGGATTATGGCTGGCCTGTATCAAACCTTCCCCATTTTGTAGTCCTTCCTTCATGGAGTAAAATAAAAGTGGAACGGTGCAGATCCAATGTATGGTTGATTTTCTATCAATTTATAACAGAAGCGTAGTGTGTGAGTGTGTGTGTCAAGTTTGTACAAACTGAATGATTGGGGGGGGGGTCCTGCGACAGTTGTGTACATTATTTATGTTATATATGAATGTCAATAAAGTATATTTTCAAAAAAATAAAAATGGCAGAATGCGCACACCAGCACTGAAGTGGTTTGGGGCACATGCCCCTGTTTCTGGGGTGATCCAAAAGCCAATAATCACTTCCAGGGGTAGAAACATAGTAAAAAGTTTATTTCAAGCTGCAGCAAGAAAGGCACAGAAGATTGACACCAAAAGTCTGTTTGCCATCTAAGGCATGAGGCTGAGATTTAGATGGTTTCTCTACAGAGTTTTCACATGAAACACAACATGTATTGAACATGCATTGGCTACTTGAAATGTGAGCAACACATGTGTCCATTTTCATTGGTTAATAAATACATGCTCCTATCTGCACATGCAAAATGCCATGACAATGGGTAACCCTAAGCAAAGTTGCATTTTTAGCTTTGCCTACTGTCCATATCAGGTAGGTGTGACCTATTCCTGATTTACTTTGACTTACTGTTGCTCTTTCTCTGAAGACTCCTGGTCTTTCCCTGAAGGCCTTCTCATTCTTGCTGTTGCGTGCCAAGGGAGAATGAAGCAAGAGGCCCAGAGATGGGTGCTATGCTGGGAAAAGACAGAAAATGCAGTTTCTATTCAGGGTGCAGAGAGAAAAAGGGAAACTTGCAGTTTAAGCAAAAGGGGGAGAAGGCAGCTTATTCACCTTGCACCCCACCCCATCACCACCCTGTAGCCAATCTCCCTTCACTCTTTGCTGCAGTTATTCAAAGGGTGCCTTCAGAGACCCTGCTTATTGAGCCTTCATCCTGAATTGCATTCCCAGATATTACATGTAGGTTACACTGTGTCCTGTCTGTTACTGAGCATCTGTTCCAATTTATCTGCAGGGAGTTTTTACGACGATGGGCCTTCACAAAGCTCACATGGAGGTTAAACTAGGACTTAACTTCATTGGCAACACTTTATATGTGTTATGTATTTATATGTATTATGTATTTATATGTATACACTGTGACACCAGATGACACTGTAATAATTTTTTTTAAGGTCTTATATATATAATAAATGTTCATAAATGTACCAAGTGAACACATAAGTATATAAACCATGTGCCTAAGACAGAACTGGAGAACAATCCTGCAGCCATTTTTACTCTCCCAAATTGACCTCAAATATTTCTCTGCAAGGGGGAAGGAAAGGGGAAAACCTCCCGTTGTCTCTTTGATCACAAATCCTGTCTTAAGGGTGTATCTGTGTATGAATAGGGTGAGCCTGTGACCTGGATTCAGGAACTGAGTATTTACCATCACAAAAGAATGACCAGACTTCCCATGTAAATGCAATCAGCGACCATTATCAAGTATCTGGCAGACAGGATTTCTGCTGTCGACTGCCCTTCAGTGATGTATGTATGATGTATTGGGGGGTGGTCTTGAGCTACAGGGTAGCAATTTCAAGTCTATATAAGAGCTTGCACACCAATGTTTGGGGTTCTTCCTCCCTCCTGCGTTGGGATATGAGCACCCTGTTGCAACAGTTCAATAAAGATCAGGCTTACAAGCTGCTTTGCTTCTCAATATTATCTGGTTGGCCTCTGTTATTTTCTCCTACCAATGGAGAACCTAAAAAAAACCTCTATAAGGGCAGATTTTGTTTACAACATGATGTAGAATCCTGTTTTTGCCAACCCGATTTCTCTTACAAATTTTACAATGCATTTAACCGAATCGCTTCTATGATGTGTCTAGATTCAGCCTATGTTGGGTCCATTATTGAGCATCTCTGTGTGCAGTTCTTACATGCAATTTAGATGCCTTTTTTGGAGCGGTGGTTTATTTGACATTGAAGCCTGGACCACTCCAGGCAGAGGCCAAGGTAGGGGTGTGTGGTGGGTGCGGGCCACCCCAGGTATTACCACTGAGGGGGGTGACAAAATGCGGGGCGACACTCACCGCAGGGCCTGCAGCATGCCTGGGAGAGACACGGTGGCTTGGGCGCATGCAGGCTCCGCGCCGCCCGCTGCCTCCCCCCCAGCTGTAGGGCGGCTTAGTGGGAGGAGGGAGGCAGACTCCGGAGGCCCCGCGGTGCGCCCTGCCCCTATGGGCGGCTCGCCCCTGTCCCTGGACATGCTGCCCCAGGAGCCCCAGAGGCTTCCTCCACTGCTGATTCCAGGGTTGACACAGACAATAGATAAATCAAAAGTACATATATTACATCAAGAGGGAATTAGCATGTTTACAGACCTTCATAAAACAACCAGCTAAGTTTTAAAGGGTTTTAAAGCAATGTGAGACTGATTCTTAAAAGCATGTTTGAGAATAAAAACTAGAATGTGGTCAAGGAAAGAGGAGGTGTTGGTTGAAGGAGGGGACCTGGGGTGAAGGTGTTGCTTGGGTGGTTGTGGGGAAGGGAGTTTGGGTAGAGATTTAGTGGTCGAGGAAGTTTGTAGGTAAAAATCTCAGAAGAAAGCTGGCACCTGTCTCCTTGATCCTTGCCCATCCTGGCTTATAAAAGCTAGCCGGGAAGGGCTGGGCAATGGGCTTCACGGGGTGGTGAATGCTTCTCTCTGTGAGGGAGCGTTCCCAGACCTGCTGAAAGAGGTGGTTATTAAACCCCTTCTTAAAAAACCATCTTTAGATGCAGCCTATATGGCCAACTATCGCCCAGTCTCAAATCTTCCATTTTTGGGCAAGGTGGTTGAGCGGGTGGTTGCTGAACAACTCTAGGCATGCCTGGAGGATGCGGACCATTTGGATCCCTTCCAATCAAGATTCAGGCCTCATCAT